AACATTTTATATCCGGGAGTTAACTTTAGCACACTATGGTAACGTCATTGAATGTTCTGCTCAAAAAATAAACATATACAGTTTTAAATACACTTTGCCATTTGATGGCATACTTTCAAATGTATTAACAAGAAGTCAGCAACAGTGGTTCTCAACCTTTTCACAAGCAACGAAAATTTTTGAAAAAATAATTTTTATGAAATCTTGCAACCCAAGTATGGAGGACTCAAATACTAAACGGCACAAAATCAAATTATTACAAACAAAACATTATTAAAAAAATTTATTTCACCAGAAATTATTCCAAAGTTTCACTGGTGAGGTTGCACACCCATGAAGCAAAGCAAATTAGAAGCTGCCAAGTTTTTATGCTGTGAGACTTCCCACATAGACAAATATTATTAAGCAATAGTCTAATATTTAATGTAAAAATGAGCGATAAAATCCAAACTGATTTTAATAACTTTTATGTTTTTGATGAAAACTCAAGCGACCCGAGAGGACATTCAGTCGACTCCGCTTTAGGATTGTGACCCACACTTTGGAAAACACTGACTCACATGATTCAGCATTAGTATTAGATACGATTGGCTTCCTCGTATCTCATTATTTCCGAAAAATTCATAAATTCCAAATTCCAAAGTAAGTCAAGTAGTAGTTGGAATTTTTTTTGTTTGCCTTTCAAAATTTATAATATACATTGCATATACATGTTATTTTTAAAAATTTGGATTATAAGCTTAATCCCCTTTTCATTCAATCTGCTGATTTTATCATGTTTTTTACGTCATAATCCATGTCCTATTTGTATAAAAAACGATGCAAAATAAAATATGTGGTTAGATAACATAAAATTGGAATTTAATTGCAATACAGAATTCACATGATGTGCCAGATTGTATCAGTGACAACGCGTTTAATCAGTCATTTATGGCATGAACAAGTTATTTTGTGCAATCATTTTGTGTCCAAGTTCATGAATTTAATAATCGTGGATATGGCAGTGTGATGAAATGTAGCAATTCACTGCCTATAAACATCAGTTGTTTTTGCAAAAAAAAAATGTTATGACTCACGGATGTCCCTATTTAATTTACCATTGGTGACGAAAGTTACAACTTTTTTGACATGAACACAATGAAAGTCTCGAGTGATTGATGGAGATGGTATCATTCTTCTTGTGGTTTTGTCAATACATGAGTGTACGCTTTTACCCTTTTTTATTCTGGATATAAAGCTTTTGATAATGGTTAAATGTAAGCATTTTATTCAATATTTGCGTCATATCGATAAACTCGAGTTGTTGAAATTGTTGTTCAAATATCTCGATTCAATTTTGTGATAGTCATAAAGTATATAGCTTTGTACTTGCTTTCAATTCACGTTTTTGGAATAAGCGAGCTGTTTAGTTTTCTTATCAAGAACAATGATCTTGAGATGTTTTTTCAACTAATAGATCTTTTAGGTTGAAAAGAAATTTGGAAAGTCATTTGAAGAAATTTGTCGGATAGTAGAAAAGTGTCTCTTTTCGAATATAAAATAGAGAGATTCAAAGAATATGGTGTTAGAGTTTTGGGTTGCATGATAAGTCATGAGATGCTTACAATTTAGCTTCAGCTAGAAAAAAAGAAATCTATTCAGTGAATTGCAAGAGAATGAAATGTTTAACTTTTCATATCTGCATCCTTATGTAGTTGTTGGTTCAAAGATTAGTATATAGTTATATACCTAGTATTGGATGAACAAATCTCCAGTATCAATATTAAATTTTGCAATATGTGATACTTGAAATTTTTTTTTCGGAGAATGGTAATTTTGCCTTTCATGCTGTGAATCATCGGAAAACATTTCAAATTATTAAAATTAAAATTTTTAAGCTTTAATTCGTATACTTATAAGCTACTTGAATAGCGCTAAATTTTCCCGGAGTTTGAGGGGCAGTTTTATAAATAAATAGTAGCCTACCGGTAATTATTTAGTATTCCCTTAGGTACTGGTAAGTAACTGTTACCTGAGTTTGGTCAGACACTCATGATCCAGTTTTCTTCTCATGTTGACACATTTTCATGATCAAAATCTTGCTATGGATCTAAATTTAATTTTGAACTCAATCCCAGAGGTTTTGTCCATTCCATCTTTGCAAAATATCAATTTGAATTTCCAATCCTGAGCTAGATTATTTGTTGTGAATTTCTTGCATAAATCATTTACCTAATTATCAAGGTTGAAAATGTATCCGCTAATGCTATAAAACAGAGTAAAATTAGTGAAAAGATCCAAGATATGTAAAATAAGCATACCGTAATATAAAAATAATCATATTGCTTAAATCCCTTGTCAAGTAAATAAACTTTTTTAACAACGATCTAACACGAGCACCGATGACCTTGTTTTCAACTAACTGAAATTTTCATTAAGGATTTTTAGTTTTTCAATAGCACAGAGTGAGATTTGTGACCAGGTGAACAGGATATAAAGTTAAGAAAACAGATTCCTATCAGCAAACATATGTGACAAATTACATGCCAGATATTTAATTTGTTTTTCTAAAAGATTATATCATAATCTGATGTTCATTCAATTTTGTTTGCTGATCTGGATAGTCATATTTTAATATCAAAGTTGGTACAATAGGTTTACTATTGAATAATAGTAGCAGGAGAAAAAAAGTCTCTTTGAAGTTATGATACTGATTTTATCTCTGCTGGTCACTTTTGAATTTGAGTTTTCGACTTATTTGCAGACATTTTGGTTCAATATAATACAGCATTGTTCTCCTCAGTATTGTCAGAAGGAGTTTTAAAAATCAGATCAGGCTAAAAATTATCTTTCAATTACTGTATGGAAAGTTGAACAGAAAAAGAGTGTTAGCGTCAAGCCAACAAAATCACTTGATTTTTGCTTTAAATTAGTGGTTTGCAACCTTTAATAACGCAGGAGGGACACATACCAATAACTAGGTGAAACAGCGGGTCACACCTTTATTTAATATAGGCTTCCTAGTAGTTGCACGCACAAAAACTTTGGGTATTGATTTTTTGACATGCGCTGTTCACTTCGCACAAGCTTGTTTTTGGAGCATTCAACGTTATAGACATAGATGATAATTGGACTAGGACTTGCAATGCAAAGGAATTTGAATTACTCGCACGTACCAGATTGAGCTGAAATAAAAACTTGTTCCGCAGGCAGCACACCATTACAAAATTGGCACTCTTCTGCGGATTGCACAATTTTTTCTCGTGAGCTGCATTTGGCCCGTGGGCGCAGTTTGCTCACCCCTGCATTAAATGCTAAACGTATTGGTTTGATATGATGTCTCGGACGCTTATATTTGAGTTATTTGGTTTTCTGAATAGCATCTTGCTAATTTTAATTAATTTCATACATTTATATTCTTAAATGATCTATTTCAATCCAAAATCAAAATGTTATCTTTTATTAGAAAAACAGTCTGTATCTCAACAAATTATTGGATATCATAAATTTTGAATTCTTATATGCTTTTTTGAGCATCGTCAGTCTTATTAAAATCTCTAAATACTAGTCTCTAAATACTACTTTCAATAGAAACTCTTCAGTAAAAAACAAAAATTTGCTATGAAATCAGTTAGCTTTCAAGATCCCTTACCACCAACTCCAAAATCTCAAAAAGGTGGTAGATTGTCTTTACCTGTTATGCCAAGATCATTGATTGATTCGGCAAAGTTTCGACCCAATCATAGAAAAAGTTTGTATCCTGGTATTCTTGAGGGACGAGCACAAAGGTAATTGACTCTATGAATTTTATTTTCATAAAAGAGCATCAGGACCTATATATTTCCGAACCAGAATAGTACTACTATGTTGCGATTTGAAGGTCCTATTGTACTCTTGTGCACCTCTACTAATTAGCAAGATTCTTGTTTTAAGGAAGTGTCCATGCATCATATTTTTTAAGCTTTTTTTATTTTGCACCCATACAATGCTCTATAGCAGCGGTACCCAACTGGGGACCAGTGTCCTCTCAAGGGGGCCACAGAACAGTTGGTGGAGGACACAATGCTAGGTGTAAAACTGATTTTACATTTCCCTTATTAACATGATAAAACCCCGTTCTTCCCCTAGTTTCATTGCTTGATAAGGTTATTTCACAGGGTGTTTTTACTTTTTTGAGAACGACTTGTTTGAATATAATAGGAATTGGAATCTACCAATCAAAATAAGACTATAAATACCATCAGATTAAGTGCTAAAAGCCTCCGAGTGAGGGCATGAGTCATAAAAGGCTGGGAATCACTGCTCTATAGGGAAGCTACAGGTTTTGGGAGGATTGGAATCTTCCCATTTAGGATAGGATTTACATATTTATCCTGGGGGAGAGGAAAGCCAATAAGACGGCTTATCCATATGGCGAACCACGGCCTCTCGTCCGGTTACCATTCCAAGTCGGGTATGGGATTAGTTATATTGTTTGTTTTCGGAAACATGGACTTCAATGTGGTCTTCAATATTGGTGGTTTATATATCAAGAACTTTCAGTTTGTAGTTCTTAACTTTGAGAGTCATAATATAATGGAGATTCTAACTAGAATCTAGTTTATGATATTTGTTGTTAGCTGAGATTTGAAAATGATATAGACACGAACTATGTGTTTTATTAAAGACCAATTGAAAAAACGTTTATAATATAATAGTGATAACAACTACTAAATCATGCTAAAGTGAATGGCGTTGGGATTATTGTCTTATATTCCATTTTTGTTGAAAAATTGTTCTGTTTTTCTAATAAATTAGTATGTTGAACATGCACTTGATATACTAAATAGGTAGTAAACTAATCATTGTTTTATGTCTTTGTTTAAAATTTGTTGAAGTTACAAGATAAATGAACTTCATCTATTAACCCTTTGTATGAATTTTTTGAAAAAAACAAAAATTCTTTTTCTACTTTCGTAGTTGAAATATATAGTAGAAAAACGCACTACACCTTATTGACTGACAACTTTTTTTGTTTTCAGAGCTGCGTCACTAGTTGGCAGCGTAGCATCTGTAGACAGTCGAGGAAGACCAAAAACTTTTCCAATATGGCCGGAATTTACAGAAAATGACATTGCTTCAGAAAAATGGGTCGGTTGAAAACTTTTAAAATTCAACCTTTTTGTATTTCTCTCTCAGCTTCTTCTCTATTGTTTCGAGTTTAATACTTGTTTCATCGAATTTTGACTACATTTGACTGTTGGGTAATTTCAACATTATGTTGCTGATTATCCTCGTTGTGGTACGTAAAATCAAGATTCACTAGACAAGATTAGTTGTGAAATGCTGAAATGTTTGCCATTGAAAGGCTGGCTACCAAGGCATTCTCATTGGCCAGGTAGTAATTTTTCCATCCCTTTTTCTACAAATTGAGATGTGTATACTTTTATTGTGCTGTTATTATGCTATTCAAATTGAATTGTCTTATTATTTTTACTTTATTTGGACATACCATACATTAAAATTCTATTGCCTAATTTCTGTTATTCATTGCTCTAATAGGAATCAGCTTCAAAAGGTAAGGAGAAAGGCAAAAGTCCAAGTTTGTCATCATTTGAAGATCCTGAAGGAAAACTAGAATTACCATCATCTATAAAAGTTCATGAATGGAAAAGACCCGTGGTATATATAATGTATCTTCGATACTGGGATGATATACTGATCAATCATTTTATAATTTTAACATTTGATTGGTAGTTGAGAAATTACTGTTTTTAACACATAAAACTTTATTTTTTTGCAGGACTTCCTCGAAGGAAAGACACCAGTTATTCTGGATGATAATGAAGGTGACTTTGATCTATTGAGACCAAATGAGCATCTATGTCACAGTGAGGTATGACCAATCTCTAACTTTTTATTTTGAAAGCTATAATTATGGCTTTTATGAATGGTATGAGTTTTTATACCTAAAAACATGTATGGGTTAGGTAGGTGTAAGTAGAAACTTGAAAGACTCTTATTACTTATAAACTTTGACCTGAAAACTTTGTAATATGTTGCTATATGTGGCCCTTTGTTTTCATCAATACTCAGATCACAATTGTTGTGAACACAACATTTTGATAAAATTAATACCAATACTACTAAATTAAACTTGGGCTTCCAGATGATATTTGCTATTAGAATACATATTTCATTTGCAAATCTGAAGCAAATTTATGTTTGCAACATTTAACCCATAGTCGTTTTGGCAATTTGAATTTTTTCCATTAATCAAGGAAATTTGATTTTCAGTTGATGAGATGCATTATTGGTCAGATTACTTCGTTATGGAATATATCTGCAAGTAAGACCAGATCCACAACATCTCTTTCTGCAAGAAATAGGTAAAATTAGGAAGAATTTGAATCATAAACCATTTCACATAAATACCAGTATCTGAGATTACACAATATAACACAAAATCAGTTGCTGTAAATTTTAAATTTCCAAAGTTGATCAATATGATACGTTGGCATTTTGCGCATTGTGCTAAGCGTTCGTAACATGCTTGCTATCACACTTCTGATTATTCTGCGTGGGTTCGCAGGTTTGAATCTTGGGGGTGATGTATATGTGTGAGGCGATTGTTGGTTGTTGAAATTGTTCTCACCAATTGTGACCAGTTTTTGGTTTCTCAAAATCATCATATCAGCTCATTGCAGTGTAAATTTTGATTTTTGTAATCATTTTGCATACTATATATTTCCTAGTATGTATATCAAGATATGTGTATAATACTGGTATTTATCGATGATTCAGAAAGTCATATTCCAGAAATGTCACAAAATTGTTATTTCATATTTATGATCATTCATTCAGTGCTACTCCTGAACCTGGTGAAGACAATTTCTGGAGACCATGGGAACATATTTATGCAATGACCAAACTAGCTAAAGGACCCAATATTCCGCAATATAATCCATATGGAAAATATGTTGTCAAGCTATATTGGATGGTACGATATTTCATTTAATTAGATTGTAAAATGTAAAGCGAAAGCACTTTTATGAATTCTCTCAAATTACAGCTATAAAACAAGGGTGTGCAACATTTTTTGTGGGTGGGCTATAATATGGTTATATTATAACCAACTTCCTGAAATCTAGCGGGTCCATACAAAAATTAGTTTCTCCATGTGGGAAAGACAAGAGAATGCGGCTATTGCTTAGCCTTGTGGTAATAAATGCACCGGCATAAAGATTTTACGCAGCGTCAAGAGCAAAATAATATTATGCATTTTTACAGACTTGAGCGACTTTCCAAACATAAACTGTCGAATTCGATTCTCATGCTTAATAGGGAAAAATCTGAGTATTGACAAGGGCACACCAAAAGGCTTGTTGGGCCGGGTTGTGGCCCGCGGGTCGCCTGTTGCACATACCTGCTATAGAAAAATACCACTGATATGTTATGAATGGAAATACTTTTTGAAGTAGGCGTAACATTTCAGCATGGCCCGCTTCAACAAATTTAAAAAGGTTTAGGTCAACAAGGCATTCTAAGTAGACGAAGAAAATTTGTCTTTTTAGTTTGAGACAAAGTGAATATTTCTCTGAATTCGGAGTCAGAAGCTGGAGTTGTGTTTCATGTTGCATAGAGTTCGGAGTCGGTTATAAAATTATTTTGTCAATTTTATCCAGGGATGTTGGCGCAAGATAACCATTGATGACTATATGCCGTTTGATTCAGAAGGCAGATTATTGTTTCCTGCTTTGCAAGAAGATTATAAATTATGGCCAATGTTGTTGGCAAAGGCTTTGATAAAAGTGGCTGCGATTGAGTAAGTATGGTTTTTTTAAATATTCTTTCAAGATATTAATAACTTTCCTTACATGCTCGACCGAAGAATTTAAATCAGCTTAAATTTTGAACCCCGAGCTAGGTAAAGAGTTACAGCACTTTTACTCAAGTTTGTTTTATAGTTAATAGTCAGACCAGAATTCATGTTAAAAGGCATTTCAAAAACAAAAGAACTACCATACTATGTAAAATCTTTATATATTACTTTACTACTTTACTGTGTAATCCTATATTTTAACATAACTTTTATGAAATTTCAGTCCAAATTAGGTTGGGTTTTTTACATCTGCAAGTTAATTCATTCATGCCCAGCTTGTATGTTTTACTGAAGTTTGTGGTTATATCTTTTACGGAAGTTCGTTTACAATATCAGCAATTATTCCAACGTTGTGCGGCATGATTATTTTGAAAATTTTGGCATATATCCAAATTTGACTTGTGCACCCCCGTTAAAGATGTTATTTTGAAAAAACAACAACAATGAGGACAAACCTGACATTTCTTTCTCTTTCTTGAATTGATAAAACATACTTTCAATTGCAGTTACACCAATAATGAGGCTGGATGTGAATTTGGAGATTTTTTCGTTATACAGTGTTTGACAGGATGGCTTCCTGAGACCATTCCTCTTAAGTAAGTTATCTGTCCTGATTGGACTCAATTGCACGTACACTTGTAGTAAATATTTTAATTACCTCCAATTTTTTAGTCATATTACATTTATAACAGTTATTTATATATTTTTTAGTATGTAGGATTAGAGCAGTTACAGTAGTTATTAAGGGATAGGTATAGAGAGATAGAAAACTGTAAGAAAAAAAATAATCATAGAGATACTGGGTGACTCCAAAAAACGGAATCAATAGAATATGTTCCAAATGACTTGGATTCCGTTTTTTTTGGGGTCACCCTTTATGAAGTGAGAATATTTATATAGCAGAGAGTTCAGAAGTATAACTTTTTGACCCATCAAACCCATGTGATCTAAATGACCTGGATTTCGTTTTGGGGTAACCCTATATGAAATGAGAAAATTTATGAGTGAGTGAGTTAATTTATTATGAGCAGAGTGTGAGCATAAAGTTTAAAAGCTTTTTGTTATATAACAGAGGTCTTGTTACTCAATATGTTATACATAAGCGTCAACTTTTGAAGCAATTAACTAGCGATAGATCGAATAGATGTGAAGGTGATTGTGAGACTGCAGAAATTGTGACTCCTAATATACCTGCAGACCAGTGGTAAGATTAGTGTAGAGTATATGATAAAGGATTACCGTATTTTACGGAACTTAAGGCGCACTTTAAAACCTTTATATCTTGAAAATCAATTTTGTTATTTATGTGCCTAATGTATGATCAGGTAGTGCTTTATGCTTTATTGTCTACACTCAAATCAGTATTGGTATTGCCTGTTTGGTCCTATAGTTCGAGGCGCTTCTGTATGAAGAAAATTCAATCTGCGCAATTTATTGACAGTAAGCCTCATAAAAAGGTCCGCCTAATTTTTGTAAAACACTCACATGCTGATAAGAAAGTATTTTTTTGTACTTATATTTGATATTAAAGATGAGATGATACATGAGATAATTCATTCCCAAAAAAGAAATAGACTAGACACAAACGGGTTAGCCATCATCCACGACCTTTCAATTATCTGTGTGCCCAGATGCAAGGTATATTATCATTGATAATTCGGTACATAAAAATTTGTAGCGAAAGCTTTTGCTATTAAAAACATTGGCAGTTGCTAAATCAGGGCTGTGTTTTATGAATACTGGAGACAAAGTTATAATGCAAAATATGTCTCAAATATCCTCAAACCATCATCATCAAAGTCATCATCAAAACTTCATGTTTGGTAACAGGTATGGTCATTTGCAAAAAGTTTGGACTTTATTGAAAGATATTCTACCAGAGTGGCAGAGACCTGTGGAAAAACCAAAGGAGATGTAAGTTTGGATAAATTATTCTGATATTTGATATCAAAAATGAAATGTATGTGATTTTTGCATTTTTGATATTTTCTAGATGTCTATGATTCTAATTATACAATTAACACAAAAATAGGATTAGATTTCAATACAGTCAGAAAATTCTGTTTGTAGTGCTTTATATAAAAATGTCGAATTTCAGTTTTAAGTGTTATCTTAGACTTTTTTATACCTTTCTCCAGAAAAGTTTCCTTCATGGAATCCAGAGTAGGCCTAATAATTTGACAGGAATTTATTGAGTTTTTATGAATGGTACGTAAGTTTTTAAAACACTCTAAAATAGGCTCAACACAAGTATTTGCACAATTGCATAAATAAGTAGACTACATAGCTTCTGGTACTGTACCAATCATTGCCAATGCTGCAACATACTAGCAGATTTGTCTTAAACTCTTCTCATGATAGAAGGGGATTTTGGGAAAAATTTCCAGCATTCAAAAACTAGAAAAGACTGTTACTTCTTGGTTATAATAATTTAACTTTGTGTTACATTAATTAAACCTAATATGTTTAGAATTACTGAATCTGAAATCCCAATTGCACCAGTTACTTCAAAGAAAGATAGATTGGAGTCCGGAGTGGTTAAGCCAGATGCAAGTGTGGGAAGTGCTCATAAAGGAGGGAAAGGTATGTACTACCATAATGATGATAAGGTATTGTATGCTATTGTATTGGTATATGTAGTGTGTGATTGGAAATGTTATATTTGAACAACTTTTTCAAGTCTGTTGGGTGGTTGGTATTTTTAGTGGGTTCCTGATAATTTTAAGTTCAATTTTATAAAAATTTTATTATTTATCTAATTTTTCTCTAATTACTTTCTCTGATAACGAATCCTGTGGTGAAAATAATGTGCGGGTAGATTGCTGGATTCCTCTCGCCGCCGTAGGGCAGTTCACGTAACCACTGGTTGGTTACGGCTTCTTCCACCATCAAGTCCATGCTTAAAAAAATAACTGGCTAACTTATCCCATACTCGACATGGAATGGTAACCGGATGAGAGGCCGTGGTTCACCATATGATTGAGCCATTTTTTCGGCTTCCCTTTCTCCCCGGGATAAATATGTAAATCCTATCTTAAATGCTATCTTCATCAATTTCAGGTAAAGATGGCAAGAAAAAGGATGATCGAGAAAAAAGTAAGTCAACTCCACATTCAGCTCGACCAGTTTCAGCTCGTTCAGTGGCAGACAGTGAGTCAGTGTGGCTTGCTATGCTGTTGCAAAATAACTCGTGCTTTTAAGATTAACCACTTAATATAACACATGAAAGTTTGATCACACCACACCAAAAATGTATAATGTTTGAAGTTTTGTGTTGTTTTTGATGAGAAAATTTTGGCAAAGACGTTGAAATATCTCAGAAAAATAAGAAACAGAATTTTTTTAAATAAATGTTAAGAAATTCAAAATAGTCCAGATTTCAAATGCTCCAAATTCCTTATTTTTTAATATGGTGATCGAGTTGAATTTTTCACTTCATGTACATTTTCTAAAAGTTTCATTCTAAAATTTTTAGATCGAAATGATTTATTCCAAATTATTAAATTATCAAACATTTTGATATAAAACTATATAAAAAAAATGAATTGTATTTTTCTGAAATTATCATGATGGGATATTATGACTGATTGATCATATATAATATGTAAAGATAAATAATGTTAAAAACAGCAGAAAATTAAAATGAAAACCAAGTAGATGGATTAAAATGAAAACCAAGTGGTGGATAAATCTACTCATCAAGGTTGTCCCAACTTTCGACTTGGTCTTCGATAGATATGTGTTCAGTTACTAATCATACTATTTGTGTGTTTTTTGTGTTCAAATATTGCTCGAGTTTCCACCTTTAATCTATTTTTTTTCACAAATGCACCTTCAATAACACACATAATGCTTGCTTGAGCGTAAAGCCTGTAGGCCTACTTATTAGATCAGAGATTGGAACCATCCCCAACTCTGAAAAAACACTAATTAACATATTTTATTTCGCTTGTTAATTAAAATAAGGCAAATTTTTATGTAGGGGTATTTATAAGTACCAACTCATCAATATCTATCTTGTAATGTTACTTGCAATTAAGTTCAAAACAAAATGTCAGTGGAATTTCACTTTTGAACACAGCTCAAATTAGAGTATAGCAATTCCTACATTCAAAATAATGTGATTGAAATAGTAGATGATTTAGTTTTGCCATTCCCTTTTTGTGACTTTTCAATAGGTTTAGTAATATGATTTAATAGGTATTTGAGGTTGTTGATGTTAGGGGATTTTTTAGAAATATTCTTCAATTACCGTATTTTTATCAGCAGTGCTTTAAAACCTTTTTTTTCTCAAAAATATATTGTGCACGTTATAAGGCCAGGGTATAGATATTGTATTGCTTTATTCTTTATTGCCTACTGGTACTGGTTTTAGCTTATAGCCCGGTGTACTAACTAATTTCATATATGAGATTATATTAGATTTGAAAGCAATTTCCGACTAACTGCTGTTTATATATTCAGAAACTAAAATAGAAAAATTTAGGTAGTGTCTACTTTGATTACATAAGTATAGTTTATAATTTGGATTAAATAATTTATAATTTGTTATAAAAAAAGTGGTATATACATAAATAAAAACAGCACAAACAGTTCAGAAAGGTGACAATACCAAAGTAACATTTAAAATGTGGTCTTGCGATGCGATATAGATAAGAACCATTTTTCGAAAGGATTACTACATAGTAGTGTTAGTAAACCTGTTACTTGTGTACTTGTCTAGAATCTGCAGTTGAACAAGATTCAGTCAACCAAATTGATAAACGTCCAGAAACAGTTGTTTTCGCAACATTCAGTCAACCTGAGGAATCACCAGCCAGAGTTTCTGTTCTGAAGGAAATGGTATGTTCATGGGAATATTCATTAGATTTAGTATACGGTATTTGTATCAGTAACATTATGAACCAGAAAAGCGATATTTGAATCAATTTTAAATGACCTCTGCGCGGCGGTGTGGCTCAACGGGCTAAGCGTTAGGAATACGCTCGCCACCGCACCTCTAATTACTCTGCGTGGGTTCGCAGGTTCGAATCCCATGCAGGGATGGTTATGTGCGAGAGGATTGCTGGACTCCTCGCCGTCGTTGGGTGGTTCACGTAACCGCTGGTCGGTTACGGCTTCCTCCACCACCAAGTCCATGCTTCCGAAAACAAACAATACAGTAAAAACTAATCCCATACCCGACTTGGATTGGTAACCGGACGTGAGGCCGTGGTTCGCCATACGGATAAGCCGTCTTATCGGCTTTCCTCTCCCCCGGGATAAATATGTAAATCATATCATATCATATCTAGTTGGCGCATTGTACTAAGCAATATTAAAACTCTTGCCATCATACGTCTGATTACCCTGTGTGGCACTGAAAACAAATAACTAGCTAACTAATACATAGACTGGTAAATGGATGATAGGTCATGGTACTTGGCGCTCGTTCTCTCTCTTGGGATAAATATTAAAATCCTAGTTTGCAGCTATCTACTACATGAATTATACTCTTTACTGGGACATTCCAATTTGTCTTAGGCTGATGCTAGTGAAAAACTTCGTAAAGTCGGACTTTCTAATTTACACCCCCATCCTGTTTTGTTGACTAAAACTCGAGATATTCCTCTCAAACCACCACCACCTCCACCAGTGATACCAAGATGGAAATTAATCAGACCAAAGAAGAAAAAGATGACTCCGTCTGATGAACCAATTCGTAAGTGTCACAAAATATATTTTCTTTCTATTTTGTATTCATTTGCACCAAAGTTTCAGTCAGAATGCGGCGTGGCACATCGTGTTGAGCGTTAGATATACGCTCGCCACCGCACCTTTTATCACCCTGTGTGGATTTGTAGGTTCGAATCCTGTCGGGAATAATTATGTAAAAGAGGATTGATGGAATCTTTGCCGCTATAAGGTGGTTCACGTAACTGCTTGTCAGTTACAGCTTCTTCCACAACCAAGTCCATGTATAGGAAACAAATAACTGGCTAAATAATCCCATAGCCGACATGAGTCTTATTGACTTTCCTCTTCTCCACTATAAATTTGAAAATTGTATTTCTGTTTAATGTAATACCGTAATCGGGTGAAATGAAAACATATATATAGGAAGTCAAATGGTATATCATAGAATACGTTATGTACAATTTTGTATATTCTGAAATTTTGAATTTTTATTCGTTTTTTCTTTACTCAGCGGAGCCAGAACCACCAAAACCTGATCAATGGTTGGAAATAACATCAGCATTTGTGAATCATCGTCTCAATCCATTACCTCTTGATCCAAACTTTGTCAAGTCTCGTACTTCCCCTCTGGGACCAAAAGGTTCTCGTCCTTCAACTGGAGCCACTTTGAAAGGAATTGATGAGGATGTGGAGGATAAACCTGAACCGTATGTATTAAAAGGAAATTTTAAAATTGCTTGTTTCAGTCGAATTCATGAGTGTAAGTCTATCATGTAACATATCATGACTAGCTAGAATATAGTTTGGCCATTTTTATAAGAAACCAAATTATTGGTGATCACTAGAGTGCCAAGAGCTTCGGGACTGCTGAGACTGACGACTGAAAACCTTTTAGTAGGAACAGGTTCTGAAAGTTTGATATAACACAGTCCTACTCAATCTCAAACTTTTGTATGATTTCCAAATTTTGTTGTCCCATCGTTTCAACACTTGAAAAAAACACTTGAAAAAAGCTGACCATTTATTTTATAACTCAATAACATTATCTCATTCATTCTACCACATTTAGGAACAGGGTATGAAACTAAATTTCTATTTCTTATAGAATATTTATTCTGAGCGAAAACGAAAGTTGATAACACACTCAATCATCATACCATTTGCTTCCATTTGCAAAACCACCTGTCAAAGTTTCAGCTCTGATTAATGAGTGTACTGAAGTTATAATATATTTAATACATTTGCATATTCTAATACTACAGCACTTCTTACGACAGTCCATATTCGTATTTCAATATATGTGCTTTCACACATTGTGTCTGATTTTTGAATCTATTTAGCAGTTTCCTATATTTTAGACCTAAAGAAGATGGTGTTTTTCGTGCTCAACATGTATCTTCAAAAAGAAGAGCTTCAACAAAACGGGATTTGTCATCTCGTCACAAAGATCGTCGAGATTCAGCAGGACGTGCAAGTCCTTCTGTACAAAGTCATATCAGTAGTGCTAGAGGTTTTTATAATATTGTTAAAATTCCTCAAATTTGTAAATTTAAAACTTGAACCTCATCACTGTTTTTATATAGTTAATTAGTGTGTAAGGCCCAAATTTAGCAGTTTACCTCAGCCTATGAAATTTATCATTTCTTGGGTGAGGTCATGGACAAAGAGCCATGGGAGATTGTGTGCGAGAGTTTTGCTGGACTCCTCGCCACCGTAGGTTGGTTCACGTAACTGCTAGTCGATTACGACTTCCACCACCACCAAGTCCATGCACTAATCCCTGGTTCGTCGTATGATTAAGTCGTCTTATTGTCTTTTCCCTCCGCTGGCTAAATAATTAAATCCTACCCTATCAAGTCTGTCCAATTTGTAACTCTCAGTTAAAGCCAGTATGTTACTAAGCCAGTTTAAAGTTTATTTTGGTTGTTTCTATTTATGAGTTGAAAATGAATTATTATGTTGTATTGTTTAAAGATGCTGATCATGATAGAGAAAGTTTAAGGAGTCAAGCTGCAGCACAAGAGACAAGTCAGCAAGATGGAAGGGATTCCGCAATTAATGATCTTCACTTGGAAGAAATTAAAGATACTAAGGTCTTTTAGAGTTGGACTTATACCGAACACTTTTATGCTTGAAAATGGACTACCTTAACCAATTTTTTGATAATATTGTTCATTTATTGTTTCATTTTAGCAACTAAGAATTATTTACTGACAAGATGTGTTGATATTATTTTAGCGGATTTTCATGTTAATTTAAACACCGGAAAAAATATACAATACTGTAATTTGGTTTTGCAAAAAAATTCAAAGAAGATTAGATTTTTGGTTTTGAATGGAAACATATTGAGATGAATTTTGAAATTTTGTTCAGACTGATGTTATCAGCACTGAATCCATTAACAAGACAATGTGGATGGACTTTGAAGATTTCTGCATGAGTTTCCAGTAAGTTTTTTCATATTTTGCGAATCTCAAATGATTTCCATCCAATTTTAATTATCTTTTAATGCTATTTTTAGAACTCTTGTCATTTTTCACAAGCCTGCAACTTACACTTGCAATCGTTTGACGACTGAAATCAAACATTCAATGATCACAGGAGCGCCTAGTGGTGGAACTTCAAGCAAAAAGGGATCAGCTAATGCTACACAGGCTGGATCAAACACTAATTTGAAAGGATCGGCTTATCAGAAAGAGGTAGCCAACAGATATTGCTTTTATTATTCCTATTTTGAATATGATAATTAGGGTAGAAATAGGATTTTGCTTCCTGTTTAGCTTGTGGGAAAGGATAGCTGGTATAATGTCACTGTTTTATGACAGTCAAGTGATTCTTGTCGAGTTACGTATAGGAAAAGCTAACTACCGGTAATTATTCATTTGAGTTGTGTGGCCTCAGATTACAGAGGAAGCAGTAGTGTATTTTCATGGCATACAGACATTTTAGACCAGACCAAAGACTACAGAAACTCATATGCGGATATCCATTTATTAATAATGCGTAATAAGATAGAAGACGAGTCACGATTATGAAATGGAATTTGTTCTAAAATGGAATCTATGGGCGACAACGAACATAGACATATAAAAATAGGTTGAACATATTTAGTCTCAGACTTTGTGGTCTTAAAAAGTAATGTTTTTCCTGCGTCTGATGCATCTGGCTTTATACCGGATGTACTTATTAAAAAAAATCATGTTATTTTTGTGTTGGAATTTTCAAGTTTACCTTTTATTAAGCCAGAATACTTGGTAATACCATCTTGATAATAAAATTATGAAATATTTCACTTTCGTTAACGAAATATTATATCACAACGATCGATCCTTATCTTCTATCACATCTCACATTGTTGATGAACGTTTCTTAACACTTGACCCTGGACTGGCGGAAACGTTTGATTCGAATTGTTGATAAACAACATTTTAAGCAAGCAAATCCATGTCATATTTGTATTCATTATTTTGAAATCCTTCAATACAGGAAGAACGAGCACCAAGTTTTCTGTTTGTTGACAATGTTTCTACTACTGAACTGGTTGTATCGTTCTCTGTATTGCCAAGATGGAGCGGAAGCGAAACTGAAAGAGATAAAAAGATTTCGGATAATCAATCTATTACAGGGGTGTCTGAAGGTGTGGTCTCATCATTTTTGAGACATTGAAAACTGTTTGTTAGTTAGTTATATAAATAAAGCACCATATCTATCAAATAGAATCTATCATGATTTATGAATATGAGTTTTTCATTGGTTTAGTATCGTTAAGTGCATTGGACAAACTACATAGGCATTACAGGAAACTTTTAGACCAGCGGTTCTCAAACTTTTTTGTACCCTCGCCCCCTCACAATACTTTATACATTATAATCACTCCCTGAGTGTCCCCTTCCAAACCAAGTTTTGTGATAAATCTGACTGTTCTAGAATACACAATTGCTACTCCATTTTTTTCTCCCCTTTATTGATGTCTGTTGCCCCATGGAGGGTGATATCACCCAACTTGAGAATACCTGGCCTGAACCATTTACAGAATCTCTGATTCTGATATGATAAATTCATTATGAACAAAAATTAAAATCTGGTAGTCTTATACCTTGTTTGTTTCTTGTCTATATTTTTGTTATAAGGTGTTGAATACCCCCAAAATAACTATATTTTGTTTTGATTTTGGTTTTCAGTTGCAAGTGTCAAAGAAACCAGTACTACACCTGTCCCAACTGGACTGTTGGTTGCTGAACCATATTCATGGAAAAGTTTAGTAGTCGGACAACCTATACTCAGAATAAGGACAACAGGTATAGAAATTTAGGCTCGGGTTCCAAATAGCGACTGTCAGATCAGCGACTGTCCATAGAGCGACCACACGACAGTGATTAATTTAAAACAGCGACTATGCGACAGCGATTCATTTAAAACAGCGACTGCCACAACAGCGACATCACTTCCTTTATTAAATTCAAGGTTTACGCGCATACGCACTCTTTCACCCCCCAAACACACACCTTCCATTCCCCACACCCTAACCCTAACTTTGTTTTGTCATTCCTGTACAAAAAGTTAAGTCGCTATCATAACAGTCGCTGTTTTAATGCGGTCGCCATTATGACAGTCGCTATCCGGCCTGGATTCCAGAAATTTAATAGCTGTTCAATATGGCTGCCGACTATCCTATATGAATAAGCATTAACCAAAACTTCTTCAGGTACTCGTGCTGCATGTCTCACTTTACCTCCTGGTCGTCATGTTTTGAGATTTTACTTCGATACTCCATTGGGATACAGTCTCAATATTTGTTCTTCTGTCAACTTTGTATATGGAGATGAGGAATCTGTTATGAAACCGTTACTTGAGGTAAACAAAAGTTATTGAAGATTTATAGGATTTCACATATTTATCCTGGGTAAAAGGAAAGCCGATAAGACGGTTAATCATAGGGCGAACCACAGCCTCTCATCCAATAACTAGTCCTTGTTTGGTATGGGAATAGGTGGCCAGTTATTTGTTTCAGATGCATGGATTTGATGGTGGAAGAAGCTGTAACTAACATGCGGTTACTTGAATCTTACAGTGCTGTTCATATAATATCCTCATTATCAAATATTCATTGACTCAAAAATTATTTTTTATACTTATTTCATGTATTGGCCATTAAAAGACTCGTCTAAAACGTTATATGATTTTCTCATTATTAATCCAGATTCACTTAATAACTTGATTCTGGCAATACAATTTGCTGAAATATTGTTTTATGTTTTGCATAATTAATGAGCAATTTTGCATACTCTTTTTTTATGAACAAAAATGTAAAATTCATCGTAAATATCTTGTTTCAGGAAAGCTGTCGTTTTGTACATACTGCTATCAGTATTATGCAAGGTATTGGCAAGTGTATCGAAGCAATGGGTGATATGGAAGCATGGAATAACGCTAAGAAAGAATTACATAAAAGTCATATGCCATACACTGCGGAAAATAAGGCAGAGTTAATCAAGCATTATGGGGTAAGTAATGGTACTACTATAAATTTGGAAGTTTAGGATTCTTATTCAAAAAGTTTTCAAATTAAAATATTAATTTTACTTACTCTAATAATGTGAATTCAGACAAAAAATGTACTTTGTTACACAGATATGGCACAGGACTTTTTATGACACGATGGCACAATTGATGGCAGAAAACAAAGTTCCTGCTCTTGCATTCGCTCTGCGATCCTTCAACTTTGATCTCTCACCCCAACCTATGGGTATTCTTGGAGATCCCAGAGGTTTGTAATAATTATTTCAATTTTTATCTTCCTGGAAAAAGTTTGACAGATATTGAGAGATATTTAACCGCGCTGAAATTGTCTTGTTAGGTTTTTTTTATATCCTGTTCAAGTTTTTGTGGCACTTTGCACTCTTTAGTAAAAATTTTCACACATTATATCTTTTATCCCAGAGCCTATAGAACCTCATGAATCCTGGGCGAATCGAACTCCCACTGAAGACGAACTAAAAGCAATAAAAAAAATACAAGGGCATTGGAGAGGAGCTTTAGCTCGTAGAATGAGACGGGTTATAACACGAAAAGACTCAACTGAACATCTCACTGCAAAAGATGTTTTGAACACTGCTTGGCAAATTATACAGCCAAATTTGGAACCTATTGGATTGAAATTATTGAGGTATATAGCCAAATACAGGGTTTCCAAAATTTTTCGCTCGATTTTATAATGATAGCAATTAAAAAAATTTTGTCTTTGTTTATTAATAGCTCTTATTGTTGTTGTTTCGTTATTTATCATACAATGAAATTTATTTAAACTTTCAATTGTTATTACTATAAAAACGAAATGGAATCTCGAATACTTGGAAGATATTATTTAAATTCAATATTTATACGATATAATTGTATGTGGCTTTTAATTGTAGTTGATCCTTCAGACATATAAGTTACTGGAAACATAGAATCTATCACTCAGTTCGCTGAGTTATCACACACAATAGGAACTGTGTTTCATCAATAACTCACTAGGAAGAGAATTACATAATGAAAATTGAGTGATTCTCTTCAAAACGCGATTCAAAGTTTTTGTCTGAACCGGTTCAAATGATTTATGAAGTTCGAATGAAGGGGAGTCGTTAAGGAGTATTTTTACTCTAATTTTGATATTTCCACCTTATACCTCCTAAAATGTGTAATAACAAACACCTCATCCTATCCTATCATATTGTTCTTTATAGGTCAATGCTCAAGGAAGATCCATCTCTCCTTGAAAAATATCCATTTCACAAAGATGAATGGAACAAAATCAGTTACGCTGACTTTGCTGGAACCTATGATGACCAACCACCTAACACTTGGTTTGTTATGTTCAGGTAAGATCCAGGATTTCAATAATTTTATATTTCACAAAACATTTTAGGGATAGGATAAGATTTACATGGTTATCTCAGGGAAGAGGAAAGTTGAATAGGCGGTTTAATTATATGGCGTACCGCGGCTTCTTGTCTGGTTACCAGTCCATGTTGGATATGGAATTAGTCAGCCAGTTATTTGTTTCAGATGTATGGACTTAATGGTGAAGGAAGCTGTAACCAACATAGGTTACGTCACCGTCAGGAGGATTCCTTTTGTACATTTATATTCCCCACAAGATTCGAACATGCGAACCCGTGCAGGGTAATCAGAAGCTCGGTGGCAAGCACAATCCCAACGCTTACATTCCATGCTTGAAAATATTTGAAGATCTATTTAGAATGCTATCAGCCTTGAGCCCAAAATCTGTCTGCTGTACTAGTTATGAAAGTAAATCTAAAATCACCTAATTGTTTTTCAGGGAAATATTTACTGTTGAAGAAGATATGCTTTGTGTGCCAAAATTATATACTCCATTACGAACATGCTCACTACGAGTTGTTGACAATGACACTGGGACTGAAATTATGAGAGTGTTTCAAAAAGTGGCTCCACATATTTATCAGAAAAACAAAGTTTGTCATTGTTTGGAAATTTTTTTTTTTGCTCACTTTTTTAGAAATCCTTCCTATATTCATTCAGTTCACAACTTCACGGTATGAAATATTCGGAAAATCTACCGTTTTATTTATGTTGGGTTTTATATTGATCTCGAGAAGACGAAACAGCTTAATCATGTGACAAACCACCTGTCATCTGTGTCGGGTATCAGAATAGTTCGATAGCTATTTGTTTCAGATGCATGGACGTAATAGTGGAGAAAGCAGTAACTGACCAGCTATTACGTGAATCACTCTCGTACGACAGCGAGAAGTCTAGCAATACTCTCTTATGTAATTATCCCTCCCTGGATTCAAACCTGCGAAGGGTAGTTGAAGATACGATGGAAAGTGTATTTCCTCACGCTTAGTATGCCAACTGCCGAGTTGACAATTCAAACAAATATCTTTCTTTCTATTTTACATAATGATCTCTATATACAAGGGGTTCTCCCCCCCCCTTTTTTAGAAATTTTCAAGTCTTGCGCCCCACAAATTCTCTGGTAAACAAATTGCGCATCTATGAATTCCTAAGATCCAAGATCGTAAACATGTAGATGGTGGTTTAGATGGTTCTAGAATCTGTGAACTAACAGCACGAAATTGAAATCTCAAACATTCTCTACGCTAAGGATTGTTGGGCGCGCCTCACCGTTTGAGAACCACTGCTCTATTCGTTATTTGTTTTGTTTCAGAGAGGATACACTTTTATCTGCGAGGCAAGATCATTGGAAACTCCCATTGTTGGTGGGAAATGGAGACTGCGATTGATTGGTTCATCTAGTCCTCTACCTCAGCCAATGAGTGGACAAGTAAATTATCACTTCAAAGTGAAAGACAACAATGGATATTATGTTCCAAATGAAAAGAACATCATTTTAAGGTGACTTTGCATAAGAATTTTAATTTGAAAACTTCAGGTAAATCATGGTTCGATTGTGAGTGTGTTCAAATAATTTGCCAAACGATTTACCATTCATTGGGGAAAATATAGTAACAAGTAACAAAATTTTGTTTTTTGATGATTAACTGCAATATTTATTATACATCCAGCAACTAGAGATGAATAAAAGGCTTGACGGTGTGGTGATCGTGCTAAGCGTTAGAAGTATGCCTGCCACCGCACCTTTGATTACCCTGTGTGGGTTCCCAGGTGTGAATCTTGTAGGGGATAGCTATGTACACTTCGTCGCCATAGAGGGGTTCATGTAGCTGCTTGTCGGTTACGACTTCCTCTACCATCAAGTCCATGCATTTGAAATAAATAACTAGCTTACTAATCCCATACTTGACATGGACTGGTAATCAGACGAGAGGCTGTGGTTCGCTATATGATTAACCCATCTTATGGACTTTCCTCTCCCCCGCGGTAAATATATAAATCCTATCCTATACTCAAATTGATAAATATCATTTTTTTTACTTTATACTTATGCAAAGCTTCCAAAAATTGGCATAAATTACAATTTTATTGCATTAAGTACTAGGGATGGGCCGGGATTCGGATCCGGACTCGGATTCGAGTCGAATCCAGGCATTTTTTGGACTCGGATTCGATTTCGAGTCCACGTCGTTTTTACCGAGTCTATAATCAATTCTGTTTTTACTAATTTACGCCTTTGCTCGTACTTTTACCCCTATGAATCTCACTACATACCTTAACTAATTAAAATTCGAGGTCAAATATGTAACAATATCACTCATGTGTATTATAAACACTCGTAATAAAAACGACGACAGATATCCAGATAATATAACTTAAGTTAAAAATTATTGATAGCTTATAACAATGATGCGCCAGTCACCTTCAAACTATCTATCCTTTTTGGTATACATGTGCTACACAATAAAATATGTGTTAGCGCAATATTTTTGAGTTTTCGATTTGCGTAAATAAATATGAAAGATGCGCAGATTCAACCCAAGGGGGAATTTCATCAATACCTCTTTTAAATCGAGTTTATTACGTGCAATCCTTTTCTCTAAAAATGGAGCAAATGGAATGCATGGAGCGTTTTAGAACGTTTTCTTGAACTACTGAATTGCAAGCATTGTATTGACGACGAGTGGCATCTCTCTACCATTTACACACGCGACATAGTAAATTTAGGGCTAGAAATATTTGGAATTATGGGAAAGCATTGTAGTCAAAAGCTTTTTATTTTCATTTTATCATATTGACATGTAAGAATTTCTAAGAAGCCGCCCAGAATTGAAGCAAGGTGGTGGGCTGGAGATCCAGTTCACAGCCGAGGCGCACATTGACCCACATTTACGTTTGTAATATGGCCGCCAAAAAAGAAGAAAAATATATTTTTAAATTGATCAAACAGCTATCTGCGGAACCTTTAGACAAAAAATATGAGCTACAACGTATGTTTGTGAGCGCGCGATGCTGTAGTATGGTCAAAAACGTGTTTTTCTACTTTTACATTGTGACGTCACGGACTCGAAGGATTCGACTCGAGTCCTTGACCTATTACTCGGATTCGTCGAATCTCTGTAATGTCGGACTCGTCCCATCCCTATTAAGTACATGAGGTTTCAATTTTTCATTAAATGAATATTCATTTCAGACACCATGTCAAAACTAAATCAGATATGATTGGAACCATACAACTACAAACTGCAAAACCAGATGTTTATGTGAAACTTCAGGTACTTTTACCTTTTATTGTGTTTTTTCATTACTTTCTCCATCCAGCTATAATGGTGTTGCAATCATAGATTTTGACTTCAACTTTTAGTAAAATTAGTGGTCTGTTCTTGCTTAGTTTTCTTCAAGAGTGCTGCAAATCAGGTAGGCTATTTCAAACCTATTGAAGAAAAATAATTATTTAAACTCTACATAGCCATGCATAAAGCGAAAGTGCAAAGTCACGCAAAAGAAAGCTTATTCTGTTTAATAAATGGGTTTTTAAATAAGATCCTGTACAACATCCACTGTGATGTAGGGGGCTTTTATGTTTTGGTACCGTTATCTTTCTGCTTCACCTTTATGTACCAAATTTGTTACACCCTGGATGACGTGTTGGGGGATGGGACTTGGACACAAAATGTTTGACCTTCAGTGTCAATATCGTTAGTTTAACACGTTAAATTGTCTTTGCAACTCACTGCATATTTTTTATGAAACCCTCATTTTGATGTGTCCTAGCAACTCTTTGAACATACAAATGATACTTTAATTCACCTGAATATGATATTTCCTCTGCTTTTTATGTACGTAATATAAGAATTACTATTAGTCCTGTTTACCTTACATGGGATGAATGGTGGTCTTAAAATATTTTCAAGGTTCTTGACCATGAAGTTGAAATTGCAAGTGCACAGGGCAAAGGTCATTGCGTTATTCCAGCATTTTATTTCCTGAGTGATGAAAAATCAGATGACAGAGCTTCCAGTAGATTGTGTGAGTTTCGGTTCGGGTGATCAATTTTGGTCTCTCTCATGTTGGTTATTGTTTTTCTGATTTTTATATTTTATCTCAATACTTTTCTGTGCTATTAATTTCTATAGGACCATTTCATCATACATCATAGTTAGATTTTCTATTTCCTTATATTGGGGAATGCATTTGAATTATCGAACTCGAACTGAAAAATTTACGCAGGGACGTGCCATCGTAACTATCAGTTGGACTTACACAAAAATAACTACCTTTCATTGCAATCCGTATGCTTATAAGTTATAATGAAGGATGCTTTAGCAAAAAAAAAAAGGATTAATATTCTATTTGATTCAAGAGTCTGTCTGCACACTAACACAAATGTATTTCTGTAACATTTTGTCTGAAGGACGTCCCTTCTTGAATCAAACAGAGACATGCCATGTTGCCACATTATTAAGTTATTTCACCTGCCTTATCCCTTTTTGAAAATAAATTTTGAATATTATTCTACTGTTTGTGATGATTTTTACCTACTGTCATCTCTGGATCCTAATTGTAATAGTAACAATTTTAACATTTTTATATAATACATACTATCTACAACTACAGCTCACCAAGAAAGCAAGGCTCTTGTTAACCAACCAAGCAAACTAGGAATCTCTGGAAAGAAAAGAACTGGTTCAGCCAAAAGTAAAGATGGAAAACCAGCCAGCCCAGTATGTGAACAAAAAGTCTTTTCTAACATATTTTGATATTTTGATGTTATTCACTGTTCGATCAATGTTCAATTGTGTCATTGTGGATATACATCGTCTTTATCAGACACAAAGTGTAGCCTACATATGGATCGTTTTGTTATTATGGTGTTGTTGTTATTAGAATTTGTTTGATTGTTGTCATGAAAAAATTGCTTTTTTCATTAACTACTGGACTTTTTGTGTGAGATGACATCATCAAAATTAAAAAATTTTGCGGTGGTTTCGCATTCGCTTTAGCAATATGGTGGCCAGGCAAAGTCAAGGAAACTGTGGTACCGGTGGTAGTCTACTGTGACAAATCGCCTCCGTGTTCATATATTTGAGCGTCGCTTTCTTGTGTATCATTTTGGGCGCTCCAGAAGCGTGTGTATTTGCCTAATTTTGTTTGCCTACTTTACATCAAGTTGTATAATTTACATGGCTAACACAGACAGTCCCGAGAACTCGTAATAGAACTAAAATAAGAGAAATCGAAATAAAATTATGACCTAGCCCTAACCTGGTACACATACTACGGGAGTACCCCATTAGTCATAGTGTCTTGAAATTATTTATTTAAACATGGTACAGGCCCTCATTATATTTCATTTATATATTTGTAATCATGCTTGTTTGTTACTGATTGGTGTGAATGTAGAAACAGATGGATTATATTTATTTATTGATATCAACTTACACTGATTGATTATTTCCTGTCTATTTTAAACTAACATGGTACAGCCTTTAATGCACATCCTGTCTACAAAGGAAGAGAGCAATGCCCAATTATATGCACCTGGTACATAATTACCAGTGTGTCTGTTTCCTGAATGTGTGTGCTTGCTGAAATCAATTGATGAAAAATGGCGAGCCTTTTGGAAAATAGATAAAAGTATTAGATTTCTATGAGATTAATCAAGTTAACAACAATTAACAAACTCAACAACAATGGCAACATATAAGCAAGATGCCTATTACGATGCCTATTAAGCAAGATGCCTATGATATTCTGCCCCAAAAATTCACGGCTCACATGAACACATAAGATAATTCATATCAATTCCAGTATTTTTCTTGCTTCACCCAGAATCAGTATTGGACAAGAAGTATTGATCATTTTGTTATTATGTTGTTGTTGTTAAAATTCATTTTCTTGTTATGAAAGAATCGCTTTTCTCATTACCGACCAATTGCTATCAAATTTTCTGAGCATCACTCTCTTGTTTGTTTATAGAAATATTTTTATTTTTATTAATTATTTTTTTATTCTCAGAAACAAAGTCGCAAGGATTCTGCAGATGCAGAAAAGCTTAGTATTTCAAAACCAGATGGTACGAGTGTTGGATCGGAAGATATTGGAGCTGAATCTGTCATCGTAAGTTTAAAATCATTGTAGTGATGATGAAATATTAATTTGAAAACAGTTATTTTAAAGCAATTGAGTTTTAGTAAATATTGTTTGAAAATCACTGAGATTTCACTCAGAGGTAAAAGAAACTCACTCATATATTACCTCACTTTTTTAGTATGTTATTTGTAAGTGAGATAACCTGGTAATTGGCATTTTAGACATAACTACATTGTTGACGTAATAGGCTAGGATTTACAAATTTATCTCGGAGGAGAGGAAAGCCACTACGACATCTTAATCATATGGTGATTGGTGAACCAGGGCCTCTTGTCCGGTTAACAGTCTATGTCCGGTATGGGATCAGTTTGTCAGTTAGATGCATGGACTTAATGGTGGAGGAAGCCATCACCGTAACCGTTACATGAACCACACTATGATGATGAGGAGTTCAGCAATTTTCTTGCACATAATTATCCGCAGAAGGATTTGAACCTGTGAACCCACACAAGGTATCAGAGGTGCGGTAGCTGGCGTATTCCTAACGTTTATCACAATGCGCCACACCGCCGAGCAAACATACTTGCATAATAATCCACTATCCTTACTATAATATACCGGTACTACTTTTATTACCATAATTCATGAGGAAAGGTTTAATTATATTATGCATAATTATATTCTCTAGCCTCACAAATACACTATTCAAGCAATAGTAGAAAGAAATAGCTGGCCTCTGCCTGAATCTCAATGGGCATTCGTACAAAAACTACGAGAGCAAGAAAAAGAAGAAATCAAAGTATATACAGGTAGAAGTGTGCTGGCATCAGTATGATTGTTGTGTTGCTGTAAAAAAAATTTGTAAATTTAATTCTGTGTTACTTTAATTTGTTGTGTGTTATAGGTAATTACAATTAATTTGATAGTGCTAAGTTTAATTCTGAATTGATTTACTCTGTAAAATATTGATTTTAATGATTATTTTGATTAGCATATTTTGCTTAGCTACAAAAAAATTGGCAATAATAATGTTTTTTTCAATTATTTATACAATTTATACAATCAATCTTTTTTTCTTGCTCTAAATTCACAGGAAAAAGAAAAATCTCTGTAGCAAAAAAATGTAATTCCTTTATTTGAATGTTACAGCTTCTTAGTTGATAATTTTTGTTTCTAATATTACCTTAGGGACTCTCTCTTTTGGTCATCAATGACCCATATAGAATATCCTTTGTTTTGTCACAATAGAGCCATATAACAATCAAGTAATGTTTCATCCTGTTTTGTACCTCTGACTAAAATAAATCTTTTTTATATCGATTCAATTTTTGTTTTAATTGACGCCAGAAATCTCTTGAATTCCTCTATCTTAACTGAAAAACTAAGCAATTTATTTGATCGTCAGCTTTGCAACGAAAGTGATCAACAAAAATTCTTTCATTTAAAATCAAAATGAATCTGTTGGGGATTTACAAACATCCCCCCCCCCCCCAATAAAATAAATCACTTACTGGTCTAAATTAAAATAGTAAGAAAAACAAAAACCAAACACAAAAACCAATACCTTGTGCAATATAAAAGCTGGTGTTGCTAATTTTCATTTATTTTTTCAATCTTTATTTTGAGTTTAATCATTTTTCGTTATTTTTCTTTGTTTTCTGTACTTTCTTTATCTTTTTCTCTGTGTGTTTACAAATCCCTGTAATATTTATGATTCGCAAAATTCCTTCCACACTCAACTTTTTATTGCGGCAATCTGGAATGTTTCTTAACATACTAACTGGATTGTGACATCATACTAATTGCATGACAACAACATATTCATAATGAATAACAATACCATATTTTGAAAAACTTTTATTTTTTCATTTCTCTGCCTTTTTTTCACGGTGAAACTTTTTATCTTTGCGCTCTACCTGGATTTAATCCTTTTTTCGATCTTGTGAATTAAATATTTTTCTTTTTTATTCTTTCTTTATCCTATATCATTATTGCCTATATACTTGTTTACTATTTTCTTTGTCTATTTCTCTCTTTCACTCAATCTAATCAACTTACTTCATATAATTTCAAACTTTCAAAACATTAATTTTCTTCTATTCATCTATCTATTCATCTAATCTAATCTTTTACTTGCTGTAGCTCAATTTAATTCAAATCATTGTTCATGGTGCATTCATCATTCTATTTTTAACGGTGATTTCACATATTTCCCTATTTCTCATTAACATTAATATTGCATGATTTGAATCTGGGACATCTTTGAATGCAATTTTTTTTTTTTATAATTTTTTTTTAAATTTTTATGTATAATATAAATATCATTGTTTGCATGGTTTTGCATGACTTCAACTTTAATATGCATTTTTCTGTAAGCTGTACCTACAACTATTTAAAATATATGCATGTTATGGTATTTTTCTATTTGATAAACATAATTAATTGAACCAAAATATATTACCGGTATATAATTATTTATTCCACATTTACAAATGAAATCTATGTGATATAATTCACATAATGTCAACTTTGGGAATGTGGACTTGAATATGTTAAATGTTTCACATGACTTTATTAATGGAATTATTCATATGGCACATAAAAATCAAATTGATGTGATTATTTCACACATTGTGAACATGGTGTGTTTATGTTAAATGTTTCACATGCCCTTTAATGGAATTATTCATGTCACACATAAAATCAAATTAATGTGATTATTTCAAACATTGTGAACATTCAAAACTAGATTACTGGAATTTGGTTATGTGAATTTTCTACATAACTACTCACGTTTCATTTATGCATCCATTGCGTGATTTGCAATTTATGCATGCTTCCCTTATATACATAAATATATAAAAATATATTATTGCATGTTGGAATATATAGTGAATGAAAATAATGAGATAACATTCCGTTCTGAAAGTTTATCCGTTAAACCCAAACCAAATCAAAATAAAAGACGCTCAATAAAATGTAGTCTATCTCCTCGAACGTCCTTATCTCGATCTACATCCTCAATCCCAAATTTAGAAACTCGAACCGTATCTCGAAACAACCTACTCACTCCTGACTCTCCCAACAATACTCAAATAAAGTCTCCTAGAAATTCCTTATCGAAACGTAATCTTTCAAATTGGGGGGCCCAGGGCACCGGGGGTAACTTATTCTCCCATTCCTATCCTTCCTTAGCAAAACAAGATAGACCTGGATCCCCAAGTGCAAAGGTCGCTGGATCTGGCGGAAAAACATCAGCTGCTCCTGATAAAGGAAAGAAGGGAAAAGGGGATAAAGGAGCAAAAGAAAAGAAGACTCATGATAAGGAATCGGGTTCACGACCTCCATCTCAAGTTAGTATCAGTTTTAATATTGTTAGATTTTATGATCACATATTTGGTTTGAACAAGGCTTCAAACAAACATTCAGGATGGAATCGGATTTACATATTTATCCAAGGAGAGAGGAAAGTCAATAAGACGGCTTAATCCTATTGGCGAACCACAGCCTCTCCAGTTACTAGTCCATGCTTGGTATGGAATAAGTTTGCCAGTTATTTGTTTCAGATGCTAGGATTTTTTATGGTGTATCTATTATTATTATTCAATCAATTGATGTAAATAATAGTTTTTCTGGTAATAATAAGGATCCAGTCAATATTGCAAACAACTCCAAAAATCCTTTTGTACCAGATGATTATTTGTAGGTTTCATGAAACATAAACCTTCTTAACAATACATTACAACTATGTTATTAATGTGTAACACAATGAATTAATCCCAAACTGTATAATATGGTATAAACATATTTCATAAACAAAATTACTGCCTAATAACATAGGAGCAATGAGTCATGCTTAATTGTACGAAATGAATTGGTACCATTATCTCAAACATAAGATGTTGGTTGAACAAGAGTTTGCTAAATAATGAAATTTTTGAATATGGAATCTATTCTGAATTAATTTAACCTATATCACAGAGAGAGAAATTCATAATGCTGAAAGGGGTAGTTGTTTTATATTACATTTATCGGAAGTTCAATCAAATTTTATCCCGGTTGCTAGGTGCCAATATCTGAGAATGAACATTGTTTTATATTAATTTCTCTCTTCTGTATTTACCTGTTGTCTAATCAAACTAATTTCAGTCTGATTGCTAGAGGACAATAGCTTAAAATGATAAATTTTCATATGAAAATTGTGTAAATTTTTTCAAAAACTGAAATTGACTATATGGAACTTCCAATTAATACAAAATGTCTCTGTGCAGGGGTGCAAAACCTTGCGTCCCAGCGAAATTATCTTTATCTATAACTAAAAAAATCATGAAACCTATTTCTTCTAACAACAACATCAACGATTATTGAAACGATTCATTTGTGTTCAATAAAGATTTTGGTATATCGAACTATTTTCTACCAATGACTTTTCATTTGTAGGTTGTGTATGATAGTTCAAAACCATACTGGATTCTAAATGTTGTTGTTGATGATGAGAAAGCCGATGATGTTGAAGTTAAGAAAGACATTGATCGACAGGAACAAATTAAAGCTGAAAAAAGAGCTTGGGAAGCTCAACAACCTGGCAGAGCAGTTAAGGTGAAACTATCAATTTATTTTTGCTTTGCCTTCGGCGTTTTTGTAGTACCCTATGCTCTACTGTCATTCCTCTATTGTTATATGTTCAGTTCAATAAGGTTGATGTATATAGAATAAGAATGGCTAAATCATGTGGCGAACCACGGTCTCTAGCGTGGTTACATGTCCATGTCAGGTATGGGTATTATTGAACAGTTGTTTCTTTCAGATGCATGGACCTGATGGTCGAAGAAGCCGTAATCGACCAGCGGTTACGTGATCCACTCTATGGCAACAAGTAGTCCAGCAATCCTCTCGCACATAATTATCCCTCATGGAATTCAAAACCTGGGCAGTGTAGCAGAAGTGCGACGGCGAGTGTATTCCCAATGCTTAGCATGGTGTGCCAACTTTTAAGCCTGTCTTGGGAGATGTCATTTTAGTCAAAGTGAAAATAATTAAATAGTCAAGCTGCTATGGAAAAAGATTCTCTTCAAGAATATTTGTTTTTTGGAGTTCTTTTATACCATAACCTTTGTTATAAGAAATTTACACAAAAATATCATTTTTCTAAAAATCCATTTTCCTAAAAAAAGTGATCTATTTTTCTATTCTGTTCAAGCTGTATTGATCACAATAAATCATTTTTTTGTATTGAGAAAATACTCAGCCAGCCCCGTTCTGTTACTCGTGGTTATCTCAACGGTGCTCGGAGTCTCTTTTTTGTAACATATTTGTTTTTGGATGTAATCTTTTTAATTGGATATATATTGTTCAAATTATTTTTATTCAACCTGTATCAAAGTTGGACTTTTTTCACAGGTGTCACTGCTCGATAACCGACTTTAGTTTTTTTGCGCCACCCTTAAACGTGAAATGCCATTTGTATTGGGTTTTCTCCTAGCTTTTGTTAGCATCAAGTGTATTTTCATTTTGGTGAAAAATAAACTACTGACTGACTAACTGTTCATATCAATTACCGATATATACGTTATATACAGGCATTACAAGCACGTTTAGCATATCTTGAAAAATCAACCAAAAAGGTTGAAAAAGATTCAGATAAAGAAAATGAAGAGGAGGGAATGAAATCTGAGGGTGCGTATTTAAAAACCACTCATATTGTGTCACTCAGCATCATTAATGTATTTGAAATTCCGACTATCGACGGACCAAACAAAAATGAACAGAAGATATTGGAAATAGAGGATTTTTTCAACACATACGCTTATGATTTCCATTATTATTCTTCCCGTAGAGTTTGAATTCTTTGAGTGTGATTGAGCTTTTTAGACTATAATCAGGATTTTTCTCTGATTTATACCTGATTCCAAGTTTTATTCTAGTAAATTAACACAGTGATTTCTCACTTAACGCTAGGTTGGACTTATTCCCAATCCTCACTCACATGATTTTTCACTTCTACATAGTAAGCACTTGCCCGATCATGTCTCAACCAAAGATAAACCATATCTAAAATCTTCGTTTTTTCAAAGATGAGCATGATTAGATAAAAATGTTGAAAAATAAAATATTATCGATTTTTTGTTTTTCTCCTTTTTTCTTTATATTTTTCAGATTTGGAAAACACTGCCTTAGAGTAGTTTTAGTGATTAGAAAATTCACACTTAATTTACTAATTTTTAAAGACTTAGATATACTCTAATTGTGAAGAATCACTGCTTTCTTCAATGTTTAGCTTTGCAAAAATTGTAATATTACTAATTTCTTTTAGCTTTAGATTATACTATTGTATCTTGAAATCACGATAACCTGAATCCACATACGGTAAATTTTCTTCATATCTGTAGTAATATTTGCTCATGTTGGACTAGCAACTAGCATAATTTACAATTGATAAGAGATCATCATATTGTAGTTCATCATACAATGTTTGGCAATGCGGAATTTTGAAACTTTCGTTATACTTTCGTCATTCTGCTTTTTGCGTACTTACAAACTCAAATTTCAAAAATGACCTGATTATTTTTGACATCTATTGTACTCATACAAAATAATTTTCTGGTGTTTTTGTTGAACAACTCATTGATATGAATATTTATAACATGGTTTTTCAACAATCACTGTGAAATTAATCTGGATTTTTTCCTGGAGTATTTTTGTATATCAAAAAATTCATAAAATTGAATGTAAAATATCTAATTTAGCCTGATTTGCTGCTTTCGCTGTAAAATTATTGAATATTATCATTGATATTTCACGAAATTTAGATTATGTGATGGTTTTGTCGCAAAATGAATGCAAAATAATTTTACCTTATGATTGAATTAACGTACATTAACATTCTTAAACTCCATTAACCACAGTAACAATTTTTCATAACTACTAATTTTTCATTCTACAGTCAACTATGTTTAATGAACATTAGTTTAGCCATTCCATACAGTAAACATTAACATTTGGTTTGCCATAAGTTGACTTTTTCCAATATGAAAATTCGCGCAAACAATTATGAAAGCTAAACGCACAGTAATATATGATAGTGTATTATTGAGAAAATATATTTTATTTATATTTTATTATTATATTTATTTATATCTTCTATTTTGACCAAAGATAATTCGAACATGATTTCAAGGAACATCAATCTTATAATATATAAATCATTAATCAAGCATGATCTTTTGTAGCGCACACATTACACCTGTCATCAGCAATTAGTAGCTTGCATTCTGATATAATAATGTTGATTTTAATTATCCTTTGTTGTAAGTTATGTCTTTATTGTTGTTAGCAATTGTTAGCAATCATTAAAATAGTCACTAAAGGCAGGCAGCCCACTTCTCATGAATATACATCCCATCTCGCTAAATAAGGACTCCAGAAAATTGAAAAGGTAATTTCTTCCAAGCACAAATGCAGGTATTGTTTTTGAAAAATGAAACTTACTGATCTGTATATGAGGACTGCAATTATGTCCTGTTATTTTTCAAGCTAATTTTTTCATTTGCTCAAAGACTTTAGAACATTGAATTAAATATTCTTACCACAGAGAAAGGAAAGCCTAAAAAAAACTTAATTATAAACGAAGCCATCTTCTTTTAATGTTTGGTTTTCAGTCAAATATAGTTGGGGGAGGAAGCTGTTGAGGGACCCAGCAATTCTTTAACCCATCGTCAATCATCGCGAATACCTAAATTGCGAGTACCTAAAATAGTGGAGCATAGTCATTGGAACTACCACTTCAGGATGCCTGCAAACGCAGGGTAATCAGAAGTGCGGTGCAAACGTATTGTAAACACTTAGCATGATGTAGCATACTGCCAGAAAACTCTGTGCCAATGGCGGTAAACCCACTTTTGATGACTAAATTTGATATTTTATTAGTGTTTTCTTTTAATAACCAAGAATTACATGTAACAGTTTTTTTTATTAGTGTTAAATTGTGAGAGTTTGAGTTGAACAGAACATCTTTTAGCTGTAGTCAGTGTAGTGCAAGTTTTATTTTCTTGATGTGCAATTGGCAGTATCAACCATTGCGACTCAAATCATCTATGTATATTTTTTGATGGTAATAATAATTCATTTTAAATACAGAACTGTCTGAAGTTGAACCGACTGAACCAAAAGATGAAGTTTTGACTCTTCATCCTCCACGACCTCCGACCCCAAAGATCATTCTCAATCCTTTGGATCTCACTCCCTATTATAGGTTTGGGTTATTATTATTTTATGAGGTGTTGACAGGCTTGAACCAGTGCTTGTAAGTGTGTGTATAAATGTACCACATCCAATCTTTATTTAACATATTCACCTGAAGACTTTGTTTTTAACCAACTTCATTGTATTCAATTTCTACCTGAATTTTGGAATTCATTTTTGTTTGCGTGGTTGATAGGTCAGACATTAATCTGGTGTCAAAGTTCAATGGGTTGGACCAAATAAGAAACAGTATATATTGTACTGGGTACATATAGAAATTCCAATTCTCCATTATTACAACATAATATATCGCTTTAAGCTTAGTGAGGGAGGAACATAAGCCACACAAAATTCAACTAAGACTGAATATTGAGATACTATTCTTGTGAAGTGAATTCTAATATGAGAAAACTTTGTGTTGATATTTCAGGCCAAAAATGAATGATGAAGTTTATACACAATACCTAGATGATGATGTTTCTACCGAAAAAGATCTGAAAGAAAAGAATATAGTGAACCAGTATGAAAAGTCAGTTTGAATTTTATATATTGCAAACTTTTCTGTTTCCCAGAGAGGATATGTCATTGTATGGTGTACTTGGTTATTTTTGCTTAGCTATCAATTTCATATATTCATATTCGAAAAGTATGCTTAAAAGATTTTTCAAAATATTAGGCTTGAAATTTTTATCATTCATTCATATCAATCATCTGCGATGATGTTGAAAAAAATATCTAAGTGTTTTTTTTTCTTTCCACCTAAGAACAATTTTGAAATGATAATTATATTAGACTAATATTAAAAACTCCTGAAAACTTTTAATTTCGTTAAATTCCATTTGATCCTTGTCATTTCTTTTGAAATGAAGTTCTTTTATGGCCGTGGGTAATGTTGGATTTTCTTGATTTTATTCGTTGAAATCAGTCATTTTATCATGGCATGACGTAACTGGCCAAGTGACTCCAATATTTTGTATATTGCAACAGACAAAAAGAAATAACAAGATTGTTCATCAGTATTCAGCAGAGTTTGTTTAGTCTTATTTTGAATGTGTTCAGTCATCATTCCAAAGTCTTAGGTCTTGAGTTTCAAGCTCAATTTTCCAATATCTTGTTATTAACATTTTAGAGAAAGGCAGGCTGTTATGGATTGGAGAGAGAAAGAAAGATGTGAGAGATATCAACTGAAAATAAATCAACTGAAGACTTTCCAAGAAATGCAGGTAAGTTTCTATAGATTGTATAAAAACAACAGTTTCATAGGATTATGAAATTTTTGTCTCATCATGAGTACCAATGGGCTATCTCTCTCATTTAGTGATGTTATATATACATATATGAAAAGGGATATTTACTGAAAGACACCAGAACTAGATAATGTATGATGACAATAAGAATGTTATCTTGTATGTTCTCTTCCTGTTTCCAATATTCGATTTTAAACTTGGAAAGAACCTATCTAAACACTGCACACTAAAAGCTTTATTCTTGCTACAGCATCCTTGCATTATACGCATATGGATCCACTTGCGCAAAGGCAGAGTGTATGGAAAAATAGTGTGTTTCACATAACTCCATGGATAGTTTTAAATAATTGTTGTTCGGATAAAAAAAAATTTTTGGCTTTAAACACTGGTTGAATAAAATAGTTAAATAACAAGTATATTTTTGAAGGCCATTACGTTCATTTCTGTTTTTGGGATCGTTGGGGGGAGATGTCTTGCTTCAAATTTCTACTCCACATGAGATAGGATTTTCGTATTTATTCCGGGGGAGAGATAAGCTGACGAGATGGCTATATGTCCCATCGTGGCCTTTCGTTACCAGTTCATGTCAGTTTTGAAATTGTTAGTTACCTATTTGTTTCAGATGCACGAACTTGACCAGTGGTCAACCTGAACCACCCTACATGGGTATGCCATTGGTTGATTTTTGTCAGCTGGCGTTAATTGATATCAACGATATTTTAGCTGTACCAACTTTGTATTCATATAATATTATATTTGAACATCCTCTCTTGTTTTCCCAATAAATTTCATTCCCGAGTATCTCACACTCACTTTCTTAAAATTGAGTTCAGTATATTCATGTCAGTGAGTTTTATATCTCCAACAGAACAAGCTAGACGATGCTCGTGCTGAGTTACGAAAACCTCGAGAAGCATATCGTCAAACTCTTCTTGAGGAAGAGCAGAGGAGAAAAGAGGAGGAGGAAGAAAAAGCTGCAGCTTTACTTGCAGCACAAGAAAACAACTCCGGGAGTGTTTCTCCGAAGGGAAAAAAGAGTGCTGGGAAAAAGAAAAAATAAATATTAGCAAAAATATATATTTTCATTTGTTCTTTGAATTTAATTTTTTGCACTTATATTTTTAGTTACTGTGCCCTTGATAATTTAATTATACGCTTCCATGTTTTAATTGATGATGAATTTCATTTTCTTTACTTGAGATTCGTCATTGTCTGAGCGCGGAAATGTATATTCCTCTTACCATGAATTTAAATAATTCCATAAAGCTCCTTTAGTAGTTGGTGATTGGTTCGGTTTTCTGATGTTATTTTTGCACATGATGTTATTTTTTAAAAAAGACATATTTTCGTATTTTATTGTGTTTTGCTTCGTCCAAACTATTACGTGGTAAGATGTTTGTTAGCGTATTGTTAAACACACACGTATACCTCTATGAGATTATGTAAAATCGTTAACTGGGATACAAATTCTGAAACACCAAGTATGTGTTGACCATAATAAGATGGTATTTGGTGACGATGGCTTCCATCATAAAACTGTCTTACTACGGCGCTAAAATTTTCATTGTGAAAATAAAGCCGCTTAGATGATTCAACTACAACTAACCGAATTCATGATACTCTGCACGGGTTCACAGTTTTGGAGTCTTCAAAGTGCGCGAATTCCCATCGTGCTTTCTACAATTTAGTTAAACTCAAATGTGGCAATTCAAAAAATTCGTCGAAAGCGCAACTCACTTTACGCGATTGGCATTGTTATGCGTCTGGCTGACATTTTTAGTTGTAATAATATATATGTCATGAGTTGACACGACGGAAACGTCCAGGCGTCAACAATTAGTATCATCTTTAGAATTGAAGGTAGGAAGCATATGTACGTTCCTCGTCGTTTTTGTAGAATTGACTCGTTCATAGTATACTTTATTGCGAATGAGAATTAAGTGTCAATAATACCCACATAGCGGAAACGGAGGATGCATGACGCGCATTTATATAGAGCACACGCGCCATGACAGCATGGTTCAAATTTCAGTCTACTGCAGCAGCTGCTTTTCTTGTGACTGGAGGAAGAATACGGACTTACTGCAGAAATAATGGCTAATAAATCTTTAGCTATCTCGGGATTTGTAGTAGCTTTAATCGCGACATTAGCTATTTGTGTTGGTCTAGCAACGCCGTCTTGGATTAGCACAGTTTTGAAGAAAATTGATATCACTTTAGGCATCTTTCAGATATGCGAGGCTGGATATGGGAACTCTGCTTGTAGCAGCATAGTAGGTAAGTTGAATTTTCAATTTAGCAATTCTCTACGTTTGTTGGATCTACCAGTACTTTTTCTCTCTGTCGCTATATTGAAATCAATCTTATCAGACTTACTTAAAAGATTTGTATGGGTAATATGGTGAATCGGGATTCAGAAGTGGCAAAATTATGGCTTAGATCATCATCTAAATAGCAAGACTTATATGAAGGGAGATTGCAGCCGACGCTACATGTTCACGCCGGATAATATAGTTGTAGATGCTCATAATCGGGTACATGACTGTTTCAAATCGATTTTGAGTCGAACAACCGGGACATGTGCTGCTGTTTATTGTGTCTGCGTGTGTTTTCAGAATAACTTGCGTGACAATGTTACAAAATAAATATGGCAACCGGTGGCATTCTTAAATCACAGCCTTAAGTAGAACCTTGGCTTGTGAACCCCTCGCTAACACCTTTTATTTTAAGTGGCGCCTCGCTTTTTTGTTGCTGTCACAACTACGTTACATTACAGTCAAGGTCACGTTTCTTCTGCGCGCATAAGCAATAATTAAAATCAGTGGAAACTGTGCACAGTAAGCACTGATATTTAAATGTGTACTTGTATTCTTATTATATATGTACAGAGTATGTATTCGGCGACAGCAATGACAACCTATATGCAATGTTACTTCCTCCGGCAATATTTACTGCCATCAAGGTCGTTCTTGGGACACTGATTGCGGCTATAATTCTCTCATTTATTGCACTGGTCTTACTGGGGCAACACGTATGCGGCGACAAAGAAGGCGGGAAACGGGGACCAGTCATCGGAGGAACATTCCTTCTGGTTTCAGGTAAACTTTGTTGGTGATTAATCGTAACTTCACCGAACTTTTTTTGGATTGTATTCAGTCTTGGTGCGGCGTAATCAGTTTAAAAAGAAGCCTTTAATAATCAATCACTTGACAAATGACAACAATACAATGGTATGATCATGATTATAGGATATGATGGCGCTAAATAGTCAGTGAAGATTGCGTCGCTGATTTCTTGCTAAAATGCATCTATTGATAATATTAGATTTTAGTGTATCCTAACCTTATTACACATTGCATTAGGTCTGATTTGCTCCGACTGTTTGATAGAACAAACCTCAAATGAGTTGAGCAACAGAAAGCTTCGACATGCCGTTCTATCTACATCAGTATTATGAAGTTATCTACTGAATACGAAATCCAAAATATGCCAATAAATTGTTGTAAAATAAAAAAATAATAAGGTAGAAATCAAATTGCTATTTGATAATAGATAATAATCTTACTATTTCAATTTTCATTATAGCTATTTTGAGCATTGCTGGAATTGCAAGCTTTATCGGGATATTACTCGCTGAAAGACAGAAGCAAAGTGGAAATATGGGAGCACTAGCAGGAATAAAACATCTCGTTATTTCAATGGGATACAGCTTTTGGCTTACTTGCGTTGGTGCTGTTTTTACCTTGATATCATCATCCCTAGCATTCTTTTCGTTGTAAATGGGTACCTTACACATAGGCTATGACCAACTGGTTTATATTCGCCAAAATTATCAATTTTTTATATTGAAATAACATAGAAAAAGTAAAAGAAAGCATAAAATTCGGGAATATATTCATGCATTACACAACACGTTCGTATGACAGATAGAAAAGACTTTTGATTAGACTTTGTGTTGCAATTATTCATTTTAATTATTATTTCCTATTTTACCTTTGAAAAGAATTTGTCAAAAATATTTTGTGGATGCCAACTGCTATAAAATTAAACAGTAATTAGTTCTGGGGATTGTATTGAAATGAATTGGCTATTTAAGCATTTTTTTCTCTTTGTTATATGAGAATGGACAATTGTTCATTTTCGAGTATTTGCATAATGATTTTACATAATGAACACGTCATGATAAAATAAACGATAAAACCAGGAACTCGAATGGTCCAAAGATGATCATATCTTTGTGACTTAATTGCTTTCAACTATCTGAAACTTGAAACACTTATATGCGTATATTTATCACGAGAAGAGACGAAAATAAAGTACATCCACTTCAAATGATGTAGAAATTAACCAAGGGCAAAAACAATATCAATATCTCCTGTACTAAATCTGCTGGGCCGAATGCAAGAAAAATAACCGAATGGGATTGGCTTGCGATTGGCGTTCGAACAAATAATGCGAAAATGGCCGTGCAGAAAGGTTGTTTCGCTTCCAGGATTAGATCAATCCAGAACACACAACGCTGAATTTGTGCTCTATAGTTCTTTTAAATTTTTTTTAAACGTGGGCTAGAAACGGCTAGAATAAAACCGAAGGGTGGAATTTGAACTATCTAAATATATAATAAATGTAGACTATCTATTGCCGCACACACAACATTTCACCTTTTTGATACGTTTTTAAAAAAACATGCCATTACACCAACCTGACGTCGTACAATGCCAGCTTAACAATTGGGCAATGTCATCAAGTCTTCTGGCACAGCTTGGAGGTGGGCATTTTGATGATTTACAATCTAAAAATGTCAACTTGAAAATAAAAACGCTACTTGAAGCTCCCATTGTCAAATGTTATTTATGACGATTAGAATGGCCAGTTGTCACTTTGGATGCAATTTAGCATGGGTATAACTGCTTTAGAGACAATTCAATGCTCCTTGAAGACGCGACTTTTATCAGAAATAAAAAGCGCGAGAGTAGTCGATCTCGTTCTAGCTATAAGAGACCCTTCTTCTTATCCCGTATTCGTTCTGTGTGTCTGACTGTAGCATCTAGACCAGTGTGCAATGAGAATACGTGCCAAAGTTTTTAAAATAATCTTGTCACATGCGACGGTAAGTTCGAATAATTGCCACGTGATAAGGGATAACTATTTACTCAGTACTGAAACAATTTAATGTCTAACCGAGTCCGTTCTCATGCCACGTTCGAGCTCATGGCGTGCGATATTGGGCATCGTGCCATGTGTTGTGCACCCTGGTCGGAACGGCTCGACCTATTTGGATGAATTTTCTCAGATGGGTTATGTTTTCACCCTGGCAATGTGCGTTTCAATAATCAATAATTTAATAATCCATACACTGAGGAAGCCTTAGGGATTTGAGTGAACATGTTTCAATTTTAGCCACAGATACCACTCATGCAAGGATGCCTACGAGACGCGCGGCTCCCATAATAAATTGACAGTTTCGGAAACCCGGTCTCTGTATCACGCTGCTGTTACACATCTACAATATTGCATGGAAGATAACAGATTGCTCGATTGGAATCTGGCAGTAATCAGTAACTCTACGAAGTTGCCTGGTTGGATCGCGCATCCATTTTCATGATACACTATTATCCGTTGGAAAACCCGAAGTGACGCGGGTCTCGGCGGGGATGCATCCTATAGGACAGGGCTACTCAACTGGCGGACCGCGGTCCGAATCCGGACCTTTCGAGTATTGGATTTGGACCGCACCTAATTATTTATTTTGGATCATTAGCCCCACTTTTTGAATTTCCTATTATAAAATGACTTTCATAGTTTCGAATATATACGAAAAGAACTATAACACCATAAACAATTTTAATTTGCTCCAATCATTAGTCGGTCGAGGAAGTGCTCGTTTAAGGATGCCGAAATATCATTTCTGGAAAGACCGGACCCAAATAATTTTGAAGTTTTGTTTGCGGACCTTCGATAAAAATAGTTGAGTAGCCCTGCTATAGGAGACCCATCAAACTGACTTGTTTTTCATTCCAGATAAAATTGCACTGATTTGTAACGGGTCGTATTTTGATCACAAAGTTACATGAACACTTCTTTATATTGAAAAATAAGAATATGTGATTGCAATTCAATTTAATATCGTTTTTTATTTTTATTTTTTCTAATGAATAAGTTCATAAAATCAAAAATGCATCATCATAATCGTCAACATCATCTTTGAGAATTGCTATTTTTGCCGCAACAAGAGAAGATACGAGACAGAGTCCACCAGAAATGCAACTAAGCACGAAACTATATCCTAGTGAGCTGTGCTTCAAGTATCCGCGGTTTGATTTTAATACACAGTATATTGCTATTCCCGACAGGATAAAAATAGCTGTAAAGTATAATAAACAATTATTTTAAAGTCGTAGGTTTATTAGGCAACGCCAAGTAGTTTTGCTTTACTCCAGGTGTCAATTTCCAAATTGAACGAATAATCAGAACAACAATATTACCAATCTTGGTTACCGCGCCTAAGAGTCAAGTATGGTGGCCCATCGTTGTCACGCGTAAAATTGAAAATAAAAATAAAAAATAAAATAAAAAACCGAAAATAAAAAAATTGTTGTAAAAAAACATAAAAATAATTGAAAAAAAAATTAAAATTAAAAAAAATAAAATAAATAGAAACGAATAAAAAAAAAAAATTAAATTAAAAAAAAAATTGAATAAAAAGAAAATAAAAAGGTTGACAACGATGGTCCGCCTCGTGGCCCATCGTTGTCAGGCGTTTTTATTTTTAGAAAATTTGCTTCTGCTTGGGACCAACGTTGTCAGGCATAATCCTACGCGCACAAATGTGTTCCCTGGGTTTCAAACTCACTACTGATTTTCTTGAGCAATATTCAATATGAAAATGTTCTATAAATTCTCCATGCTACAAGTTCTACAAGAAGTAATATATTTATAATAATGATAAGAGAATATAAAATTGAATACGAAAATTCGGAAAATTTGTTGTTACGTGTATACGGTAATTTAATTGGAGAATGCTGCTTAACTACTCAGTTGTCTGGACACTCGCGATGCCGGTACCGTACCGTCTTACCAAATACCGGTACCGGTAGTCGGTTATAGTCGCTTTGCGTCTGACCGTACCGGTAGCCATACAATCACTCATCATCTCCCATTCTTTCACTAGTGATTGCATGGGTACCGGTACGGTCAGACGATACCGTACCGGCATCGCACGAGTGTCTGAGCAGTTAAGCAGCATTTTCCAATTAAAGTACCTTCTACACGTAAAAACAAATTTTCGTATCCAATTCTATATTCTCTTATCCTTATTATAAATATATTGCTTGTGGTTGAACTTGTAGCATGGAGAATTTATAGAACATTTTCATGTTGAATTTATTGGATATTGCTCATGAAAATCAGTAGTGAGTTAGAAACCCAGGAAACACATTTGTGCGTGTAGGATTAAGCCTGACAACGTTGGTCCCAAGCAGCATCAAATTTTCCAAAAATAAAAACGCGTGACAACGATGGGCCATGAGGCGGACCATCGTTGTCAACCTTTTTATTTTCTTTCTATCCAATTTTTTTTTTTCAAATTTTTTTTTTTTTTTTTCAATTTTTTTTTTTAATTTTAATTTGTTTTTTCAATTTTTTTTGTTTGTTTTATTTTTCAATTTTTTTTTTAATTTCAATTTTTTTTTATAATTCTTTTTTTCAATTATTTTTATGTTTTTTCACAACTATTTTTTTTATTTTCGCTTTTTCATTTTATTTTTTCATTTTTTTTTAAATTTTACACGTGACAACGATGGGCCACCATAGTCAAGCCAAGTCGCTAAGTTATCAGAGTGTCTAGTCTTTCATAATTTCAGTGAATTTATAACACGATTTAAATCACTTCGAAATTGGGTGAATGTCGTTTGAGCCAGTGGTTCCCAACCGCCGGTCCGCGAAGCTTTTTTGCCGGTCCGCGGAAAATTTCATTTGGTTGTTTTTCTACCGTCTCAATCGCTTTACCGAAATCGATAAGACGCAGTTACCTTGGTTTATTACGCAATTTATCTTCCGCCGTCATATTGCTATGTGATAAGTGCGGTAGGCTATAGCCCGGCGACGTCTTGGCGCCGAGTAATCACACTTTTTACTTTTTCGGTTCCGATTCATCGCGAAGGCGCATCGTCAAATCTCGCAAGATTTAGAAACCTGAAAATCAGCATGCGTGATCTTTCCGTTAGCATGCTTTTCTTGATTAATAAGTCAAAGTTACGTTGGTTTCACCAACCCGATGAAATCTCTACTTTACAGTACAGATTTAATGAATAATCATTGTCACAATTCATTTTTGAGCTCTTTTGATAACGAATAGCCACCGCTAAGTAATCGAGCAATCAAACTGTTGTCCGAATTATCAACCAGTTACTTCTAGTTAATTGAAACGAAGCAAATAAATTTACTGTTAGTCGCTGCAGAGCTACGCGTTGCAAAACCTTTTTTGATGCCTCGTTTGCAATCCTGTATTGGAAACGAAACAGTAGCATATATACATGTTTTTTTTATGTGAGATGTGTGCCTTATTTATGCATGATGGGTGCCCAGCACTGCATTGTATTACGCAAATATATGTTATTATTTTATGTTCCCCCTATTTCAATTATTGGCCGCCATCATTTGATAGTTTTTCCTGATGTGAATTATTTTTTAAGTGTACCTTTTTTTCTAAAAGCATAGTGATTGCGCATTACGCAAATATATGTTATTATTTTCTGTTCCACTCATTTCAATTTTTGTCGGTCCGCGAGTACAGTTTATTTAATTTTACCGGTCCGCCAGGGTAGAAAGGTTCGGAACCACTGGTTTAAGCGTACATATGCGACAATGTGAGACAGATACCAATATACATTTCACGAGCTACTCTGCGACAATGTGAGACAGATACCAATATACATTTCACGAGCTACTCTATTGGGTTCCATTACATTTGAACCCACGACAATTGCACCTGCATGCCATTGCACCTATGGAATTTTTTTTTTGGTTTTACGGATATTTGTACCCATACTAACCTAACCCATGGGTTTTAGCACCCGCATATTGATTGAACCCGCGGATATACACATGGGTTCAAATGTACATGGGTTCAAATGTACGGTCACCACTCTATTGCCTGAGCTTCTCATCGGATGACTGGTGGAAATATCTTCACAGTTATGTTAATTTTTGCTGAAATATTTCGTTCTAGTTGTGTTTCATTTTGTTGAATGTGATGATTAAATGTATTTCATTAAAGGTATTTAATATTTAAAGAAGACAAATTCATCTATAAAAACTCATTTCAAACAGTATCTATATATATGATACTTACCGGCAGCAAGACATAACTCGATAGTTAATATACTATGGTTCTCCTTTCCGATCATCGTCCGAATAGTGAGTGTAATTGCGCAACAAAGTGAAATCGCAGAAACGACAAGAAGAACAGCGGTAAATGTTTCGTCAACTGTGAGTGCTAGCAAAATATCATATATATGTAATCGAATACAAGATCTTGGGAAACAATGGGGAATGACATGGGTTATATATATCCAGTGGTGGGATTCAAATTTTTTGTCAGCCGGTTCCATCACACAAATGTCATATTTTTCAGCCGATTCTGTTGTTTTTTCAGTAATGCCAACCGGTTCGCTGATCTCATAAAATTCCGTGAGACGGTTATATAGAACCGGTGCGAACCGGCTGAATCCCACTACTGGTTATACATCTAGTGGTGGGATTCAGTTACCGAGATCTCGGAATATATAGGGATTATCAGCGAACCAGTAATTTTTTTGTTTTAGACATTGAGTGTATCTATGTACTCCTTCCGTTACCTGTAGCGACATATCTGTGAAAAGTGCCCTCCAACGGTACACAGGAAAATTCATTTTCACATTCTTAAGCAATCGAAATTAAAGAATACAAGCGCACGATAGTTAAATGACCAGATGCAATTTTATTTATTAATAATATATTTTCTTTCTAGAATGCCAATCCATTAAACGCGTTGCATATTAGAGGTGGTATATATTATTGAATAAATTTTAAAATTTGAATAGCATTTTTACCATAACCTCATTACGTTTTAAGCCTCGCCTACAAGATCTTTTATGCGACGTTTTATATGCCTTCCACTTAAAATAAAGCTCAAGAATCCAATACTAGAAAGGAGATGTACTGTAATCCGGAAGAACCCCAGCCATTCCCTTCGGGCACTACCATTCCAATTTAATACACTCCGACTGGGCATTAGAAATGAATCCTTGGCTTTCAACCCGCGATGCTAACATAACTAGTCTAAAACGTTTAAGCATTAAGCCTAGGAGTAAACTTACGGAAATGTCGTTCAAAACTTTTACCTTTTCCGTAATAAATCTCTCCAACATAAATCAAGAAGATTCCATTACACGTCCACGTCGTTATTCCATTTGCATCGATTGTCGTAACCAACCAGCCTGGTGTTGCTAACGCTACAACATCCAAAACCAAGGCCAATGATAAAACAAAAATTAAAATATTACCGTATAATTTCTTCATTGTTTTTTTATTGTCTCAGATATAATATAGATTCTGAAAAGTAGCTCTTTTGTATAATTTCTTCAATATTAACGTACACTTTAAAAATGTTTTCATTTTTTCTATATACATGTATACAAACGTATACCGGTAAACTTCTTCCGTGGGAGTGCTTTACGCAATTTGCTTACCCGTATACGCTGCTCTAGTTTACAACAATACATATCTAATTTACAATCTTTACTGAAACGCTGAAGACAGCCATACTGCCATAGATTGCCTTCCGTACGTAACATTTGGAGATAAACCCTCATATCAATAAAGTTAGCGGAACCGCATTCAATATTTAATGCGCTAGGTCGTAAAATCGATCAGTAGGTTATTGTTTCTTAGTTTAAAACTCAGAGAATGAACAACATATGGTCAATCGTTATCATTTGTGATTAATATTGATATTTCCACGACACTCGATAAAAATACTGTGATATTGAAACGGAACTTTATTAAAGAAAAATTGGTGAATACTGTTCATGTCTAACTGTTATATAAAAGCAAAACCTCAATTCAATTTTTGTGTCACAAAATTCTATATTTTTTCTCTTTGATAATTTTCGCATCTGAATCATTTTGATGAAGTTATACGTCTGAGTAAATAATTGGTCATTTTACACGTGAATTTCAATATAAAATTTGATTCCTGCCCTTGCACTTGGTAAGGCCAACTTTTTCCGCGGCCCCCTTGAACTGAAATAAAAATAAAGTGAAATTATTGATACCGATAAGTTTCATATTCTCGCAGAAAAGATCGAATCTTGACTTTATTTCGATGATGGTGGGTTTTAGTACCGATTCCAAATCTTTCAAATTCGATCGATATTTTCTTTTAGCATAGGTTAGTGTCAAGAGAGATTTCACCGCGACCCGTTTTGATCCTTTTCGGCACCCTGTCTATCGGACCCTCTGTTTGAAGATCACTGGATCTTTTAATTATTCTCAAGATGACATTCATACACTTGTAAAAACAAATACCTGAAAAGCGTGCCTGCTAAAGACCAATTGACACTGGGTTAATCGTATCCTTTGGCTCACTTCCCGAATGTGATCATTCAGCGCTTCCTCGCGTACTAGTAAAGTGAATTCAATCTTTGAATTATTGACTTCAATAACGAAGATGAAAAAATGTTCAAAGCGTTTATCGATTACCTATATCGATCATATCGTCGTCGGATTTCAGTAAATTCTCGTCAGCTGTCTTTTCTGCCAAAGTCCCTCACCGGTAATTTTCAATCAGAGTATTTTAAATCATCCCTGTATATTCGAGCGTCGTCCATCTACGACGACAATTTGAAAAAGAGACTGATTTATGACACAAGCATGATACAAATCTTCTTTCTGACAACCTACCGATTGGTATTTTGATGAACATTTGGAAAAATAAACATGAACAAATTTTCAAATGTATCTTTACAATTTTACTCATTTGATTACAGCAATGATTATTTAGTCCATACATTTTTATATATAAGTTATATTATGAAGCTAAAAACTAGCTTCAAAACTTAATTCATAGGTCACTGCTAATCACAAAAGTAACGAGGGATCACCTCTGCTGTTCATTATGCAATAAATCGGCTAACGTACAATTTATAGAAGAAATCTTGTTCGATAAAACGAAAATACGAAATTCAAATACAATTTTGTTTGTTCGAATACGCTCTGGACAGAGTATGTTTTTATTAAAGAAAAAAAATTATTTTTTGATTCGATTCTCCGATTATGAAAGTATAAATTAACTTTATGAGAAAACTCATTCAGCGTGTTATCAATACACAATTATGTTTCTCATAATGTATGTTTTCTTTTTATGCACTTCAGAAGTTTCATGGATTGAATACAACTGCTGCTACAACAGCTTGCAAAGATTCTGTCGATGCGCCTCCTGTAACAAAAATGTGAATGTATGATAAATGATACAAACATGTAATAATATAACAATCGTTAAAAAAAACTCTGAAAAAGATTAAATACAAATAATAACCAAAACTAGATTTATTTTATTGAAATGTAAGTCCCACTTTGAAATTTTTTTGTAAGAAATACACTCGTAAACCACTGCAACCATCAATATTCTCTCATTTATTTTATAGTAATGTCACGGGTCATTTAACACAAATCATGACGTCAAACAAATGTCACGTGCCACGAGCCATCGTTTGGCCGACTCAGACTCCAGATTGCGCTTTGCATTTGGCAGCTCTCTTCTAGTTTAGGATTCAGGCCAAGGTAGGGATTGTATTTTTGACTTTTCGTTGCCGTCAGTGGATGTCCGCTTCAAGACACTCCAACACATTGCAAGTCAATGTCAGTAATATTAGACGAAGGGATTTAGGAATAAAGCCAGCTAACAAAGTCTTCACACCGGCCATCTCTGCCGGAACGTATTTGTCGCCCCCAAATATCATCGAGATAAAGGAAGTCACTCACTCCTACCATCTTTCTATGATATACATAAAGGAAACATTTCAACAAAGGTCATATTTTTTCGCGTTACGATAGGCGTACCTATGTTACATCCATCAGTAGTGCAGGTATAATTACAATTCTGGATTGTAATATTCCGAATCATTGTTGAAGAACATTCATTTCCGATGTCATAATAGGAACAACCTCTAGTTATTCTCCTAGGAATTCCAGGTATATTACCTAGAAATTACAAAATAAATATAGATTAAATGAGTATAATGAAAACGATAAATAGGGGGGAGAGAGATAAATGGAAAATCGAACAAAATAAGGCAACGTATAACAGAACATTGTGATAGAAGAACTAGAAAACGAAATCGAGGAAGACGAGAAAATATACCTTTCTGTATTCCATGTTCTTGTATAATGCAGTGGGTTTCATACGGAAAACTACAGGGTGCTGCAATGGGTGGATTTTCGCGGCATTGATCATAACCATCGTCGTCGTATTTGTTATTATATTTCTGAGAACTGCTGCAAGTTAGGCATTTTGGTCTCCCAGCTGGAATGAGTAAAAAAAATTTAATTCTTTATAACACAAGAGGTATATAACATTAAATTAGCATCAAAACAGTTTATAAAATTTGGCAATGGAGCATTCTTAGGTTATGTAGGCCTACAACGTATTATGAAAACGTACTACAGCGTATTATTTACAGATTATGTTTACCTCTACATACTTTTCAATAACAAAACTGAGGGCAGAAATACTTTATTGTAGTAATGCATAATTTCCCTATTAGTTGCTGCTGATTTTAGATACAATTCTCTCGTAGGAGTTTGAGCGTTTAATAGATGAGAATTTCAAGGTAAATTACACTCGACATTAAATAAACACTAAATTACACTGAGCTGCACCCTATTTCAGTGCGTATTGTTGCAACACCGAAGAAGAATATATATTATATCCATTCATTCAGGAAACCTGACCTACGTAACCTAAATTCTAACTTCTAAACTGTACGAATATGATCTGAACTTACGCCATCCAATGTTACAACCATCTTCTTGGCAAGTTTCACTACACGTAATTTTCTTAAAACTCATTGGTTCCACGTTTGATTCCGTGCATTGAGTAGGTATCGAAGAGTTGGCACATTCACGAACCACGCTAACTGCATGGTATGTAGGAGACGCTACAAATAATCAAGTAATAAAGTGAAAAAAACTTGAATTAACTTCATTTTTTTTATTCATTTTCAGTATTAGTAGCAAGCAATATCGGTCGCTACATTGTTATTATGTATCCAGTGGGCAATCGCTCCGAGTTTAAATATTGTCCGATTGATTAAATGATTCAGATAAGATAATGCGTAAGAAAGGATTCATGAGCTCATTGCCGCCACCACGTGGTTTACGTACCAGCTGCTGAGTTTCGGCTTGCTCCTCCATCAAAGTCCGTGATTTTGGAACGACCAAATCGCAGACTATTTATACCGGACTGTTATTTCAACGAGATGCAGTGGTTTGACATGCTATATAATAATAATATTTCAGTAGGCAAATTTCGGTATCAACGAATGAATGAGGCGAGCCGTTACCAGAATACTTTGTGTTCATATATTTGTGCGTCATTTTTTCGCTTTTTATTTCTATAGGGGTATATTTTAATGAGGGGTCCTACCTCTATGACGTAGGTCATTTTTTTCAGAAATCAGATAAGTAACCGTAGATTTACAGTAAGTCGAACCAGATGGACAAGCTTGCCTCACAGTTGCCGTGTTGCACGTACCAGCTCCAACAGAATCAGTACAAACAACACATTGGAGTGTCACCGCCTCGTTTCCGTTTATTATTCCGTCAGCTAAAATAAATAAATATGGAGGTGATTCTAAAGGCTTATCTTAAATGACCATTAAAGAAGTAATAATATCAAAAACAAAATAGAATCAATATTTTAAGTTGTCTTACACTCTGCTACTAGCATAGAAAAATTTTCACTGATTTTCATGATGTCAAATATACTATATTCACCTGTGCCAGTATTGCAACCGTCCGTATCACAAGTAGAATAGCAATTGAACTCAATATACCCGACAGAAGCGTCACTTATCGGAGAATCAGTGTGCACTTCGTTAAAAATGCACTCGTCAATAGCCTTAAAAGCGGACGTGCAGCCCCTCGTTATTGTAGATTTGACAATTGCAAATGCTGCAAAATAAGCGTTTCATGAATACTTCTGGCAAACAAACCTCATAAATAGTTTAATATAGTTAAAATTTCTTTATATATTTCGTTTTGTTGTTATGGACGGGGCCATTTAGAAAAATATCTATTTGGTATCTGTTCATTATGAAATTTCTATATAAAAATTCGAGTTCACAAAAAATTGTACGCAATTGAACTTTAAAACCTAAAAACGATATTTGAACAACGAAAATGTGGGTTTAGCGTACAGTTTAATTGAAAAGTTTGACTTAACTATCGTCTTATCGAGGTCTGGAGTTTTGACTATTTTCCTAAGAAGTTATAAAATCGACAAAAACCACAGTTCCAATACTAATAAGAAAAAAGCAGGTTTCAATATTCCCTATTACTGCAATCAGGTCAGCAGTATGTGAGGGCGTACCAAACTTTTCATTTGCCCAGGGCAAGTTTTGGATAATGATGTCCTTTTATACCTAACTTTGAAAATTAAATCGACAGATAAACAAATTATGAAACAAATTATGAATAAATTAAAGGTCAAGTAGCAGGAGAATGTTTGTATTATTGCGCTAAATCACGCAATGACCAGGCGATCACATTGGCAGCAAAGAGCAGTCGGTCATTGCTGCTTCACCATCACCGCAATCAGTCACACATGCCAGCTTTTACTTAGGTGAAAACGCATCGAGAAAAGCATGTGTAATAACGTGAACTCTACAGCTTGGATCTACTGCCCGCTACAACGTTCTGCCCAAGGTGGCTGCTTCCATAGCCTTCTCTGGGCGCCTGCTAGTCATTCACCTGAATCGTAAATAGTTGAATTTGTTGTCGAGCAATAGTATTCATATCCAGGACAAGTTGTGCTTGTTAAAGACGAAACACATCGACTTTCCGTTTCTGAGTTACATTGAACGCAGCTTCTTCTTACATTCGTATATACTCGTGCGGATGCATCTTAACGAAATTTTCAACCTGTTTACGTATTTATTTAATGTTCTAAAACATTTTAAATACACAGGGTCAATAATTGTCCCTCCAAGATTTTGTGTCTGCCCTCATATTGATAAGTGGGTCAATATAAAGTTTAATAAGAAGTATTGAATTTTTTCACATGCCGTTTTATCCTCTGATCCCGGAAGTTATAATCATCTATCTCATGGATGTTTCAACTTACAAATAATCAGTCAAGCAAGTAAAGAGAATAATAAAATTTTTAACATATTTTTATTGCATCATCTTACTTCTGTGTAGAAAGCGTATGATACGTATTACCGCAGTCATATTTTGGGGATATGATAGAAGTTGATTAACCCAATGTAAAACAAATTCTGAAAACATACATAAAAAAAAAACACGTAGTGTAATTTATCAGACATACAAAATGTAAAAATTAATCTAACTCGAGCAATCGAATCCAGCATATGGATAACTACAAACACATGTTCCGGTAATATAGTTACAACTTCCCTGTGAGGTTCCTAAATTACAGTCTGATGAACATTGCTTAAGAGAGCCTGAAATAATAAATGCATGTTTATCTAAATAGCTTACAAAATGTAGTCTTTAATACAAATTTGTAAAAAATCAAGATAGGAATACCCAAATATGTGTACACGAAAGCTAAAAACGAATTAGTATCAAATTGCAGATCGCGGCATGTCACAAGATGCACAATTTTTAACTTTGATGACGTCATCACGCGAAATTTCGAAATTTTAAAATGAAAAACGACGCCGAAGCGCCCACATTTTTTTTTTAAATAATAAAAATCAATAGCCTCCCAGCGAAAACAGCAATCTTTATCTACTGAGCATTTCAAAGCAATTGATTCAGTAGTTTTTACAACAACCAAAACCAAAACGTACCGCAGTCCAAATGACGTCGCCTGAACACTTACGCGATAGCGGATGACGCCATCGCACACCAAAAACAAATTCCAAACAGCCCATAAATATTTTTGAAATAAATAAAAGTATTAGCCTTCTAGCATAAAATAGTGAAATTTTGAAGCAATTGGGCCAGTAAATGAAGATGAAGCGATTTTTTCACAACAACATAAAGAATACTAACAACAACAACAATATAATAACAAAACGATCCATGCGTACATTTCGTGCCCAAAATAGAAACATCGACGTCAGGAGATTGAAGTATTTTTTTTCAATTTATATTACTGTAACAAAAACATTGCCTATTTATTATTTTAGGCCTAAGTCTCACCAACTACCACTTACTAGTCGTTATATTATTGCATTTGTCAGTTGTACAATGGTAATAACATGCAGTTGTAGATGTTGGGTTGCCACTTCCATCCAAAACGGTTGTACATTTGTTAGAAGATGGAACTGCGTCTGTATGAACATCTTCATCTGACGTACTAGCCATACAATAACGTTCAACACTAGTTGTTACTCCTTGATACGTACACAAAAAACATCAGTTATTTGATTATATCTGACAAAATCTACATTTATTGTTATTCTAAACTTTAAGATACATTTTGATAGCAAGTAACCATTTCTGAAAACCTATTTTATTATTTCTGCTAATATGACGTTTAAAAGGAAGCATACTGATTTATGAACAATTAAGTCCGAATGTTGGAATAATTTGAATGTTGAGATGTTTCTCCGAGCACCAGCACCGTTTACTTCCGTAACATTATCTAATCAGCGAAATGCAAAAAGTGACGTGACAATGGGAACTTTAGCAGCGGCTCAAATACTTTTGTCACCCAAAAGATTTTCAGGCATGTCTGTGAACATTGCCTCATTTTCGTAATTTTGCATGCTAATTGTCAGTTTTTTTAGTTGTCTTCGTGAATTTAAGTATAAATCTACTCAACTCAATTCGTCTTTATCAAAATGTTCTGTCGGCACTTGATAATGATAGGTGATAATATAGGTGATTGAATATTCAGAATCAAATTTGCTTTTGAAACATGTTAACTATTTTTTCATAGACACCCACTCACAATACCACTCCTAAAATTAGCATCAAAAGTTTTGCAATGGTAAAATATTGGAAGAACTTTCCCGGGGTTAGGTCGGGAAAACAACCATTATATTTAACATTGGTTAAGTTTTATCATGTTACGCGAAAGATTGGGCATATTTGTCAGTTTTTATGGCCAAGTGCAAAAAGTAATAAATATTCACGTAAAAAATAGCTTAGCTAATGCCTTTAATTTATAATCGTGGATGTTGATAATTCTAAATATTTGTTATAATTTATGTCAAATACGATAAAAAAATATATGATGTTATACCACCCACCATCTGTCACTACAAATTTTGTCCCACAATAATAAATAGTAGATCCAGAATCTGCAGTACAGGTAGCAGATGGAGTTGTTCCGGCCACTGCATTGAAACATATTTCAGCTGTTTCTCCGTCATAATTATCATCATAGCAACTATAACATTCTAAACCTGGAAGAGGTAATTCAACATAAACTTTGCGGTTCCTTGCTTAAAGGCAGTTCATGGCCCAAACATGGAAGCGTAACCCATCTATAAGTTATAAATTTTTGAACTCTAATTTGAGATTTATATTTATTTAAGCCCCAGATATTTTATTCAAATCGTTCAAATATCACAATGCAGGAAATCATTGCACTACGTTTTGAAATAAAGAACTCAAAAAGTCGATCTTTTGTTTTGGCGTCACATAGCCTACATTGCCTTCACAGCAAAATTCATAATGTATGTACATCACTAAATCATGTAGGTTACGTTTAAAGTAAAAGTGTTGCATTTAAATTTAAGGAATTTTTGATATGTTGAAGAAGCGAACAAAATTTGCTTGCATTGACAGAATATCTGACCTATTTCATAGACAAATACTAAGTTTAATTTTAAATTTTTTTTATTTAACATTTCACAATTTGGTATCGTAGTAAAACGAAGTGTTTATGAAGTTGGTACAAAATTTTGTTTCGGTCGTCAATATTAATTGAAAGAATAAAATCATCCTTACTAACGCGTTTTGTCGTGAAAATAATTTAACATCTGTTGTCTAAATTGAAATATTATCATATCGTTTTATTATTATTCATGCTTATATTATCTTACCTTCGCATGGAAAGATCAGTACAACAATGAAGATCACAGCTACTTTCAATACTGCAGTAATCATGTTAATATACAATCCTTATATATATATATGTGTTTCTGATATAAGCCAATGAACAATTCCTCAGGTATAAAAATGAAACAAAATATAGGTGAGAATAAAATGAAAAATAACATTTAATATGCTGGATAATATAATTTTAAATCCAACCACTACTTCTGTAGCACTGTCGAATCAAAATGAATTCAACTTTAATAGTGATCTATCTTACAGCCACAACTTCCTGATTTAGATTTAGTAAACCAAGGCCCACTTCCTTATGAATAAAGTTATAAACAACAACCTACATTTTCATTGTTATTGCTTTTTAGTGGGAACAAAAAAAAAATTGTAAATTCGAAGAATTTTCGTAGTTAATCAAAATAACTGTTTAAAAATTTTACTCTCAATGACACGCTATTTAACAAGTAAAAGGCAAAACATCAGGAAACTGTGGTAATAGCGACAATTTAGCAATCAAAGTCGAATTGTGCAATTATGTTCGCTATCGAATGCAGATTCTATTAGTCTAGAATGGCTATGCCTGATAACTATGTGATTTTACAATAAAAGTGTTTGTTTTGTATTGCACTGTTTACCTATTCTTGGCACTATTGTGGCCCGTGAACAATGCAAAAATAATTTTGTGGCCCGCGGAGCCGACAACCTTAGACCCCCCTGTGTTATACAGTCTTGTATAGTCAGAAACAGCGGATAACTGTGAATGCCACAGTAGATGGTTTCGAATAATCTTATTCCACTAAAGATCTATCACTATGTAAACTGATCGCCTGACTCGCAAGGTTTGGAAATCTTTATCTTCAGTATAAAACTCTTAATGAGTATTTCGTAATATGAGCTCAATGTAAGCTCCAAATGAGAATGTCATACAGTGATTCCAGAGAGCTGAAATCAAAAAGCATCACGGAAAGGGGGGATAGGAAAATTTTTTTTTCCACGTTTTGGTCAAATCAAAATTATTTTCTTGTTACTTTCATAATTTAAATGCAGAATGGGTTGAAACTAGCCTGATTCAAACAATATTTGTGATAAAATGAAAACATTGATGATTTTTGTTGTGAAAAACGACAAAAGTAAGTCGTATCACCACCGTTATATTTATTTCAGTTATAAAACAAATTCTGCACATTTTGCATCAACAAGCCCTTTCTTGTATAATTGGGATTAAAATTCACATTTTTGCATGAGCGAATGGTTATGTTTTCGTACGAAATTTCTAAGAAACTATCTTAATATTTTATGTTCCTTTACTTTTTGTTTGTTGTGCTTTTATATTCTATCTTTAAAGGATTTGGTCAAATTTCAAACAGTGTGTGAATTGTGATCATCGATACAAGTGTGTTTCATTCGTAGATATGAGATTGGTCCTGCGTGACCGAAAAAGTAAACTTTTTATACCTAAGGGTGATTATATTTTTTGTTTTTTCAAATATTGCAACAATTTCTGCTCGGTGTCACACTGTTGAAATGGAATGGAAAAATAAAGTTTTTACCCTATCTTCAAGTTGACATACACTAATAAACGAAACCGAAACAAACAACTGAAAAACATGTCTGCTGAAACCTAACGGACACTGGCATAGGGTTATCCCTTGACTCACTTCCCGAAGGTGATCATCATTCAACGCTTCCCCGCTTGCTACTAAATGAATAAAGTATCTTCAATCTTTGAATTATTGACTTCAATAACATAGATGAAAAAATGTTCAAAGCGTTTATCGATTTCCTACAACGATCATGTCGTCGTCGGATTTCAGTAAATTCTCGTCAGCTGTCTTTCCTGCCAAAGTCGCTCACCGGTAATTTTAAATCAGGGGATTTTAAATCATCTCTGTATATTCGAGCGTGGTCAATCTATGACGACAATGTGAATACGAGACTGATCTATGACACAAGCATGAAACAAATCACTTTTTCTGACAACTTGTTGAACTTTTGGAAAAGTAAACATGACCAAACGTGAGTATATTTTCACAATTTTACACAGCAATGATTATTTAAACCATACATATTTATAAGATTTAATCCACAAAACTTAAATTTCTAAAAGATCTAACAATTTTTAATCAAAGCAGTGGCTTCAAGGCAGACATATTCAGTTTGTCAGGACAAAATAGCTTGTGTTTCTCAAACTGTTTCTCTTATAAACATTCAATTATATTGCAAGTAGCCGCCTAAAGGTAGAAACTAGATTCAAAATTGAAGTTAAGGGTTACCGCTAATCACAGAGTTAACGAGTTATCACGTCAGCTGTCTAGTATGTTGTAAGGCGGCTAATGTATAATTCGTAAAAGAATTCATGTCGATAATACAAAAATAAGAAATTCACATCGAAAAAATGCTTTGAAAACGCTATGGACAAATTATGTTATAAACAAAAAAAAATTTCTTTTTCTTTTTATGTATCAAGGCTCCTCTTCGCTTATGAAAGTATGTTCTTTATGAGAAAGTTCGTCATTCACAATCGTCTTTTACTTTTAATGTATGTTTTCTTTTAATGGACTTTAGGCGTTTCATGGATTGAATACAACTGCCGCTACAACAGCTCGCAAGGATTCCGTCGACGCGCCTCCTGTAAGAAAAAATTGAATGGAAGATAAATGATGTAAACATGTAATGATATAATCTTCTTTTTTGAAAACTTCTTTTAGAAAATTAGGTATAGTCAACAACCAAATGAGATTTCATTTACAGAAATTTACATCTCATGTTCATATTTGTTGTAAAATAAACACGCGTAAAATACTACACATTATTTAATGAGATACAAACAGAAACATTTTCAACAAAAGTCAAATTCTTATCGCATGGTTACAAAGCGTTAATCTGCTCCCACGTTACAATAGGCGTACCTATGTTACATCCATCAGTAGTGCAGGTATAATTACAATTCTGGATTGTGATATTCCGAATCATTGTTGAAGAACATTCATTTCCGATGTCATAATAGGAACAACCTCTCGTGATGCGCCGAGGAATCCCAGGTATATTACCTAGAAATTACAAAATAAATATAGATTAAATGAGTATAATGAAAACGATAAATAGGGGGGAGGCAGATAAATGGAAAAGCGAACAAAATAAGGCAACGTATAACAAAACATTGTGATAGAAGAACTAGAAAGCGAAATTGAGGGAGACGAGAAAATATACTTTTCTGTATTCCATGTTCTTGTATAATGCAGTGGGTTTCATACGGAAAACTACAGGGTGCTGCAATGGGTGGATTTTCGCGGCATTGATCATAACCATCGTCGTCGTATTTGTTATTATAATTCTGAGAACTGCTGCAAGTTAGGCATTTTGGTCTCCCAGCTGGAATGAGTAAACAAAATTTAATTCTCCATAACACAAGAGGTATATAACATTAAATTAGCATCAGAAAAGTTTATAAAATATGGCAATGAAGCATTCTTAGGTTATGTAGGCCCTACAACGTATTATAAAAACGGACTACAGCGTATTGTTTACAGAGTATGCTTACTTCGACATACTTTTCAAGAACAAAACTTAGGGCAGATATACTTTATTTTAGTAATGCATAATTTCCCTATTAGTTGCTCCTGATTTCAGATACAATTCTCACGTAGGTGGTTTGAGCGTTTAATAGATGAGAATTTCAAGGTAAATTACACTCGACATTAAATAAACACTAAATTACACTGAGCTGCACCCTATTTCAGTGCGTATTGTTGCAACACCGAAGAAGAATATATATTATATCCATTCATTCAGGAAACCGGACATATGTAACCTAAATTCTAACTTCTAAACTGTACGAATATGATCTCAACTTACGCCATCCAATGTTACAACCATCTTCTTGGCAAGTTTCACTACACGTAATTTTCTTAAAACTCATTGCTTCAACATTTGATTCCGTGCATTGAGTAGGTATCGAAGAGTTGGCACATTCACGAACCACGCTAACTAGATGGTATGTAGGAGACGCTACAAAGAATCATGTGATGAAGTGAAAAAAAAAACTTGAATTAACTTCATTTGTTATTATGTATCCGATGGGCAATCGCTCCGAGTTGAAATACTCGTCCGATTGATTAATGATTCAGTAAAGACAATGCGTAAGAAAGGATTCATGAGCTCATTGCCGCCACCACGTGGTTTACGTACCAGCTGCTGGGTTTCGGCTTGCTCCTCCATCAAAGTCCGTGATTTTGGAACGACCAAATCGCAGACTATTTATACCGGACTGTCATTTCAACGAGATTCAGTGGTTTGACATGCTATATAATAATAATATTTCACTAGGCAACTTCCGGTATCAACGAATGAATGAGGCGAGCCGTTACCAGTATACTTTGTGTTCATATATTTGTGCGCCATTGTTTTCGCTTTTTATTTCTATAGGGGTATATTTTAATGAGGGGACCTACCTCTATGACGTAGGTCATTTTTTTCAGAAATCAGATAAGTAACCGTAGATTTACAGTAAGTCGAACCAGGTGGACAAGCTTGCTTCACAGTTGCCGTGTTGCACGTACCAGCTCCAACAGAATCAGTACAAACAACACATTGGAGTGTCACCGCCTCGTTTCCGTTTATTATACCGTAAGCTAAAATTAATAAATATGGAGGTGATTCTAAAGGCTTATCTTAAATGACTATTAAAGAAGTAATAATATTAAAAACAAAATAGAATCAATATTTTCAGTTGTCTTACACTCTGCTACTAGCATAGAAAAATTTCCACTGATTTTCATGATGTCAAATATACTATATTCACCTGTGCCAGTATTGCAACCGTCCGTATCACAAGTAGAATAGCAATTGAACTCAATATACCCCACAGAAGCGTCACTTATCGGAGAATCAGTGTGCACTTCGTTAAAAATGCACTCGTCAATAGCCTTAAAAGCAGACGTGCAGCCCCTCGTTATTGTAGATTTGACAATTGCAAATGCTGCAAAATAAGCGTTTCATGAATACTTCTGGCAAACAAACCTCATAAATAGTTAAATATAGTTAAAATTTCTTCATATATTTCGTTTTGTTGTTATGGACGGAGCCATTTAGAAAAATATCTATTTGGTATCTGTTCATTATGAAATTTCTATATAAAAATTCGAGTTCACAAAAAATTGTACGCAATTGAACTTTAAAACCTAAAAAAGATATTTGAACAACGAAAATGTGGGTTTAGCGTACAGTTTAATTGAAAAGTTTGACGTAACTATCGTCTTATCGAGGTCTGGAGTTTAGACTATTTTCCTAAGAAGTTATAAAATCGACAAAAACCACAGTTCCAATACTAATAAGAAAAAAGCAGGTTTCAATATTCCTTATTACTGCAATCAGGTCAGCAGTATGTGAGGGCGTACCAAACTTTTCATTTGCCCAGGGCAAGTATTGGATAATGATGTCCTTTTATACCTAACTTTGAAAATTAAATCGACAGATAAACAAATTATGAAACAAATTATGAATAAATTAAAGGTCAAGTAGCAGGAGAATGTTTGTATTATTGCGCTAAATCACGCAATGACCAGGCGATCACATTGGCAGCAAAGAGCAGTCGGTCATTGCTGCTTCACCATCACCGCAATCAGTCACACAAGCCAGCTTTTACTTAGGTGAAAACGCATCGAGAAAAGCATGTGTAATAACGTGAACTCTACAGCTTGGATCTACTGCCCGCTACAACGTTCTGCCCAAGGTGGCTGCTTCCATAGCCTTCTCTGGGCGCCTGCTAGTCATTCACCTGAATCGTAAATAGTTGAATTTGTTGTCGAGCAATAGTATTCATATCCAGGACAAGTTGTGCTTGTTAAAGACGAAACACATCGACTTTCCGTTTCTGAGTTACATTGAACGCAGCTTCTTCTTACATTCGTATATACTCGTGCGGATGCATCTTAACGAAATTTTCAACCTGTTTAAGTATTTATTTAATGTTCTAAAACATTTTAAATACACTAGGGGCAATAAATGTCTCTCCAAGATTTTGTGTCTGCCCTCATATTAATAATTGGGTCAATATAAAGTTTAATAAGAAGTATTGAATTTTTTCACATGCCGTTTTATCCTCTGATCCCGGAAGTTATAATCATCTATCTCATGGATGTTTCAACTTACAAATAATCGGTCAAGCAAGTAAAAAGAATAATAAAATTTTTAACATATTTTTATTGCATCATCTTACTTCTGTGTAGAAAGCGTATGATACGTATTACCGCAGTCATATTTTTGGGATATGATAGAGGTTTATTAACCCAATGTAAAACAAATTCTGAAAACATACATCAAAAAAAAAAACACGTAGTGTAATTTATCAGACATACAAAATGTAAAAATTAATCTAACTCGAGCAATCGAATCCAGCATATGGATAACTACAAACGCATGTTCCGGTAATATAGTTACAACTTCCCTGTGATGTTCCTGCATTACAGTCTGATGAACATTGCTTAAGAGAGCCTGAAATAATAAATGCATGTTTTTTCTATATAGCTTACAAAATGTAGTCTTTGATACAAATTTGTAAAAAATCAAGATAGGAATACCCAAATATGTGTACACGAAAGCTAAAAACGAATTAGTATCAAATTGCGAATTAGTATCAAATCGCGGCATGTCACAAGATGCACAATTTTTAACTTTGATGACGTCATCACGCGAAATTTCGAAATTTTAAAATGAAAAACGACGCCGAAGCGCCCACATTGTTTTTTTTTTAAATAATAAAAATCAATAGCCTCCCAGCGAAAACAACAATCTTTATCTACTGAGCATTTCAAAGCAATTGATTCAGTAGTTAAAGTAAAAGACGATTTTTACAACAATCAAAACCAAAACGTACCGCAGTCCAAATGACGTCGCCTGAACACTTACGCGATAGCGGATGACGTCATCGCACACCAAAAACAAATTCCAAACAGCCCATAGATATTTTTGAAATAAATAAAAGTAATAGACTTCTAGCATAAAATAGTGAAGTTTTGAAGCAATTGGGCCAGTAAATGAAGATAAAGCGATTTTTTCACAACAACATGAAGAATACTAACAACAACAACATAATAACAAAACGATCCATGTGGACATTTCCTGCCCAAATTAGAAACAAAGACGTCAGGAGATTGAAGTCATTTTTTCAATTTATATGACAACAAAAACATTGCCTAGTTATTATTTTAGGCCTAAGTCTCATCGACTACCACTTACTAGTCGTTATATTATTGCATTTGTCAGTTGTACAATGGTAATAACATGCAGTTGCAGATGTTGGGTTGCCACTTCCATCCAAAACGGTTATACATTTGTTAGAAGATGGAACTGCGTTTGTATGAACATCTTCATCCCACGTACTAGCCATACAACGACGTTCAACACGAGTTGTTACTCCTTGATACGTACACAAAAAACATCAGTTATTTGATTATATCAGACAAAATCCACATTCATTGTTATTCTAAACTTTTGGAACGATTCATGTTGTGAGTAGCAGATAATATTTGCAAATCAATAAATAGAATTTCAAGTTACAAGAACTTTGTTTTCAAATTTGCTTTCGAGTTATCTAATATCTTCATTATATAGATTCAAAAAATACTATTAAACAGATTAAATACATTTTAATAGCAGGTAACCATTTCTGAAAGCCGATTTCAAGAATTTAGGACCAATTAATTCCAAATATTAGAATGATTGAAACATGTAAACCACTTTATAGGCGCATACTCGCACTACCACTCAAAACTCTTGCAATGGTTAGGTTTTAGAAGAACTATCCTGGGGTCAAAGGTCGGGGAAACATTCACTAGAATTGACATTACATTAAATGTCATGATAATTGTTAGCTAAAAAATAGCCCAGCAAATGCTTCCAATTTATAATCGTATATATGTTGTTATTTCTTTTCAAACTTTTGTTTCAATTGATATCAAATGTGATGAAAAATATATGATAATATACCACCCACCATCTGTCACTACAAATTTTGTTCCACAATAATAAATAGTAGATCCAGAATCTGCAGTACAGGTAGAAGATGTTGTTGTTCCAATAACTGTCTTGAAACATGTTTCAGCTGCTTCTCCGTCATATTCAGGGTCCGAGCAAGTATAACAATTCAAACCTGAAAAAGGTAATTCAACATAAGCATGCGGTTCCTTGCCTAAACGCAGTTCATGGTCCAAATATGGAAGCCTTGTCGTAATCAATCTATGAGTCATAAATTTTTGAACTTTAATTTAGGATTTATATTCCTTTGATTCTTTATTATTTCATTAAAATCTTACAAATATCGAAAAAAAATCATTGCACTACGTGTGACGTTTTGAAATAAAGAACTCGAAAAAGTCGATATTTCGTTTTGGCGTCACATACTTTGTCTTTACAACAAAAGTCATATTGCATTTACATCATTGAATTATATACGTTTGTGTAAAAGTGTAGCTATTAAATTTTAATGGAACATTTGATATATTTAAAAAAGTGAACAGAATAGCTTGCATTGACAGAATATCTGAACAATTTCCATAGAAAAATAATAAGTTTAATTTCAATCCATCCTTCAAACCATTCATCGAACTGGGAAAGTGATGCCATCAAGTTCTCATCCCGCCTGCCAATGGGCGATATATGACGAGCACTTCTTTAGAGCAAGAGTAGCCAATATTGTAAGTAAGAAAATTAAATTAAAGTTTTAATTTCACAATAGGATATCTCAGTAAAACGCAGTGTTTCAGAGAGACATACAAAATTATGTTTCGGTTTACAATAACACGCTAAACTTTAATTGAAAGAGTAACACTAAATATTCCTCCGTATAAACGCTTCCGGTTGAAAGTTAACATTTTGTGGTGAATATAATTTAACACGCTGTAGTGTAAATCGAAATAATATCATACGTTTTTCTTTTCATTATTCATCATTCATGCCTATATTATCTTACCTTCGCACGGGAAGATTAGTACAACAATGAAGATCACTGCTATTTCCAATACTGTGGTATCCATGTTTATATATAAGCCAATGCACAATTTTTTAGCTATAAGAACAAAACAGAAAATATGAGATTAAAATGAAAAAAAAGTCAATATTTTGGATAGCATAACTTCAAATCCAACCACTCCTTCTCACACTGCCGTTTGAAGAATGAAAACGGATACAAACTTAATTATAGTAATCTGTCTTACGACCACAACTTCCTATTTTAAATTTTATAAACCAACACCCACTTCTTTTTGGTTAATAAACAACAATCCACATTTTCATTTTCGTTGCTTCTTAACGGAAGTTGAAAAAAATTGTAAATTTAAAGAATTTTTGTAGTTAATCAAAATAATAGTTTGAATATTTAATTAAATTATTGAAACATACTTTCTGACCACTAAAAGGTAAAAAATATAAAAAACGGCGATGATATCAAGATTTTAGTTATCAAAGTCGATTTGTGCAATCTTTGCAATATTAAAACAGTGTTATTTATTCATTTTCAATTTTGCAGTTGGCGCATTATCTTTAGCTGTGTGTAATTTATACCTTGGTATGGTCATATCTGGTTCTTATTTTTGAAGCACGGAACGGAGGTCTAAAGTTTCCGAATCAAACGTTTTTCCATTATAATTTACACAGAGTCCGGATAGTATTATTGTATTGAGTTGACTCGTATTCTACGACAAATTTATGACATTAGTTTAACAATCATCACACAACATGATCGTTTCCACATACTTGGCATGTGTAATTACTGATGCAGGCAGGTAAAGTTTATGAATACTTTTAATTGTATTAGTCAAAAGTTACAAAGTAATGTGACGTCATCATCTAGTTTACGAAATGTCTTTAAAATCAAATCTTGTTATACAGAAGCTAATTTTAATAAATGGTTACAGACAACCTTCCTAAATGAGCTCAATCTTTCCCTGAAATATGAATCATGGAGAAATAACTAGTGCATGGCGGAGTACGCTTCTGGAAACTATGGAAAGCAGAAACATCAGTAATTTATGTAGTTATGCTACAACGACTAATAGGTTAGATTCCAATTGAGATTTTATAGTACTTGACAATTTTTGTTCAAATCTATGTTTTAGAATTTATAAAAATGTCGTTGTATGAAACTTTGAACGTTTATTTCTGATTTAGTAAAGACGTGAAAGTACGAGTACCGACACTTTATCGGAAGTGCGAGCTTCATTTGTATGAAAATGTCTAAGCGACGTTCATACAACCAATTTCATTATTTGTTCAAATTGTGACATGAACCTCGTATTCGAATGAATTTACATGAATCAATTGTGGTCAATAAGTATCCGTGAATCTGGAAAGATTCACAATGAACATCGAATTTTTTCATAGTTTCATGTGTGATTTGTCAGTACGTAGTTGCGCTTACAAAATTTAATTTTAAATAGATTAATTCAATGGTCATTTGACATTCGAGGGATTTAGCTTAGTCCCAGAAAATTGCGATATATTCTGGCTTAAAATTGAGCTGAAAGTACTATCAAACGGTAATTTGTTAAATATTTTTAATCAAAATGATGGTTATGAACATGTTACCCAGTTTGTATTTTGGGCTATAACATTTGTATCCACACATATGAGATACTGATCCCGTAATCCACCGGTGGTAACTTTTATTTAATCAAATATTCGAATGTGGTTGGTATTTATGGCCAAGAGGATTGTGATGTGTATATCGTTTTGTAATATGTTATACAGTCTTGTCAAGTAGGAATACCGGATGACCGAGAATGCTACAGTGGATGGTTTTGGATAATCTTATTCCACTAAATATCTATCCTTATATAAACTGATCGTCGGACTCGTTAATAAGATTTGGAAATCGTTATCTTTCATAGAACTCTTAATGATTAACGAGTAATTCATAATATGAGCTAAATCAGGGGTTCCTAAACCACGGCTCTCGGGAAAAAATCCGGCCTGCATTACGATTTAAAATAGCCTGCCGAGCTTAATTAAGTAAAATGGTGTTTAACAGATGTTGTTTCGACCGTTTGCGATCTAGATACCACCAATTTCTATGTCATTATCACAGTTTAAACACGTATTTATCGTAGCAATTCAATTATATCGCCATCTCAGTTATACGTAAGGTATTGGGGTTACATGGGGCGGGAATATAATTATCAGTCACACAAGAAAGCTGAGAGATTCCAAAAAGCAAACGAAACCTAGACGCTGAAAACAGACGTTTCTTGGTTTAATGTCAGCGTTCGTATTTCTGCTTTGAAAAGAATTAGAATTCAGCGATTTGTCTTTTTTGCCAACGAACTATTCCAGTTCTGAAGAAATACGACATTAAGCACCACTATGAGAAAAACAAACATGTTTCAAAAAATGTCAAATAAAAGTGAATAGACAGAACCCCAACTAAACCGTCGCGCACTTTCGGCCCGCGAACATCCTTTCGATTCTAATTTTGGCCCGCAGCCAATAAAAATTGGGAACCCCTGCGCTAAATGTAAGCGCCGACAATAGTGAATATCAAGCTGTAATAACAAGGAGCTAAAATCGAAAAACATTACAGGATGGGTGGAAAATAAAACTATTTTTTAATTTTGGTAAATCAAACGCATTTTTTGTTACTACCATAGGCACTGTGGAATGAGTCGAAATTAGCGTGATTCAAATCAAACGCCAATTAACGCCCACTTCCTTTTGGTTACTAAGCAACAACCCACATTTCCAATTTTGTTGCTTCCTAACGGAAGTTAAAAAAAAATTGTAAATTCAAAGAATTTTTGTAGCTGATCAAAATAATTGTTTGAATATTTAAATTATTGAAACATACTTCCTGACCACTAAAAGGCACAAAATATAAAAACGGTGATGATATTTAGATTTTGGTTATTCAAAGTCGATTTGTGCAATCTTTTTGCTTGGAAGGTTTCTAAAAAACCAAGTGCAGTTTTAAGTATTTTGTGGCGTCTGAAGCTACCGCAAAACCATGGCGGGATTTCCAAACCATGGCCGCTATGGCCAAACCCACGGCGACTAACTTTTTAGCTGCCGCAAACCATTGGCGAGATGCCTTTACAACGGCAGCAAATCAAAAACCAATGGCGGGTAAAGTTTTGCTGCCGGAACCACGGCTGTAATGGCACGACTGTCCTGATGGTCACAAATATTGGGTGAATTGAAACTTTTCTCTTGTGGATATAGTTTTAAAGTTTTGATGGATTTGGGATTAGGTTTCAGGTTTAAGTAGATATAATTTCGCATGATAAATTAAAATCTGGTACATGACTTTGTTGATATACCGGTAATAGCGCCATAACACATGGCAAGAGCCGCCATCGGTTTGTTCGTGGCAGGAGCTGCAATGAAGTGGTAAGAACTGCGACTCTAAAAAAACAGTGTTATTCATTCATTTCCAACTTTGCTGTTAGCGCGGAATCAAAAAAATAAAAAATAAAATTAAACAGCGTTAATCATCTCTAGCTGCGTGTAATTATTAACTTATGCTATTGTCATATCTAGTTCTCAATTTGAAAATCAAGCACGGAACGGAGGCATGAAGTTTCCGAATTACACTTTTTTCCATTATTATTTTTACAAAAAATAGCATTGGTTGAACAACCAGCACACAAAATGATCGTTTTCACATACTCGGCAAATGTAATTACTTATAAAGACAGGTAAAGTTCCTGAATACTTTTAATTGTATTTGTCAAACGTCACATAGTTTTGCAAAATGGCTTCAAAATCAAATCTTGTTATACAGAAGCTAATCCTAATAAATGGTTACAGACAAACTTCTTAAATGCGCGCAATCGTTCCATGAAATATGAATCACGGAGAATATGAATCATGGAGAATGCATGACGGACTACACGCATCTGCAAGATAGGACTATTGATAATATATGCATTACATACTATAACGACCAACAGGTTAGATTTCAAGCGCCATTGAAACTTGACAATTTTTGTTGAAATCTATGCGTTGAAAGTTATAGGATTTCGTTAATATAGAAATAAGAAATGTTTATTTCTGATTTAGTGAAGATGTAAAAATACTAGCGCTAAAATTTCATCGAAAGTGCGAGCTTAATTTGTATGAAAGCGTCTAAGCGACGTTTATAACCCTAATTTTTTATTTGTTTGAATAGTGATATGGTCGTCGTATGTGAATGATTGTACATGGGTCATCTTTGAAAAGATTCACACTATACACTGACTCGTTTTTATGGTTTCAGTGTTTAGTTTAGTCTAGATATAAATCAAATAATTCAATGAGTTAATTGAGATTCAATAATTGAAGAGTTTTATCTTAGTTGCGATAGACAAGCCTAAAAATGATCTGAAAGTACTTTCAAATGGTAGTTTGGTAGATATTTTTAATCAAATGCTGTTTATAAACATGAGAACCATTTTTTTTATTTTTTATTTTTATTTCTTTTATTTATTTTTTTTTTGGGGGGGGGGGGAGGCGTTTTGTAATATGGTATACAGTTAAGTCAGAATATCTGTTGACCAAAAATACCGCAGTGGATGTTTTTGGGGGACTCCTAATGAGTAATTCATAATGTGCGCTTATGGTAAAGGCCAAAAGTGAGTGTCAAGCAGTGATAATAAGGAGCTAATATCAAACGGAATGGGGAAAAACGATTTTTTCTAAATTCTGGCAAATCAAATGAATTTTCTGGTTACTATCATGGATAAATGCAAAGTGGGTCGAAATTAGCGTCATTCAAACAATATTTGAAATCATACAAAAAAATGTTGATATTTGTTATAAAAAACGACAAAAGCGTGTATTACCATTCGGAGATATATTTTAAATATAAAACAAATTCTCGTTCTTTTTGCATCAAAAATCAATTTCTCCTATGATTGGGATTAAAATTCATTAAAATTCTCGCAGAAACGAATTGTTATGTTTTTGTACAAAATTTCCAAGAATCTATCTCAAAATTGTATCTTTTTCATTTATTTTGTTTGTTGTATCTTTGTATTCCATTTCAAAGAATTTGTGTAAATTCCAAACATCGATACAAGCCTGTTTCGTAGATATAAGATTGGTCGTATACGTGACCGAAAAAGTAAACTTTATATAACTATTCTGTGGTATTAAAAGACTTTAAAATGGTGATGAAATTTTCTGTTTTTTCTTAAATATTGCAACAATTTGTGCTTGGTGTCACTCTGTTGAAATGAAATGGAAACACATTAAAGATTTACGAGATTTTCATTAAAATTCTCTTTGTCTAGCGAACAATAGAGATTGACAGCACTAGTTGAGGACATCGCGACTTGTTGTACTTCAACTAAACAGAAAAAATCCAAAGTAAATACAAACGAATTACTAAAATTAAAATTCCGAATGGTTTATTCATCTCCTAAATGATTTGGTAGCTTCAGAACGGAGTGTCGGCCTATACATATTTCAGTATCTTGAAATGTTTTAGATTTTGTTTACGAAGTGATTGTACATTACAGGTATTGATACGTTTTCAGGCCAATAAGTACAAAAATATTTAAGATTTGGAATGACTATTATTCAATATATAGAACAGTCTATTTTTTTATTATTCAAGGCCACGCTCACCTACTGAGAAGTACAGAGAGTATTTTTTTAGTAACAGGGAGAGAATGCACGAATCTTTATTTTTACATCGGTCATTATAAATGGGAACAGAACACTTCCCACTGTCAGTATTTTGATCGGACAGTGTACTCTATGGAGACATATTGACCGACACTTTACGACAATCGGCCAGTCAATGTACCAGGCCGTTCACTACACTCCATCGTACACATTTCTCGGAGATTAAGGTAAAGCAAGAAGAACTTGATATCTTTACAGCGAAGCAGACGCTGAAGTTAGTTTGGGTAGCGACGGATGTCATATATTGTAGCCATGTCATCATGACGACGATGATTTTATTAGTTTTAGCTAATACTGGTCGTGCAGATGTATTTTCAATCACTTTTGTCCAAGAGCCCAGACCCATCACTTGATCTGAGCCACCAAATCGAAAAACATGTGCCGTGGCCTCTGTCCCAACATTTTTTATTCTGGGAGTTGTTGACGAGATAGAAATGAGTGATTATAAAAAATTTACTTATATATACTGAAAAACCTATGCTACAATCTATTTAAAAATGGTATTCTAAAAATTATAATGTACGTATAGTAATGACAATCCACGATTGCAAAAATTGGTTCAATTTGAATTGGGCCAGTACACTTGATTTTAAGTTGTCAAAAGTCAATACTATTGTGCTAAAAGATATAACGCTGTTTAGTGTATAGTTTTTTTTTTTCATCAATATTCTTACTCCAAGACAGATGAAAATTCCAGGTCTGGATTGGTTGTTTTGAAATCAGACATGTTTGTCCCTAAAACAGGTATCCCCGTAGCAAATTTAAATAATGGTCATGTTCATGGTAAGTAATTTGTATTTTTATAGGTCTAACATTTTGTATTAACAAGGACTTTAAACAGATGGATGTTTCTTGCTTATAATTGTTGAAATAATCACAGGTTGTAAGTCATATTTGATCACTACCAAGTTAAGTTTGAACCGAATTGTACATTTTCTTGTATATACACTTGCGAACCAAATATATATCCGGTAAATATTTAAGATTAAAATGGTATGACAATCTTCTACGTCTTCGATGGAGCTAGCGTCCGAAATTTATTTGATCACGTTTTAGTTCAAATCATGTATGGTTCTGGCTTAAATACGCAATTTATAAAATCAAAGTCTTCCGTATTTTTTGCTCCGTCTTCTCTAATTAAATAACCATCTTCTGTATATATATGCATGCCGATTATCGAATTTCACGCAAATCTAATTACATTTGAACTTAATATGAAATCCCCAAGATCATATTACACGCGGAAATATTTATTGCTTTGTTCTTTTTTTTCTTGACGTTATTTAATCCGCTAATTATCAAAAATAGGTCATTTTCGTTGAATATCATAGTTCTGCTAGTATTAAATTTCAGTTTTATCTTCTGCCAAGCATGGGGAAGAGATTGATCGCATACGGGTGGCGCAAGTCATCCGTTTCATGTACTTGATTCGTACAAGTCAATGCGAATGCTGTTTCGAATAAACACAGTAAAATGAAAGTAACCTTACTCGTTTTTTACTACATATTTGGAGTGCTATCAGTTTTCTTTCGAAAAGTGTGTTATAAAGAAATTGTGCGAGTTGTTTTACTCAGTAGAGTATTCTACCGAAATAAATGAAGTGGGAGTTGATATTTTTAAACGGAATAGAATGATGAAATGTTTTTATTGTACATTTTGTAGCATTTAAAAGCTTTAAATGGCGCGGCATTTCAGATAATGTGCTAAATAAGTCGGTTCATGCCTTATCAAAATTCGATTGAAATTTCATCAAAAGCTATTAATAGATCATTTTTGAAAAATTTTAGATATCCACGAGCAAATTGTATGTAAATGGTATTATTGGAGAAATTTTTTGCGCAACCTACTTAGTCAGAACTTGTGCTTATTCTGAATATTTAAAAAATTTTGTTTGTTTCAACCAAAAGTATGGCATGGTATTTTGAATAAAATGATCGAGTAGCAGTGGAAATTTCAAGTAACGACAAAAATATGATCCAAACAAATATCTTAGGAGGAGATTTAAAATATACCAATGTTTATATCATAATTATGATGTTATTGTGTGTTAAGCAAATCCAATATTCAGTATATTTGTGAACTTAGGAAGCCACAAGGTATACTGATATTTGAACAAAAAGCAAAAAACTCGTTCATTTTTTCAATCTTTTGAGTTCTTGTTTTTGTTTCTCATTTTACAGTTTTTCTTAACAGCAACCAATTACAAATGTTATAGCAATCATTAGCAAACAAGATGTTTACGTCTTTTAAATTAATTTTATTATATTATTTTTGTTTACTCGTAATTGGACTGAGCAAAGGTGAGTGTTTATGTTTACAACATCAATAACTTTAGAAAATTTAACATAAAATGTACTTTTTGAAAATCTTTATGTAGTGATCAAGTTGAGTAGGTATGATAAAGGCAGGATGAATACCAATCGAAAGACTTCTTCCCATGCTGATTTGCTTAAATTAAGGTACATCGGTACCGTTGTCAAGTAAAAATCAAGTCGAAGATTGGACAACTACCTTCGCAATAAGTTCGAGCTGTAACGCTTTGAAGCTGTCATAACAAGCTGTCAATGAATGCAATATTTGAGGCTATGATTACATTTTCCTTTTTCACAATGGACGGGTGGGATAGGTCATCACAATTGTTTAAAACTTTCGAGAGTTTTCTTGCTTGTATGCAAGTTACACGATTGTCATTCGTGGAATTGAAAAGTCACTTACGAGCAACATTACCAGTCTCTATACTATTACCATATATATAATCGAATATTTATTGTGATGGTGGTATCGACAGTTGTTTAACATTTACAAGTTAGTACAGGAATGAACCATGACTGTGCACTGTTTAAAAAAAGCGTTGTCGTAATTTATTCGTTTTTTGTTTGTTTTGTGACTATGTTTAAGATACTAAAAATGCCAAAAGTCGCTAACTATCGATCGATAAACTTGGTCAACAGAAACAAAATACGACTAAAAACGTCAAATCGTCAAATTGACCAATATTATTCAAATTAAAAATACTAAAAGGCGGGGGTTAGATAACTGCAAATATTTTCAGTCATTTAAAAAAATTATTTGAATTGTTTCGCAATACATTTTATTACCTACGTGACGAAGCTCCAATGAAAGTTTATAGCATAACACTGCATGTTCGGAATAGCTCCCGAAAGCACCAAAATCTGTCAAATTTTACATAGTCGAACTAAGTAAACATTAGGAGACATATCATTTTTCGTCATATTGCTTTAACAGCTCAAATATACATTGTAATATTATATTATAATCGGGTTTTATTGCAAGATAAAATCAATTATGATACGGGGCATGTAAATAGAGGGACATTGGAAGGCATCATCGACTGGTGCATTGGCGCAATGTGTTGTTTGCGTGTATATTTATTTTTATTGCAGTTCACTAGGAGAAATTAATTCCACGTCCTTCTGGTTATTGCGTTTCATTTAAAAGAATAATACCAATTCGCAATAAATTAAATAAAAATGTATAAAACATCTGATGCGAGATTAAAAAAATAACGATAAAATAAACTGGTAAATAAAAATACCAGAAAATAATACTAGCTCCATTACCGTAAGAAGGTGTCATGTTCAAATTTACCTCAACCGTGATTCGAACCAAACTTGTAGAAATTCAGAACCATTCGAAAATAAAAATTGAAGAATAACACTTAGAAAAGTTAAAGTTGTGTGGATAATCCTTTGTTTTAGATTAATTAAATGAATCAAAAAAAATTATTTTTATTATATTTTTTATTTCAAGTTCGACAAACAATCTTTCTCTCAATTGTAGTTATTCCAAATCGAATTTTAAACTTTTTTATTTCATTTTACCCTTTATTTTATATTAAACCAAATTTAAAAGTCGGTTCTGGAGAAGATCATGTATATCATTGGGCCGAGCAAGAATATAATGGTTATAGCATTCAAAAATGAATAAATATCACGCCATTGTGCACTAATTTCATTTAAAAACATTGCGCTTTATTGTAGTCTTTGTATTAACGAATAAAATAAATAGTTTGAATTGATTGTAATTGAACTTAACCGGCAAAAACAATATTTTGGCAATTTTGTCTCCTTCAATTCATTTTCAATATACTCACAAATACACAGCTAACCATTTCAAAAATGTTACCTACAAATTCTAAAAAATGACCATATTTTACCCTAAAATTCCACCTAATTACACTTTATTTTGGTACACTGTATAGTTTTGTAGCGTAACTGTAAGCTCAAATAAACAGAACCGTTTGAAACGTCTCAAAATTTCAATTGCCATTGTGCTGAAGTGGTTTTGAGATAAGAAACAGACTATTTGCTGAAATATAATTGAAAATAGTTCATCTAAGAAAACGTTTTTGAACGTTATTTTGAATATTTTCCCTCAACATATTGTGTTCAAATTTCACACCGAATTTGTATTCTTGATCTTGTTGTTATGAAATAATCGCCTGGGCCAATTGCTTTTGAATTTTTCAGTGATTAAAAGTTGTATTTTTATTTATTTTTATTAAAAATAGTGGTTTTCAGCACATTTTAAATGAACATTCATTTATTATCTGAACGTCTATCCCTAAAATACTGTTGCGTGTTATCTTGGTGGTATTGTGAATTTTTAAGAAACAATATGTGTTTTATTTCCACATAGGATGTGATCCAGATGAGTTTCAATGCGTGGCGAGTGGAATTTGCATTCCCTCATCTTGGCAATGTGATGGAGTAACCGATTGTCAGGGCGAAGGAGTTCCAGGATCAGATGAAATCGGCTGTGGTAAGTAAAAAAAAAACGACCCTCCTGAAGTATGCGCACCAAGATGGCGCACAACCTGAACTCAGGTTGTGTACCAGGTTAGGGTTTAGGTTGTGCGACATCTTGGTGCGCATACTTCAGGAGTACCAGTAGTTGCCGCTATAATTTTCATGAAATTTCACTTCACTTGCAGAAACTGAGCCATGTGATGACGATGAATTTCAGTGCGACGATGGAAGTTGTATTCCTATAGAATTTAAATGTGACAGTCAGAATGATTGCACGAACGGTGAAGATGAACAGTCGTGTCGTAAGTATTTCGTTTTTACCGGGGCGCAGCTTGGAGACCAAGTCAATATAAACTAAATATAAACAAGAGAGAAATTCTCAAATATACGGACACGAAGGCCAAAATGAAGTAGTACGAGTATGCAATCTGTCACAGTAGATTCGCAATTTTGATGACGTCATCGCCCACATAAACGAATCTCATAAAGTCCACCGATATTTTTAAAATAAATAAAAGTGATAGTCTTCTATTGAAAAAGAGAAACTTTAACCAATGAAAATTTCTAAACAATTGGTCATGTAGTAAATGAGAAAAGCCATTGTTTCATAACAATAAGAAGAAAAATACCAACATTAACATCAACAACAAATAATAACGAAACGATTATGTACATTTCGTGTCCAATAATATACATTATAAAAGCGAAGTCAGATTCACTGATACTCAAACAGAGTAAAAAGTTCTAAGTTTAGGAATTTATAGATTTTGTTCTATGGGTCACATTTCAAAACGTCATATGGAAGTCGAAATCGAGCTGACCTGGCGGTTGTTATCGCCAAAGTTAAGTTGGAATTCAAGTCGCAATTCAGATTTTAGTTCTACAGAGTCTTCGTACGGTAGAAATTCTTTGCGACTACGTTAGTCTTGACTTGAATCCCTTTTAAAATTTCCTGATAGATGGATATCGAATGACCCGAGAAAATTACTTTTTAGTGATTATGAAAATGTAATATTTTTAGCTGGAAGAACTTGTTCACCTACACAATACACATGCAGTAATAACTTCTGTATTCCGTCTAATTTTTCGTGTGATCATGTCCAAGACTGTCCAAACGGAGAAGACGAACAAGGATGCAGTAAGCTGTTTGTTAAAACTTTAAGACAAACCATCAATAGGTTAAACACAATTAAACACAAATGAATTTACGGCAACGGATTCAAGCTTTTATTTTGTGGCATACTCGCCTACTTTAAACGAATCCTTCTAAACAAGTAAATATCGTTTAATTAGAGCAAGCTTGACACAGGAAGGTAAAATTGCTAACTTCATAAACGGGGTACTGTATAATATCCATGTTGTTATATTTATATTCATGTGCGTCATGATAAAATTGTGATATATTGCTGACTCTGTCAATTTTTTTTGAACCGTATATAGATTATCCAACTTGTGACGACAAAACCTGTGACAATGGGGCATGTTATACAACAGAACAAGATTGTAACGGCATTCCTGATTGCAGAGACGAAAGCGATGAATACAATTGCAGTATGTATAACGGCAAATATATTAAATAAACTATATATCAGTGATAGCATTCGAGAGTGATTTTCGCAAACTCGTTCTTGGAATTTATGAAAATCCCGTTTTTGTTTTTGTTTAGACGTTAGACTACTATAAATGGGTCATTAGGTGAGCTTCCTTAAGCTTCCTTATTGACATACATGCATTTTAGAAAATGAGTGAACCCGTTGTTAGTGACTCCGATACAGAAAAGAACCCGTTCTTGACATTTTGAATCCCACCACTTCTATATATTTATGGATATTTTAATATCACAGACGTTGAAATCTTCATGATTTTTCGACATTTCTTTGTTCTTCGAGATTCCGTCGAAACAGTAGTTTTATATGTCGATTTTGGGATCAGTGGTTGAAACTATCTACCATTTTGATAATCAAAATATGAATTGCGACCTACTTTGATCAGTCGTGTATAATAAAAATATATGCGCGTTAATCTAATGGTTCTTAATTAAAATGTTTACAAAATGACTTTAAAAATAGCTTTTAAACCTTTGTGTTTCAGCGATACCTCTCTGTAGGAACGGAGATTTTCAATGTGCAAATGGCCTGTGCATTCCAATTCAAACATATTGTGACCGAATAAACGATTGTGGTGACGGAAGCGACGAGCCAGATACCTGCGGTGAGTATATTTGTAAATAAGTTATACTTGACATGAAAAAATCCGACCCAGAAATTTGATAATTTAGATAGTTTGTTCACGTAATGCGTCGTTAATTTTTTTTGAAATATATTCGTATTTGATAGATTATCCTCCATGCAGAGGAGATCAATTCGAATGTGATAATCACATATGTACAAACCAACTGTTTGTGTGCGATGGAACAGATAATTGCGGAGACGGTTCAGATGAGAAAGATTGCCGTAAGTAACGACATTTTATGTGCGGTGACGTGCAATTAAAGCATTTAAATTATTGAAAATGATATGAGGTCTCAACAACTTTGTACAATATTTCAGATTACAATATAACGTGTGATCCAAATCAATGGAAATGTCCGAGTACAGGGGAATGTATTGAGGCTACGAAAGTTTGCGATGGCAATCCTGATTGTCCAAATGAAGACGATGAGGCCACAGACGAAAATCCATGCAGTAAGCTGAAAACCACAAACCCAGTGCCAGTGGTATAATCCACAAAAATATGTTTATTATTTTTAATAAAACAGTGAAGGAATTATTTTTAAAATTGAAATTGTCATTTACCGCCACAGCGCCGTAGATTCATTGTATTGTATTTTTGTATTATTATTATTACTTACTTGAGCTAACTATTAAGAATTGCTAAATACTCAAGAAAGTGTTCGAATAATATTTCCTGAATATTTCTGCCCGGAGGTTTGCAAATGTTACTTACTGTTCAAGGTAAATATCATCTGTTGGAAATGTCTATTTATCCATACAGGTTCATCATTGTGTGGTGCATTGAGTTGTGACCATGAATGCCAGCCATCTCCCACTGGAGGATTTTGTTATTGTCCATTTGGATATCAAGTTGATGTTGATGGATCAAGCTGTATTGGTAAGAACTGCTTTATGAATAATGTTGATATGGATTTAGGGATTTATTCAATATGGTAATATAATGAAATATTTTTTACTGAACTGCCACCTGAAAAAGAGGTACTTGTTTGTAATTCTTTGTTACAATATAGTTTAGTTTAGTAATGCCTGAAACCAGCCAATAATCGTTGCCTTGTCGGTAATTGACAATTTTGTTTAATTTGAAGTTATATACATGTATGACATCTCCGTATTACCAAAAGAGAGTATGTATCTTTGGGCATGTCTCCTATCATTCTGTAGTCTACCCAGTTTTAACTGCGTGAAAAGATGTTGGTTCTAATGTTTGATTTTGTTCTAATAAAGACCAACTCGAAGAACATAAACATTGATTTCATAAAATGAGAAAATGGACATAAAAATATTCATTTTATCCAGATGTAAACGAGTGTTTATTGTTTGGATATTGCGAGCAATCTTGTTTCAATCTCGTTGGAACTTACAAATGTACTTGTGTTGATGGATATCAACTTGAAAATGGATTTTCAAAACATTGTAAAGCCCTGCCAGCAGGTAAGACGAACTAATGGGGTAACCAAATCACGTTCTCTCCTCAGTTGTAGAACCTTAAGCATAGGCTATACCAGTCAGGCAATTCGTCTTTTACATGTAAATTGCGAAATTCCTAAAATATATATCAAAATCCGTATTATATCAACTATGCCTAAGTACATCGTCCTACTGAGCGAAAACTGAATCCCCTAGATTATCAGATGAAATAGATTCGTTAAATTAGAATATTCATAAATTTATAGTGTTTGATTGAATTCCTGCTGTTTTGTTTACCTTCAGATGGAGCACCCAAGATTCTCTACTCGGTACGGGAACAAATTATGGCTTACAATCCCGAATCTATAAATGACGAAGAGGAAATTATCGTTTCTAATCCCTCATATGCAGTTGGAATTGATTACCATTACGAAAAGGGGAAGCTATTTTGGGCAGATCAAGCAGAAAATAAAGTATGTAAATCCTTATCCACTTGCGTTTCATTCAATTTGACATCAATTCGTTTTTTGAAATCAATTCGTTTCAGATTCGCTCTGCTAACATGGATGGTACCAATGTTCGTGACGTCATCAACACAGGAATAAAAGATCCGGAACAAATAGCGGTGGATTGGATCGGTAAGTTTTTTCCGTGATATCTGTATTCTTTATTGATGTATAATACCCCATATTTCTTGGTATTGGCATTTTGTTTTGTCGTTACGTTTGACTAAATGCCGGTAAGACATTTTATCAATTCAATTTTGTAGCCAACAACATTTATATCGTCGAAACATCGGTAGAAAGAATTGAAGTCTGTGATTTTGAAGGAAAACATAGAACTGGTGTAATTACAACCGGACTTAAAAGTCCTCGGGGATTGGCACTGGATCCAACTGTTGGGTATGTTGGAGTATGTTGTCAATAAACATTACAGTGGTATATTGCTCATTCTTGAGGATTGCGAATTTGACTATATTCCCCGCTAGTTAACTCTACGATACTGTCTTTTTTAAACACAATACGTACTCTTCTCTCACATTATCGACTTTCTCTCTTACCCAATCGATGTCTAACAACGACTTAACAAGTATTCAATAGTTTATGTTCAGTTCAATATATAACAGGTATTCTTTGCCACTTTTTTTTGAGTATATTTTCACTTATAAATATCTTCACCTAACTTGGGTTTTAGTAAAGATTTATATCAATGGATATGATTTTTAGGGTGAGCCAAACTTTACTGTTGGGTAATATTTGCCGGTCTTAAAAGCAGTAATGTTTCACATTGAAATTATGTACAGTTCCTGTATTTGATATAATATAATTAGTTGTAATCTTAGTTTTAATAAAACGATTCGATTTTAGATATTATATTAATGAATGAAGCATAAAATGCCAACATTTTTCCAGTTGAATGACATCATTCTGAATTCAGGATTCACTGGTTCCCCTCAAATGACAGTGAATCGAACTGTTCTGACTGTAATATACGAATATGCAACATGCTATAATTTTTCAGATACATGTTTTTCTCCGACTGGGATTATGCAAACCCTCGACTTGAGAGAGCACATATGGACGGAAGATCTCGTGTAACGTTAGTGGACAAACAAATACAATGGGCAAACGGAATCACAGTTGATTTTATTTTGCAAAGAGTGTACTGGGTTGATGGACATTTCGATTTTATAGATACAATAGATTACTACGGCAAAGACAGGTAAACTTGTAAATAGTGGGATAATGTTCCCAACCGTCCACTTATCTTGAACGTTTAGCATCTGGCTGAATTTCGTTGTCTTTGTCTAGTTCGCTTGTTTGAATTCTCGCAGGGGCAAAAGGCAAATCCATTGGAAAATCTTAAGATAATAGCGTACGTGGTGCAGTCTTTGAATCGTGGCGTAACGAGTTTACGCTTCCAAAATATTACGCTTGCAAATTGGGATTTAAGATAGGATTTACATATTTATCCCGATTGATAGGAAAGCCGATAAGATGGGTGAATCGTATGGCGAACCACGGCCCCTAAGCTGGTTACGAGTCCATGTAGGCTTTTAGAACCAAATCCATTAATATTAAAAATTTTCCACAAAGCTCTTAAATTGTGAACTGTGTTTCACCTATTCTTCATCTAATTTTGTTCAAATTTATATTATAAAAATAACATTTTTCGTTTGCAGACGCACTATAGTATCAGGACATAACAGTCCCCATCCATTCGATGTGACAATTTTTGAACGATTTTTATATTACACTGACTGGACAAAAATGGGCGTCGTAAAAGCTGATAAATTTACTGGAGAAGAGGTCGAAGTTGTTAGAGATGCAACAGTTAGACCTTTTGGGATAATTGCATATCACCCAGTGCGACAACCTAAAGGTAATATTATATTTAATATAGTATAGATATATATCATAGTATATATAATATTATCCATTAACTGTCAGTGCACCTACCAGATAAATGAATATTATACCAAATTTTTTTCAATGCTGCTTGCAGTATCACGTCAACAGCACGTTATTCATCGTAATTCTCTCTAGTTACAGTAGATTGTGGCATTTCAGTGGCCGTTCAGAAATTAGTTTTTTTGCATCTGCGTTAGTGCACATGTTTTACTTTTGATTGGTTGTTACCTGCCTTATTCGTAATGGTTCAATTTAAGTTTTGAGGGACTTTGTAAAGATAATCGAAGATAATTTTGGTCTCATGTGATTTTCTTATTCACTTTGACATTCAAATACACGGTATAGATGAAATATTATAGTGTTGTAAGACACAATCGTACCTGGTTCCCAAAAACAGAAAACTAAAAAAATAATTAAGCTGCTAGTGGATTCAGAAATTTTCACCCATCGGAAAATAATTTTCTTATATTTGTTTAATTTAGTCCCTAATCCATGTGCAAATAACAATGGAGGCTGCGACCATCTTTGTGTTTTAACTCATAACACTGATAGTCTCGGATATCGATGCTTATGTGATTTTGGATACGGCTTCGCATCTTCTTCGGGACCGGTCACCCAAAAATGCAACAGTGAGTAGTACTTTTATTCTTTCGTCCAGTCGACTAAGACTAGTTTGCAAAACTGTTGCATTTGCTTTATCAACTTGAATTCCTAATCGTAGTGGTATTTCAAGCATCTCCTCAAACCTATAATTGAAAAAGAAGAATCGTAATTTTTCGTTTCGAGTCTACCAACCTGTTACAACTTTGTTACTATTTTACTCGTAATAGCTGATACATTTTCTAACGGACTCGTTCTTGAACATCAACCCGTCCTAAAGACAAATCCCAGTAGATTTAATTGTACTTCTTATATATTCCACAAAATTATTGAATGACATTGAATAAATGTTAGTTCGTTTATGGCTTTATGCTAACTTCGAATGCGGAGAACGAACTAGAATCAAATTCGTGTAGAGTAGTATAGTTAGAAAACAAGCGCATTCAATTATGTATATGATTCAACATTTTATTTTATTTATTTAAAGAAATCGATTCATTTATTGCAATGGCGGCATATTCATCCGTCCGAGGAATTGCTGGAAATTTCCAATCTGATGAAGCTATGGTTCCAATCGCAATCGAACCGAATGAAGCATTTCTCTCTGTTACCACCGACGCACAAGAAGGATATGTTTATTATACTGAAGCATACAGATTCCTCGTTTACAGAAAGCTTATAAACAATACAGGTTTATCCTTTTTATGTTCTATAGCTATATTGTATAAAAACTGTTTGCACAATATTATAAATGGTAATTTAATAAATAGGTTTTGGGGAATGTGTAACTTTCATTAGATTTACCATATTACAATGTACTGAACAATAGATGGAATAGCAATTTGCTGCAACTTCAAGATTTGAACCTTTGTCTCGTACTAATTTTGTTGCTGTACTTATTGTACTAAATGAAGACATCGACATTTACCGATTTTGTATTTTTGCGGTATTCCAGGACCACCCGAGGAACTTTTAAATAACAACCTTGGAACAGTGCGATCACTTGCATATGATTGGACTGCAAAGAATCTTTATATGCTCGATGTCTCATATAACTACATTAGAGTGTTCAGCGTGAGAGACAAAACTTCTCGACAGAATATTGTCACAACCGGACTTTCTCGACCAACCAGTATCGCGATATCTCCTAACTATGGGTTAGTTTATTCACAACATTCCAATGTTGTTATATATTTAGACCCATCAATCAGGTCACCGGTTAATTTAATATATGAACCAGCCATTTTATCCCAAAAAACTAATTTCAAAAACGACTTTTAATCGAATTGGATTGTTTTAGACACTTTGTTATCATTGTTATCTCCCTACTTCCAATCATTATCTAACACGTTTTACTTTTATTTCTGTAGCTATCTTTTCTGGGCGGATGTAAATCGCCCTGCAAAAATTATGCGAGCTTGGATGGATGGCACAAACGCTGAAACTCTGGTTGATACATTGCTTGGTAACGTGGTTGCCATTTGTGCTGACTATAGGTAAATTTTTATTAAACTTAATTATTAAGACTTAATGTAGACCCGTGACTTATACTGGAATGAAAGCACTAAAAAAATGCTGATTTGAAAATACTTCCTATATTTTGCAAATATTTCTGCGTAACCATTTTTTTCAGGCGGTCGAATACCAATTTTCACTGCCTTAAATTTGTTTTAAATTTCTAGATATTTCCGTCTCTACTGGATAGATAGCGAGTTGGAAAGAATCGAGTCCATATCTTTCAGCGGTTATAGTAGACGCCAAGTTCCGACAAGCACTCCAATGTTCTCCCCCATGTCGATTGCAGTCATGGGATATTATTATGTGTAAGTTTGTTGGTATCAAGTTCGTAATATTCTGTGGAAACAACGTGATACATCTGAAGTGTATTTTGTTTTGTTCTTCCTTATTGCCTTCTACCATTGGTTAAAATTTAGAGTCTTTAGTGGACGCGAATGGAATTCACCAGTCATTAGAATTTTAACGGAATAAAGCAGGACGATCACATGATGTTTGCGATAGTTATATTTAAGTTGCCTACACCCTTCTATAGGGGACTGAACACGCTCTTGATCCTCCCATTTTTGAGGTGTGACACCCCATGTCAATTATTAACGTAAATAAAAATGTATTTGAATATTCATGAAGTGGTTTATATGCCAGAGCAGATGCTGAGTCAAATACATAAAACACCCTCCGCTCCTCTCTAAATAAATGAAATGCTGTGGAACATACTGGCACACGAGTTGGTATTGTGATTCGCACATCTCCAATTTGTATAATGTTTCATCGATGATATCAATATCGTATTTATGTTTAGATACTGGTCAGATTCAAGGACACGTGCATTATACCAATCACATAAAACAACTGCAGGAGATGCTTATAAACTCCTTGATAACGTGGACTCTATTTTTGCGCTTTCAACATATGACAAAAAGACACAGGTATGTATATATACGTACATGATATTCCCAAATTGTTGACGACTTTTATAGACGTCTATATTTCGAACAAAACATTTGACCAAATGTGGGTATCTTCTAATTGGGATATGCTTCCTAAATAATTCGCATTTTAGTCTATCTATACAGTATTTGAATGAAAGGCCTCTTTTATTGATATGATACTGCAAGTATGCGACAGGCTATTTTGCGTCTTGCGTCTGCACTTTGTGAATAATCAAATTTCATTATTCATTTCCATAATTTTATCACATAATTTACAATTCTAACAAACCATTTGTATTTGGAACTCGCCAATTCATTGGGACGATAGTATATAGTATTGAATTCGAGGCAATGATGCAATGATTTTGTTTTTATAATACTATTTTATCAAATAACCGCAAACCTAATTTGAAAAACATTCTTTATATTTGAAAATCGACATCTTTTGTTTAGGACCAATACAGCAATAATCAATGTTCAAGAGATAATCTTCCAAACGGAGGATGTGAGAAGTTTTGCTTTCCTGCACCTTCAGGTAAGGACTTTTATTTCGATAGTGTATGTATGATTTATGCGGCCGCAATTCGTATATGGTAATTTCCTTGTTCTCATCCCTGATGCAAACAAGCGATTTTCTCGCGAATGCTGTACCTTAATTGGTCCCACACATATCCTAGCGTTGAAGTTCAAGATGTTTTATTTACCAGCTTCAAGAACATGTGGATGTCCACTCGGATTCAAAATTATGAGCGATGGGAAGAGTTGTGAGGAAGATCCAGATCAACCGCCACCGGCTCAATGTCCATCACCTTATCAGGTACTTGAACTTTAATATTCATTCTTACATACGGATATTATAAGGAATAAAAAAGTTTATTTTACTAGCAATAATTTTGATTTATACATAATGGGTTGAGTATTGTATGGCTCTTTTCATTAGCATCAAGATATTGAAGAAACATCATGTTTGTTTGTTATATTTGTAAAAGACACAAATATAAAGTATTAACTGGCATGGTATCTAGATTTATAAAACAAATACAATTAATTGAAACTACAGCATACAGCTTTTATTAGGCGACGATTTTTTTGCTCTAAGTGAGCATACTGTGTATTTGCCCTCATACAAGTCCGTAACTTCAATCTTCGGGAAATCATAAAAAGTTGGAGTGGAAATTCAATCTAATAATCCTAATCATCTTTAACTGCACGTGACTATTTCCCAACAAAGATAGCAATCTGATAATGATTTTCACAAAACCAATTTTGAGCCCAAAACTAGACAATCTCTGTGGTCTTCAATGAATCTCATCCCGGAGAGATATTTGTACTGAACTAGTAAAACTCTTTCTTTTAATGTACTACATTTTTAGTTTCCCTGTGATAATGGTCGTTGTATATCAAAACAATATATTTGTGATGGTTTGGATACTTGTGGGGATGGCACAGACGAAAAAGACTGTGGGGAAGGTAACAGATTGAATTTTAATCCTAAAATTAGTCGTGATATAACATCCAAATCTTACATTATATTTTTAACAAAATTTAAGGGATTACCTGCGGACCTTATGCGTTCACTTGTGCAAACAAAAAATGTGTTTTCATGGCTTACAAATGTGACGGAGATGATGATTGTCAAGATGGGAGCGATGAAGTGGATTGCCCAACACAAGGGTAAGCAATATATCGTTGAAAATCAGCCATAAACTTTTATGTTGTAGCATATTATTTGACGTTTGCTTTTTTTTCGGAATTCCAAATCCTACTGGGCTATATGTGTGAACATTGTTTAACTTGACGTCACAGTTATAAATAACAACGCAATTGTGATAAATTGTGCATAGATCAAATATATTCTTGGTGATGCTGTGTTTCATTTGCATAAATTTTTGATCGAATCATCAAATTTACAGGCCTTGCACAGATGACAAGTTTCAATGTGACAATGGAAATTGCATTCCAACTAATTGGATTTGTGATACGCAGAATGATTGTGGAGATGGAAGTGATGAAGTTGACTGTAAGTAAAATTAGCTTTGCTATGACAAAACTTTTAAGCTTTTATTTGAAAGACTTTGCGGTAAACAAATAATATTGTCGATAATTGCGGATGACAATTTCTTTTTATTCAATTCGTGCAATATTATCTCAAATAATGTCCAAATAATTCATATTGAACTAAACTCATTAATAAATGTTGTTCAAACTTTTTGGGAATATAAAGACTGTTTATTAGAAAAATCTTACTGCGTAATAAATTTACTACAAAAAATTTGATATTTTGTTAAGATCAAAATTGAAAAGTAGAACGTTATTCTCATATGCTCAGATTTATTAAAAATGTAAAATTCACGGCATATTTTAATGAACCAGCATAATTTTTATATATCAAAGGTCACGATGCAACATGCGGTCCCAGTCAATACACATGTCCTGGACATAGATGTATTTCAATAACCTTTTTATGTAATGGAAACCAGGATTGCAGCGATGGTTCAGACGAAGAGGATTGTCGTGAGTGAACAAAATCTAAATTTTAAAAGCTTTATATCAGCAGTTGTTAAGGAAAATTGTAAATTTTGGATATATTTTAACATAATATAGGTGAAAATAGAAAATAAAGTACTTGCACGTTTTTCACAAACAAAATATTGAATACATTTTCATTTTTGCATTCTATATTATACCCGTTATCGCGTTCTTATTACAAAAGTTCAGTTCACCCATCTCACCAAAAATCCCAATTCTACGATAGAAGATATCGGTGAATAAAATATAAACGAAATTATATAAAATATCACAATTTGGTTATCATGCATCCATCTGCGTTATCCATCAATTTAACTCAAGAATTGTTTTTCTCAGCACCGATTGATTGTCCTAGTAACAATTTTCAGTGTAAGGATGGTAAACAATGTCTTTCACAATATTTTCGATGTGATGGACTTGAAGATTGTGATGATGGATCAGATGAACAGGATTGTCGTACGTATAATAAACCAGTTTGATTTCGAATTCAAATAACTTTTGTGATTTATCTAGGCATCATAACAACTTTACATTTTGTGGAAAAACGTTTCAATAAAATTGGACAATTTAGAAATTAAACAGTTGTACATACAATTACAACTCCACCAATTTATCTTTTGCTAAATGCTACTTTTCCTCCAGCTTCTTCATAAATATTCTATCACTATTATGTTCGTACAGCAACGGCTTTGCCTGGACAATGCCTCCATACTGAAGAATTCCAATGCCAAACAAGTGGCGATTGTATACCTATTAATTGGTATTGTGATGGTCGACCAGATTGCCACGACGAATCGGATGAACCACCTTCATGCCGTAAGAAACTTTTCAATATATACTCACGAATTGAATTTTTTCCTTACTGAAGATTCTTTCATTTTACTTTCCATATCAAAGTTTGGGACCATTTTACAATCATTACATGTAACAATTACTACTTTTTGTCGCACTGTTTTTTTCACGGCAATTCCCACCCCTCCCTAATGTTATTGTCTTGATTTCAGCCCCAAGAACTTGTACACCAGGCGAATTTGAATGTGATTTCAAAAGATGTATTCCTTCGAGATGGATTTGTGATGGATATGATGACTGCGCTGATACAACCGACGAGCAAGGATGTCGTGAGTTTGTCTCACTCTTTCCAGATGAATTACTTACCAGATAGAATTCGTTTTAAGACATATATATATATATATATATATATCTATTTTAATAATAATCCTATAGTTCGTAACTGACTTTAATAATAAATTATCATTTAACTGTGACTAGTCAACATCCAGGGGTCGGTCGCTTCGCTACCCGCGAGGGGAAATGTAAAGAAATGTGTTTAGTAAGGTAAAAAGTAGGTGTTTGTTCTGATTTTGTTGGAAGACCCTGGTCGTTGCGCCGGACGAATGGCGGCATTCGTCCGGCGCAGTGCCCCCGACCTTTTTAGTCCAATAAATAGTTTAAATACTAGGTTAGAAACTGATCATCCCCAATGGGAATCAAGTTTTATTAATTTTAGTGCACGTGATCACTCAACTGTGACGAAATTTTTTTGACATAAACTAGACCTCAATTAACTTGTATGACCCAAATATGGCATCTCTACCTATTACCATTCTCGAGATATAACGTAAAATCACTGGAGCATGACTGAGGAGTTGGAGAAAAAAAATTCCTTTTAAAATGGATTCAAATAATTTTTCCAAATATGCCCATGCTTTCACTTTCTCAATATGTCCTTTCAGAGGCTTGCAATAAGCCAAAATCACTAAAGCGTGACTGGGGAGTAAGAGAACAAAAATTTCTTCAAAACAATGTTAAACTAATTTTTCCAACCATACCTATCTATTTCATTTCTCAATAGCTCCATTTTTAAGTGCGCAACCTTCTTACGCCACTGGAGGGCGATTGGGAGGGGGAAACACCAATTTTTCAGTAAAGAAAATTTCAAATAATTATACTCTTTGAGAATTAGGCAAATCTTGGCCCAAAACCCCATTCACATGCCTCAGAATTCCCTAAAAACAATAGAACCTAAGTGGGCGTGGCTTTGCACGGGTTTTCTCACCAAAGAGGGCGTGGGGGCACAGCCCCCACCGCCAAAAAGACTTGGAAAAATTCCTAATACTCGGGCAAACGCTTTCCGGCCCCGGAAACTTAGCTAAACGGCTTCTAAACCCCTAAATCACTCTAGCGTGACTTGATTGACAGCTGATTGACCAATGAACAGCCTCGGGCAACAAAAACCCCGTTTTGACCCCTTTCCTCTGGCCCGATCGTTTCCAAAAATTTTCTGCGTCATGCGGACAGGGATACCTGACTAACGTGCTAATCACCTACCTCATCAGCCTTACCCTACATAGTGGAAATGCTCATCAATCGGTCTCCCACGCATAGAATTTTAACTTCCACCTCACGTGCAACGTTTTCTGATTTAGACTGTGCATTCGCACTTTCAGTGCGACAGGTTGCGAGACCATCAAGCTTAAACGTTCATCAATAACAAACAAAAAATTCCATTTAGGCAATTATCATACTTGGTTTCAATTGTCTCACTAATTCAAGACCTAATCACATTCCTAAGCATCGTTTCAACACATTTTACAAAATAATATATAAAATCACATTAAGACAAGATCGTTTTTATAGGCATATCAAAGTATATAAGAAATTACACTGCTATCCAAGTTTATTTTTGAAAAAAAAAGAAAATATATTTAACTAGCAATTGCAATTGAGCAGAAGACTCCAAATTGATTTCATCTTGATAATTAAAAAAAAAAATCTTCAACGAAGTATCGTGAAATAGTAGATTTTTATCCAACCATTTATAATTTATTAATTTCATATAACAATTCAAAGACCCATTGTTTTTCGCTTCTATCTATAGACTACCTTGAAACGGGAATCAGATTATAATGGTCGAGCACTGAACTATGAGTAGTTATATATTTTTTAAAAATAATTCTCTTTTCATAGATATCAGTTATAACTGAAAAAAAAATTGTTTCAGCTACACCTCCCCCAACACTCCCCCCACCGCCATGTCAAGATCACGAATGGGAGTGTCCTGGAACAACAACATGTATCAATGTGAACCAATTATGCGATGGATCAAACAACTGTCCTGGAGCAACCGACGAAGGAGAATTTTGTCGTAAGTTTTAAAGATGGCATAAGTAACACGAGGATTAACATTGCTGATATTGGCGGATAGATAAGATGGCATAAGGCTTATTAGGCAATATATCAATAAAAACATTAATATTCATACATATACAACCAACCATGAGATACACTGGCAATTTCAATTATAAGTCGCTCCAGCATTTCAATTTCTTCAAACTCGACTTTATTTTCTACTCACGTGAAAGAAATTAAATTCGAGTAAATAATAATTTACACATATATCTCGTGTATCGTATCTATCTATGCACACAACTCTATACTGATACGGTTTCGTGAAATCCTATCCATGACCATCTTAACAATGGCCAGGGCTGAATTTTTTCTTGCGCAATGTTTCGTGATGGTGGAAATTTGATCAGTGTACTTTTTCAAAGAAAAAATTTCTGAATGGAAAATCTCTGAGTAAAATTTTCTTAGTACAAAAAAACAACATTTTTTGTTTAATAAAACAGGCATATATTACTTTAAATTATTTTCAATTTTATTAACATATTTGTTTTTTTTGTTCATTATTTTTAAAAAAACTTGAAATTCCTGTTGATCATTTCACAGAATTTGATCTCTGTCAATCTTACGGTTGCACCCAAGAATGCATCAACTTTCCAACTGGTCCTGCCTGCATCTGCTCTGGCCCAGGATACCAACTGTTAAATGACAGCAAGACTTGCGTTGGTAAGTTTCTTTGTTGAAATATTGATGTCACCATAAACAACACTGGAAATGTAATTTGCTATTTTATATTCTTAGATATTGACGAATGTGCTAACTACGGCTGCAGTCAAGATTGCGAAAACACAATAGGATCATTTATATGTAAATGTGCTCCAGGATATGCTCTGGACACTGATGGACACACATGCAAAGTAGCGAGTGAGTAGTCAACTTAAACATCCATACACCTTAACCTAAAAGTTTATCCAAAACGAAGTCACAAGCATTAGGTCTAGAGTAAATAGGAACCACCAAACATTGCGGAAACCTGTTTTATTTTGCGACTTCACTATGCAAAATTTTCTACTCTATTTTTTAAAATATACTCACGTAGTATTTTACAAATAATGCAATGGATTTTAAAGGTATTTTAAATACACCTACATTTCAGATGTATCAATATATAAAAATGCTAACATTTTTTACGGAAATTGCTTTTTTGGGAAATAACTTTAGTTATAAAGAGAGAATGACAAAAGTCTAATTTTGACACTTTTCGTATTCATGCAATTTCATTTTTATTTGTCAACGTTTATTCGATTTAGGTGACGACAGGGTCATCATATTTGCTTCTGGAACCCGACTTTACAAATATAATATAGATACGAGATACTTCAATATTATAACATGTAAGTTCTACACTCGTAACGTCACATGTTCCTATATCATTATTATGTTTCAAATTCTTTCGCAGCAAAATAATTTTAATACATGGTATGTAAAATCAAAATATTTTTTGATTTGGCATGTTATATATCGGTTGGCATTTGGAAGTCTTAGACCACCAAAACATCTCTATAGTGTATGAAAAATAATTGATTGAAGATTGCTTGATTGAAAAAGATTGCTTGACGATTTGAAAACGTATTTAAAACCCTTCAATTTTTTTCGCAAACTAAACCTAGTCCTTTATAAATAATATGAATTTTATTTACATTCATTGCCATTGCTTCAAATTACCTATATATATATATATATATATAAAATGCCTTCAATATCATTCAATTTTTTTGAATACAAGGTACTGGTACTTCCACTGTACCTGATCGTTACGTTTGTTCAATTTATTTCAGACGCAAACAACTTTCTTGGAATTGATTACGATTGGGATACGCAGAAAATATTTTATTCTGACTCCAGAATCGGTTGGATGCAATCTGTTTTCTTCAATGGAACCAATAAACAAACTGTAAGTAATAAAGAAAGTGAAGAAAACATATTGAATCACCTTTAATTCATGCCATTTGAGTCTGGTCAGCGAGAGGACTGTAGACATAATTGAATCTAGTAAAAAAACACTGTTGGTATTCAATTTACAACTCAATTTACCTGTCAGATTAAAAGGAATTTATCAAAACGGAAATGGCCAAAAATGAAATCATCTGTTTTAGAAAGTTTTAACATCGCCGATAATGATATCTTATTGTTTCAGCTTTTTAGCAGTGGTCAAGAATTAGCGGAGAATATCGCGATAGACTGGGTGGGTCGACACATTTACTGGTGCGACTCTGGGTTGAATTCAATAGAAGTTGCAAAACTTAACGGATCTCATAGAACTGTCCTTATTTCTGAAGATTTGGATCAACCAAGGGGTCTTGTTCTTGACCCAAGAGACTAGTGAGTTTATTTCATCTTTAATTTTCCATGTGATATTTATAAGGATTTTTCAACTTTTCGTCAGGAACAAATGCTCATTTTATTTTCAGTATACACTTGATGTTTTGGACTGATTGGGGTCAAAAACCAAGAATAGAATCTGCAACAATGGACGGTAAACTGAGGAAAGTTATTGTTAGTGACAGACTTTACTGGCCAAACGGATTGACTATTGACTACCCAACTTTTACACTTTATTTCGCTGATGCTAAGCTTGATTTCATCGATGCATGTGATTATTACGGACAAAATAGACGTCAGATTATTGGAAGCTCTTTTGTGAGTAAATTGGATTTAAGTTTACGACTAAGGCAATTTACTAATCTAAACATCGTTTAATTTTGTTTCGATATTGACAATTGATTTACTTTACTGTTAACGCAATATTGAGTTTGCAACATTGCGATGATTCCGCGAAAAGTTGTGCAGTTGAACGAGACAACAGATCGTAACATTTCAACAATGAAAATGACTTTTACCAAGTAAACATTTAATTCTGAAATTCCAAATTTTTATGAGATGTTATACAACTTCGATCTAAATAACGCGTTAGCCAAGCAATCACCCTGCATCCAAGTAACAGTACATATTAAATTAGTACACGTTGGGGGGCACTAACCATGTTTATCGCCAGACTTCTAAGCCTCGAAAGTAACTGAACCAAGAGATCTTCAATAAACGCTTTTGAAAGCGCGATTCGTGGTACACACGAATTTTACTGATTATACGGTACTCCCGGAGTGTGTGTACCAGGTTAGGGTTAGGCCATAAATTTATTCCGATTTTCCATATTTTAGTTCTATTACGAGTTCGGGGACTGTCTGTGTTAGCCGAGTGAATATACCCCATGCCATAGGCTTCCGTCCCTTTACACAACTTGATGTAAAATAGGCGAACAAAATTAGTTACCTCCATATTGGTACACACACTTCTGGAACGCCGATTATACGATCTGCATCGTCAAGAGTGTGACGCAATAAAAGCATTCAACTTTATAGAAGATATTTGATAAAGCGTTGGAAACAGAATAGTGTTTTTATTGATTATGAAGAGAAAAAAAAGTCATCTCTGGACGCCCACACAATAGCTTGGGTTTGCGGCACGTTGGCGTAGGACTTAAACCTCATATATATAACAGACGACAACAACAATGTTAGTTCTACGCCATTTAAGTATAAACAATTTTATTTGTACATTCAGACGCTTCTTCACCCCCACGCCATAACGGTATTCGAAGATTATGTTTACTGGACCGATCGACAAGCCGGCACAATCTCCAGATGTAATAAATTCGATGCCGAACGCGGAGAAGAAAATCTCTTGTTAGGAGTGAGTCAACCCACCGATATTCATTCATTCCATCCCGTACGACAGCCAAGAGGTAAGTTAATGTATGCTCGAGTATTTTAATGGTCTCTGCTTCAAAGGTTAGGCCAATATATCAAGATAAGTTCAACAATGAGCAGCATTTGATACGATTCTAATTGTTGCTAATTGCATAACAATTTAAATAATAAGATTTGACACAGCCGCAAGTTTATATCATTATAAGGCGAATTAATATTTGGAATATGTATCAGGGTAGAGAAACTACCCTACAGGGCAAGATCTAAACAATTTTTTGAACTTGTAACAACTCTTTTTTAAAAATTTTGGGTTTGTATTTCACCCGTCATCTTTTATTTGATTGAAATCATTAACGTTTCTTTGATAACTACTATTTCTCAAAAGTATTGGCGGTAAAAGTATCAAATTCTAACTTATTTTTTAACGTGAAATGTTGTTGTGTTATATTTCCAGGGAATAATCCATGCGATGATTGGGGAAATGAATGCTCTCATCTTTGTTTACTCAGTCAGAAGAGACCCCATTATTACTCATGTGCTTGTCCGGTGGGATATAAGCTGTCTACAGTAGATCTACATACATGTGAAAAATATGAAGTAAGCTTAACACATACACACACGCAAAACACACATAAATAACGAAACTACAGAATGTTTTGATATTTTGTCTCAGTGAAGTGGGCAAAATTGTCGTCCGCCTAAATGTTTACCTTCTATATCTAGTACGTATGAGTTGACTGGATGCAGATCCCGATCTCACTATTGAACGAAAATTAAATTCGATCTTAGTATATAAGACATTTATTAGTATATTTTCTACAAAACTGAGTTATTGTTCATTATAGGAAGAATTTGTTATCATCGCAACTCCTGGCAGAATCAGTGGAATTTCATCAGACCCAGAAGATCATAACACTAACTTCATGATACCTGTGATTAATATACAAAATGGAATGGATGTGGATTTTGATACGAAGACTGAATACGTCTATTGGGTTGAAAGTTCTGTGAGTTTACTTTTTGTATAGAAATATTTTTGTGTGGGTATGGTATCAAATAATGGCATTTTGTGTTGAAACAGAAAACTTCAGTTCTTTACTTCAAAAATCTTGTGGGCACCACTGATAGAGGTATTTACTGAATTTTAAAAACAAAAAGGATTTGATAAAATTATAGTATTTCCTAATTAGTGGCTAGTAGTGACACCAATTATTAATCTATCAAGTCTTCCTGTAAAGTGCGCCATCTGTTCCGTTGAAATTTTTACATAAATATATGAATATAGGAAAATTTTCAACGTTGTCATCTTTATCTATTCCACATATTAAAAAAATGTACATTTTGCTAAACAGAAAAGCAGGTTCATTATAAACACCCGACATTTATTGATAACTAACTTTCTGGGTCGATCACAATGGACTTTGAATCCAGAGAAAGTTTTGAAAAATGTTGAAGTAATAAACATATAGTAGAAACAAAAGTGTTCTTCGTATCCAAATATCCAGTTTATCAAATTTTTCTCTTACTCATCCATTTCAGAACCAAATTCACCGAATTAAACTCGATGGAAGCGGAAGAGAAATATTCGACCGTGGTTCTGTTTTAGGAAATCCTAGTGCACTTGCCATTGACTGGATGACGAGAAATTTGTATTACACCAATCCTATTGGAAAGTATGCGCTTTAAACTTATTTCTGTTTATCCTCAACATATTAATAGCATCATTACGTTTTGCAGAAATGCAAATGGGATATTTTAAAAATGTTAATTATAAAAAGACACAATAAATAAACTAGTTTATATAAAATTCAAGGATAAATTACTAATAAGGTAAAATTTTTTGCAATATTTCGGGTAATCGAAATTACTATTTTCTATGAACTTATCCACTTTCATAGTAAGATCCGCATTTATATAAAACAAAAGAAGTAAAAATTGGAATAAATATTGATTATGATAAAAACATAGACCTATTACAACTATTGTAAAAAATCTAGATTCAACTTTTGTGTTTCTCATGTAAAGGTCAATTGAAGTGATTCGCATGGACAAAGGCGACGAAGGACAAGTGTATAGGACTACCATTGTCAGTCATATTGGCAACGAAACCGGAGTAGCCAATCCTAAAGGAATCGCAGTGGATCCTAGAAATGGGTAAATGTATTACGTTGCTCATATTTACAACCGTTTGCAGCTGGGATTCGAAATTTTTCGAACAGGTTCTCTAATGTATCCAACTACAAACAACAGGTTTACTCATTTCAGAAAATGTATGTATATTGCTACATAGGCAACAGTAGCCTACATTAACTTGACACGCTCTAATCTAAATAAATTAAATTATTTTGTTATATAACTTTTGAACGAAAAATAGTTGCGGTACATTCTGGAAAATCGAGAACAGACCATAATGACAATTTGAAAATAAATGTTAACATAAGTTCTGAAGTAAACATATTTAATTCAATTTTGTTTTAATATCTATGAACTTACATATTTAATTAAGCATTTCTTATTCATTTTCTCAGAATACTGTTTTGGACTGATCAAGGAGGAACTGGAGTACCACCTAAAATTTCAAGATGTGCCATGGATGGAAGCGATATAGCAAATATTATCACTACAAGACTTGATCTTGTCCAGCATATATCAGTTGATAGCCACACACAATATATTTATTGGGCCGAGCAACGTTACGGCGTAGTAAGTCATTACTAATCTTCATGTTATAGGTATGTACCTTCTCCAAATAAGTGAGTGATGTGTAGGTAACAACTTGGATTTGAGCATGACAGGTATCTTTTGTGTTCAGAAGTTGTTTCGTTATTTCCAAGTCATTTATCATTATTCACACTATATTCAGCGCACTTGGGGATTGTATTTTAACCCTTTTTGCTTTTTGGTGTGAGTCTGTTCTTTAGCATTGTTCTGTTGACTTCATGTATTTATCTACAATTTTACTTCTGCTTCAAACAGATCGGCAGAGCATTGATAGACGGGACTGACAGATCAGATCTTATTGAAAGCTTGATTCAACCGATGGGAGTTTCAATATTTGGCGACTATATTTATTACAGCGATCTTACTCTTGAAGTGGTCGAACGTGCTAAGCTAAATGATCGTAAGACGTTTTTTTCTTCATATTGTTCTCGGCCTGTTACTACTAATATTGAGGCTCAATTTCCTCAGGTTTTATATTTCACTATTACATGTTAAATATTTTTGCTCAAAAACAGTGTTTTAGCGCCTAAAACAAAACTTCGAGCAAATGAATTTTGTTTATTTCACTTCTTGATAGCTGCCTTTCGGAAGTGATGAGAATTAAACAGAAAAAAGCAAATTGATTTGGAATTCTTGCCAAATTTATAATATAATGATGTGCTTCTTTTTCTGTAGTTTATATTACAGCCTTGCTTTGGGATAATATGTTTTAGTTTTATTCACAATTTATTTTTTATTCTTTTTTTTTCTGTGTTAAACCTACGTTTTCAAATTCATTTCTACATTTTTGTATTCACTTAATCATTTTCAGCTTCCAATTATGAAATATTACAAGATCATATATCGCAAATTACTGCTGTAAAAATGTACGGGAGATTGCCTAGTGGTACAATTGCTTGCAGCGCTAACAATGGTGGATGTGAACAAATCTGTCTTCCTGCTCATAATCTTCGTCGATGCGCTTGCAATACAGGAATGAAGGTAATCGATTTTTTTTGTATTCTCGTATAAGTCAAGCCTTTTACTAGAATCTTTATTTATATTTGCTTTGCATTAATTTGGCCGCATGTCTTGGATGTTTCTATTTTTGCGATGCATAGATTAGTTTCATGCCGAGTTTTATTTAGTTTACATAAATTTCTGAATTATTTCTCGTGTCAATTTACGAAACTTAAAATAGGTAAAAGTTATTTCGGATCACAGTTCAAAAATTTTAAGTCCGGACACTTAGGGCTGAGTCTTCAAATATTACTTGGTTCTATTTACAATGCATTTCTTATTGGAAAGTGTCTGCGTCTTTTTATTGTACTTATGTGACTAGTCCAGAAACTAAACATTCAAAAAATGTCGAGTTCTATTTGCCCGAAAACTAATATTATATGGAGTAGACCTTTTAATACATAACTGTTTCCTCTTTATAAATCTTTGATTGAGTTTAACAATTTCATGATAAATTTCAAGCCTATACATATATTTTTAGCTCAATGAAGATGAAAAAACTTGTTCTGCGTACTCAGAATTTGCTGTTGTTTCACAAGAATCAGTTGTGAGAGGATTTGACCTGGGTGGATCTCATGCTGATGCTCTTCCTCCTATTTCCACTCCATGTAAGTTGAAAGTTTTGAGAGTATTTTAGTCATGTGAGATTTTTTACCATCTGTGAGGTTCGTTCGTTTTGAATGTTTAACTAATTTCTAATGTCTTTCGATACTCACTATATCTATGCCTAAAATAGTAATTCTACCAATTTTCACCTTGGAAATTTGGTGACCGTTATATAAATACCTATTGTTTTAAAGCGGAATTCAATTATTGTGAATAATATAATTTTTGAAGAATATTTCCTATTTTTTTTCTCAAATAACAATAAAATTTTTACAATATGTTTATAGCTTAGCTATCGTCCGTCAAACAAACGAAACGGGGCTCCCGAAGTATGCGAACCAAGATGGCGGACATCGGAATGTAATATGTGTACTAGGTTAGGGTTTGGCCATAATTTTAGGTATAAATACTACGGGAGGCTCTTGGCTAGTCTTCGAACTGATAATAGGACTAAAATAAGGAAAATTATCGCCCAACCCTAACCTGTTACCCATGTTACGTTCCGATGTCATCTTGGTTCGCATACTTCGGGAGCACCAACGAAACTATGTAAAACATACCAGTTATCCCGTTTACATCATATAAGTTCAAAATTTCGCATCATAAACATATATAATTAATTAGATATGGATGCAACAAGTGTAAACGTAGCAATTGCAAAGCAAAGTATTATGTATGCGACCAACTACCCTGGTGGAAGTAACAACGGCGGAACAGGATATTTAAACACCGGTATATATGCAAGCAAAATTGATGGAAGTAGGTTCCATACAGCTGTTATGGGCGGAGTTGGAAACATCGGAATCACTGGTTTTGCTTTAGATTGGTTAACAAGTAAGTAGCGTGCTGATCTGTAATATGTTTCAACAATTTAATAAATTAAATCAATATTTGAATTTCGACTATGAATATTGTTACATGAAGAAATTGTATTTTTTTTTATTTTTTTCTTAAAATTTTCGAAAAAAGAGGGAAAGTAAATGAAAAAATAAAATGTGATTTTTTATGTCAGTAAGTGAATAATGATGAAAATATTTCCAAGTTTCCGTATGTTTTCTTTTTTGTTTCAGATTATATCTACTTTACAAATGCATTTTCGTCCGAAACATTTGTTGAAGTGGCAATTTGGGTAGAAGGATCATATTCTCGAGAACGATTAGTTCTTCTGAAAACGCAGGATGACTTACCAAGAGCAATTGCAGTTAATCCAATTAAAAAGTATTTTTTTTACTTGTTGCGATGATTTTTTATCATAGATTATTGGTGAATTAAAAATTGTAATTTTTGATTTTAGATATTTATACTGGGCTGACAGTGGTCAAAATCCGAAAATAGAAAGAGCATTTTTGGATGCTTCAAACAGAACAACAATGACTAGTGCTGGAGTTGTGTTTCCACGAGGAATAACAATCGATTATCAGACTCATCAAGTTTACTGGGTAGACGACCACACGTCGACTATTGAACGGGTGGGCAAACTGCAATATTTTCAATGTATGCGTCGATAGACTATCAGATAACACTTTAGACATTTGGGGCTCGAATCCTATTGCCCCCACTTAACCAGGGTGTCCCAAAATTGGTAGGCAATGACACGAGTTTCTTACTCATGACGTCATTCTCCCTTTGTCAAAAAAAATGGAATCAATAGGAGAGAATTTCTATCAGATAAAGTATATAATTCTTTGCAAATTGATCATGACAAAAGAAATTAATGGAGACGCAATCAACCTTCAGCAAATTTATTTCACTATTTGATAATTTTTGGTTGTATTCATACTTTCATATACTTCACATTCTAGATGGAATGGGATGGTACAAACGTTGTCATCATAAGATCAGGAAGGAACATACCAAGCCCGTTTGGAATTGGTCTTTATAAAGATAAAATGTATTGGGTTGATAGAAGCTATAAAAAGGTAAAATAACATAAAAAAAGACAATTTTTCCTTCAGAAAATGCGTGATTTCCTATTTAAAGGTCAAAAAATAAAGCTTCTCAAAAATTTCAGATTTTCATGGCAAGCAGGGATCCAGCAAATCAAGACGATGCTGTTGTCGTGAGAGACCATCTTGAAAGTCTGCAGGGTATTGCTATTTATACTGATGACGCTCAGCCGAATGACACTGTGAGCCTATTTACTTCCATATTTTTTATATTTCCTCTATACATTATTTACTGTATTGGAATCGCAAATTAAACATTCAAAGCTGGAGTCCTGGCAAGTCAATGTACTATTCGACTAGGATAATCTCTAGACGCCTTCGCCGCAGACATGAATATAATACGCGCGCACATGCTCGCGCAGCGATAACGAGATATCACGACATCCGTGCATAATGCGCATCTTGTTCCGGATTTGTTCCGACAGTGCGTAATATATGCGGGGAGATATGGTGAAAAATTATACAAACATTTTTAAACTAAACGATTCCAATCTTTGAAATTTATACTAACTTATAATTCAATAGAGTCTGACATGTGATCTGGCATCGTTAAATATAAATAATACTGAAACGTTCCAAATTATTCTTACTTTAGTCAAACCCATGTATAGTAAACAAAGGAGGATGTGAGCAACTGTGCTTTGGAACACCAGATAATAACAAGAAATGTGCTTGCCATACAGGAGAGTTATCGACTGATGGTACATCTTGCCAAGGTAATTATTTGAATGTATTGACTAATCATGTTGATAATCATAAAAGTGTGAGCGTTATTGACCAACGGTCCGCTCTGATTGAATTTATTGTTGACATGAATTACAAACAACGAAAAGAAGTACTTTAGTATCTTTACTGCATCAATACCAGGCAAGTCATACACGAATGCTATTCTGTTTACAGAAAGTTCACAATTTATTATTTACGGAGCGAGAGACAATATTTATTCATTCGGCGAAGATCCAGAGGACCACACTGCACCTTTCCAACCAGTGGCGCAGAAAAGCGCTCCAGTGTCGTTGACCTACGATACAAATGACAAACGAGTTTACGTTGGTTCAGTAAGTATAGTTGTAAAATATTTAAATCGAGAAGTAATCGATAAAAATTGAGATATGATTAAATTAGTGTCTTGTATACTATCTCACGCACCATCTCAGCATGGGATAAAGATGAACAACTACTCGAAGACGGGATTAATGGACACCCAAAACATGATGATTTTTAGGAGTACAAATCTCCCACAATAAATATGTTGTGATATAACGAGGGTGTGAATATCACTGCAATGACTGTATAACTAATCTGAACCATTAATATAGTGGTGGGTAACCCCAAAAAATGTTACTATTTTTTACAATCTCAATGTAAAAAATGGTAACATTATATTGGTCTACCCGGTATCTCCCAGAGTCCCAACTTTTTCTGATTTTTTTTTAAATATTTTATTACTGAGATTTAGTACACAAATTATATCCAGAAATTCAATAAATACTTTAAATTAGTAAACGAACTAACCCAATAGATGATTATTGTTACATATTACTGAAATCAACGACAATGAATTTTTAAAAATATCCTCAATTCGTTCTTTTCAACAGGGCGGAAAAATTAGCTACTTCGAATGGAACAGTCAATTTCCGTCAATGAAAGACATTCTAACAACTGAAATAAGAGCAGTAGAAGGTGAGATAATATCTTTAAAACTGATCTTATATGTATTAAAATAGTAATGCAGACATTCAACCTGATATTGATTATTCCTTCCTTTCTATTTTCGCGATAAGATACTCTGGATTCAATATTTATTTTACAAAAAATGAGTATAAAACGCAGACAAAGAGACTCGTGGAGATCGATCGATTCAAATAAATTTCAAAATGGCTTGATTTGACTTCATCTTTATAGTTCAATGATAGTATTATATTGCGATTTAGCCTGCGTAAATTTTCAAATTTAAAGAGAATGAAGGACATTATGATATTATACTAAATATAATTAGATTGGTAAATAGTCTAATCGAAACATTCCGATTCGAATTCAGTTCTGAAATGAAATTTTCAAAACTTACATCCCAAACAACTTACAGCTAACGATTTTAAATATTTCTGTTGGGCCAATTTTTTCATCACGTTTTGCATTTTCCACAATATTCATTCATAAAATTTTCTACATTCTATTGTTTTATTTCCGCCCAGGTCTCGATTACGATTGGGTTCACAAACGAATTTATTTCACTGATTATCTGAACCAGTATATTGGTCTTACTCATCTCGATGGTTCGAATACTTCCATCTTGATTCGAGGAGTGGAAAGACCGAGAGGAATAGCTCTCGATCCATGCAGAAGTATGACGTCAATTTTATTTCTAATTAATCTTTGTAAATTTCAAATGTTGAACAATAATTTTGACAATAATTTGGCTCATTATTTGCACAAAATGAGTGGTAACTACAAAACTTTTGTAAAATAAAACGATGTAGACCAACCGTCATAAAATGCACCTATCAAAAATACTTGTCAGGCTAAGATAAATACAACACCATACCAGCCCACCAAGTACTCCACGTGAACCAAAATGTCCCTATCGCACCATGCAAACTAATTACGACAAGTGTACAAGGTGCAGCTTAAATCGTACAGACAATTTAAATTACGTAAAATATCTTTAACAACAGACGCAGACTAAAGTCCACACTATTTACTTAAACCAAAGAAGCTTAATATAATTTTTGTAGATTTAATGTAACAGTACTAATGTATACTATTTTATTTTTATTGTTTCAGAATATATGTATTGGACTGACTGGGGTAACAGTCCAAAAATTGAAAGGGCTACATTAGCAGGAAACGTAAGGACTACTTTGGTAAATACTAATTTAAGATGGCCAAACGGACTCTCACTTGATCTTGATGAAGATAAATTGTACTGGACTGACGCGAATCCGTGAGTATTACTCTTTTTACTCTGAACAAGGATAAGCAGTCAACAATATTTGAAACCTACTATTTTTAAATACATTTATGTTATATATAAGATTCGGAAAAAAAACGGTTTGCTGAACCATTTTTCTACACATCTGCTCATAAAACTAGTAACAGAATTGTTGATAAGAATAATTTTTATTTTAACTTTTACAATATATTCCGTTTTACGTTCTAAAATTATATTATATTTGATATGCTATTGTCGATTGTTTATTTTATCTAATGTTTTGTGATACAGCAAATCAGCAATATTATGTTGTTTTAAGATAAACAAAACGCGGTAAGTGGAGTGTTTTTGCATAACAATAGATTCAAGGTTATGCGATATAGAAACTTGAGATTTAGCGTTATCTTTGTATAAGTTTTCTATAAATAAGTTTATGGACAATTAATCTTTGAATTATTCTGTGTTTCGTATAATTAACAACACATTATCCTATTCAGAAACAACGAAAAGATAGAAAGATGCAACTTAGATGGATCTCTCAGAGAAACTATTCTTTCCAGTTTCAATCATCCGTTTGATGTCACTGTACTGAATCAATACGTATATTGGACTGACTGGCAAACATATAAAGTTTTCAGGTGGAAATTTATTAATTCACAGCTGCTATATTGAAACACATACACGAATATGTTCATTTAGTCATTCGGAGAGTTTCCAAAAATGACTAATGAATTATATGTGTTTTCTAGTGGACTCAAGAAATATTATGTAACTTAGTAATTTTCTAACCACTGCGTTCAAAGAAAACATATTTGTGGTGAATGGTAATTGTCATTTTCAAATATTTAAAGTGGATTTAAGTAAAAACTATTTTTACAGTTCTAATTATTTGTATTAATATACATATTTTTCTCATAAAGTTTTCCAGTTTCACCAATAAAAGTAAAAAATTCATTATTATTTTTTAGTTGGAATACATACTCTTTTTATTGAATAACAATAAATGAAAACTCAAACTCATATCATCTTATATTTTAGAGCTAACAAAAATACTGGCGGACAAGTGAGTGAAATGGCTTCAGGAAATCAACAACCACTCGGAATAGTTGCGTATAATGCTGGACGTCAGGTTGAATGCACCGGAATTAATCCATGCGACAGGTATTGCATTCTGAAATCCGCCAAATCCAGCCCCAGATAAAAATTTTAAAAATGGTCAAAATATATAAAAGCAAGTCGACATAAACGTAAACTTTATTGTATAATTACCTATTTTTTACTTTGAATTTGAAATAGATTCAATGGAGGATGCAGCCATATATGTGTAGCAGGACCTGATGGTGAACCGGAATGTTCATGTCCGACAGGATATTATTTGACAAATCGTGGAAAGGATTGCATTTTGGATCGGGTAAGAAAAATAGAAAATAAGAGTAAATTATCTATATTAAAGGGAAGTTCAAAACAAATAGAAAATGATAACTTCATAATCAATAAACTATACTTCCAATTGTTATTCTCCTTATTCTTGTACATTGAAAAAGTTTCAATAAAATAGTGGAATATTTTGAAAAATTTCAGTAAGTTTTGATTATTATTTGAAATATTCTATCGCGATATGGTATTTTTTTTTGTTTATTTCATTTGTCTTAAAGCCTCGCTATAACTAGAATTTAAATCTTATTAAGTTTTTGAATATCCCATACTAATCGTTGACCTTACAACACCCGGTTGAATACAATTCTTTTTTGTTTAAAGGTATATTTACATTTTTAACTCTATAGTATCCATCATTACTCTCACCCCACCGACCCAAAGTTAATTTTTTTTCCTATGAGCCTACGTCATAATTACAATTCTTTCTCCAATTGTTTTAGGTATAAAACGTTTTTTATGACATATCATTTTTCCTGTTCTACTGTGTATTTGATGATGTTCATTGAAAAATAATTCAATGCTATATGTTGTGGTTTAGGAAGGCGTTGAAAGATGTGATGAAGACGAATATACTTGTTCTAATGGATGGTGCACAAGTTATGAATATGTTTGTAATACTTATAATAACTGTCCAGACGGTGCCGATGAATCTGACAGGACTTGCGGTGAGTAAAAAAATATCTTTTATTCAACATTGAAAATAAAATGCAAATATAAAAGCATAGGTAGTTGGGAAATGGATGTTTGCACTATGATTTGTTTGCTGTGAGGGTGCGAGTTAAGGATTTTGATTAAAACATTTCTAATTCCTGGAGAGATAATTTGCAACAAAACGAGAAAAAGTCTCTAGTTACTTTAATCGGGGACACCGGTGCTGTTATTTCCAACTAAATTTTCGAGGTCCCACACGCCAAAATTGTGACTCTATTGCATGTTTTTTACGGTGACCGTACATTTGAACCCATGTGCATATCCGCGGGTTCAATCTATATGCGGGTGCTAAAACCATGGGTAGGGTTGGTATGGGTTCAAATATCCGTAAAACAAAAACAACTTCTATACTCTTTAACATTTTTTGAATGTTTCAGCTGATCATGTTTGCCCAGCAAATTATTTTACTTGTCCAAATAAAAGATGTATCAGATTGTATAATGTTTGTGATTATGATGATGATTGTGGAGATGGGGCAGATGAAGAAGGGTGTGGTAAGTAGGTTCTTGTATTTGGAGTAGTATATGATATGCTCTAGTCATAATGAAAGGGAGTTTTCACTTTACAATGCACTTTTATATATCATATACCATAAATCCATAATGTAACAAACGTAACGTACTTTTTCTCTAAAAAAATTTTGTTTTTGCAAAATGCTGTATGTCAAGATAAATATAAAATTGAACATCTTTATAGTATAATGTTTTGTAAAAGTGTCGTTTTGTTGATTCATTATGTCCTCGTGTAACAGATTGCACCCCCCCCCCCCCCCCTCTCTCTTAATATAACGACAATACCTTGTCGTGCAGATCTGTAGTTGCACTTTACTTTAACTGAATTGAACTGTATTCCGAAATCAAAAGGTTTATAGGAATTCATATATATATAATAACGCAGGACAAGAGCGAGAATGTCACATGTTTCATGACACCCACATACCAAAAACTTTCAATTCTGTAGTTATATTCAGAAGTACAAAACATACTTGGAAAGATAACCAGTTGTTCAAATGTTAATATTTCTAGCACATCCAACTTGTAGGCCAGGTGAATTTACTTGCAAATATGGAAGATGTTTACCTCAATCACAAGTATGCAACACATACGACAACTGCAGAGATGGGGAAGCATCTGATGAACTTGATTGCCCCAATCCTCAACCATGCAGGCCTAATTATGTTAGTACTCAAACTTTATTACTCTCACATTTCATTGTAATGTAACAATTTTTGGTTAATTGGTGAATTATGAGAAAAGTATCGATTCATGTTATATTCGTTTTATTTATTCAAGAATGATAATAATAATGTACAGAGTACAGAGCATATAAAGTTACACCGATTGGTTACAAATATTAATGAAGTTGTGCTATTTTGATTAGGCATTTTCTATATTTATTGCATGATGCATCAAAAATGTACACACTTTCCACTTTTGGATAACATCCTGCGACCCAGCAAAAAATTAATTGATAGTTCTGATTCATTTTTGTTTTTTGATAAAGCATCTAAAACTACTTTTCGTGCTAATTAAAGAATCCTGTTTCAGGTAAAATGTGAAAACTCTAACGTCTGTCTGTGGTATTATTATGTTTGCGACGGTGATGATGATTGTGGTGATAACAGCGATGAATCACCCACTCATTGTGGTATGTTTCATATTTTTTAAACTCAATTTGTTGATTGGAATCAACAAATGCTTTTTAGTATTTAATGTAGTGGTATGTAATGAGTTAAATTCATTAGCATAGCGGAGAGATTCACTGTCAAGATATCAGACATAACGAAACATTGTAGTCAAATCGAAATTTTGGTCTATATTGGATAAAATTAACATATTTATCGCGGTTAGAGGTAAGCCGATAATATGACTTAATCATATGGCGAACCATGGCCTCTCTTCCGGTTACCAGTCGATGTTGGTAGGGAATTAGTTAGCCAGTTATTTGTTTCAGACGTATGGACTTGACCAGCGGTCACGTTAATCACCCTACGGTGGCCAGGATTCCAGCAATCCTCTCGTACATAATAATGCCCATGGGATTCGAACTCACGGAGAGTAATCAGAGGTGCGGTGGCAAGCAAGCTTATTCCTTGCTCTTAGCACGATGCGCCACATCCTCGAGGTAGGGAAGTGCGTTGTTCTAAAAATTTGTTCAATTTTTCATTTCAGCTGCCAAAACATGCCCCACCGGTAACTTTTTATGCGATAACAAACTCCGATGCATTCCTTCATATTGGCTTTGTGATGGAGATCAAGATTGTAGTGATAATTCTGATGAACCGGATACTTGTGAGACTGGCGAATTTACCTGTCCAACAGACACGTTCCGATGTGACAATGGAAGATGCATTAATATTAATTGGGTTGGTTAATATTGAATGCTTTGTTCTGATTATTATGTTATTTTTATTAGGTCATAATCGTAGATAATTTTTATTGTAGATAATTATACTCTAAATGCATTGTTTATATTTGTTATCAGACGATTGCAGATAGTTGTTAGATGATTTTTATTGTGAATAATTTTACTTTGAATGAATGCATTGTTTATATTTATTATTCGTAGCAAAGGAAATGCCATTGTCACTGTCTACATTTTATATAGAATGTTAATTATAGAGTATGCTTACTCAATTATTATATATACATTTTACGGGCAAGATCTACCGAGTACGAGTAAGTACAGTGAAAATCATTTTCATTTGAATCAGGTTTGCAACGGTTATGACAATTGCAATGATGGATCAGATGAAGACGAAAGACACGGATGTTATCAATCAACATGTGAACCTGGTGAATTTAAATGCGATAGTAATCCTTTGGGATATTCAAGGTAAGTAAATTAATATTACTATAATAATGCAATTGAAAATAATTCTCAGCCATAACATATCAGATTTAGCGATAGTTTTCAAGGCTCGGCATTGTGGCGCTGCATTAGCAATACGATCGCCACCGCACCTCTGATTATCCTGCATGGGTTCGCAGTTTGGAAGCCCATACGGGATAATCACGTGAGAGGTGATTCCTGATGAATACTTCGGCGCCGTAGGGTGGTTCACGTAATCACTGGTTGGTTACTGCTTCCTCCACCATCGAGTCTAAGCATTTGAAACAAATAACAGTCTAACTAATCCCTATGGTCAAGGACTGGACTGGAAACTAGACGAGGACCATGGTTCGCCATATGATTAAGCGTATTATTGGTTATACTCTCCCCAGGTGCGCAGCATTACATAAATACCTATTTTATAAAAAAAAACTCAAAATCGCCAAAAATGACTTGCGCAATTCGGTTATTTGCGTGACGATATGTAAATCCTATCCCGCCTATAAGCATATTATCTTTTAAATTGAAATAGAAACATTTTTTCAATTGAATTTCAAAATACATGAACAATGTTATTTCATTTCAGTAGCCAATTTGTAATATTCATTTCCAGTTTGTTAGTTAGATAGGAGTGCGTAATAATGAATCAATATGCACAAACTTAATTTCTAATCATAGAATCACGCTACTCATATAGAACGAATCATTATATATCTTATATCTGATATTATTTATCTGCATATTTTTTTACAAAGATGTATTCCGAGTTACTATGTTTGTGATGGTGATCCAGATTGTTCTGATGGAGCGGATGAATTTCAAGATGGATGCGAAAGAAAAAATTGTTCGAGTTATCAATATCAATGCGCTAATGGATTGTGTATTTCTTCTTATTATGAGTAAGATTTATAGCAGAATCTTTAAAATGAGCTGCAGCCACATATCATGAGTATCTCTCTATTAATCTCCTACTAATTACAAAGAGAAATAAATTTTTGAAAATTGCAATTTTTATTTTACAATCGTGATAGCCATAAGGCTCAAAAATGCGCATTATAAGCCGGTGCGCCTTATGCGTGGATCAGATTGTGCCTTATTCTTTATTGCCTACACTCGAAAACAGTAACGGTACTATGGTTTTACGTTTTTATTGAATAAAACACAATAACCCAAAAAATATTGAGTTCTTGTCTAATGAGCTTCGTATGGCAACCCGTTCCTCCCCAAAAATCGTTTTTAGGCAATTTATCGACGGTGCGCATTGTAGTCCGATGCGTCTTATATTCCGTAAAACTTGGCAGTTGTGCAATTCAAATGTTATCATTTTTTCGTGTTTATCCGTGACCATAATTAGAAGTTTAGATGCCTATGAAACCGGTAAATACCCTTAGCAAACTATATAACAATATTCAATAATATTAGATGCGACCATGACAATGACTGTGTCGATGGAAGTGACGAAGGTACTCACTGTGAATATAAACCGTGCAGTTCATCATATCAATTTACTTGTGAAAATGGGAAATGTATTTATAACTGGTATCGATGTGATGGTGATAATGACTGTGGAGACAACAGCGATGAGGAAGACTGTGGTATGATTTTAGGCAATATTTAAATGTAAAATAGAATTTCTCTGTTATCAGTTTTTATTTTATATTTTATCTTTACCTAAACTTACTCACACTGGATTGATATAAATCTCGTCATCAGTTCATATCATTTATTCATTTTTGATAACCTAAATTTTATGGAAGACTTAGTTCTTATTGAGTTTTTGCCAATGTACGTGGCGGATATTGTTATCCAGATATCTCTGGTATTTGTCTGTTATTTTGAGTAATGTTGGTTCAACGACAACCAAGAAGTACAATCAGAAAATATTTATTTAATAAATTTTAAAAGGGCGTTATAATTTTTATGTATCACTGCAAATACCGCAAAATTGCATTAAAAAATAACGGCCCATCGTGTGCCTTCCCCCCAGGTCACGCCTATGTAAAACTGTAAATACATCCTAAAAAACAATCAATCGATTTTGCAGAGGAACCTGAAGTCACGTGTCCTCCCGGGGATTTTATGTGTAACGATGGAACCTGCATAGACATTCATCTTATTTGTGATTCAAGAGATGATTGTCCAGATAGGAGTGATGAAGAAAAATGTAACATAAACGAATGTGACAACATTTCATCAAATCAATGTGGTCAACATTGCGTTAACACTCCAACTAGTTATTATTGCACATGCGATGATGGTAAGATTATATTTCCCCATGTAATGTATTCTGATTCACCACCAACATCGATAGCAGTTTCTATTCTAGAGCCTTTTTGTGGGAAAACTCTAAAACAACATATTATAATGAAATCAAGTTCAAGCCCGGTGCTTGTTATCTTACCTCAGCTGTAACAAACGATGTATAATCATCATAAAAGCTATTTTCATTACAAAAATAATTTGAATTGATTTTTTCGAAATTTACTGTTCGATGGATTGAGCCCAATTTATGCTTCTTTTTTGAAACGTATAAAATTGGACAAGGTATATTGCATTTTTGGTAACTTTTCTCTCGAATTTCGCAGTTTTTGTAGTGATCAATCTTATTTACATTTAGAGGTTTCAACTAATTAATAATTTTACTTCATATTAATGACGTTTGAATTGAGACTGAATCTCTAACTAAATAATACTGAAACATAAAATACCTACAAATCTATGGGTTTCTGATTTATTCAGGATATCGTCTTCTTGATGATGGTAAAGCATGTGAAGACATAAACGAATGCAGTGAAACACCATGGGTTTGCTCGCAGTTGTGTGAAAACATGGAAGGATCATATTTCTGTAAATGTGCTAATGGTTACTTACGTGAACCAGACGGAAAAACATGCAAACAGAATTCTGGAATCAATCCATATCTTTTGTTCAGTAATAGGTAAGAACTGAATTTCCTAATAAGTTTATCAAATCGCTAAATAACGACTGACGATCGTTGTTTTTTCAAATTTCTACATTTCTTTCAAAAGTGTTATTATGAATCAAAACTATTGAATATTACAGTTTTGGCTATAAATATTACTATCAATCTGCGACCTAATTTTTCTACATGACTGAGTAATCAGAAAAAGGTTTTATTTGAATGTTAATTCGCAGCCTTTAACATTAAGGAATCTGACTAAAATACCGGTTTATGTCTACCTATGACTTCCAACGTAACTCTAGTATAATAAAAGCAGACGATTCCTTACTTCCGACACTCATCTTTTAGTTTGAATTTCCACGAACTGTCAAACACTATTGCATATACAGATACTACATAAGAAACCTTACTACTGATGGAAGATATTACTCAATAGTCGAACAAGGGTTTGATACAATTGTTGCTTTGGACTACCATTACAAGTACGAGTATATTTCAGTTTCTATATTTCACCTAGATTTTTCTCATTGAATAAGACTATACTGAATGTGAGTAAATACTAGACGGAGTGACATCATTCATTTGTCTTAGCTGGATCAGGTCATGGTTGTGTCGCTGAACTGATTATGGTGTTCGGAACCCAGTTCTCTATCATGCTTGCGTCTAATTTACATAAAATAAGAAACCCATGTCCAATATCCACAATTTCAACAGGTATACTGTAAAAATTTATTTTGTCTTTCCCAGACATAAAAATTTACCAGAAATTTGGAAATTACATCAAAAATGTTGGAACTCCTGAAGTATGCGCACCAAGATGTCGCACAACCTGAACGCTAACCTGGTACACAGACTGAGTTCAGGTTGTGCGCCATCTTGGTGCGCATAGTTCAGGAGATCCAAAATGCTACTTATTCTTTTTATTTTGTAGGGAAGAAAGAATTTTCTGGACCGATGTTACAAGAGGAAGAATAGAAAGCATGAAGTTTGATGGCACTGATCGAAAAATCCTGCACAATAGAGAGATACCGAATGGAGAAGGGTTAGCTGTAGAATGGGTAACAAAGAAATTGTATTGGGTACGTAAATTATATATATTTGTATATACGTATTTTAGTGGTCATTTTAGATTCAGATCGTATTTAGACATTTACTCTGTTCACCAAGTAGGATATTTTAAATGTTTCTCTCTCCGAGCAAGATTAAATACAAGCGCACAACACACACAAAATTTGAATTCATGTTGTTAGGTTTAGTACAATATATGGATAGATAGTACCTAACAGATATCAAAAGGGTCAACAACAAAAAGGTTGAGGGTCGAAAGCCCCATTTTGAAATTTAAAAAAGGGTATTTGTGTGTATATATCATACACAAGAATTATTTGTAGTTCGAAACGCTTTTTATACCCTCAAGACTTATGAAAATTTTGGAATCGCTAGCTAGCTGTTATGGCTTAACTTGGCAATTGAAAATTTCGTAACCTCACTCTAAAAATTTGTGGCTCCGCCCCTGGGCAACAGACTAAATCGAATTCTTCAGCATACTATGACTTTAATACACATACCATAGTGCCACAGTTCCATTTTTGTGTCTTTGTAGATGTGTGTGTTGTATAAGTGTGTCAATTGCGTCAACTGATGTATAAATATCACCAAAAAAAGTCAACCTATTGTAATGCTCCGAATGGCATCACTCGTCATTTTCTGGTTGTCAGTTTATTGAAACAGCATCTACAAATAAACTTTTTGTTTCAGGTCGATGCAAACTTAGATAAAATGTTTGTATCGGAACTCAATGGAACAAATCTTTACACTTTATTGGAAGGATGCATTGACTCTAACAATACTTTCTGTTTTGACCAACCACGAGCGGTCGCTGTTACCCCAAAACATGGGTGAGAGCCATTGTTTTTCTTCATTTTTCGCATAAATCTTTCGCCTTTTACTAAAGATTTCCGTGGAGAGGAGCATACAATGAGTCTTTGCGATTTTTAAAGCCCATCATGTACTGGGTTCATAAAAAAAAAAAAAAAAAATGGCTGACGTATTATGTAGTACCGAATCGCTTTATATCTGAAATTAAGAGTTGTAATTTGAACAGTTATTTTATTTTTAGTTTTATCGGGAAAATTTGTAATAAGTGGTAATAAGAACTAATGTTCTAAACTTGTAGATGCATCCCAATGTATCATCGTTTGAAATCCAGCGTGTATAGCGTGTTTCTATTAATTGAAATTCTGTAACAATTAGTGTTTCATAATTGAGTTGAATTATTCCAACAAATTTTTATTATAGGAAATTTATTCCATTAATTAATCAATAATAACATTTTATTATTTTTAAGATATGTTTATTGGAGTGATTGGGGATATCCAGCTTACATCGCAAGAGCAGGCTTGAACGGGCATAATCCAGAACTGATCATTACAGAAAAAATCAGCTGGCCCAATGCACTTTGTATTGATTACGTCACAGAAAGACTGTACTTTGGAGATGCTCACTTGGATTATATTGAGTGAGTTTGTAGTGAACAAATTCAAAAGTTCAGGTTACAAGTCATTTAAATAAATGTCAGCGGATGTGTTGTCCATTGTGACTGCATAATTTCCCAACAATTAGTCGCTGAGGACTGGATTTTATTTGAAAAGAAAATCCAATGATATAAACTATGCTTTAATGCTCGAATATGTACACGCTATGGTATATAGATATAGTTTACTCATGAATTTAATATTAATTTTATGTAAATCTGCTAAAAGTAAGGCTGCAAACCCGAAAACTAAAAGCCACTGAAGCGAAGTTATTAAACTACAGAATGGGGATTATTCATGCAGAATTATGAAAAAAAATTTATGGGATTTGTTTCTAGTCTTTTAGCCTAGCTGGGAAAGTTTACCTGAATGCTCGACGACAATTGCCACAATCTACGCAGATGCTAATATTATTTAATTCTTTTTTCTTAGATATTCCAACCTTACAGGAGGAGAAAGATTCAGAGTTAATTTGGAGCCACATACACCACCACACGCATTTTCGATCACTGTTTTTGATGGTTATATGTATTGGACTGATTGGAACACATTGTCACTCTATAAGGTGATTTCTAGTTTACTTAAGAGGAAACTCTTATGATATGCCCATGATTATGTCATATTGGAAGAATTTAATTGTATGTACCGGTAATCAAACTTCTTGTCGGTGTGTCGCATCGTGCTAAGCGTTATGAATACGCTCGCAATCGCTCCTCTGATCACCCTGGCTGGTTCGAATCTTGGGGAAGATTGCTGGACTCCTCGCCGCCGCAGGGGGTCCACATAACCACTGTTTGCTTACGGCTTCCACCGCCCTCAAGTTTATTCATTTGAATCAAATAACCGGCTAACTAACTACATACCCGGCATGGAGTCGTAACCGGACTAGTGAGGCAGTGATACGCCATATGTTGAAGTCGTCTTATTGGTTTTCTTCTCCCTGGGATAAATATGAAAATCCTATCCTATCCTAATACAAAACAAACCGCAATTTCCCAATAGTAAGAGATATACGATCCGATTACAACTGCTTTTTCAGTTGATAAACGTAAGCCCAACAGCCTCGTCTAAATCAAAGATATTTAGTAGGTTCGACCGTTTCGAAAGATTTTGGTCTCTGTCAAAGCCACAACAATTTTTTTTACCATTTTAAATAATGCAAGTATAAAATAATTTGTCTGGAAATTTGGTAGTTTTGCATGTTGGTATCTTTTTTAAAATATCATAAACTCACTTGAGAGGTTCTAAAGTAAAGCAATAAATGAACCCTATCTGTTTCAATTTAAGCGTGTTTGTTCAGTTAAATAAGCGCAGTTGTATTCTGACTGGTGTAGAAAACCCCACATTGTCCATGAAATGATCACAAAAAGAACTATTTGGGTCGGTTACAAAATTTCATGCAAGCTCACAAACTTGAATATTTTAGGCAAATGCATTGGATGGAAGCGATTACGGGGTTATGGTGAACGCAACACACAGAGCATACGACGTCCATGTAGTTCATCCATACATGCAAGATCACACTAGTAAGTAACGACTATTATAATTTTGTGAGAAGTAAATCCGAGAGAATCGACAAAACGAGAGAGTGCAGGCTAAGGGGATCAATTTCATACTCACAACTCCACCAAGAGTGTGTAATAAATTGCGTGGGCAAGGTCTAACCGGGAAGTTTAAGGCATTTTCAGAAATAGTAACTCCGGCATGTACGGAGTATGCGTGAAAAACTATAAAAAAAAATCGAAATAATTTTGGTGCTGGAAATTGTTGAAAATGGAAAAATGGTTTAAGACCTTAAAATGGATCCAATTGATCGCAGCCACGAAACACGCTTTTTGAATCTTTTTCTGACCGTAGTTAAGTTATTTATAATTAGATAAAAGGCTAATTTATGTTTTATTACAACTCTAGTGGCCAAAGCGTAAACTATTGTTTAACCGGTACTCAGTTCCGTTTGTCGTATTTTTTAACTTTTCACTAATTTTCAATACATTAATTTATTCTGTGGAATAGCTTCTTGAATAAATCCTAAATGATTTAGTTTTTAATCACTTGTCCATTCAGTACCGAACCCATGCAGTATCGACAACGGTGGATGCACTCACCTATGCTTACTCCACCCTGGTGGAGGATACAGTTGCTTGTGTCCAGATCACTTCGTTCCGATATTTGTTGGATTCAATGTTCGGTAAGTACGGGGAATTATTTGTTTTGTTTTTCTTTATAAGCATATCTTGTAATCTACTTTAAACATTTAATACTAAGAAATTTTTCGTATAGATTCGAGACTTAATTTTTTGAGCAGTAAAAGTTAGGTCTATTATCAATATCCCTGCAAAGTTACTTTCGAAAAATAATTATTATTATATTGGGGCATTACCAATGAAAATTATTAATGAATTTCCGCCAACTTCTTTATTACTGTTTTGGCCCCAACTTGATCTCCATGACGCAAATTCTATGTGCTGTTCACCCCCAAACAGATTGATTAACAAGGTATAACTTGTTTTGGGATTCCAGGCATTTCAGAAACTTTTCATTTTAATTTACTTGTTCATATTAGACACTCACAGATTACAACTAATTAACAAGTTTACGTTCTGGTTTGGTTATAATTGCTTTTAATTTTATAAGATGTGTCGCTATGTGCACTTCTGCTCAATTCCGATGTGAAGAGAATGAAAAATGCATTCCATTTTATTGGAAGTGTGACGGCGTAGAAGATTGTCCTGATGGAAGTGATGAACCGGATGTTTGCCGTATGTTGGATTTTTAAATCATCAATTTATGGATTTTAAAACTTTTACCTCGCGTTTCAGGACATTTATTCTCAATTCGGTCATGTCTTATTTTAAGATAGCCTAAGAGCCATTAAAATTATTCTATATGTGTTGTGTAGTCGGTGCTTTTTTTGTCACTTTATTGTTATTATTTACTTGGCACGAGAAGACTGTTATAATATACTTAGCCGGTAAATTTACCATGTTACGCAAAAAAATATCTGAAAAAATGATTTAATCTTCTCATCAAATAACAAAATTGTATAATAGAATAATGTGCTTACTTTTTTTAATTTATGTGATTCTATTTTAGCACCACGAGTGTGTGATGTTGGTCAATTTCAATGCGACAACTACAAATGTATTCCCCCAAATTATTTCTGTGATCATGACGACGACTGTGGTGACGGAAGCGACGAAGAAAATTGCGGTAAATGATTGATATATAAGATATAGATAAAAAAAATTAATAAATACTCATATTTTGATTGAAAAAACAAAACAACTGAATGAATTCTAAAGATTTCATCAAGTGTGCATGGTCGTTTTTGTATTTGAAATAAATACAAACTTGAAATATTTTTCTTGTTTAGATGAATATTCTTGCCTGCCAAGTCAATACAAATGCGACAATGATAAGTGTATCAGTAATTCGCTATTGTGTGACGGCACAGATAATTGTGGAGATGGTAGCGACGAGGAGTCTGGTTATTGCGCGTGAGTAAAGCAATATCAACTTTGCATAAAGCTATTATGAAGATTTCAAAGCTTCAAATTACTCAATTACCATGAGCGCTGGGCATTTTCGAATACTTGATAGTTTCAGAATCAAATCAAATTTTAGATACTTATTTCATTAATAACTCACTAGAAAGAAAAGAGTCAGAATCGCATTTGAAAATTATGGCTTCCTTGAAAAAATTGAGGAATTTACCTCGACCTATTGCGGACAAAAAAGAAAGATGGCGGCGATTCAAAATTTTCGTCTGAACCGATTCGAATAATTTACTATTCAATTCGATTTAAAATGCCCATTCCTTATCACCATTTTATCAGTGTAGGTCGAAAAAGAGACTTCGTCGTTAAGATGGAGATATCTCTACCATAAAGTTCTCAATTGACTCGCCTTTGAAACAGGTCTTTTAGACCCGTAACTTTGTGTAAAGCGTAAAATTCACCATTTACATGTTGTTTACTTTTCATAACTAGCTTTAAGAATCTAATAATATAACTATTTGAACAACACTCTTTCAGAACTCACACCTGCTCCCCCGGAGATTTCAAATGTGACAACGGACATTGTATTCCAAAATCATGGGTTTGTGACGTCGATGATGATTGTGGTGACAACAGCGATGAACCTTATGCATATTGCAGTAAGTGGATGATTTAGGTCTTTCAACCTTTTGTGACTAGATTTTGCCAATTACTCCACGAATAAATAAAAATTACGATATAAACTATTTTTCAATTACCAAAAAAACTTATTGTCACTTAATACAAAACAGACCCGATTCAGATAATCTTTTAGCTCAAAATTATTAAATTTAGAAATAGCAAATTATTGTAATGTTTAAATTATTGTAATGTTTTGACATAATTGAAGCCTCGTCTATATTGTGTTTTCAAAATTCAAAATGTTTAAAGCTTTTATTAAATACAGCCTTCAGTCAGTATATTTTAAAATGAATGACCAGAAAATGGAGATCAAAATTAAAAGGAGTGACATACTCATTTAATTTAGTGTGTATTCATCTTCCGAATTCACACGCGTAAGATTCATAACAAAATATATTCATCTCAGGTGGACCAGATCACAGATGTGATGAACATAGTGAATTTGCATGCACAACAAACTACAGGTAAAAACAAAATAACTTTATAAGATGTACTCGTATTGATTAATATTCTAGGAATGGGAAAATTTTTTATTTGACTCAGGATTCGGATAGATGAGAAATTGTCTTATCTCCGAGTTCAAGTAAAAAATTTTATGTACAACTACAAATTCCGGGTGATATATTTGCTGCAAATGTATGCTGAAGTCAATTCTATTCCGTTTAGAAATATTGACTCCCTACCTCAGGCTTGACTCCAACTTGAATATCACTAAAATGACGCAGCTGTACTACATGGCGTACTGTTACGTGAAAACTTTCTGCTATATTTTTAGGCCAGCAGTTTACTCTTAACTAGCCATTTTCCTTGCTGTATTTTTCTGCAATATTCTGGGGATAAAATTGAACCTTATTTTTGTAGGTGTATTCCAACCTGGGCACGATGTAACGGATTCGATGATTGTCGGGACAATTCAGATGAACAAAATTGCCCTGAGATTACATGCCATCCGTAAGTATATATTATATTCAAATAGGTAGCATAATTTCGGTATTGTTATTTGATCAAATATATGAGATTATATATGAGAAGGATGACTTTGTATTTAATAGAGTATTTTTCCAAATGGTTGTTGCTTTAACAGTGATCAATCTACTATTTTAACACATATTTTGCGATGTTTTTTTCAATGATTGCACACGATTTTGATCGAGTGTCTGTTAAATGCCAGTGCAACTGGTGACTGTACTACCTGCTGTGATTTCCCTGGCTTTTTACTGATATATGTTTGTTAGCAATTTCCATCATTACCAACTCATTACCAACTTGGGCGATCTGTTCTACTAAATTGACTTTGAACCGTGTTTTGAAACTATTTTCGTTTACTATTTTTATTGACATATCTCAGATAATATCAACTAGTCAATAAAGTCCTTCTCACTTTTCAGCCTAAATAATTAATATCCCCTAGTATAAGAACTACTTGAGTATAGCCAAGTCAAGCCACATTTCATAATATTTCAATCATAAATTTATTATATTATATTCGAAATTAAAACAATAAAATATCTTTTTTTGTATACATTCAGAGACGATTTCCGTTGTACAAATCATAAATGCATTCCTGGAAGATGGCAATGTGATAATTACAACGATTGTGGTGATAACTCGGACGAACAAGGATGTGCACCAAGAGCATGCTCAGAAAGTGAATTCAAATGTGACAATCAAAAGTCAGTGAGACTTGTGATATTCTTTCTGTCACATTTACTCGTCCTATTCGGTATACATTGGGAATAATTAGCAATATGTGTAGCTAAAAATCTATGTGTTCGTACAATAACACAATTGTAAGCACAATGACGCAATGGGGGGCTAATTGGGGCGTTATACAGATGCTTCGACGGAGATACACTTATCAATGGAAGATAAAGCTCGGTTATGAAGTATCAAAATATTATTACAATATTATTTGGGTTAAACATAAGTAAATCATATATTTTATAGCCGTAAAAAGTGAATTAAAATTCATGGATCGTCCGTGGGCCAAAACATCTGTTCCGAGACGTGCTTGGGCCGAAACATGGTTGGGCCAAAACATCTGGTCCGAAACGTGCTCGGGCCGAAACGTCTGTAAGCCAGTGGAGCTTGGATTCGCTGTCTTGGTATTCGGGGTTTAAGATCTCGAGTTTATTCTGGGTGTTGAACTGGAAATATATATCCATAGATCCAACAATGGAAACTTCATCAGTATCATGCTGATTGTTTGGTCAGTCAGATCCCATACCCGACCTGGACTGATAACCGGACGAGAGGCCGTGATTCGCCATATGATTAAGCCGTCTTATAGGCTTTCCTCTCCCCCGGGATAAATATGTAAATCCTATCCTATCTTTGTTCAAATTGGATATATTGAGCCAATAAACCAATCAGTGATTGGATTTTATAAACGTAGGTATAATGATTTTAAGCAGAAGTGTGCTGGTACGCATCACTTTACAATTTTGTTACCGTATTTTAGGGACCATAAGACGCATCGGGTTATAAGGCGCAACCGGTAGGGTACTCGTTCTGGTTTTGATTATAAGCAATCAAGCATGAAGCACTAGATCAATTTCAAGTAATAAAAAAAATTTAAAGTGCGCCATTTGGTCCATAACATACGGTAATACTATTTGATGAAATTTAAAAAATAAGGCAGAACAAAAACTATGAATAACAATTTTTCCGTAAATCATATTGTGTAAAAATGTTAAAATTATTTCTCAGATGTATTCCTGGATCGTGGTTCTGCAATCAAGAAGATAATTGCGGAGATAATTCTGATGAAAGAGGCTGCGCATCGCACACTTGTCAGCCAGGTATAACTGTTTCCAAACGTTATTGCCACAAAAACCGGACATTGGATTATATAGCTTTTTTACATATATTGCTGTCGTGTTATGCTTCATTTTTTTTTATTTGATATTGTTCTAGTTCAAATTTCACAAAATCTGAAATTAAAAAAATATATATTTTTGTTTTGTTCTACCTGATTTATGCATTGGTACAAATATTGCAATACACTAATTATGGTTATATATACCTATAGATATATATTTTGCATAGTATTATAACTTTTTGCGTTTCCATGACGCTTCAATGATGATTAATCCAAGGTTTGACGGGCTTTGATTCGGTGCTCCGCTCGATTCTGTGTAGCATATAACATATTATCTCTTGATAAAACTGTAAATATTGCTGTTTTGTTATTGTGTGAAACGATCACGAAAGAATAGGTGAACGCCACTGAATGTAGCACTAAAGATGGTTTAGATTTGAGCAAGTATCAGTATTATTCAAACTATATCCTTGCAGAACTGCATAGCTCAAAAGTTTGTTCCTGATGTTTTGATAAAAATATTTCCAATGAAATTATTTTCTCGCCAAATTACTCCTACAATGGTACATTTTACACATTGCTATCAAAATACTTTACTCCACAATTTTTTTAGGATATTTTGAATGCACCTCCGGACATTGCATATCCGAAGTCCTTCTGTGTAATGGAGTGCGAGATTGTCTAGATGCGAGCGATGAAGCACCTTGCGAACCTAAGTTTCCCGGCGGAAAATACTGTCCAGTAGATGTCAAATTTGAATGTAACAATCATGTTTGCATTAACCCCAAGTACGTTGTGGATTGTTCATTTTTTATTACTATCCTGTTATCTACTTCAACTTTTGGTCAATTTTCAGGCAATAAAAATACTGAAATAGAGGAATTGATAAAACAATAAATTCTAGAAAGCAATTTTCAAATATATGGATATGAAAGATCAAATGTCAAACGAACGTGTTCTCGTACACAAAGCTAAATTGTGCTTATTAATTAAAGGAAATTTACGACAACAGCAATGTAGCGAAACCATCAATATGTGTGCATCATGTCAAATAATTTTTAACATTTTTAGTTTCCGTTGTGATGGGGATAACGATTGTGGAGATGGTTCAGATGAAACACCCGCAGTTTGCCGTAAGTAACATCACCAAGTACATGCTAAATCATTAATAGTAATTTTCAAGCGATTCAATATTTCAATGTTACAGTATAAACAAAGTTAGGTGATATGGATCGCTACATCTCGTCAGTATTACATAAAACTCAAGTTATCACATTGCTGTTCGGGTTGAACTCAGGATAAAAGCGTGCTGACCAAGAAGCATTTGAATTCAATGGTTTCCAACATACTAAAATACTATAACGAAGTCAAATCAAACTATGTTAGTAATAAGACAATTATACGTCGTGTCGGGCTTTGCGTTCTAATGATATATAAAACATTTGACAATTGACGCCAATATTATTGGGCGCTCCAGAAGTGTGTGTGTGTACCAATATGGGGGTAACTAATTTGTTCGCCGACTTCAAATCAAGTTGTTTAAAGGGACTGAAACCTATGGGCAAGGGGTATATTCACTTGGCTAACACAGACAGTCTCCGGACTCGTAATAGAGATAAAATAAGGAAACTCGGAATAAATTTATGACCTAACCCTTACCCGGTACATACACTATGGAAGTACCCCATATTTTATCATGCACAGTTACGTTCATATTTAAACGTTTACCATGTATATTTAGTTATTTTTCGTAGAATTACCCAGTAATTTCATTTTAGTCACTATCCCATGTACAACACCATTTTACCGGTGCAACCAAACATTCATTTGTATCTCCGGACAAGAAGTTTGCAACGGTGTCGATGACTGTGGTGATGGCACAGATGAAGATATCGGATTGTGTTCTCCTCCTACACCTGGATATAATTGCTCGTTAGTATCACGACATTGTATGGTTTTGTGCTTTGTCTGTAATTGGTAATTTTCAAACTACAGTGTGCCGGATTCTATAACGTCTTAACATAGAAGCAATCTCGTGTTTCACTACCTTTGCCTAGTGACTAGGTCGACTCTACTTTCATTATTGGAATTACTTGATGTTTTTCTGGCAACAGTGAATAACCGCTTTATCACAAGACTTCTGATTACTTTAGTAGATTAAAACTGTTAATGAATTATAATAATTATCTTATTGCTATAAAAATACCATTTGCAGATTTGAATCGTACAAATGTATAAATGGCAATTGTATTCCCAAATTAAAACAATGCGATGATGTCAACGATTGTGGAGATTTATCAGATGAGATTGGATGCCGTGAGTTTATTTCTCCTCGATAGAGATAGAATATAATAATACATTTATTTTTATAAATCCTATTTTTAGCCCTACTGATTTAATAGATTATGGTTTGAGTAAATCACACTCGTTTTATGTTTATGTTCCCTTAACAATATGTGTTCATCAATATGGATTTGTTGGTTTCAAAATATATTATAAAATCTAGATACATGTAAGAAACACTTTCTAAATGTACAAAAATTGACCCGAATCGGGGAAATAACAAATAATATTATAACTGCTTGAAACCATGGCTTCGTATACACGCAACTAAGAATCGGTACTTTCAAATTTTGAATGTTTATTAGTTTTGCACCCCACGACTTCAATGGTTTTTGTCTTTTTAAAATTTTTCGCCCACTACCATTGTTCCTGTGATATTTCCGTTGAATTTCCTCGTTTTCATTATCTTCTTTCATCAAAATATAGACAAAGGAGAAAATGATTTGACGTGTGATAACAAACCATGCGAACAAATTTGCAGCGATATTCCAGGGAACGAAAACATGACAGGATTCTACATATGCTCGTGCAACAGTGGCTTTGACGTTGGTTATAGCTTTTTTTTTATCTTTGCGCGTTGAATTGTTCGTTTATGTGTTTGAGGGACACAATTCATCTACATTTCATCTAGAGAGTTTTTCTAGAGGGAGAGTTTGAAATAAACCCGTGTAAAACTACCACGGGATCATTTTGCGTTACTCACAGTAGGAAGAATATAATTTTGACTTACAAAAATGAGCGGCGATTGTTAAAAACTATTTTCCCAACTCTTTCAGTGTGACTTGTTTGTCATTTCTATTTTTTTGATGAATTCGTTCGTTTGTAGAGTCAGAAATAAGGCTCACTTTCGATAAGAAAATGAATTTTCACACAATTAACTGCAAATCTCGGAGGTTATATGATGTAGGAAACATATTTTTAGAACAAGAAGAAACGATGCAATTGATGACCTTTCGTTGTACGTATGGTGTGTCTCAGCCCCAGTCCTTTCTGAGATTATATAGCAAAGCATTCTTATTATCGCTATGCCGTTATATAGCATTATGATGCCACAATTTAAAAGTTAGATTGTCGAGGTTATGCCTTTATGCGTCATGTTCCCAATGTTGATACATGGCAGCAAATGTACCTTATGTACTCAAATTTATCAAATTAACATACTACCAATTTCGTTTTAGATTAACCCTGATGACACACATTTCTGTAAAGACATCAATGAATGTTTACAGTGGGATATTTGTCAACAAAGTTGTAAAAATTTGAAAGGATCTCATTCATGCGGTTGCTCTGATGGTTACGAGCAAGTTGAACAGGCGTGTAGAAGCAAAGGTATGAAGTATAGTTATTAGAAAAAGTATTAGGCAGGGAAGTTACCTATGGCCTATATTGTTCATGTTCAGGTTGTTTTTGTTGCTCTTGAATATACAACAACAACACAAACGATCGTATTTTAACTGTTGATCCGTTTGCTTCGATTTATTTAAAAGAACTTCCTTAAATTTACATTTTTAAACTTTTTTTTATTCTCTCGTTCCTGTTGTTTTTGTCCATAATATTGTCCACAAACTGTGCCATTTACTCTCAAAGATAACTTTCGTGTCATCCATTTCCGTACGTTAAGATTATGCAAAGCTTAACTACGTATCCCTCTGCTTTGTACCTTTGCATTCTGGATCCATATCCGAGTAACGTTATGATACCACCGCAAGAATAAGGATAGATATTCTAGGTAATTCGTGCCTTACTGCACAATAACACTACTGTATCTCTGTTACAATTGTCTGAACGGAATCATGAATCATAGACATTCGGTATTATAAACTGTTTTCATATTTTTTAGGAACCATACCTATTATGTTAGCACCTGATGAAACAACGGTACGAACGTATGATCAAACAAATGATTATCAAGGATTACTTGTAGACGGGCAATCGCGTAGTCAAGCTATTGATTACATTTATATTGATGATTATACAAGCATTGTATACTGGACAGACACTCTTACTGGCGGAGGTAAGCGTTGAAAATTTATATATTTCGAAATTTAGATATATTTGTTTTCTCGTATTCATGTTTGTATATAGTTGGTTCCTGCATTACTGAAAATCGTATTGTTGGTGCGCAAAAAGCGGAGCAATATTTTATTTTTATGTAATCACTCATAAAAATCAAATTTGTTGCCATATTTGACTTGGAGTACAGTAGAACTGTAGCATTATCAACTGTTAGATTAACATTCAAAGTGCTAAATAACATGTTCTATGTTTTGAAGTATTCATGTAGCAAATAGCTCACAAAATCTATCTTTTTAATACTAATTAGTAGTACTTGCCATTAGTCATGTAGTCTTATAGAAATGTAATACTTATTATTCTAAGATGATACCAGAGCCATCACCCCAGCAACTTCTCAGATATACCGCAGCAAGATGCCGGTAATTGATGCAATGACGAACAATATGGGATACCCACAATCTTTGAATATCTCAGGACTGAAAGAACCAAGTGGAATAGCAGCGGATTGGGTTTCAAAGTCAGTGCAAATAATTATCACAATTATTAATATAAGTTGTAGGATGAAGTATTTTCGAACGTTCCCAATGCACGGTATTCTTACTCTTGTCTAAAAATGAAGCAATACGGTTAATTCTACATTACAGAGTTATAAGATCACGTATGTTACCGATATATGTGCATCATTTTTATTTTAGATGTTACTTATTTTAAACGACTGTAAACTAACATAATTCTCACGTTGTATAATCTCAGAAATATATATTGGACTGACACTGAGCAAGGTACCATATCAGTCGCACTGCTAGATGGAAGATATAAAAAGACGTTGTTGACAAGACTCGACCGCCCGTTCGCGATAGCACTTCATCCAGAACATGGGTAAAATTAAATTATGAACAAATCTTGTCGTCTAGTGTTTGCTAATGCTAAGTTGATATGACAAACGCCGTTCGTTAAGAAATCTTCTCATTACACCAGGTTAACGTGCTAACATTTAACCCATCTAACATGGTCAAGAAAAGCCTAGGAAAATAATTTAAATTTCAATATTTTAAGATTACTCCTCAAATCAGAATGTATATTGTCGCCCAAAACCAATATTTTAAAATTGAATAATATTGAAATTTTGATTGATATGTTTTTTTTAATATAAACAGGGAGATGTATTGGACAACAGTGGGCACAAAAACAGCACTTTATATGGCTCATATGGATGGAACAAATATTCGTTCTCATGATGATTTAGTTTTAGATTATCCCACTGGTATCGCTATCGACTACCAAAATAATGGAAGGTAAAATGTAGTATTGAATTTATTTCTTATGTCGTAAACGTTCGGCGAGGTATATTTAACTGCGACCGTCATTTAGCCATTTCGCGACATGGGGGGTTGATGCATCTTTTTATAAAAAATGCTACAACCAGCATCGCGATAAACATTTTGTGAAATTTTTTCACATTTTACTGATGATAAATATGTGCATTTCAAATATATTCAGGTTATACATATCTGATGAAAAAGCCAACACAATTGTGTCAGTGTCAAGGTACGGCCGAGACGTACAGTATGTAATTAGAGGAGGTAAGATATTTCACCCTTTTTTTATTTAACGTTACATTCCACCAAGTTCATTTAAAAAAATTATTTTTCTGCATACAGATATAGGAAGTCCAATATCTGTTGATGTTTTTGAAACCAATGTCTATTGGACATCGGAAGTTGATAGCGCCATCTACCAGCAAAATAAATTTGGGAAAGGAATAAAATCGACTGCATTGGATGGCATAAGGAGACCATCTGGAGTTAAAATATTGCAAAGATATAAATACGATTCCACAAGTTCGTAAATGTCAAAGATATTATTTTTTTAATTTATATTTATGCGATAATGTTTATTAAATCGAGTCTTGGTGAAAATCGGCGTTTATGACGTCACTTTCCGTCATATATCCACCTAACGAAAGTTACCAAACCAAATTCAACTTCCATATGCGCGATTCCTAAAAGATTTCAAGATTTCCATACGTTTCATGCCATGATAAAAGCATTTCGGACATTGTGTTTACTATGGTTGCAGATGGTGAAGTGTTTCGATGTGGTTTTTAATTTAAAGGTCCAGCTAAATCATGCATAAATAAGCAGATAGCATCGGGCCGAGAATCGTGAAAATTGGGCCGTGTGATCAAAATAACGGACTTTTGTTATGTAAGACGATATGGTTTTTGATAATATGTGCGTACAGTAACATTTGGTTTATAAAATGTGGCTGATTTCTTTGAAAAACAAATTCCTGATTCGTATTCTTGCAGTAAAGCCTCGTTGTAAAGAAAACCACTGCAGTCATTTGTGTCTGTTGGGACCTTTAAACTCTTACTCATGCGCATGTCCTGATGGTTCGTCATTTATACCGGGAAGTGCAAGCGATTGTGACGCTGGAAAACAAGACGAAAAGCAACCACCTGAAGTATGTGCTTGTCGAAACGGTGCTACATGTGTATACTCGACAGATGGAAAACCAAACTGTGTGTAAGTCTCCAAATCTGAACTAGTATTATCTCTCTTTATGCACAAGATTCAACATTGCAGATATCGCAATACTGTTATTTGATTTGGGCCAATTATTGCAGTAGTGTGATGCCCGCATGAAAGTTGAGTTGAGTGTTTGGGCACCTGAATCGACATGCTTTTTCATAACGATTTTGTGGGTTTCAGGAAATTTTTACTGGTGATGATAAAACGTCAAATCCCTCTCCTATTGTCAATTTCAAGTTCTAGTTTTCCAGCTTGTGCCGTATGTAATAACATGGAACAGAAAAATACCTATCTGAAGTCTTTTGCAGCAAAGTGTTTAAGTTTTGCATTTGTATCACAGTTGCGCCGAGGGATTTAGCGGAGATACATGCGAGAAGGGATCTGCGAAGCCTGTCATTAGTGGATCAAGTAAGTAATTTTAAATAATAGTCTAGTAAGCTTTATAGCAGATGACGTCACATTGCAGGAAGTATCTCGGCTCGGCTCGGCGGCTAAGCGTTAGGAATACGCTCGCCACCGCATCTCTGATTACTCTTCGTGGGATCGCAGGTTCAAATCCCATGCGAGGATGATCATGTGCGAGAGGATTGCTGGACTTCTCGCCGCCGTAGGGTGGTTCACGTAACCGCTGGTCGGTTACGTCTTCCTCCACCATCAAGTCCATGCTTCCGAAAACAAATAACTGGCTAACTAATCCCATACCCGAACTGGACTGGTAACCGGACGAGAGGCAGTGGTTCGCCATATGATTAAGCTGTCTAATCGGCTTTCCTCTCCCCCGGGATGAATATGTGAATCCTATCCTATCTAAAATGAGTAGTAGTTTTCTCTTGTTAACGACACATCATTGATATATTGTAATCGATTCCAAAAAAAAATTACATCCGGGTTACGGTCTTGATTCATTGACCTCCGAACTTTACAGGTTTTTTTTTGCATTGAGGGAAGCATATTTTACACTAAGTTTGACCCGCAAAATTTAATAAATTGTTTTTCAGATATTGCTGCAATTGTTGTTCCTATTTTACTACTTATTGTGCTCTCACTTGGAGCTGCGATATATTACAACAAGAGAAAGAACAAAGAGATAAAGTAATAAGATTTTATTTATATTTATCTCTTTATCCTTATGCTGCCTGCTGGCAATAATTGCAAAAATTATTTGCAACAAGTCTGATATCGTTCCTATTTGTTTGAGTGGTCTAAATGTATTTCATTTATCAACTGAATATATCCTGCGAATATGAACGACCCGTTAGCCGTGCCTTGTGCACGCTGATCATGAGTCATGGGTCATGCTAAACCGGAAAGATTCCAGTTCTTCCGAAAATTGCTTCTTACATACCAGTGAAATTTTGGAGAGAGTTATACTCAGATAGGTAATAACAATATATGTGTCTTGCAACCTGCGCCCATCTGTCAGTCCTAGTAAATATTTAATAAAATGACCCTTCTAGTAATCTACAATTATACGAATCCAGTTTGTCGCCCATGCCTAAATATCCAAACCGTAATTATGTGCGTAATAAAGTTTGTAATAACCATTTAAATATCATTTAAAATTATTTTACAGCCTTGGCGACGCAAGCTCATGTTCATGTCTAAGTGGGTTATCTTCAAGCATGTGTTCTTGCTTTGGTGATGATTCTAAGGACACGTCATTCGATAATCCCAACTCTGTTCGATACGAGAGAGACAACGATGACGTCATTAGCGGTCCCGGCACTGCAGCAGAAGCACCATATTCCGTAGCAACAGAAATGGTTGGTTTTAGTTTAATTTTATCTATTTCACTAAATACATCAATTTGCTAGGTGGAAATTATATTTTAAAATACATATATCAACCCCATAAGCTGGAAACCTACTATAATACCGTTCGTAGCGACAACTAAAGTGCTCCATATTAATTACTGTTAAAAAAATTTACAATCCACTCCTAAACGCTTTTTTTCAACATTTCTTGGATAAAAATTTTGTTAACTATTAATAACTTACAGCTATCGGAGTCTATTTTTCATCCGGGTACGGGATTCGGAGTCCAACAATTTGTCGACACGTCCTGTTTCTGCAGTAATATTACCAATTGAGTAATAAAGTAGAGTACTAAATTACATATAGAGAGCGACCGATATAGTCGCGAGTTTGTGTGATTGGGAGAGTTTTAGGGAGTGTAGGGGACGTGTAACAAAATATCGACGTGAAGGTATATATGGGATGTAAAATCTTGATATTGTTGAAATTGAGGACACCTAACTTTCGATATTCTTTATTCAGGATGCAAGTGGAAGATCATTTGAAAATCCAACATTTGGAAAGGTAATTTGAAATAATATATGTTTGAGTACCGTATTTTACGGGCCATAAATACCGGAAATAAATTTATAAATAGAACCGGGTTTCGTCTAAACATGAGACGCATCGGGCTGTAAGACGCAACGGTTTTAGGGAGTATCGGGTTACTGTATAAAGCTCATTAAACAAGAAAATAACTCAATCTTTTTTATGGTTATTCATCTTATTTTAAGAAAACGTTAAAACGATGGTTTGTTTTATAAAACAGTAGTACCGCTACGGGCATTGGGTGCAGGCAAATCATAAAACACAATCTGGTCTAAACATGCACTTCACCAAATAAAGTATCTGCTCGAGGCTATAATAAAAAAACTCGCATACAATTTGGGAAAGCTTATTCAAAACTGGAATCACTATTTATCACTGAACTGACAGAATATTCCGAGTTGTTTGTGTAATATAACACATTGCATCAATGAAAAATACGATAAGTTTTGTGTTTTATTATTTGACACGAAATGGATCGTTTTGTTATTATTATGTTATTGTTGTTGAACTTGTTGTTATTAGTCATTCTTTTCTTCTTGTTGTTATCAAAACATCGCCTGTCTCTTGTATTACTGGACCATTTGCTTTGAAATTTTCAGTGGTTGATGATCGTCTTTTCCGCCAGATTGTTATCATTTTCATTTATTTAAAATATTTCTGTGGCCTATGTGGGATTCGTTTTTTTCGTGTGCGATGACGTCATCGAAATTTAAAAACTGCGCACTTTGTGGCGGTTACGCCTTCACGTTGATTGATTTTTGGTGGTCAGGCACAGAATGCAATACCGGCAGTCTATTGTGAAAAGTTGCGCAACCTTACTACTTCGTTCTGGCTTTGGTCTACGTGTCCATTATTTTGAACAATAATATCTTGTTTCATTTAGGAACCACCGGCTGGAATCCCAAAAACAGCAGAAGAAACTGGTGCAGTTCCCGAGCTTTCTGCAATGAGAGCTGGTTACAAAAACCCCAGCTACAAAGACAACGCGGTCCTGTTAGATCACGAATTTCATGACACTTCAAAAGCTTGATCTCGGATTATTATTACTTGATTATCATCTGTCAAACGTGGCTAATCTTTAAATTTACAAGTAAATGTCTGCCCATGTTTAACAATATCGTCACTCGTGATTTTTGTACATTTATTTTACCAGTATTATATTGCCTTTTAATTGCTTCATGTGCCTTCATTGTTATTTATCATGTTATTAATTAATATCGATTTGGTAGAAAAAACGAAAGATTTCACGGTAAACTGATATTTAAAACTCCTTTCATGCTTTTTTAAATATCACCAAGCCTACTGGAATTGTTAAACTTAACCTTAACTTCAGATTTATTCTATTATTAATGACCTCAAATTAAAATTTGGAAATTAAAATTCAATATTCGATTCATAATCTCCGATATCTTATGTCCTGGGTTTTTAAATCCACATTGTGATTTATATTTCATATAATTCTAATATGCTTCTTACTTTAATCTGACAACTTTATCATCCTTTTTATCATATTATATAAATCTTAATAAATCCATGAAAAGTGTGTTGTAATAGGTGGGAATGAAGAACACAATATCGCGCATTGGTTTCGTGAGGATGAAATTTCAGTTAATTAACATTCATGGTCAAAAATTTAATTTGAGTCGATCAGTATAAATGAGGATCTAATACAATTAATTTTTTGTTCCTCATTAGACGTTTTCACTCCGAGCAAAGCAGTGTCTAAGCAGCAAATAAATCGTAACAGCTACCTATACCAAAACCAAATTATGTCATGGATAACCTTGCCTCGATGAAGTACAAAAATGCCGTTTATTGCCATATCTCTGGCATCACAATATTTGTTGAGAAAGTGTACGATATCGGTCATATTAACATATTTATAAACTCAAATTATGTGTATATAGGTGTTTGTTTATTATTGAATGCAGTTTTCAAATCATGTCAAAAAGCAAGATATAGTTACAGATATTACCTACCCGAAGGCAATCTATATCACTACAAATGTATTTACCTGTTGCTAACCAGACAAGGCAAGTAGAACAATCAGATGAGTGTATTGAATCCCATTACGTCGATAAAACAACATCATTTTTGGTTATTTCAAGTTCGCGTACTTTAAAAAAAAATTTTAAACGACGAAACCTAGAATTGTCGACATAGCTGGAAAAATAAGATCCGATCAACAGCAGGTAAGATTTATATCCAAAAATAAGGAAATTTATATTATATATAATTTATATAGTTTATTTTACTGTTTTACTAGACTCCGATAGTGTGTTAATTTAGCCATAAAGAATAATTTCATAATTGAGTTCTGAAGCTGTGTCATGTTTTTGCTATATCGAACTTATTACTGAACAGCATTGGCCATTGCGCCTGTAAAGTTAATAGAGCTTTAAAGGTATTTTTCATCGTGATACATCTGGACGGATGACAGGGCGATCGAATTTTGTTTTTCGACTTATGGACATTTTGGTGTTAATTTTCCAACTTCGAGGTCAGTGATTTACGCTGAGTGACGTGTGCAAAATATTGGCCACGAAGAAAGTAACATGAGCTGAGGACGTCTTCCGCATTAAAATCAAATTGCGTTTGAATAACACGTTTAGCAATTTAACATTCCGATTTTGATAACCGTTAAAAAATTGTAACCGAAATTCTATATTATTATATTGTCAAGTTTTATCATCACTAATAAACATTTTATTCATTTTCAAGCTAGGGTCTGATATTTTTGGTCCACATCGAATATCTTGTACTTCGAATTTAAATTGTATTTAAGCTACTGAATCTCAAAGCGTTTCGACTAGAATAATAATTGCAAGTTTAGGAACTGCGGCAGGCATTTATTTTGATATAAAGTTCAAACATTTATGTTTACAGTATGCACCACTCCTTTTAACTAAGTAGACTATGGTAATAAACAAAGTAATACTATATTTATATCAATACACTTGTTTGTCGTGTTGTCATAAATACAAATTTATACTGGAGTAATTTGCTTTGTCAAAAGCTTGTGGAAAACGTCATAGTTCCCAGATTTATAACCCACAATTTCCGCTTTTTATTCAATTTGGAATTGTATTTACGTCACAAACTTGTTTTTCCTCAATATAAGCAATCTATTTTGAAGGCATATCACTAGAAAAACCTGATATTTGAATGAAACGGGCAAATTATGTTCATTAAACCCCGTTAGCGGTTAGGATGATTTGGAAAGAATTCGAAAGTACGTATTTAATAGATTTCAAATTTGTCAAAACTTCTCAGAAAAAATCAGTATTACTTATGTCTTGTCGACGGAATAATATTTTGCGTTTCGGCAAACCGCTGTTAATGTCTACATATTCGCGGTTACAAACGTAGTTATTACCTAGTTATTAGAGATTAATTGTAGATAATGTATATATACATGTGCTATTACGTACCCTTGTAGTTTATACAGGCTGGTAGTTAAGATCGCAAAAGACTTAAATTTGATTGTAAAAGGTAAATTCGATACATTATAGTTTCACTATTGTCGAAAGAGCATCATAATCAACTACTAAAAAATTTGGACAATCGACATGGCTGAAGTTTTATTTCGCAATTTTACCGAATTTGCAAATTCGCCAACGATGGTTACAAGTACAGAGAAGAATGTAGAGTAAGTTGTATAAGTTTACACTATTTATATTGTTTATTTGTAAGCATAAATAAATGAATTATAAAGAATCTTTAGTTGATTGCATAATTAGTTACAATCGATTGAAAATACTTCTTCATGAGAAACAAACATCGAATAGCTAATAAAAATCTAGTTCTGGACGAATTTTATTTTGTACCATTGGGTTTGTTGGCCCGACTGTAAAAGTGAGTCTTCTATCACCTCTTGCACACTCACCTCAATGGCATATTATATTGGTGTCGGGTAATTTTTTTTTTTTTTATATTGATGCGCTCTAGGATCGTTACCGGTAGGACAAAAAGGTAAGGTTCTCTGATAAGTCAAGTTCACTTTGCTATCAAAACTCGAAAAAATCTTTAGTAAAAGAGTCCTATTTAATGTATAATACACGGTAAATGATTGATTGGATCGGTAAAACAAGATTGGTTATTTTCAATACTACTTTTCTAATTGCATTTGTTTTGTAATATCAAATAAATATTAACATAAAAAGTGAGAGTAATAATTCAGAAAAAAATTAGTTCAATTAGTTGCTATTCGTGATTCAGAGATGTCAGGATCAAATTTACTTCAACCACTCAGAGGGTAAGCAATTGTGTGGAGTAAGCCCATCTGGAAATACGGTGCTGATTGGCAAAACATAGTATTTTTTCAGTGATTGCCAAGTTGCATGTTTGAACATATCACTAAAACTATTTTTCTCATTAATTGAGGCCAGTAAACGTCGGATACTAAAATTGCCTGAAGGCCTATTGAGAAAACATTTCCGAAAAAATGTAATTGGTTTCGACTGTAATCATAATTAGCTACTAAACGAAGGAAGTTGGTATATTATTTTGAACACGTAATTTTACTGTTTTACGCGATGATATTTCGACCAAGATCCGGACTGAGAAATTGTTTATAGTTTTCTTCTATCCCTATTCCCAATAATTATTGGGTAATTTGATGTACCTTATTTTTATGACATATTTTTATATTAAAATTCGTTTGCAATTTTAGACCCTACGACATGATATTCTCTCTGTGGGAGGGCGTTCTGGTGACAACAATTCTCGGAATTCTCTGCGTATTTGGATTGATTGCAAACGCCGTTACATTTTTTGTTATTTGTACTTCGAAGACATTAAGAAAGTGAGAATTTTTTTATACTAGTTCGAAGAAATCCTATTCTAGCCTTAAATAAAATGGTGGTAGCGTTTTTTTTAACAACCACGTATGCCACATTCATAAAATGCTTTTCTTAGGTTTCTCCCGCACTTCAGTAAAAAAGCTACAATAACAATAGTGTCTTGTTAATTATTACCCGTACCACGTTTTATTTCCGTTGAATTTTACTGAATATTAAACTACCCAATCTACCATCAATTAATTAATTGGAGTACTAGGTAATGTGTATTGACATTTATTATGATCTTTCGTATTTGAAGCTATCTATATCTTGTTTTGTCTGAAGAAGTTAGCCTGTGATCTAACGAAAGCTTACTAATATACTTTCTATCTCGTGGAAAGAGATTACGTTATTCTTAATGAATTCTTCGTTACAATTTTTCAAAAGAATCATTAGGCAAAAGTATACGCAAAGGATATATAATTGTTTTGAATTAACGTTTTACATGTGAATAATATAAAATAATAAAATTAGATACATCGCTTAATAGTTGCATCGTTTTTTATATTGAATATACTTACCATACCCTGCTCAACTATAATGTTGGCGGCTCCCAAAGTATCCGTACCAAGATGGCGCACAACCTAAACATAGTATGTCTACCAGGCTAGGGTTGTTCAGATTGTGCGTCATCTTGGTGCGAGTACTTCCGCGCGCCTAATGTTGCATATAAGTATCGGTGTGAACTAAAAATGTACATAACGCTACAAACGGTATGTGAAAACGCTGCAGAATTATACATTTGCTCAAAGTACTATTCAATTCTTTTCACAATTTTGAACAACAAAAAATTCATTAATGCAAATTCTGTCGAGGATTTTAGTAAATAAAGTAATCAATAACAAATTGTTTTAGGTCGTCCTTCAATATTTTGATTATGAGTCTCTGTGTGTCAGATTTTTTATCAGCTCTAAACAGTCCATTCCAAATGTATCGAAGAATTTGGGGCTTTCTGGAATTTGAATTGCCCGTAGGATTTTGTAAAGTAAGTTTTTTTTAATATTACTTTGTGACATTTTCTAGTAATATTTAAAACCTAAGCACTACATTTTAAATGATACAAAAAAAATACCAAATACTAATATAAATTTGTATTAATTTGTGATTAATCAAAGTACACTACAAAATTGATTATTAATATTTCACCGGCACAAAAAATGAAAAATATTATTTGTTTTATTGTAAAAATGCTGGTTTTGTTGCTGCCAACTTAGAACGTGACGCCCGAAGTTTTATCGAAAAAGCAACTTTACATTTACCAAATAACAGGTTAATAACTTGTGATATACATATGCTGCAAGTCACATGTGTTTGAGTAACAAACGGTAGCCTTGTCTCTAGTAAGTTGTCTGACATACTTTAGGGATGATTCTTATTAATACGGGAGAATGTTGCATTCAAGTAATTTTTGTAATATCTTTAGTTTACAATTGGACTTGGAACATGGACGATGTTCGTTACTGTTCAACACATTCTGGTTTTTAGTGTGTTTCGACTTTTAGCGATGCAATTTCCTAACAAGATTGGAAGAATAACTCCGAAGATTGCAAAGGTAAATTTCAATACACTAGTTATTCGGCACGATGCCAAGTATAGTCTACGCTTGGCAAGGGTATGTCTGTAACAAACAAATTAGTATTTGGGTGGGGATTAGTATCAAAGTAATTAAGTACAGTAGAGAAGATAAATCGTTAAATTTACTGAAGAACGTGAGGTTATTGGAATGGATAGTTGTGATCTACCTAAACCTTCCATAAGGTGTAAAATCCTGCTACAGTATTTGTAATCAAGCAGATATCCGCATTTAAGTACATGAGCTGCTTTGAAAATATTATAATTCGCATCATAACAGTAATATACAATATCATATTTTTCCATAATATGTTGACGGCGGTAATTTTTGGCATCAAAACTTTATTTTGTTCTTTTTAATTTTCAGATAACTGCCGTTGTTATTTGGATAGAAGTCTTCATCGTGAGTGCATTGTTTTATATTATGACGTCATCAGTCATACCGTATAAACCTGGAAGATATAAGACAGCCTGTACATCTGTTAGTAAAGACTGGTAAGTAATTATTGGACACGAAATGGACGTACAGATTGTTGTGTTATTATGTTGTTGTTTGAATTCTGGTTGTTGTAAAAAAATCGCTTCTCTCCTTAACTACTTAACCAATTGCTTGAAATTGCCAGTGACTGTAATGTTTGCTAGAAAGCTATTACTTTTAATTATTCCAAAATGTTTTGTGGGCTCTATGAGATTCGTATTTTGCGTGCGACAAAATTAAAACTTGTGCACCTTGTAGCGCTTCCGCGTTCGCGGCCAGGCAAAATCGTGAGGAGTGATGTACCGGTAGTCTACTGGGACAGGTTGCACACCGAGCCTACTTTGGTTTGGCTTTCATGTTCATGTATTTGAGCATTGCTCTCTTGTTATACGTATCAAACATTGCTTATCAGTATAATGCTGCAGATTTTGTACTGTACAATGGCAGCAGGCCATATGGATATTGTGCGGCCTCATTCCATTTTAACCAGAACTAGCTACATTTTTTACACCTAGCATACTATATATGTTAAAAATACTTTCTTTAGGTAAGTAAACCATATCTATCGTGCTGTGTCAGTGTTTTTATTTGCTTATTCATACGCTAAAAATTACCTGTCTTACAGGCGACCAATTGCAGCTGAATACACAACTTATGCTTTACCGATATTGCTGTTTGCACCGTTTATTGGAATCCTACTTTGTGCCATTATTATCACATATATTCTTATAAAAATTCGAAAGCGACGAGGTGAGAATAAAAACTGATTACGTTGTCAATATAGATAATTTATAACAAACTTTTTGGGGAACAAATGTCAAATAAAACGTTCAGAGCAGAGAATGATATTTACGGATTAAAAAATATGTTACTTTCGTAGGAATTTCACTTGCTTTAGAGTTGGGTTTTAAATAAAATTCGTTCGTTTCTTTTCTGAGTAAAAGTACTCGTGCCCTTTGGTAATGAATGTGGTCTTATGATTTTTCACAATGTCAATTCAATATTAAGTGGTTTGTAATAGAGATCAATTGAACTAACGCCGTCGAAAAATACTTTTTCGGAACCAGAATACATACACGATTCATTTTATCCAATTTACAATTCGGTATACCTACTGTTGAATATAACAGTATGGCTGTCGCATATATTAACATTTTGCCCCATTCATTGTACTCATTCATCCATTCTTTAAAAGAGATTGTAGCGAATATCTTTGTACACACGATGGATGATCGCAATGGGTAAAAATATTAATTATAATGTTTTCAGCAACTCAACACACAACCAATAATAAGCAAAAGCAAGAACAAGAGAGGATGGCTTTAATTCAAGTAACACTGATCGTTTTATCGTTTTTTATTGGATACTCTGTTGAATCAGGTAACCAATTTAACGTTATAATAATCGTATTTTATCAATACAAAAGTAAAACAAAAACTGTCAAATAAAAAAGTATAGATATTACCTAGTTTATTATATTATACAGCAGTTGTGAACCACTTCGTTTTTGTGCTCCATAATTTTTATATCGATTGTTGCTTCATCAAATAAAGAATGATGATTCACTTGGGGCAGTATTCATGTTTTGTGATAGGTGGTGTGCCGCGAATTTTTAAAGAGCTCAATAGTGTGCCGCGATATAAAAGAAAGGTTGGAAACCACTGGCTTAAGGCTATACTATGGTCTGGTTGAACTATTTATGATATATTATAGACCAATCTTAATTTTTCCATTTTTTTTTTAGTGTATCGTATGACAAAAGCATTGGATCTCAGGGATCTCTTTACCGTTCGTACGAAATGGGTGACGCTTACGACAGCGTATGTTCTTCTTCGTGTTTCAGAATGTCTCAATCCACTCTTCTACAATTTTGGGTCAAGGTAGGGTTTATTTACCTGTTTTGTCGTTTCTGCCATACCAACATATATAATCAAGTTGTCACTGGCTATTCGGCTGCCCAACAGATATTTATCTAATTATCAATAATTATAATTATGCAATTACTAAGAGCAAGGCTCTAGGCGCGACGTCACCTTTTGCTTTATGTACTTCCAATCTAAATTGCTTTTCTTAAAAATATTAATAAAATCCAATTTTGATATATTTGGATCATGTTTGGCGTTGTGTTGTATGTAATCCTTCTTTGATCTTTTCTTTTTCGTTTCCTTATCTTCGTTTATAATTATTGATTTTAATTGCTATATGTTCATGTCATCCCCCAAAATTAATGTTCTCATACGTCAGAGTTAATATGAGCTGTTTCAAATTTTAAAAAAATATATAAAATATAGTAAATACATAATATAATCCTATCAATGACAAAATAAGTTTGATTGTTCCTGTTTTTTATTATATTTTGAGAATGTATGTTAAATTAATCGTGATTTCGAAGTAATTGGATATCTATCTGTTTGCAAACATAATTTTGTGTTCCAGATGTTTTCTACATACATCAAAGACTAAACCAGCCTTAATAGACTCATAATATTGAATCTTAAAAGTTTAAGATAATTATTCATTTAAGTTTGTATAAAAAGGCAAATGCTGTTAAATTATCTAATCATCATATATCAGACAGACATCATATATCAAATTTATATTCTTGACAAAAATGCCAAATTCCACACGAATGTATGATACTTTTTAAGAACTTATTCCCCGCGGTATAAAACGAGCAATCCACTCACAATGCTGCGCAATTTAGCAAGCATTTGTAGTCGTAATGCCATTATATAGTAATAAATATTTGGGACTTTTTGAAATAAATTGTTATCATTTAATTTTTCAGCCAAATGAGGGAGAAAACTAAAAAGTTTTTGAGAACGGGTGACGTCAGTTCCGCACCAAATAGCATCAGTTCGCCTACAATGAAGACTGCGTCGCCTCACAAAACGACTGTAGTATGAACCAGATTGTAAAGTCGCAACGGGTATTCTGGTTGGAGAATTTCAGCAAATCGTTTCCAACTTTCTGTATTCCAAGTATTCCGGTTGGAAAATTTAAGCAAATCGTTTCAAACTTTCAGTATTCCAAGTATTCCGGTTGGAGAATTTCAACAAGTCGTTTCCAACTTTCAGTATTTCAAGATTAAATTTTGGAGTGGCAAGAATCGGAAACTATTTATAATTGCAAGACATAATACTCTGATTTCTCGAGATTTCTGGCTTACCTTTAATCCCATGTTTTGAGCGGACGTATACTATTGGGAAAGCTCCAAAACCGAATTTACAACCCGGAATTCGACCATAATATTATAAATCAGATATCGTTGATTTAAATGGGTCTCATTATCGTTTATAAAGCGTGTCATTTATTTTGCATAACTTTGATCTAAACTTTTGTTTCAGACATCAAGCTCGAACCCGATATAAAACCCAAAGGGAATTATAGACATTTTGTTCTTGAAATCTCATTACTTACATTTTATAAAAAAATAAACAAAATAAAATATTTGAGATTTGTTTTAATGTGATGTTTGAGGTGTACGTGTAACAGAATCGAATCCAGATAGTGGTTTAGGGCCGCGCACACATTACATACACGAGTACGAGTCGCATCATCCCATTTTATTTCAATCGAGCCGTAAAAGATTGAACAAAAAGAAAACGGGTATTTAATTGCGCTATTCTGTTAATTTGGCTTGCATAGGAGTCTCGCGGGAAATTTTAACATCTATACGCTTGATTGAGTATATTCAACCCTTTGTTGACGCTTGACGAAGTGCAATGGTTGCATCTACGGGTGACGTCAAAAAGAACAGCTGTTACTGCGACGCAAATTGAAGGCGCTGAGTTGAGTTTTGCAAACAATAAGAAAATGGTAGTTTGATTTAAACCAGACAGGCAATTAGAAGCGAAAAGGGGAGCCTCCTATTTCAGTGAGTATACATGGGTACATGTTTGCTATTTATTATTAGGATAGGAATGAATTACAGTAAACAGTCGCGGTACTGAGACCCTGTCAGCGGTATATAATAGCATTTATAATAGTAAAATAGACAGAAAATGGGTAGTAATATAGTATCATAGCTTAGTTATACGTTACTGCTTTCAATCCGAATCCTAATTTGGTAAGATTTATTTTAAGTCATTTTTAGATAATTATGTACTTGATCATATTTACGCTACGATGCGGTTGTTCCTTATATATACAATTTTGGTGGACTAAACAAAATAAATGTGATATTGGTATGTTTTTCCCTTGGCTTTTTTTTACATTGGGGTTAAAAATGATGATTTGGTTTCATAAAGTTCCAACTATGATACCATTCGTGGCAGGCTACTTAAATTTTAAATTGTATAATAAGTGTTTCAACGTTCCATATGATAAACTCAGTAGAATTTTTTTTTGTGCAGTTTTAATTTCAAACGAATACGATGAAATTGTGTTACTTGCTCATTTTTATGTCGTTTACATCAAATTTTGAGCATGTAATCTCATAGTTCCACCTCTTTCAATTTTATCGATTTGCTTGTTTACTCTAAATTAAGAAAAACATGCGTTCACGTCTAATCACACACTAATACGATAATCGACTTATGTATACGATTTATATTATTTACCCCCAGTCAGACTTTCCAGTTTAGAGTAATTGTTTACTTCTCCCTTATCAATGACAATCTATTGATTACCACAGCAGTCTCATTCACAAAACAATCAACTCGTAATTTTATCGCGGACGAGTTTAGAGCAAATGGTTGCGGAATGTTTAGTTGTTCATTAGCGGTTAAGGTTTATTGCGAGGGTAGTCAGTACTTCTTGACCATTTAGAGCAGCGTTTTTGAACAGGAAGGTCAATGTCTTAATGTGTTGATAGGCAATCATTTGTAAAGTGTCGAGGCGTGAATTATGCATACTTAATGCTATTCAATGTACCGCAATGTTTCCCAAACTCTCAGCAATACAACTCCCAGAATAGGCAGCGTATAGCGAGGTAGCGAAAACAATTTGAAATATTAAAATAATTTAAATAAAGTTTAAATGTTTATATTCTTGTTCGATAATCATATGTGTCACTCTTAAAATAAAATGGTGAATTAGTTTGTAAATCGGTAATTCTAGAAAATTTTTCAATTATGGTTTAACACCTTTTAAGCCCCCAAAGTATGGGTACTATGGCGCATTGGTAATTTTTCATCTATAATTTTTTCAAGGCTTATACGATAAGAAATTTATAGACGCTCAAAACCAAAAAACCTTACCTTGTAAGAGCGTTCTCTGACCATTTGTGACGTGAATTCTTACACAAGCAATCTTTTCGATCGTTTCCCCACCCCAATTCGTTCTTCGTCGTCAAATATGTTCCTCAGTCATAAGATGTTGTTTTATGGAAATTTTCATGATATAATAATATTTATTTAAAAATGCATGCGATATTACAACTCATCTTCAGAGAAATCAGAAATGGCATGGAAAACGTTTATTTGCCTCGTTTGCTTGGTGGCGTTTACAGGTAAGTACATATTATTTATTTAATGAATATCAACTCAACATTTAATTTATTCCCAAACGTAATCATATCGATTATACGTTATAGCTGTTTAATATTTAATATATTATATAATAATATAATAATATTTTTCGGGATTTTTATAAACGCTATCCGCATTGTGAGATCAACATCGCTAATGTTGCATATGCCGAAAAAAATTCTACTCTCGCGTTTTTAAACATAGATATGAATACAGAACCTATTTCTGTAACAATATTTGCGATGTTGCTTGGATGATTAACAATACATTAGAATGTGCCTTTAAAGCGAATTTAATATAAGTTAAAAGCATATGCGATAGATATTATAACGTCCCACAAGGGACGTAAGAAATAGGGCGCAACTTATTACCCTAGTAAAGTTATGACGTCTCCAAATTTAGTGCCACATTGAATATGATCGCTGGTTTTGGCCAACTCACTTCCATCCACCTTGACACTGAACTAACACAAACCAATTTTATAGTTTGTGAAGCCATGAACGACGAGGAAAAATTGACGGAATATCTTTTAAAGAAGGGAAACTACAACAGGCTGTTACGACCTTCTGACCAAGTTGGGAAACGAGTTATTGTTCATTTCGATCTTCTTTTATCACAACTAATAGGCGTGGTAAGGCTATCATATTTGATTTAAAAATACAAGATATCGCAAGTCCTGTTGTGCTCGGCGATTAACCCAAGTTAACCATTTAGTCATGTTCAAACAGGGTGGTTTCTGTCCCGCAGAAGCTCTAGTTTTTTTTTTATAAGAACGCATACCGAAAGGCGCCTTGGTCTGAGCCCTAAAGAAATGCGTAGAAGAACAAAAAGTTTATCATTTATTGCAGAAAACTGGATTTATATTCACCTGCGAGTATTATCCTTTTGGTCATGTGTCCAAAAATTATTCCTCTGGTTATATGATACGTCATCAGCAGTATGAGAAGCATTTAAACATTTAACATTCAACATGACATTTCATAGTCCTCATACACATAACTGCTACATAAGAATAGCAATATTTCCATATTTATATTGACAGAATGAAAGAGAACAGTTTATGGTTACAAAAGTATGGCTTCCACAAAGATGGGAGGATGCTAGATTATTGTGGGATCCAAAAATGTATGGAAATATTACAAAGTTACAACTACCTTCTTCAAAAATATGGTTGCCAGATATTGTACTGTACAATAAGTAAGTTGCGAAGTATCGAAATGAAATATAGCAAATGTATTAAGTGCTTTTGATTTTGTTAGTTTCGGTGTTGTTTTTGTAGTTATGTGCAATGAGCCAATGAATGATAATTTTTGAAAGCAATGCTAAAGAAAACAAAATAGCAGTGCTCAAATAAAATAGACATGAAGCTTAAATCAAAATTTTTCTACCCACATTTCCTCAAAAATCATATCCTGAATGAAGCTGAAATCTTTTACAGTACGGGTAGGTCTACCTCATCAAAAATCACCTGATTTCGCAGGTAACCTGATCGCTGAATTGAGATCGCGCAACCGCCACACGGTGCGCAATTCCTAATTTTGGTGACGTCATCGTACAAAACCGAAAAACGAATCCCATAGAGCCCCACAAAATTTTTTGAAATGAATAAAATAAGCATTTACCGACAATAACAAGAAGAAGAATACTAAAAACGGGGTCCATTTCGTTTCTCAACGAGGTCCATTTCGTGTCCAATAATTATTCCAGGCGTGAAAAAGTCAGTTATAGCTCAGGAAAAGCATGAATTGACTACTGGAATTGAAATAAACCCAGGCTATGTCTTGTTTTGTTCTTTTGCCAATTTGATTGAATATTTACACTGTCATACATTGCCACAAAAAGTGAATTCTTGGTGATCGGTCTCTATGGAAATAACACATAATCATGCCGAAGTGAGATTTGAAATTTTATCAAGTTTTATGATGTATATGCATTTTTTATATGTCCAGTGCTGATGGCGAATATGAAGCTTCATTACAGTCCAATGCGATTGTTTTGTATAATGGTTCAGTGTCGTGGATGCCACCGGCAATCTACAGAAGTGCTTGCAGTATCAAAGTATCAAACTTTCCATTTGATGAACAAAACTGCACAATGACTTTTAGGTCTTGGACTTATACAAGGTAAAATGAATAACGTAATCTCTTTCCACGAAATAAAAAGAATATTAGTGAGCTTTCGTTAGACCACAGTCTTCTTCAGAAAAAAATAAGATATGAGTAGGATAGGCTAAAGGACCTGCATTTCAATACACAATACCCTAAGGCCCATGTATAATAACTAATTAATACCTACCGCCTGAGAAAGTATCTTTCATTATCTCGCCATGTTTGGAGTGAAATAACGGGCCCCCAGAGAATACAATGAATATATGAAAAAAATAACAACATAGAAAACACTTTTCAAATTTTAAAAGAATTGACCCAAAATAAAAAGTGATTTTCATTGTAAACAATATTAACTAGAAATATATAAATCAAAAGGGGTGCATGTCTTGCCGAATGAAGGTGATACTCAACGTGTGACACATTATACCTATTTTAGAAAGGATATTGATCTACATTTAACCAATAATGTGGCAACCTTGGACGATTTCACACCCAGTGGGGAGTGGGATATTTTGGACACACCTGGATCGAAAAGCGAACATATTCACGGAGAACCTCATGAAGAAATAACATACAGGTACACTTAAAAAACATAAAATAGGACCGATTTTATATCACCATTTAGAATAGCTTCGGGAATTTACTTAAACGAAGAATTCAAAAGGGTTGTACAGTTGGAATAACGAACAATCGACCGAGCTAACTCGCTTAGAGAATAATTCAATGTGATCGCAAATGTTGTATAAATGATGAAGTCAAAAAACCGGATTTGATTACTCTTCAATCCATCCACGCGAGCTTTATAAAATTTAAAATGGAAGGTATCGATCAGTCTTTTCAAGCTTCTGGGCGCCTTCGTTCAAAAACATGATAGCTAACACAGTACCATGGTTAGCGTGATTTTCTAGTAAATTTTCGTATATTCATTTCAGCCTCATCATAAAACGGAAACCTCTTTTCTACACCGTTAATCTGATCATTCCCTGTATATTAATCACATTTCTTGCTATCCTGGTGTTCTATACACCATCTGATTGCGGTGAAAAAATGACGCTTTGTATCTCAGTTCTGCTGGCTCTCACTGTTTTCTTGTTGCTTCTATCAAAAATGGTTCCGCCAACTTCTTTGGATGTCCCTTTGATTGGTAAGCATAATGTTTTGATATTATGGTATACTTGCAAATATAGCTTCCTTATCCATCATGAAGTCATTTGCGCCGATTCAAAGTTTTACATAAAATTGATGGTATATATGGAGGACGGTATTCGTGTTTGGAATGTTTAGGTAGCTGATGTAAATTTTGATATCGTTTGGACAATGACGAGATTAAAAATACCGGGAAATTACTGGAATGATTAGTCTAATCATGACCTGTATTTTTAGAATTTCTGACTTAGGCTACGTGTTTTTGATAGTACCAGATTATTTCATATTTCCTATTTCTGGAGCTTAAATGGTCATAATATTTTTTATCGGCACCCACAGGTTCCTTAGTTAGCACCACATCTGTTCGATAGGGTTGGTAACGTGCCATACATATACAGCCAAAATATACATATAGCGCCGACTCATATACATATACAGCCAACAAAATATACATATACTGTCAAAGTTATATGCATCTACGTCTGTTCCGAGCTTGTGTTACTAAGGTGAATTTATCATCTGTCAGTTGGAGTCAGGGACCTGAGTCAAAGTTTGGCATGCTTTTATTGGAATCAGACTCGGGGTCAATTTTTTCCCTTGCTCCACAGACATTCTCAAGCCAATATTTGTCAATTCAAAGCCAAGTTTAAAGCTTATTAAATGCTGCCTTTGCCACATTATGGAAATGGCATAAACATTTAGAGTACATAACAGTATTTCGTTTACTATCTGTTATTTCGCGTATGGAGAGATTTGTTGACTCTGTTATGACGATTATTATAAGGAATTCAGAAAACAAAATAAAAATTATCAAAATATTTAACGAATCCGTTTTTCTTTTCCTTTTATCAAGGTAAATATCTGATGTTCACTATGGTTCTTGTAACATTATCGATTGTTACCAGCGTATGTGTGTTGAATGTCCACCACAGACAAGCAAGTACTCATGAGATGCCACAGTGGTTAAGAAGTTGCTTTCTGGAAATTCTTCCGCCACTATTATGGATGAATCGTCCACCAGTCGAAGAGGGAAAACAGTATGCACAGAAGTTAGGATGTTTAGCGTCTTGGATACGAATACTAACATGTAATATGCTATTGTTTTACTATGTTTATCACGAGTTTAACTTGAATATCAGAATGAATATTTTTCCGAACCTTTGCCTTGACGAATTGGCGCTTACAAACTGGCTTAAATGTTCATATCGTAATTTTAATATCGATTGTGAGCTAATGATTACCCATCACGCTTGGAATTCTGATATCAGAATCTTATTATATTTATTTCCACTCAGTGTATATTATATCGCACGGTATAACTGAATGATTTTTATTGAATTCGATGATTTTTTAATGAATGTCTTGATTTTTATGTCTCAAATAGTGTATTCAAGGAAACCAACGGAATTGAACGGATCAACAAGAAAACGATATTTTGTGTCAAAAGATGGAGATGACATTAATGAAGGTATGCCTATACTCGTATGTTTACTTACCACTATTATGTGATATGCCTTCTATAAATTGCGCCACACATCAGTTACATCAAGGCCAAATTGCTTTCACTACTACACTACAACTAAATTATTTTCATTCTTAGACTTATTACTCTTATTTTAGAGACGAGATTCGGTATCAATCTCGGTGAAGTGTCTGGAAGTCGTTATGTTCGTCGTGAAAAAGCGAGCGAACAATCCACAATGTCGCACGAATTACAGACTGCAATTAAAAGCGTTGAATTCATAACTGAGCATTTGAAATCAAGAGACGTTGCACAATCAGTGAGTATAAAAAATAGAAACATATTTTTATCGATTCGATGCTTTTATACGTAACCGATTTTAATGATATTACAAAACATACAGACTGCTCTTTGCTAATGTTCCAATCATATTGTAATTTTGATTAATTTGAAGGCAAAAAGCGGTGTTAATTCAACATTACTCTTTGTGGCAAGGTTGTCTGTTAAATTGATTTTGTTCAAATGTAAAGGAAACAAATAAGAAAAGGCACCAGTGTTTATAATATTACAGTATGATGAAGTAACTGGGAAACTATATCTCCATTATTATTTAAAAGCTATTGCAGATTATAGATAAATTCCAAATTAATCAACATTGCCTTTCAATTGACATGCATCTTCGATTTTCTAACTTGCTGGTGCGACAGAACTGAATTATCCCGAATAATTCTATTAAGCTGTATCAGGACGTTCAATTTATGAATGCCCTAATATACTATATGTTAATAGGTGTCGTAGGCTGAATGTCTACATACCGTGTTATGAAAATGCGCTGCTACAGATGCAACAACACTTTTATAAAAAATTGAAAATTACATATTTTAGCATATTTTCAATATTTTTTGCAATAATTCCTTTTTATTTTTTGTAGGTTTCTGAAGATTGGAGGTATATTGCAATGGTCATTGACAGAGCGTTCTTCATATTATTCATCATTGTATTTGTTGCGGGTACAATCGGCATTTTCTTACAGCCTTTTGTATAGTTAAACTAGGCTTACCCACCGGTATTTCTTGATTTATGAAATGCACTAAAATACCGTAAATCTCTTGCCTTTCTTTTATACTTTCTTGATTTTCTACTACAATTTTTTCTAGTTGAACACTTCTCAAAACCAACTTTTGGCCATGACTGATCCATGCTTAGTCGCACTCATTTGAATTCATATGACATTCATATGAGTGTCAGCAAACTCATTCCGACAAATCGAGCATTTTCTAATGTTTTTTCCAAAAATACACAAAATAGAAAGATGTGTATTTCTCCCGACGGTGGAATTGAGGTATAAATCTCTTGTCAATATAATAATGGTCGAATGGACAAGCACCCACCATGCTAAGATTAATCAAAAATATACCAACATATTGTAATATCTTCACATTTTCTTTCGCCAACCGAAAATAAAACTTAATCATTAATTGCAATATATCTTTAAAATTGAGATTTTTAGTGGAAAAGCTGATCCGGGCTCCAGTCTTCTAGCTATTGGGATATTAGGTGTGTTTTCTCTAGTGGGACAAAAGATAACTTGATTCGGAAAAAAGAGGCGCGTTAAACTCTCCAACATTTAGTTTCGCTTGCTTGATAAATACTTGGTCTACCTTGCTCATATAAAATGAATGAGGTATTTTTGTATTTCACAATATACCAAAACATTTGGTAATACGTAATAGACAATAATTTAAATAAGCGAATAATCTTTCATTAGAGCACTCTTGTCTGTTTGTTTATCGCAGCAGGATATGGTTGTGAGATTTGAAATAAACTGGGAAACTACCAGTGTGTTTGATTAGAACATCGGAACAGTTATTTGTAATCATTCACGATGCTTACCGGGAAGTGCTTTTCGAATTTAAACGTACAAAGCGTGAGTGGGGTTGATGCGTGATATACATACACAGCCCCAAACATACATATGTAGCCAATTCATATACAACCAATGTCATATATATATATCTATATAAAGTTAACTCCATATATATGCAGCCGTTTAAATGATGTATGTGTACAGGCCATTAATTTTTAATTGAGCGTATGGCCGTGTGTTTGAAATCTGAGTGTTGCTTTTTGTTCAAACGGGCTCTACATTCATATATTTGGACGTATATGTATACCACGTTACCAACCCTATATTACATAGTTTCTTTCTGTAGTTGTTCGAGGGCGGAGTACGGGTTTCAATTTTTATCTGTGAAAGTATGGCATCCGATAGTCGCAGTAAAATTCAAAATTTCCGGACCAATAGAGTCTCAAACGGAATTAAAAATTATTTCCCCTCGCAGACTCAAAATCGGGATGTTGTGTGATTTAGAATGATGTATAATGGCGGCTTAGTGTGTAACCTACTTTCCACTAACGTTGCACTGAAAATAAAAGATAAATCATGGAAACAATTACTGATAAAAATAAGAATAATTTTGGAAATTGAGGTGTAGGCTTGGTGTGTAATGTTTCATGATGTGTTGAAGCTGGAACCTCTGGACAATAGAAGTGAATTTTCTTGATAGTTTCATGAAGCAGTGGCCAACTATTTTTCAGTTGTAACTTGCTTGACAACAAGTCACGGGATTAGGAATTTTGGTGCCATATTGTCCGTTGTTTGTTTAACTTGAAATGACGAAACTGCAATTTGTGGCCAGAAATGACTGCTTTTTTATTGCTCATCCAGAGGTTTGACAAAACAAAATAATTCCAACAGTAGCCAATACCCATAAAAAACTGAACTGTGATAAAATTGAATTTCGCTGAAATGGCTTAATCAAATTCCATTAATCGGTACTAATAAAACTGATGATAATGGCATCCATTTATAGAAACTTATTGATCGTGATATAAAAGCCTTGGAAAGAAATATAGATTAGGACAGGGCTACTTAACTATTTTAGCAAAGATCCGCATACAAAACTTCGAAATTATTTGGATCCGGTATTTTCAGAAATAATATTTCGGCATCCTTAAACGCGCACTTTATCGACCGGCTCGTGATTATTAGCAAATCAAGGTCGTTTATGATGGTGTTATGGTTCTTTTCATATATTTATATTCATAACTATAAAAGTCATTTTATAAAGAATTACGTGCGGTCCGAATCCAATAATCGAAAGGTCCGGATTCGGACCGCGGTCCGCCAGTTGAGCAGCCCTGGATTAGCATATAATGCTGAAAGTATAATTCTATTTGCAATCGATATTATTAAATTGCCACACGTTATGGAAGCATCCTGAATATTATATTTTGAGAAATTGATATGACTACCCCTAGTCGATTATTTTTTGACAGAAGTTGCATGTTCGTCAAGCGATATTTGAAAAATTCAATACAGGAATGTTCTATTCATCAACTTTATTACAGGCATCATAATAGAGGATATAGATGTTTGAAATGAAGTATTCAATGATTAGCTATGTATAATTACAATTCTTTGTAGGTAGGAAATGTGAACTGCGACTCGTCTGAATAACTGTCTGATCAAGCAACGCGACAACCAGCTAATTTTCAATCTCGTTAGTATTTGACAATAATCACGGAGCATTGCAATGTATTATCAATTATGAATGGGTCCAAAAATATTTTTTTTATCACGGAAAAAGACCGTAGGTCATGGATATTCAATCAATGTATGCACCAAAAAGATGCATCCCCAATGTTGCATCTGACGAAATGTGGTCGTGCTTTTAGCGTACAAATAGTTTCCCTCTTCGGGATTCGGGTCCGCAAACCAAGTTCGCAAGGCTTTGCGAGTGTTTCACCAATTTTCGCCTCCGCCAGCACTTTATAACACAAAACGCATCAGGAATTAGCGTCTGTGTCGAATTATGCCTTCATAGATTGCGACTATTTTTGTGCTGTAAGTAACGAGAAATAACATTTAACGGCAACCACATTGGACTACATGCATGGGAAATGATTTGACTGTTTGCTATATAATGTAAATATATTTTGGTTTGTATTTTTTGTCTGTAATATGTATGGTGCTATGCCAGCCTATCCCGACAAGATGCTCTCTTCGTTTTTGTTTCTTTAGACCAGGGGTGGCCAACCTGCTTTCGAACGCGATCGACCAAAATCTTCAAAATAGCTCGCGATCGACCAATCGGTAATAAGGTCATACACAAAAACAAAAGGGTACTAAATATGCGGATAACTACACACACGCATACAAAAAATTCCATCGCTGCCAATAAACTCGGCTCTGTGGACGCATTTTTAATGGAATCGCTGCAAAAATTTGTATTTTTATGTTACATTTAATTAGTAAATTTGATTATGTAATTGTACCTGGAGTACATTTTTATCATTTATTTAAGACTTGTTCGAATCATACAATTCAGATTTGAGGCAGGGGTGGCCAATACCAAATACTAGTTCACTATTTCTAATGGATTTAAAATTATTATTTTCGAATATGAAATATCGAATAAATTCAAAAATAAAATCAAGTAAGGCAAGCTTTTCTTAGTGTATGAAGGAATTATCATACAATAAACAATGCAATAACTGTTATCTATAACCTGGCTATTTACCAGGCATTTATGTCCGCAGATTGGTATGATACCTCAGAATAGTAATGCTTTTGTTATTTCGCAAGTACAAAAATATGAATCAAAAATTAATTATAATCGGGCAGTTTAACACACATTTTATGTCTGCCAATTGTATTTTAGAGTAATACTTCTTTCATTATTTCGTAAGTATAATCTGGTAGTTTACCACACATTTTTGGTTCACAGATTGCCGTGTTTATTTTTTGTTACGCACGAAAATATAAATCAAATATTAATAATAATCGAGAAGTTTACCACACATTTTATATCCACAGATTGTCGTGGTATTTTAGTGTGGTAATGCTTTTTATTTTTTGTAAGTCGACGCAACCATGAGTTATGTTGAACAAAATTGAATTAATATGGTAAGGTAATATTTTGCAACAGAAAATCATCCTAGTAAAACGTCGGAACTTTTAACCATCAATATCAAAATCATTCGCCATAAAACGGGAACTATTTTTCCTAATAATTCAACTTGTTTTCCGGCTTGCGACAATTTATTGCCTATCGTAACAATTACGCCTTGACATAATTTTCAATTTTTTGACGTAATCGAAATGAATGTGTCTCAACGGAGGATAAACAATCAAAGTGCTGATTCTTTTTCATCGCCATTACAATATGTGACAAAGCGCAAAAATTCATTTGAAGATTTTTCTCGAAAACGAAACACAATGCTGACGCGAAAAGATGCTATAATTCGGAATGACAATATTGAATTTTAAGGCATGACTAATTTTTAGTCTAAGTCTGAAAATACCTCAAAAAACTTTGCCAAGTATTCATGTAATACCTAAACAGCCAAATAAAAAATTCTCAAACCATAAATGCTACATAACTGCTCAAACGTCAGTATCTAATTTACAATTTCCTCCTAGTCCGATTCGTTGCTCGTTTGTGATTTTTGTAACCTGTAAAGTGTATTTCTTTTTCCAATATTCTGTAACCTAGTGTAACAAACACAAGTAAACATTTGTTCTAATTTATATCAATATCAGGTAACGGCAACTTATTTAACGGAAAAATATTAAGAACTTATGCAATAAGTGATTGCATATTAAACATCACGATTTGTTATATTTTTGCAAGAATCGGCTTAACAATTTAGGTGAATTATTTACTGACAACTTTTAACGACTTTTGTTAAATTGAGATACTTGTACGTTAATATTTTATTGAAAATGCGAGCTACAATTATTTACAATTTGAAATTGTTTTATTGAAACATTTTACTTTTCGCCGTTTTTGCGCCTCCGACCAAACGATGCCCATGACTGCCACACCCTAGATATACCACTGACCATATGTAGTGGCAACAATCCGCTGTCACACTCCATATAAAGTTATGTTCACACGTGCACAATTCACTCACTGCATGTATTAAAACAGTTTGGGTCTGAATCAATTAGCTACACCATTTTATATTCAAAGTTGAAAATTTTAGTAGGTATATACAGTAGTGGGATTCAGCCGGTTCGCACCGGTTCTATAGAACCGTCTCACGGTATTTTATGAGATCAGTAAACCGGTTTGCATTACTGGTTACTGTCAATGATTTTTTGTAATAAAACCCGGTGAAAAATATGACTTTTGTGATGGAAACGACTGACAAAAAAATTGAATCTCACAATTGGGTATATACATCCTTTGTATTAGTTTTTACTTTGAAACAAATTCTACAGGAGTTCAAACATGGTCATTGATAAATGAGTATAATTGCAAAAATGGTTGTTCGTGAATTATCAACCGCTCATCAGGGAGAAGTGAGTAAAAAGATTATTGGACACAAAATGTAAATATTGATTCTTTTGTTATTATGTTGTTGTTCCTACAGCGCTTCTGCACCCTCTCTCGAGCTATCCCTACAGCTTCCTCTTGGATTTTGTGTACATACGTTTCAGCGTTGTTTTGTTGTTTATGTAATTATTGAATCAAGTACAAAGCTTGTATCAATTCAGTTGTGAGAAGAAACCCGTTTTGTGTATTGCTAGTGGCTGTGTCAGTGTCTACAGGTGTTGATGATGAATAATAGTTATCTCTTTCATTCTCATCTATTTATTCTGCTAGGTGACGACATAGAGTCAATTACCCTTTTTTCTGTATAAAAGCATGGTTTGAAGTGTTGCCACCTATTGCCATTCTTATGTACATATTTCGATGTAAATGTCACTGCACATTGCCGTTTGCATATTATCTCACCTATTTAGAATTGTATTAGGTATAGGCTAATGTTGAGTGGAAGATAAAGCAAGTTCGTTTCGGAACTGTGTCTGGTTTTGTGCATGAGAAATTCAGCGGCTGTCAGGTTCAGTGCGTCCAAACACGGAAGGCAAGCCCCCCATTAGTGACTCATCAGAAGAATTCTTGACACCACAAATACTTGTTGATTGAGGTCAGGGTGTGTACATAGATGCTTGTCATCCCAATCAACAGGTACTGAATATTATCACAATGAATAACCTACTTTGAACTTGGCTGTAAATACGTATATAATATATATATATATATATATCAGTTCTCTGTTCTTCCAGTGCAAAAGAATGCGAATACAGAAATAGGCTACGTTCCTCTACATATCTGAAGATTGCAGATGCGATGTTCATCACGCCTACTGTACACGCTATCCCAAAACTGTATCCAATTCTATAACCTTCATAACTTATCCCGGTACGAGCAAACAATTCTCCATAACAAGCGACTGCGATTAAAACAAATGTAGCTGAAAAAAAAAAAAAAATTCAAAATAGATAGTACATCAAGTGTCAAACCTACAGAAAGTCAACTATATATAAGATCACAGTCAAAATACATCTTAGGTTGAGTCCAGGAACTGGAAACTAAATAGCTTTCTTAAAAATTGGTTGTTTTTTTCTATATCTTTGCCAAATATATATAAATTCAAATATTGAGATTCCAACAAAATAATTCACACATACATACCAGATGAAAGGCAACACTCTGTAACATTGTTATTTTGATCATCCATTCCAATGTGACTTACCAAAGCAAGGAGAATTGCAGTAATTTGAGATATCAATGACATCATAAGAAAAGCGGTTGTAACTTGTTCCCGTACGGAGGTAACTGAAAAAAAACAAATGGGGTAGGAATTTTTGGCACTATGATGGTGAACACAGTCTCTTGTATCAGTGTCAACATTGGTCATCATTTGAAAATACATCGTGTGTACATCCTACTTAAATTATTCAACCTAATCTCACCCATATGAGCACAAGTCCCACCAACACATGCTCGAAACAATCCTATTGCAAAATACTGAGGATGATTTTCTGTTCTTTGTACCCATCCAACAATCCAACCATTGGTTGCGAAAGCCTCAACATTTAAAAGTATTCCGAGAGTCGTCACAACGAAAAATGCAATCAAATAAGGGTTCTTCATTTTATTATATTGTAACGTCCAACGCTTCTAATCCATAAATATCAATATAGTATGAATATGTAATATCCAATTCTTTTAATCGAAACCATATCCTGGACGAAGCTGAAACTTTGGAACGGCTACCTTACCTGTGGATCTATTATAGTTTAGTACCGCAATTAATTCTAATAGGCGTGGTATAATAATATTTGCATACGTCGTTTCGGACCCTCATCTGACTACGTCATCCAAAAATTACGTCACTGCTACGCCACAATCACGTCAATATGAGGATGATAGCTGGCTTTAGTGAGTTCGATGTATTTTACAGTACCGGTACGGTACCGTTGTATTCCAGTCCAGACAACGACTGACAATCATGTTGCAACGAGCGCGTAACCGCCACAAGGAGCGCAATTTTTAATTTTGGTGACGTCGTCATACAGCACAACACTAAAGCATCACACACTAAAAAATTAAATCTCATACAGCACAAAAAATTTTAAAATAAATAAACGATTTCCAACCACTGAAATTTTCAGAACAATTGGTCCAGTAATTGATGAGAAAGGCGATTTTTTTCATAACCACAAGTTAATGAGTTTTAACAACAACATAATACCAATACAAAATATAGGTCCGTTTCGTGTCCAAAAAGTTATTGTTACACAACAACGCATAATATAAGTTAAAAACGTTTTGTACATATCAGTGTGTGCATGGGGTTTCGTTAAATACAAACAACTTAGCGAGGATAAAATATATGGACACAAAATTTACCTTATATATACAGTACTTTACTTAGTCCACTGAACGGAACGGTCAGGAAACTTCCAACTTTCCCGTAGCACGAGTGTCAAATAACACATACTGAGATTTAAGACGGTTGTGGTTATAGTTTTCGTGTTGCTGCTGAACTGCAAATTTTGTTTTAGACTGTTCCTCTACTATTATATTATAACTGTATATCTTTAATCTAACAAACAAATAGTGTAGCATACAAATTGTACTCGAACATATTTTAAACCCTACTTAAAATTTATTATACCCTGATCATACTATATAGTAACTTGCTTATGGTTATTTGTAAAAATCGTTGAATATTTTTAAAGCTATACTACTTTTGTAAGTCCTTGCGTTAATCTCGTTTGCGCTCTAATCAATATTTTCGTTTGCTAAAAGACATCTCACACATGGGGAATCCCTTATCCTTCATTGTCTAGCTCTGATATATCAGGGTCTTGTATAAATGATTAGGTCTATATATATATATGAAACTTGCAATCACGCATGAATGATAAGCAGAAGAACACGAGTAGTAAATTGCTAGAAGTTTATGCGAGGTAGAACTGGTGTTCTTAACTAAACGCCCGGGAGTTGTTGGCAAATAAATCAAAGTTAAGAAAGTTATACCTTATTTGGGCATTTACCTTTCGAAATGCTCAAATATAGGGTTGGTACTTATCGAGGGCTGGTCTACTTTGCTTGATAGTGCAATGAAGCTCATTTTGACAAATTTCTTGCTCATTCAGTCGACAAATAATTGAAAAAAGAAACATTAAGATAAGCATTGTTTTCAAGAACTAAAAAAAATTGGTAGTTATATGTATGCAGTAACAAGAATTAATTATTTTTCTTGTTTGTGTTTGATTTTAATACGAGTTATGAATACGTATAGTTCACACTGTTTAGTCCCGATCAGTTTACTGGACAAATTTTGGTCCATGGTCTTACGGTCTATTATACGACCCACCAGAAATAACGAAGGTCTCCCCTGTGACGTAACTGGCATCGTCTGAAGCTAAATAGGACGCGAGACCGGCGCATTCATCAGCCGTTCCTAAACGTTTCATCGGAACTAAACTCAGCATATTTTTAGTAAAAGGCTCGTTCTGTCGAAGTTTTTGTAGAAACGAAGTATCAATTCCTCCAAATGCAAGACAATTTATTCGTATGTTTCGATTCGAAAGCTCTGACATGAAGGCACGAACCATGGCACTGATCGATGCTTTGGTGATTCCATACGCTCCAGGTAAATGTTGAGTTGTATAACCAATGACACTTGACGTAAGTATTATGGAACCTTGGTGTTTGCTTTTCGCCATATGAGGAAATATTTCTTGTACGATCTGAAAGTTAGCTTTGATATGAAGGGCGTACGTTTTGTCAAGAACGCTTCCTGGAGTTTCCATAATGTTAAGAAGATGGGGATTGACTCCAGCATTTTGAACAAAAATATTTATGGAACCCAAATCTTTCATTGTCCTTTCTATCAAATTTTGTCTTTGTTCAGAATCAGCAACGTCACATGGTATTCCTAAAACCTAAATAAAAGTTGAGTATATATAAGAGTGCTTCATTTTAATTCGGTAGCCCAACAACAACAGTAATACAGTCAGATAGGAGGTGAAAAAATTATGTAGTGCCAGGTGTTTACTTCTTGATGTCAAATCAACAAGTCTCCACTCGCAGCAATAAAACAACGTAACGATACGATACCAATACATATAATATATGTCACATTCGTTCATGAGCGAATCATATATCTTGGTAGAGTCTTAAATACCTTTCATGGATGAACGGAAAACGATATCAAGATTTTAGAATATGAATAGATGAAATTGATAAATTCTATGATATAAAGTAGGATATTAATTTCTCTTTTAACCAAGTTTTATTGAAATATACGAAAAAACAAATGTTTGCAGAGTAATAAATAAATCAAATTTCGATATTGTTTGCCTACACATTAAATCACTTGAAAACACCGTATTCACCTTTATTCCAATTGATTTCAATTCATCAACTGCACGATCAATATTTTCCTGCTTTCGGCTACTAACAACGACATGAGCTCCATTCTGTCCCAATCTTTTGGCAATTGCTAGTCCTATACCATCCGTTCCTGCAGTAACAATTGCCACTCTGCTATCAAGATTTCCGGCCGAAGACATAAAACGCCATGACGCCACCCGCCCATATTTCAAGAAACGTGAAAAGCGATACATTCGGAATTTACAGCTAACTCAATGTGGCCTATATGGAATAATAGCCAAGTATAAAAACACTCGCTCATTGCTTGTTGGTCAATGATTAAGCAAACAGAGTACATACCGTGACTGTTTACTTATTGTTCCAAGACAAACTTTCACGCTTGCTTGTAGAGTTGAATATGAACGGTTACCCTTACTCTTTGAATAACTCATTCATACAACGTTTGCTGACTGGGCATGTGTGGAGGAATTCATATTGAATAATTTTAATGGTCTAACTCTAAACAGATGCAAAGCAGCAATAATACTTATGGAATGACATGAGAAATAGATCACTGTACCATAGCCGTATATGACCTTTGTCCTATTTGCTCTAGAAACATAGACTCGCAAGTTTTATTGTACCTTTTTGCAAGCAATACATTATGTTGCTATTCCGGGAATAGCGTTGGGGAGGGTTTGGGTTTCGAACAATGCTCCATTTCACCCAGAGTGCAATAAATTTGTTAGTCAGTGGCAAACGGAGGAGATTCCACCCCCACCCAATAACTTTACAATTTAGATGCAATTTGACTAATTAATTTTTATTATGTACTGCTTGTTGCCAAAATCGAGAACTTTTCTACATAATAATAGATATCGAACTATAATATACATACGGGTCTTTTTATATAATTTTCCTAAAAATTTGTTTGATATCCGATTTGTCAACTTTAATTGTGAGTTCAATCTAGTTCAGAATTCCAGATCCTATCCCAACAAATGTTAACGTAAAAATGTCAGAATATGAAGCATCAACATAATTGTTACTTGTTCAAAGGCATCTGGTCACGAGAGCTTCATTAAGTAGTTGATGAAACCAGTCAAGTCTCTTTATGAAGCGCCGGTCACAGTACCAAATCTTTCTGACAATGTCAGATGTTACTTTACGAATTACATTACTTTTCGAAAAGAGAAATATATTTATTACCATATAGTGAGAATGAGTATATGAGACAAAACAATTATATATATCTTTTAAAATTAATTAAAAAAATCTTCATTCATCCATTTGCTACTTATCATACCACCTATATGAAAGATTGTCATTTATGCACAAGGATTTCAAAATTAAATATAAAGTTGCGTTATTGGTTGCAAGTATCAAATAGGACGAAGAAATATCTAACCATTTTCTTGGTATGTCTTATATGTGTTATCGGGTTTAATCAAATTCATTTCGATGCAATTAAAATACGTTCATGTATTGTGTGACGCATTAAATATCAAAACACTAAAATAGGAAAATATTTACAACATTTGACCTATTTCATGATTATTGAATAAAGCAGAGCCGGGCTCGCATATTTGGGCTAGGGCCCAGCAGCGCCATCAAATCTGACCCAACTGGTCAACGACGATAAGTACCTGATTTAGTAGGTCCAATCTAAACTTATAGACACAAATAAAAGACATGTGTATCTTGATCATATATCAAAAATGTCTTTCGCAAGTTATCAACATATTGAAAACAAAAGACGTGAATATTCCTAAATCAAGCACATTTGATTGTTTCTATATCACATTCGGAAGACTATACGAAGTAATGGTTCCATATGGAATGCATATATTGAAAATTTCATAAAATAATGGCTTATGGCCATAAGCCATGATTGGTTATTCATTAGTAAGATAACTCTTTATACAGCTCTTTACACTTGAAACAGATGTGCCCAACATAAGTAATCAACCACGATATAAGATTCACGTGACCAGCCTAAGTACTTTCAGTTTCATCGTTACACGTTAATACTGAATAGCGTTCCAATGCCCTTCACTGCTCCGAGTTGGGTAACGTCGAATTCTATTTGCAACTGAATACTCTTGAATAAAATCGTTTGATAGTACATTGAGTTCGTTATGATAGGATTTCTTTTCTCATTTATTGGCTCTTACGGTCTGCTATACCATCCTCCAGATATTAGGAAATTCTCCCCTGTGACGTTACTAGCATCGTCTGGAGCTAAATATGCCGCGAGTCCGGCGTATTCGTCAGCCTTTCCAAAACGTTTCATCGAAATTAAACTCAAAAGATTTTCTCTTAAAGATTGGTTCCGTTGAACTTTTTGAAAAAACGAAGTATCAATTCCACCAAATGAGAGACAATTTATTCGTATGTTTCGATTCTTTAGTTCTGCCATGAAGGCACGAACCATAGCACTGATCGATGCTTTGGTGATTGCATAAGCTCCTGGTATATGTTGAGATGTATAACCAACAATGGTTGACGTTAATATTATAGAACCTTGGTGCTCACTTTTGGTCATATGAGGAAATATTTCTTGTACGAACTGAAAGTTTGCTTTAATATGGAGGCTACGTTCCTCTACATATCAAGATTGCAGATGCGATGTTCATCACGCCTACTGTACACGCTATCCCAAAACTGTATCCAATTCTATAACCTTCATAACTTATCCCGGTACGATCAAACAATACTCCATAACAAGCGACTGCGATGAAAATAAATGTAGCTGAAAAAAAAAGAAAATTTCAAAATAGATAGTACATCAAGTGTCAAACCTACAGAAAGTCAACTATATATAAGATCACAGTCAAAATACATTTTAGGTTAAGTCCAGGAACTGGAAACTGAACTTGGGGTAAGATAAGGATATTTAAATAGCTTTCTTAAAAATTGGTTGTTTTTTTCTATATCTTCGCCAAATATATATAAATTCAAATATTGAGATCCCAACAAAACAATTCACACCTACATACCAGATAAAATGCAACACTTTGTAACATTGTTATTTTGGTCATCCATTCCAATGTGAGTTACCAAAGCGAGGAGAATTGCAGTAATTTGAATTATCAATGACATCATAAGAAAAGCGGTTGTAACTTGTTCCCGTACGGAGGTAACTGAAAAAACACAAGAAATGGGGTAGGAATTTTTGGCACTATAAGATAGTGAACACAGTCTCTTGTATCAGTGTCCACATTGGTCATCATTTGAAAATACATCGTGTGTACATCCTACTTAAATTATTCAACCTAATCTCACCCATATGAGCACAAGTCCCATCAACACATGCTCAAAACAATCCTAAAGCAAAATACTGAGGATGATCTTCTGTACTTTGTACCCATCCATTAATCCAACCATTGGTTGCGAGAGCCACGACATTTAAAAGTATTCCGAGAATCGTCACAACGAAAAATGCAATCAAATAAGGGTTCTTCATTTTATTATATTGTAACGTCCAATGCTTCTAATCCATAAATATCAATATAGTATGAATATGGAATATCCAATTCTTTTAACCGAAACCATATCCTGGACGAAGCTGAGACTTCGGAATGGCTACAGTTTACAGTTTAGTACCACAAGTATTTCTAATAGGCGTGGTATAACATTATTTGCATACGTCTTCCCTGACCCTCATCTGACTACGTCATCTAAAAATTACGTCACTGCTACGCCACAATCACGTCAATACGAGGATGATAGCTGGCTTTAGTGAGTTTGATGTATTTCACAGTACCGGTACGGGGTCTGGTACCGGTATAGTTTAGTACCACATGCACATCTAGTTGGCCTGTCTCAACAATTTTTGCATATGCCAATCCTAACCCCCACCTGACTACATCACCGAAAAAGTACGTCATTTCGACGTCACATTGGCGTAATAAGGCCCACAAAAGTATGCGGATGGTGATGCGGATTTTTTTCATAACAACAAGTTAATGAGTTTTAACAACAACATAATATCAATACAATATATAGGTCCGTTTCGTGTCCAATAAGTTATTGTTACACAACAACGCATAATATAAGTTAAAAACGTTTTGTACATATCAGTGTGTGCATGGGGTTTCGTTAAATACAAACAACTTAGCGAAGATAAAATATATGGACTCAAAATTTACCTTATATATACAGTACTTTACTTAGTCCACTGAACGGAACGGTCAGGAAACTTCCGACTTTCCCGTAGCACGAGTGTCAATAATTATTATGCCCTGGCCATACTATATAGTAACTTGCTTATAGGTAATTGTAAAAATCGTTGAATATTTTTAAAGCTATACTACTTTCGTGAGTCCTTGCGTTAATCTCGTTTGTGCTCTAATCCAGGGGTTCTCAAACTTTTGGCGTTGCGGAGCCCTTGAAAAGGTTGACTATTATTCACGGAGCCCCATAATAAATGTTAAAATTGTTACTTTCCGATTAATATTCCTGAGTAAGTTAAACGTACTTTTACTCAATTTAAATACTGAACACTTTCATTAGGGTCAATAGAAGTCATAAATAAATCTCGTGGGGAATTATGAGTTCAATGTGAAATAACATGTTACCATATTATAATCATCGGCGACGAAATGCTAAAATAATAGTTAATAAAGAGGTAAATCCGCAATTCAAATTTCTTGATCAAAAGGCGGCATTCTAAAATATTAGAACTAAAACTTAAAATGGAAGATAACACCATAAGTTTTGTTTCAGCAGACTCACGTCAGAATAAAAACGCTGTTATAGACATCGTAAATCATAAATTTGGTGTTAAGTTAGGTTTTCGGTTATTCATCGTAGTAACTGCGAAATTGAAACACAGTCAATTAATTAGGCGCGCGGTGTACCATTTTTCCTTTCTGAAACTACCGACAGAGCCGCATGCACTAAAATAAATTTCAATCGTTCGTATTTTGCCAAGACCTTGTGATTTTTCAAACGGCGACATCTTGCTTAAAAATAATCTCGAGTGCGAAAGAACAAATCAAGTTTAACAAATCCCAAGATCACAAAAATACGACTCCAATTTATTTATAGTTAGCAGTTTATCACGCAGTTTATATTATTTTAGAATAGTATTTTATCATTTTAGTAATCCTAATAGTAATTTCGAATCGAACGTGAGTAACGATGAGCACAATTAAATTATTACGACAAGACACTTTAGAACAGGGGTCACCAACGCGTTGCCCGCGGGCACCAAGTCGCCCGTGAAGACCACATGAGTCGCCCGCAGGTCTGTTCCAAACTAAGCTTAATAACGGCGCTTAAAGGTAAGCTAAATCAATCAATCTTTGGACTGTGCAGAGTGTTTGTGAATAATCCAATTACATTGTGGTTTCCTAGGGTATTATTGTAGTGATCACTTCAAAATCAATTTCAAAACACTCAGTTTTGAAATGCAAGTGTCATTGATAAAAATTTGTTTGATATGTTGTGATAATCGTTCGATTTTCCTGAAGAATCCTCCTAAAGCTTATCTGTGCTCCTACTTGACTAAATACCAGTAGTTATCAATATTTGAAGCTTAATTGAGCAAACTAAGTGTGTACATTAAACTGGTAGCCCGCAGCTTGATCTACACATAGAAAGTAGCCCTCGGCCTCGAAAAGGTTGGTGACCCCTGCTTTAGAATTTAGATGCTCGCATCGGTCATGAATTGAATATTTTACGCAACAGAAATCTCGTTATCCGTTTTTTTTAATTGCCAAGAATGTTGCGCGTAAATTTCCGATTCCAATTTTGAACCTCCTCCCTCTTAAGAATCCTGACTGCGCTCCTGCTTATAAAAATAATGTCATTTTTTAATTCCGCCCCTTTGCCATATTTCGAGGCTATATTGTTGTCAAATTTCATCAAAGCTGTTATTGCTTCTAGGAACAGTTTTAAATTAGCCAAGTCAGTATTTTGAAAAGTAATCGAATAGCTCGCGGAGCCCCTGGGTTACTCTCGCGGAGCCCTGGGGCTCCGTACGGAGCACTTTGAGAACCTATGCTCTAATCAATATTTTCGTTTGCTAAAAGACATCTCACACATGGGGATTCCCTTATCTATCATTGTCTAGCTCTGATATACCAGGGTCATGTATAAATTATTAGGTCTATATATATGAAACTACCAATCGCGTATGAATGATAAGCTGAAGAACACGAGTAGTAAATTGCTAGAAGTTTATGCGAGGTAGAACTGGTGTTCTTAACTAAACGCCCGGGGGTTGTTGGCAAATAAATCAACGTTAAGAAAGTTATACCTTATTTGGGCATTTACCTTTCGAAATGCTCAAATATAGATTGGTACTTATCGAGAGCTGGTCTACTTTGCTTGATAGTGCAATGAAGTTCATTTTGACAAATTTCTTGCTCGTTCAGTCGACAAAGAATTGAAAAAAGAAACATTAAGATAAGCATTGTTTTCAAGAACCAGAAAAAACTTGTAGTTATATGCATGCAGTAACAAGAATTAATTATTTTTCTTGTTTGTGTTTGATTTTAATACGAGTAATGAATACGTATATTTCACACTGTTTAATCCCGATCATTTTACTCGACATATTTTGATTCGTGGTCTTACGGTCTATTATACGACCCACCAGAAATAACGAAGGTCTCCCCTGTGACGTAACTGGCATCGTCTGAAGCTAAATAGGACGCGAGACCGGCGCATTCATCAACCGTTCCTAAACGTTTCATCGGAATTAAACTCAGAATATTTTTAGTAAAAGGTTCGTTCTGTCGAAGTTTTTGTAGAAACGAAGTATCAATTCCTCCAAATGCAAGACAATTTATTCGTATGTTTCGATTCAAAAGCTCTGACATAAAGGCACGAACCATGGCACTGATCGATGCTTTGGTGATTCCATACGCTCCAGGTAAATGTTGAGTTGTATAACCCGAGACACTTGACGTAAGTATTATGGAACCTTGGTGTTTGCTTTTCGCCATATGAGGAAATATTTCTTGTACGATCTGGAAGTTTGCTTTGATATGAAGGCCGTATGTTTTGTCAAGAACGCTTCCTGGAGTTTCCATAATGTTAAAAAGATGGGGATTGACTCCAGCATTTTGAACAAAAATATTTATGGAACCCAAATCTTTCATTGTCCTTTCTATCAAATTTTGTCTTTGCTCAGAATCAGCAACGTCACATGGTATACCTAAAACCTAAATAAAAGTTGAGTAAATCTAAGAGTGCTTCATTTTAATTCGGTAGCCCAACAACAACAGTAATACAGTCAGATAGGAGGTGAAAAAATTATGTAGTGCCAGGTGTTTAATTCTTGATGTCAAATTAACAAGTCTCCACTCGCAGCAACAAAACAACGTAATGATACGATACCAATACATATAATATATGTCACATTCGTTCATAAGCGAATCATAGATCTTGGTAGAGTCTTAAATACCTTTCATGGATGAACGGAAAACGATATCAAGATTTTAGAATATGAATAGATGAAATTGATAACTTCTATGATATAAAGTAGGATATTAATTTCTCTTTTAACCAAGTTTTATTGAAATATGCGGAAAACCAAATGTTTGCAAAGTAATGAATAAATCAAATTTCGATATTGTTGCCTACACATTAAATTTACACTTGAAAACACCGTATTCACCTTTATTCCAATTGAATTCAATTCATCAACTGCGCGATCGATATTTTTCTGCTTTCGGCTACTAACAACGACATGAGCTCCATGCTGTCCCAATCGTTTGGCAATTGCAAGTCCTATACCATCCGTTCCTGCAGTAACAATTGCCACTCTGCCATCAAGATTTCCGGCCGAAGAAATAAAACGCGGAGACCCCACCCGCCCATATTTCAAGAAACGTGAAAAGCGATACATTCGGAATTTACAGCTAACCCAATGTGGCCTATATGGAATAAGAGCCAAGTATAAAAAAACACGTTCATTGCCAGTTGGTTAATGATTAAGCAAACAGAGTACATATCGTGACTGTTTACTTATTGCTCCAAGACAAACTTTCACGCTTGCTTGTAGAGTTAAATATGAACAGTTACCCTTACCAGTTTAATAACTCATTCATACAACGTTTGCTGACTGGGCATGTGTGAAGAAATTCATATTGAATAATTTTAATGGTTCAAACGGGTGCAAAGCAGCAATAATATTTATGAAATGACATGAGAAATAGATCACTGTACCCTAACAGGGCATGGCCTTTGTCGTATTTGCTCTGCATCGAGTCGCAAGTTTTATTGTACCTTTTTGCACGCAATACACAATGTTGCTATTTCTAGTTTAGCGTTATATAGTATACTATATATATTATATATATATACCATATACCAGGGGTGGCCAGCCTGCTTTCGACCGCGATCGACTAAAATGCTCAAAATAGCTCGCGATCGACTGATCGGAAAAAGGTCCTACACAAAAACAAATGGCCACTGATTAAATGTGCAGATACCTGCACACACTCATACAAAAAATTCCACCGCTGCCAATAAGAAGGCTTTGTGGGCACATTATTATTAAAATCGACACAAAATTTGTATTTTTTCTGTTCCATTCAAATTGTTGTTACTTATCGATCGCGATCGGTAAGTACGTTGATAGGTATTTGTCTGTTTGTTTATTTCACTTTCGTATGTTACGCGATATATATCTCACGAAAGCGAGGTTGAATTTGCTCCAAATTTTGCATGTGCATTCATCATATCTTGGACCAGACCTATTAATTTTGGATGAATTATGTCGTATAATTAGCGAGTTAATATTTAATTAGTGATGGAACACGCGGTGTCACTATTGAGTCAGAGCGAAGGAATCGAACCCGTAAGTGCGATAAGTCGGCAGTCTCCGATCGCTATCTAGTTTGAATATTCAATTGTACCCGGAGTGAATCTTTTATTATTCATTTAAGTCATACTATTCAGATAAAGGGCGTGCCTAATTTTTATTCGTAAGCGTTGAAAATTCTTTAACCTTGCCAAGTATTATCCAAACAGCGAAAAATAAATATTGAATGATTGTTAAACAAGAATATCGTTCGGAGACCGAAGACTTATCGATCGAAGGTTAGGGGATCCCCCAAATCAGCGCTTTTACTCCATAGTGACACCGTGTGTCTCATCATTACTTAATTATTAAGTCGCTAATTATACGACATAATTCATCGAAAATCGATAGGCTTCTGATCCGAGCTATGATGAATGCACATGCAAAATTTGATTCAACCTCGCTTTCGTGAGATATCGCGTGCATCTAACAGACAGGCAGACAAACAAACAAACAGACTAATATCTATCAACATACTTACCGATCTAAAGATCGATAAGTAATTAATGCTCAATCTTCAGTAGCCTATTTAATTTACAATTTTCTCGCTTGCTTAGAATTAGAACAAATTGGGCATTTCAGTGCCACTGCCACCATTGCGAATAAAATTCATCCCACCACTCTTGGAGTGAGACAATAACATACGCATACTGAAGAAGTAATTGTAGGATTGTTTGTCAGTTTAGACACGCGATATCCGGCACTTCATTTTTAAACCTTGGCAGCGGAAAAACTTGCATTTGTCACGTAATAATATGCTTTCTAGGCGTTGCCCAGACTTGAATACTGTATGTGTATATTGCATTTTGCGCGTGTAAAGTACTGTATTCTTCCTGTTATAAAACACACAACTGGTTCGAGGTTTGGTGGTATTTCAATAAAGTACACTCAACATCAGACGCGATCGACTGCTCGAGACGTGGCGATCGACGTGTTGGCCACCCCTGCTATATACTATATATAGATAGCGCTTGTGAGAATTTGGGTTTTAAACAATGCTCCATCTCACCCAGAGTGCAATAAATTTGTTAGGCAGTGGCGAACGGGGGAGATTCCCCTGCCACCAACTCATTTTACAATTTAGATCAGTGGTTCTCAAACTTTTTTTGTCCCAGAGCCGCATTTCAAACCTCAAAGTCAAAGAACCGCACACAAACAACGCAAGTTAAAATAGCAACAAAACTTAAGCGCGTAATTAAAATACCAAGTCATCGTAACAACAACACACGTAACAACTAGGGCTGGGCAAAAAGATTCGAATAGTAAAATATACGAATGGCATATTAATATTCGAATATCCGGTACCATTTGAAAATTCGATTTTGCCCACCCTAGACGAACAGCCATTCAATTTGGCTTTGATTTCTAACAAGTTTGTCAAAGCGGGTCGTAATCGTAGAGGATGCAAGGTGCAGTAGCTGCTTGAGATGGTCGCCAGATATTTCGGGACTATTTTTGATTACTGGAACAAAATTAAAATGCTCTAGAAATTAAAATATTCATGGAGGTATTTGATTTATACATAATATTCGGCAATGCGACAAAAACTAAAAATCCACGAAAGCAAGCCAATGATAACAGCCATGTCTAAAATCTTTCCAAGTGAAAAGTGTCCGCGAAAACGCTTACTGTTGCGTCACTATTGCATTTAGTAGATTAGTCAACACTACGCAAATAAACATGGGGGAACCCATTCGACTAACTAATAGACTTCCGCATTTTAATTTCAAGCCAATGATTAGTTTTCAATAAAAAACGACTAAATTTTCTTTGAAAGTAATAAGTTTTTAAAGCATTACCAAGAGCCGCAGGAAAGGTTGTTGAGAGCCGCATGCGGCTCTCAAACCCTTGTTTGAGAATCACTGATTTAGATGCAATTTGACTAATTAGTTTTTAATATGTACTGCTTGTTGCCAAAATCGAAAACTTTTCGTTTCATAATAATAGATATCGAACTATAATATACATACGGGTATTTTTATATAATTTTCTTAAAAATTTGTTTGATATCCGATTTGTCAACTGTAATTGTGAGTTCAATCTAGTTCAAAATTCCATTTCCTGTTCCAACAAATGTTAATGTAAAAATGTCAGCATATGAAGCATCAACATAACTGTTACTTGTTCAAAAGCATCTGGTCACGTGAGCTTCAACTAAGTAGTTGATGAAACCAGTCAAGTCTCTTTATGAAGCGCCGGTCACAGTACCAAATCTTACTGACAATGTCAGATGTTACTTTACGAATTACAATACTTTTCGAAAAAAGAAATATAGATATTTATTACCAAATAGTGAGAATGAGTATCTGAAAACAAAACAATTATATATACCTTTTGAAATTAATTAAAAAAAATCTTCATTCATCCGTTTGCTACTTATTATACCATCTATATGAAAGATTAGCATTCATGCACAATGATTTAAAACTTAAATATAAAGTTGCGGTATTGGTTGCAAGTATCAAATATGATGAAGAAATACCTAACCATTTTCTTGGTATGTCTTATCGGGTTCAATCAAATTCATTTCGATGCAATTAAAATACGTTCATGTATTGTGTGACGCATTAAATATCAAAACACTAAAATAGAAAAATATTTACAACATTTGACCTATTGCATGATTATTGAATAAAGTAGAGCCGGGCTCGCATATTTGGGCTAGGGCCCAGCAGCGCTATCAAATCTGACCCAACTGGTCAACGACGATAAGTACCTGATTTAGTAGGTCCAGTCTAAACCTAGACACAAACAAAAGACATGTGTATCTTGAACATATATCAAAAAATGTCTTTCGCAAGTTATCAACATATTGAAGACAAAAGACGTGAATATTCCTGAATCAAGCACATTTAATTGTTTTATACCACATTAAAAGATTATACGTATGATAGTTTTATATGGTATGAATATATTGGAAATGTCATAAAATAATGGCTTATGACGTCATGATTCATTAGTAAGTATAATCTGTATACAGCTTCATACACTTGAAACAGATGTGCCAACAAAAGAAATCAACCACGATATAAGATTCACGTGACCAGCCTAAGTATTTTAAGAATCATCGTTACACGTTAATAGTGAATAGCGTCCCAATTCCCTTCACTGCTCCGAGTTGGGTAACGTCGAATTCTTTTTGAAACTCAATACTCTTGAATAAAATCGTTTGATAGTACATTGAGTTCGTTATGATAGGATTTCTTTTCTCATTTATTGGCTCTTACGGTCTGCTATACCTGATATTAGGAAATTCTCCCCTGTGACGTAACTAGCATCGTCTGAAGCTAAATATGCCGCGAGTCCGGCGCATTTGTCAGCCTTTCCAAAACGTTTCATCGGGATTAAACTCAAAAGATTTTCTCTTAAAGATTGGTTCTGTTGAACTTTTTGAAAAAACGAAGTATCAATTCCACCAAATGAGAGACAATTTATTCGTATGTTTCGATTTATTAGTTCTGCCATGAAAGCACGAACCATAGCACTGATCGATGCTTTGGTGATTGCATAAGCTCCTGGTATATGTTGAGATGTATAACCAATAATGCTTGACGTTAATATAATAGAACCTTGGTGCTCACTTTTGGTCATATGAGGAAATATTTCTTGTACGAACTGAAAGTTTGCTTTGATATGAAGGACACGTTCCTCTACATATCAAGATTGCAGATGCGATGTTCATCACGCCTACTGTACACGCTATCCCAAAACTGTATCCAATTCTATAACCTTCATAACTTATCCCGGTACGATCAAACAATCCTCCATAACAAGCGACTGCGATAAAAATAAATGTAGCTGAAAAAAAAAGAAAATTTCAAAATAGATAGTACATCAAGTGTCAAACCTACAGAAAGTCAACTATATATAAGATCACAGTCAAAATACATCTTTGGTTAAGTCCAGGAACTGGAAACTGAACTTGGGGTAAGATAAGGATATTTAAATAGCTTTCTTAAAAATTGGTTGTTTTTTCTATATCTTCGCCAAATATATATAAATTCAAATATTGAGATCCCAACAAAATAATTCACACATACATACCAGATAAAATGCAACACTTTGTAACATTGTTATTTTGATCATCCATTCCAATGTGAGTTACCAAAGCGAGGAGAATTGCAGTAATTTGAATTATCAATGACATCATAAGAAAAGCGGTTGTAACTTGTTCCCGTACGGAGGTAACTGAAAAAACACAAGAAATGGGGTAGGAATTTTTGGCACTACAAGATAGTGAACACAGTCTCTTGTATCAGTGTCCACATTGGTCATCATTTGAAAATACATCGTGTGTACAACCTACTTAAATATTTCAACCTAATCTCACCCATATGAGCACAAGTCCCATCAACACATGCTCAAAACAATCCTAAAGCAAAATACTGAGGATGATCTTCTGTACTTTGTACCCATCCCTTAATCCAACCATTGGTTACGAGAGCCACGACATTTAAAAGTATTCCGAGAATCGTCACAACAAAAAATGCAATCAAAAAAGGGTTCTTCATTTTATTATATTGTAACATCCAATGCTTCTAATCCATAAATATCAACATAGTATGAATATGGAATATCCAATTCTTTTTATCGAAACCATATCCTGGACGAAGCTGAAACTTTGGAACGGCTACCTTACCTGCGGATCTATTACAGTTTAGTACCACAAGTATTTCTAATAGTAATAGGCGTGGTATAATATTTTTTGCATATGTCGTCCCTGACCCTCATCTGACTACATCATCTAAAAATTACGTCACTGCTACGCCACAATCACGTCAATACGAGGATGATAGCTGGTTTTAGTGAGTTCGATGTATTTCACAGTACAGGTACGGGTCTGGTACCGGTACAGTTTAGTACCACATGCACATCTAGTTGGCCTGGCTCAAAAATTTTTGCATATGCCAATCCTAACCTCCACCTGACTACGTCACCGAAAAAGTACGTCAGTTCGACGTCACATTGGCGTAATAAGACCCACAAAAGTGTGCGGATGGTCGTCCAAAACGCGCAGATGATCATCCGAAATCAAGCAAGCTATTTCTCTCGTTTTCCCGTCATAACGATCACGACAAGAGAGAGATCGCCGGCGTTAGCGAGTTCGTAATCGGCGACGCAGATGCCATTTCGGGCGATCGTAATTATAATTTGGCAAGCCCTAGGACGTGTTTGTGACGTCGTATTAACGTAATTGTTGGATGGAATAGTCAGGTGGGGGTTAGGAATAACATATGCAAAATCTGTTTTGATACGCCAACTGGAAGTACTTGTGGTACTAAACTATACTAGACCCCCGGTACGGTACCGTTGCATTCCAGACAACGACTGACCATCATGTTGCAACGAGCGCGAAACCGCCACAAGGAGCGCAATTTTTAATTTTGGTGACGTCATCACACACGCAAAAAATCAAATCTCATACAGCATAAAAAATTTTAAAATAAATAAACGATTTCCAACCACAGAAATTTTCAGAACAATTGGTCCAGTAATTGAAGAGAAAGGCGATTTTTTTCATAACAACAAGTTAATGAGTTTTACCAACAACATAATATCAATACAATATATAGGTCCGTTTCGTGTCCAAAAAGTTATTGTTACACAACAACGCATAATATAAGTTAAAAACGTTTTGTACATATCAGTGTGTGCATGGGGTTTCGTTAAATACAAACAACTTAGCGAAGATAAAATATATGGACACAAAATTAATTTTATATATACAGTACTTTACCTAGTCCACTGAACGGAACGGTCAGGAAACTTCCGACTTTCCCGTAGCACGAGTGTCAAATAACTCATACTGAGAATTAAGACGGTTTTAGTTATAGTTTTCGTGTTGCTGCTGAACTGCAAATTTTATTTTAGACTGTTTCTCTACTATTATATTATAACTGTATACCCTTTATCTAACAAACAAACTGTAGCATACAAATTGTACTCGAACATATTATAAACCCTTCTTAAAATTTATTATACCCTGGTCATACTATATAATAACTGGCTTATAGGTAATTGTAAAAATTGTTGAATATTTTGAAAGCTATACTACATTTGTAAGTCCTTGCGTTAATCTCGTTTGTGCTCTAATCAATATTTTCGTTTGCTAAAAGACATCTCACACATGGGGATTCCCTTATCTATCATTGTCTAGCTCTGATATACCAGGGTCATGTATAAAGGATTAGGTCTATATATATGAAACTTGCAATCACTCATGAATGATAAGCTGAAGAACACGAGTAGTAAATTGCTAAAAGTTTAGGCGAGATAGAACTGGTGTTTTTAACGACCGGGGGTTGTTGGCAAATAAATCAACGTTAAGGAAGTTATACCTTATTTGGGCATTTACCTTTCGAAATGCTCAAATATAGATTGGTACTTATCGAGAGCTGGTCTACTTTGCTTGATAGTGCAATGAAGTTCATTTCGACAAATTTCTTGCTCATTCAGTCGACAAAGAATTGAAAAAAGAAACATTAAGATAAGCATTGTTTTCAAGAACTAGAAAAAACTTGTAGTTATATGCATGCAGTAACAAGAATTAATTATTTTTCTTGTTTGTGTTTGATTTTAATACGAGTTATGAATACGTATAGTTCACACTGTTTAGTCCCGATCATTTCGATGGACAAGTTTTGGTCCTTGATTTTACGGTCTAATATACGACCCACCAGAAATAACGAAAGTCTCCCCTGTGACGTAACTGGCATCGTCTGAAGCTAAATAGGACGCGAGACCGGCACATTCATCAGCCGTTCCAAAACGTTTCATCGGGATTAAACTCAAAAGATTTTTAGTAAAAGGCTCGTTCTGTCGAAGTTTTTGTAGAAACGAAGTAACAATTCCTCCAAATGCAAGACAATTTATTCGTATGTTTCGATTCAAAAGCTCTGACATGAAGGCACGAACCATGGCACTGATCGATGCTTTGGTGATTCCATACGCTCCAGGTAAATGTTGAGTTGCATAACCCAAGACACTTGACGTAAGTATTATGGAACCTTGGTGTTTGCTTTTCGCCATATGAGGAAATATTTCTTGTACGATCTGAAAGTTAGCTTTGATATGAAGGCCGTACGTTTTGTCAAGAACGCTTCCCGGAGTTTCCATAATGTTAAAAAGATGGGGATTGACTCCAGCATTTTGAACAAAAATATTTATGGAACCCAAATCTTTCATTGTCCTTTCTATCAAAATTTGTCTTTGCTCAGAATCAGCAACGTCACATGGTATTCCCAAAACCTAAATAAAATTTGAGTATATCTGAGTGTGCTTTATTTTAATTTGGTAGCCCACTTTTCACAACAACAGTAATACAGTCAGATAGGAGGCAAAGATTATGTAGTGCCAGGTGTTTTCTTCTTGATGTCAAATCAGCCCGTCCACTCGCTGCAATAAAACAACGTAATGATACGATACCAATACTTGGATGGACGGAAAACGATATCAAGATTTTAGAATATGAACAGATGAAGTTGATAACTTCTATGATATAAAATAGGATAATAGGTTCTCTTTTAACCAAGTTTCATTGAAATATACGGAAAACCAAATGTTTGCAAAGTAATGAATAAATCAAATTTCGATATTGTTTGCCTACATATTGAATCACTTGAAAACACCGTATTCACCTTTATTCCAATTGAATTCAATTCATCAACTGCGCGATCGATATTTTTCTGCTTTCGGCTACTAACGACAACATGAGCTCCATTCTGTCCCAATCGTTTGGCAATTGCAAGTCCTATACCATCCGTTCCTGCAGTAACAATTGCCACTCTGCCATCAAGATTTCCAGCCGAAGACATGAAACGCGGAGACGCCACCCGCCCATATTTCAAAAAACGTGGAAAGCGATACATTCTGAATTTCCAGCTAACTCAATGTGGCCTATATAGAATAAGAGCCAAGTATAAAAACACTCACTCATTGCTTGTTGGTTAATGATTAAGCAAACAGAGTACAGGCGCGGCGGTGTGGCTCAACGGGCTAAGCGTGAGGAATACGCTCGCCACCGCACCTCTAATTACTCTGCATGAGTTCGCAGGTTCGAATCCCATGCAGGGATGGTTATGTGCGAGAGGATTGCTGGACTCCTCGCCGTCGTTGGGTGGTTCACGTAACCGCTGGTCGGTACGGCTTCCTCCACCACCAAGTCCATGCTTCCGAAAACAAACAATACAGTATAACTAATCCCATACCCGACTTAGAATGGTAACCGGACGAGAGGCCGTGGTTCGCCATATGGATAAGCCGTCTTATCGGCTTTACTCTCCCCCGGGATAAATATGTAAATCCTATCCTATACCGCGACTGTTTACTTATTGCTCCAAGAAAAACTTCACGCTTGCTTGTAGAGTTAAATATGAACAGTTAGCTCTACTATTTGAATAACTCATTCATACAACGTTTGCTGACTGGGCATGTGTGAAGGAATTCATATTAAATAATTCCAATGGTTTGAACGGGTGCAAAGCATCAATAATATTTATGAAATGACATGAGAAATAGATCACTGTACCATAGCAGTGCATGACCTTTGTCGTATTTGCTCTAGAGACATCGACTTGCAAGTTTTATTGTACCTTTTTGCAAGAAATACACAAAGTTGCTATTTCGAGTATAGCGTTATATAGTATACTATATATATATATATATACTATATACCAGGGGTGGCAAACCTGCTTTCGACCGCGATCGACTAAAATGCTCAAAATAGATGGCGATCGACTGATCGGTAAGAAGGTCCTACAAAAAAACAAATGGGCACTGACTGAATGTGCAGATAACTGCACACACTCATACAAAAAATTCCACCGCTGCCAATAAGAAGGCTTTGTGGGCACATTATTATTAAAATCGAAACAAAATTAGTATTTTTTGTGTTTCATTTAAATTGTTGTTACTTATCGATCGCGATCGATAAGTACGTTGATAGGTATTTGTCTGTTTGTTTATTTCACTTTCGTATGTTACGCGATATATATCTCACGAAAGCGAGGTTGAATTTGCTCCAAATTTTGCATGTGCATTCATCATATCTTGGACCAGACCTATTAATTTTGGATGAATTATGTCGTATAATTAGCGAGTTAATAATTAATTAGTGATGGAACACGCGGTGTCACTATTGAGTCAGAGCGAAGGAATCGAACCCGTAAGTGCGATAAGTCGGCAGTCTCCGATCGCTATCTAGTTTGAATATTCAATTGTACCCGGAGTGAATGTTTTATTATTCATTTAAATCATACTATTCAGATAAAGGGCGTGCCTAATTTTTATTCGTAAGCGTTGAAAATTCTTTAACCTTGCCAAGTATTATCCAAACAGCGAAAAATAAATATTGAATGATTGTTAAACAAGAATATCGGTCGGAGACCAAAGACTTATCGATCGAAGGTTAGGGGATCCCCCAAATCAGCGCTTTTACTCCATAGTGACACCGTGTGTCTCATCACTACTTAATTAATGAGTCGCTAATTATACGACATAATTCATCGAAAATCGATAGGCTTCTGATCCGAGCTATGATGAATGCACATGCAAAATTTGATTCAACCTCGCTTTCGTGAGATATCGCGATCGATAAGTAATTAATGCTCAATCTTCAGTAGCCTATCTAATTTACAATTTTCTCGCTTGCTTAGAATTAGAACAAATTGGGCATTTCAGTGCCACTGCCACCATTGCGAATAAAATTCATCACACCACTTTTGGAGTGAGACAATAACATACGCATACTGAAGAAGTAATTGTAGGATTGTTTGTCAGTTTAGACACGCGATATCCGGCACTTCATTTTTAAACCTTGGCAGCAGAAAAACTTGCATTTGTCACGTAATAATATGCTTTCTTGGCGTTGCCCAGACTTGAATACTGTATGTGTATATTGCATTTTGCGCGTGTAAAGTACTGTATTCTTCCTGTTATAAAACACACAACTGGTTCGAGGTTTGGTGGTATTTCAATAAAGTACACTCAACATCAGACGCGATCGACTGCTCGAGACGTGGCGATCGACGTGTTGGCCACCCCTGCTATATACTATATATAGATAGCGCTTGTGAGAATTTGGGTTTTAAACAATGCTCCATCTCACCCAGAGTGCAATAAATTTGTTAGGCAGTGGCGAACGGGGGAGATTCCCCCGCCACCAACTCATTTTACAATTTAGATCAGTGGTTCTCAAACTTTTTTTGTCCCAGAGCCGCATTTCAAACCTCAAAGTCAAAGAACCGCACACAAACAACGCAAGTTAAAATAGCAACAAAACTTAAGCGCGTAATTAAAATACCAAGTCATCGTAACAACAACACACGTAACAACTAGGGCTGGGCAAAAAGATTCGAATAGTAAAATATACGAATGGCATATTATTATTCGAATATCCGGTACCATTTGAAAATTCGATTTTGCCCACCCCAGACGAACAGCCATTCAATTTGGCTTTGATTTCTAACAAGTTTGTCAAAGCGGGTCGTAATCGTAGAGGATGCAAGGTGCAGTAGCTGCTTGAGATGATCGCCAGATATTTCGGGACTATTTTTGATTACTGGAACAAAATTAAAATGCTCTAGAAATTAAAATATTCATGGAGGTATTTGATTTATACATAATATTCGGCAATGCGACAAAAACTAAAAATCCACGAAAGCAAGCCAATGATAACAGCCATGTCTAAAATCTTTCCAAGTGAAAAGTGTCCGCGAAAACGCTTACTGTTGCGTCACTATTGCATTTGGTAGATTAGTCAACACTACGCAAATAAACATGGGGGAACCCATTCGACTAACTAATAGACTTCCGCATTTTAATTTCAAGCCAATGATTAGTTTTCAATAAAAAACGACTAAATTTTCTTTGAAAGTAATAAATTTTTAAAGCATTACCAAGAGCTGCAGGAAAGGTTGTTGAGAGCCGCATGCGGCTCTCAAACCCTTGTTTGAGAATCACTGATTTAGATGCAATTTGACTAATTAGTTTTTAATATGTACTGCTTGTTGCCAAAATCGAAAACTTTTCGTTTCATAATAATAGATATCGAACTATAATATACATACGGGTATTTTTATATAATTTTCTTAAAAATTTGTTTGATATCCGATTTGTCAACTGTAATTGTGAGTTCAATCTAGTTCAAAATTCCATTTCCTGTTCCAACAAATGTTAATGTAAAAATGTCAGCATATGAAGCATCAACATAACTGTTACTTGTTCAAAAGCATCTGGTCACGTGAGCTTCAACTAAGTAGTTGATGAAACCAGTCAAGTCTCTTTATGAAGCGCCGGTCACAGTACCAAATCTTACTGACAATGTCAGATGTTACTTTACGAATTACAATACTTTTCGAAAAAAGAAATATAGATATTTATTACCAAATAGTGAGAATGAGTATCTGAAAACAAAACAATTATATATCCCTTTCAAAATTAATTAAAAAAAATATTCATTCATCCGTTTGCTAATTATTACCCATCTATATGAAAGATTGGCATTTATGCACAATGATTTAAAAATTAAATATAAAGTTGCGTTATTGGTTGCAAGTATCAAATAAGATGAAGAAATGTCTAACCATTGGTATGTCTTATATGTGTTATCGGGTCCAATCAAATTCATTTCGATGCAATTAAAATACGTTCATGTATTGTGTGACGTATTAAATATCAAAACACTAAAATAGAAAAAAATTTACAACATTTGATCTATTGCATGATTATTGAATAAAGTAGAGCCGGGCTCGCATATTTGGGCTAGGGCCCAGCAGCGCTATCAAATCTGACCCAACTGGTCAACGACGATAAGTACCTGAGTCAGTAGGTCCAGTCTAAACTTAAACATAAATAAAAGACATGTATATCTTGACCATATAATAAAAAATGTCATTCGCAAGTTATCAACATATCGAAGACAAAAGACGTGAATATTCCTAAATCAAGCACATTTGATTGTTTTATATCACATTAAAAGATTATACGTATGATAGTTTTTTATGGGATGAATATATTGGAAATGTCATAAAATAATGGCTCATGACGTCATGATTCATTAGAGAGATTAATCTGTATACAGCTTCATACACTTGAAACAGATGTGCCTTACATAAGTAATCAACCACGATATAAGATTCACGTGACCAGCCTAAGTATTCAAAGATTCATCGTTACACGTTCTGAATAGCGTTCCAATTCCCTTCACTGCTCCGAGTTGGGTAACGTCGAATTCTATTTGCAACTGAATACTCTTGAATAAAATCGTTTGATAGTACATTGCGTTCGTTATGATATGATTTCTTTTCTCATTTATTGGCTCCTATGGTCTGCTATACCATCCTCCAGATATTAGGAAATTTTCCCCTGTGACGTAACTAGCATCGTCTGAAGCTAAATATGCCGCGAGTCCGGCGCATTCGTCAGCGTTTCCAAAACGTTTCATCGGGATTAAACTCAAAAGATTTTCTCTTAAAGATTGGTTCTGTTGAACTTTTTGAAAAAACAAAGTATCAATTCCACCAAATGAGAGACAATTTATTCGTATGTTTTGATTCATTAGTTCTGCCATGAAGGCACGAACCATGGCACTGATCGATGCTTTGGTGATTGCATAAGCTCCTGGTATATGTTGAGATGTATAACCAACAATGGTTGACGTTAATATTATAGAACCTTGGTGCTCACTTTTGGCCATATGAGGAAATATTTCTTGTACGAACTGAAAGTTTGCTTTGATATGAAGGCCGTATATTTTGTCAAGAACGCTTCCTGGAGTTTCCATAATGTTAAAAAGATGGGGATTGACTCCAGCATTTTGAACAAGAATATTTATGGAACCCAAGTCTTTCATTGTCTTTTCTATCAAATTTTTTCTTTGCTCAGAATCAGCAACGTCACACTGTATTCCTAAAACCTAAATAAAAGTTTGATATCTAAGAGTGCTTCATTTTAATTTGGTAAAGCAGTAAAGCGTGATGCGTGGATATACTGTTCACAACAAGAGTAATACAGTCAGATAGCAAATGAACAATTCATGGCATGCCAAAAATTGTTTACTTGTCATTGTCAATTCAACACGTTCATCCCACTCTCAGCACCAAACACATAAAGATAAGATACCATACATGATGATGGATTGACATTTGAGAATTAGCATGTCACGTTCGTCCGTCAGTAAATTATAGTCAATAGGATCTTAATACAATCTTGAATAGTTTTCATGGCTGGACGGGAAAAGACATCGAGGATTTAGGATATAGATAAAGAAAATCGATATATTCTTTTATATAAGGTGGGATATTTATTACACTTTTAACCAAGTATCTTGCAATATTCGTAAAACCGAACGTTTGCAAAGTAATACATTAATCAAATTTCGATATTGTTTACTTATACATTAAATAATTTATTCACCTTTACTCCAATTGAATTCAATTCATCAACTGCGCGATCAATATTTTTCTGCTTTCGGCTACTAACAACGACATGAGCTCCATTCTGTCCCAATCGTTTGGCAATTGCAAGTCCTGTACCATCCGTTCCTGCAGCAACAATTGCCACTCTTCCTTCTAGATTTCCAGCCGAGGACATAAAACGCGGAGACGTCACCCGCCTATATTTTGAGAAACTTAAAAGACGATACATTCGGAATTTACAGCTAACCCAATGTGGCCTATATGGAATAAAAGCAAACAATTAGAAACACGCTCATTGCTGACTGTTTTTTTAAGCAAATAAAGATTGCACACTGTGACTGTTGTTTCGTTATTTGCAAATAGTTTTCATGTGTCAACGCTCTATGTTGAGTTTAACATTTCAACATCTGTGGTCATGCATACATAACCTTAAGCTTGCTTTAGACCCTGCCAAAACAATTTCCATACTCTGGAGTAAATATACAGTAACTTACAATATTCAATTTTGAAATTCGTTGGAGAATTACACAGCTATATATACTATATTTGTAAGTTGATCCTATTGTGTTGATCTCATTTGTGCTCTAATCAATATTTTCGTTTAATGAAAGACATGTTTCATACCTTGCGAACGCCCATTTAGTTCTCAGTATAGTTGTGATATATCATCGTCACGAAATAGTCAGAAATAAGTCTGTATATATCAAACTTGCAATCACGTATGTGTAGCGGTCATGATTTTAGCTAGACAGTGGCCGCTCTCAGTGTTTTGCTCATGTCACTGAACTGGCGACTGTAACTTGGACATTGAACCCTGACCACTTCGGCGTTGTCGCGAATCTCTTTTGGCGTGAGCCTTTTTTTATTGAATTTTTATTGAATAAAAACAATATTGCAATAAACAATATTGTTCAAAATCAAAAAACAATAAATACCAATATCATTTCAGATCACTCTATATGACATGAATTATAGAACACTTTAGCAGTAAACAATATTAATAAATTCCATAAACCATTCCGTAGATAATTTTGGATTTTATACATAAAAACATAGAAATAAATAAATAGTAATATTACTCGAGTATTTTTTCATAACATGAACATAACATTTTTAATCAAATTATCTTACAGAATAAACATGATTTTTTTTTTTTTGAAAATCTCAGACTTAAATATATATTACATAAAGACTATAAACAAATGAGGAAAAAAAAATACCACAGTTGTCAGGTTTTGGCTAAGTAATCAATGATTATATAAAGAAACGCTATTTTGTATTGTGTATCAGGATTTTACCATTTTTCATTGCTATGTATTTCTCATTGTTTCGAATATCAGAAATGAAGTTATAAAAAACATCAAGAACTAGTTTACGCTTTTGAATCAGGCATCTATATATAAAAAAACGTGCAGCTAACTGCACACAGTTGATGAATTGGATATCAGGAATGTCATCGAAGCCAATAAAACATTCTTTCATTCCAAGATAAAAGTCCAAGTTTTCGGTCCTAAAGACAATCCATTCGTCTATGTCAGACCAAAATTCACTGGTGATTGGACAATAATAAAATAAATGCAAAAGGGTTTCAATATGTAATTTACAAAATTCACAGAGGTTTGTTTCCACTAGTCCGAATCCATATAAAACATCATTCAGAATTTTAGCTTTATAAAAAAATAATTTATTTGAAAATATCTATGTTTTGTTTCAATAGTTGATTAATATGAGTTTGTGAAATACTTATTCCATTCCACACAAGGGATATTAAAAGAATCCTGCCAAAAGAATTTGTACATGTCTGGCGGGACAAATATTTTCCCTATTTCGTCGTGAGTCGGTTGGACGTAGGACTTCAAAATTCGTATCTCACCAATCGTTTGGGTTAGTATTATCATTTAGGCTTAGTTTACATTTACATTCAATAATCATGATTTTTCTTGTTTCGTTAAGTTAATATTTGTTTGAAAGCACTTTATTTCACCGGATTTCGATTTGACTGCCATTTCGACAATCTTTTGACTGTTTCTCATACTAACTTATACAAAAATCAACATCTTTTGGACAATCGTTTCGGATTTTGAAAAAATCGATTAGATAGAACCGCGTCGACAAAAATGAAGTGCTTATACAAACATCTATTCCAATAGATCAGGACGCGCACATTATTATTGTATGGTACTGCAGCCGTTATAATATGAATGCAGCGCCAAAGAAAATTCGTAGTAAATTGCGAGAAGCTTACGCAAGGTAAAACTGGCGTTTCGTAACTAAACGACCGAGATTATTTGCAAATAAATCAACATATACTAAAATAAGTTATAATTTATTTGGGTATTTACTTTTAAAAATGCCCAAATATTGGCCGACGACGATGCAAGATAATTTGCCAATATTCTTCTCTGCTTCAATTGTGCCTGACGTACAATACTATATGTACATCTAACTATTCATGAACAATAGCGCTAGATAGTACAATGAATTTTGACAACGTTTTCGGCTAATTTATTCGACAAAAAATAAATGAAGATGAGCAATGGGTTCAAGAACTAGAAAAAAATGCAATTGTATACAAGTTGTATCAAGAATAAATATATATTTTATATTGATTCCAATACGAGTTGCTGTTTGGTCCCGATTATGTCACTGAACAAATTTCGGTCCATGGCTCTTACGGTCTAATATGTGACGAGCTGGCATCGTCTGAAGCCAGATAAGCCTCGAGACCGACGCATTCATCATCCGTTCCAAAAAGTTTCATCGGAATCAAACTCGAAAGATTTCAGAAACGAAGTATCAATTCTTCCGAATGACAGACAATTTATTTGTATGTTTTAAATCAAATCGTTCTGGCTATGCCAGACAAATTTAGTTTACTTCAGAAAAGAAAAATATATTTATCACCAAATAGTGAAAATGAGTATATGCATATAAAACAATTATATATTTGAACTCAATTTTTTTTCGTTTATTTCGTTGCTACGTATATCATTCCACCTAGTCATATATGAAAGATCGGCATTTATTTTCAATGATCCAGGGATTAAGAGTAAAGTTGCGTTATTGGTTACAAATGATTTACCTAGGTATCAAACCTGATGAAGAACTATCTAATTCCTTTTTATTTATTGGTCACCGCCACCGCGTCACCGGGTTCAATTAAATTCATTCCGATGCAATTGACATATGTTTTTATATTGTGTAACGTATTAAATATCAAAACACGAAAATAACAAGTTGTTAAATCCCTGAGTTCGAAAGTACAATCTCGACATAAGCGCAAATAAAGGACATGCATCTTAAACAAATTAAAAAATGTCATTCACATAAGTTATCAACATATTGAAGAAGTAAGACGTTATGAGTCCCAAAATAAACAAATTTATTTTTTTTATATCACACTAACAGACTGATTGATGGTATGATATTGAATACGTATATTAGAAGTGTGATAAATCAATGATTGTGAAGTCATGATCCATTAGTAAGATTACCCATTTTATACAGCGTTAGTCCGTGGCTCAGTTGCATGATGAACAGATTTGTCTAACAGACGTAATCGATCACGATATAAGAGCCTCGTGACCAGTCTCAGTATATTTAGATTCACAGTTCACGACGATGCTGGATAGCGTTCCAACTACCCCCACTTTTCAAGGATGAGTAACGTCGAATTCTATTTGCAACTAAATAGTCTTGAATAACATCGCATGATAAGGCATTGAAGTTTGTTATAATAGGATTTTCTGCTCATTCATTGGCTCTCACGGTCTGCTATACAACCCTCCAGCAATTACGAAATTCTCCCCTGTAACGTAACTAGCATCGTCTGAAGCTAAATAAGCCGCAAAGCCGGCGCATTCATCAACAGTTCCAAAACGTTTCATCGGAACGTAACTCAATAGACTATCACGAAAAGGCTGGTTCTGTTGAACTTTTTGAAAAAACGAAGTATCAATTCCTCCAAAGGAGACACAATTTATTCGTATGTTTCGATTCATTAGTTCTGGCGTAAAGGCACGAACCATGGCACTGATCGATGCTTTGGTGATTGCATAAGCTCCTGGTATAAGTTGAGATGTATAACCAACAATGCTTGACGTTAATATAATAGAACCTTGGTGCTCACTTTTGGTCATATGAGGAAATATTTCTTGTACGATCTGAAAGTTAGCTTTGATATGAAGGCCGTATGTTTTGTCAAGAACGCTTCCTGGAGTTTCCATAATGTTAAGAAGATGGGGATTGACTCCAGCATTTTGAACAAGAATATTTATGGAACCAAAGTCTTTCATTGTCTTTTTGATCAAATTTTGTCTTTGCTCAGAATCAGCAACGTCGCATGGTATTCCTAAAACCTAAATAAAAGTTGAGTATCTAAGAGTGCTTAATTTTAATTTGGTTGAGTAGTAAATCGTGATACGTGGGTATACTGTTCACAATAAGATCATACAGTCAGATAGCAGGTGAGCAATTCATGCAGTGCCAGAAAATATTTACTTCTCATTAAAATTCAACATGTTCCTCCCACTCTCAGCAACAAGAACATAATGATAAGATACCATACACAATAGTATAATAATGAATGGACATTTGAGAATTAGAATGTCATATTCGTTCATGAGTGAATCATAGTCAATAGGATCTTAGTACAATCTTGAATAGCTTTCATGGCTGGACGAAAATCGAGATCGAAATTCTAGAATGAAGATAAAGGAAATTGATATAAACTTTTATATAAGGTCGGATATTTATTACACTTTCAGGAATACTTTTGTTATTTTAGTAAGATTTAAATGTTGTTTTTCAAATTAATAATATTAATCGGATTGGAATATTTAATTCTGTCTCTATTAGAAATAAACCGTCGCAACGTGTTTTTACTGGACATAATTGCGTTGAATGACGCCGAGCCATTTCTCAATGACCAACCAGTTTTAATATAATTTATCTCGGTGATTATGACATTTTTATGAATTGGTAATTAGTATATAAGTTTTTCAATATTCACTGATTGATTATCGCGTAGAAAGTATCGTATTCTACTCCGATCGTGTTCTACAGTGATAGTATAGGGAGAAGAGATGCAAGTCTTAGGAGTAAAGACTTCAAAAGCTCGATTTCCGCTGTATTAAATTGGTCGATACGAGAAAGGCAATACATAAAACGAATGCATTATCACTGTTGCGAAACATAATGTGTCATATTTTGTGAAATGTTACATGCTATTAATATGAAAGGGTTAAATACATTATAATCCATAGTTACACAATGCACATTCGCTACAATAGGAAACTGGAAGCTGGTAAAAAAGACATTGTCTCGTCAAAGTGTCTAACAAAGACACGGAGATCAAAATACTCTTTCTTACCTCTAAACACTTTTAATCAAGAACCTTGCAATATTCGTAAACCGAACGTTCAAATTTCAATATTGTTTGCCTATACATTAAATCAAATAAATAAAATTTATTCACCTTTATTCCAATTGATTTCAATTCATCAACTGCACGATCAATATTTTTCTGCTTTCGGCTACTAACAACGACACGAGCTCCATTCTGTCCCAATCGTTTGGCAATTGCAAGTCCTATACCATCTGTTCCTGCAGTAATAATTGCCACTCTGCCACCAAGATTTCCGGCCGATGACATAAAACGCGGGGACGCCACCCGCCCATATTTTGAGAGACGTGAAAGGCGATACATTCGGAATTTACAGCTAATCTTATGTGGCCTATGTGAAAAAAGAGCCAGAGCTATAAATTTCCTATACTCTGGACTATAACTATTCAGTTAATTGTGAGTATCGTTGAAGAATCACACAGCTGTACTACTTTTGCAAGTCCTCGCGTTGATCTCGCTTTCTTCTCCGATTCAGTTGTGGCTGGTGTACAATACTATGTACAGCTAACTATTCGTGAATAATAGCGCTCGCTTGATAATACAATGAATTTCATTATTTGACGAAGTTTTTGACTAATGTATTCGAAAAAAAAAATTGAAAAAAAGGTAAAATGAGCAATGGTTTAAAGAACTAGAATAAAATTGCAATAGTATACAAGTCGTAACAAGAATAAATATTTTTTTCTGTTTAATTCCAATACGAGTTGCTGTTTGGTCCCGATCATTTTACTGAACAAGTTTTAGTCCATGACTCTTATGGTTTGCTATACAACCCACCAGAAATTACAAAAATCCTCCCATGTGACGTAACTAGCATCATCTGAAGCTCAATAAGCCGCCAGGCCAGCGCAATCATCAGCCGTTCCAAAACGTTTCATCAGAACTTTAGGGAACAAATGTGTATTTGCTGTAATTTCTGTATTTGCTGTTGTTTCTGGCTATTTCTGTTGCTGTATGATCTGATCTTATGAAGAAATACTCCTGGTTCCGAATACATGTATTGCAATTGTATATTTACACATACAGATTCAGATTCAGATTCAGATATTTTATTTCCGTCGTGCATGAAATATTGTAGCGACACAAGTAATAAGAAAAAAAATGCTAACAAAAAGATCAATTGAAATAGAAAGGCACACAATATTTCCGCAATTGACGCGGGGCCGCGAAAGACTACCAGAGTCATCGTGTCAGCGACACCGTGTTTGCTGAGTTCAACAGCAGATGACGTCAAATAAAATCAACTAATTATTCTTTAACAAAAATGGGAATACAATTTGGCAAAATAATATCGAGAGAGTCAGGAGATTACTGATTATAGTAACTAACTGTAGTAATTACTGATTATATAGTTAAAGTCAGTTTAGCTTATTAACGTAATGCTCAGATGAGCACAGAGAAAACAACATGACATTGCAAATTTCAGATAACAGAAGGGGAATTCCCAACAACTGCCAAGGGGAAAATATATTAGCAGTTCTGGGTACATCAATAATATTCGGGCAAGAGAGAAAACCATTTCGAAGTTATTGTAATAAGGAATAATTGATAATTATTAATACATAATGGAGGAAATTAATCATCAAATATGCTTTTGTTTTAGGTATAAGATTTATATATACCGGTACCGAGTTGCAGTGCTACAGCAAGAAATAACCGAATGCTCAGGATATTCAAAATTATACATCAACGAATAGTGATATTGACAATGCCGTTCGCATTGCAGCATTGTTTTTATATTTTGGAAACAGTGCATACAGTTCCAAGTCATGACTGATAAGTCGGACATAATCTAAGTTTCACTGCAAGCCCGACTTCGTTAATTACTTTGCAGACATGTTTTTACAGAGCTTTTTTTGAAGCCGTGGCGTCAAACGCTAGGCAAAAATATCACCAAAACGAACAACAATACAATAATTGACGGGTCATTGAGCATATAGTACCTCATCACAAAATTCAGTTTCCACCTTTTTTGTTTGAAAAAGCATTTATTTTTTTTTAGTAGGCCATAACCCTAATCTGCAATTCTAACAATTTACTTTGCGTAACCTCGCTGGCAAAAATTGATCAGGTCACTTTTTGCATGTTATCCACGAATTTAATGCATATTATTTCAGTCGCATTGACATTACATTATACTTTTCAGAACAAGAAGAAAATCAAGAAAAACAAGAGAAAGTGTTTAATATCACATTCACAGACTATAAAAGAGGTTCAAATATTTAGAAATACGTAACACGCATATTGTTCACAACGATGCTCAAATATATACTGGACACGGAGACCACAGCAAAGCAGTAGCCTACCTTGGTAACCGTACATTTGAACCCATGTGTTTATCCGCGAGTTCAATCTATATGCGGGTGCTAAAACTCATGGGTTAGGGTTAGTATGGGTTCAAATATCCGCAAACCAAAAAATTTTCATAGGTGCAATTGTACGCAGATATAATTGTCATGGGTTCAAATGTACGGGGTTCAAATGTACGGGAACCGGCTACCTCACTTTTTGTAGTACCGGTAACGTCAAAAACGTTCTGCGTTTGCGTAGCACGAGAGATGTCGAAAATCCGCTACAAATAATTTTGAAGAGGTCATCACAAAAAATTTCGAAATGAAAAGCGAATTACATAAATCCCACAGAAATTTTTGAAATATATATATTAAAGTGTCCAATAATTAAATGCGGTAAAATAATGGCTTGATTAGAAGCCATTGCTTGTCACACATTGTTATTTGTAGCTTTACACATTGTTAACAAGAATAATGAAAAAACGTGGTCACAATAGACTATAAAAATGTCAATTCAAATTTATTTCCTCTGATAATTTCAAGCTGCAAATGCACATAACAGAGTAGAAACGAGATTTAAAGCTCCACCAATACATGCCAAAATGAAGCTATATCCGAACGCAATTGCTTTAGTAAGGTATAACTTTTTAATTTTTCCAGAATCTTCAACCAACATCGTTGCAAAGATAATGATTCCAGCGACAACAAAGAGTACTAAATATAAAAAAAATAGTTTCATTCACTCTTGTTTACAAGATTTCGCTGAGCAGATAGTAAAATGAAATATATTAGGGTTAGTTAAAATACGCGAGATCAGAATTCCTTCAAAAGCACACTTTTCTGTGATTTTTACTCATTTTTAAAAAATCGATAACCATCCAGGTTTTCAATCTTTTCCACACTGAATTACGTCCAAAACTGTATGCAGCGATAATTATATATGACTAAAATACTTCATAATTGCATTAAATCATGTCATTACGAATTTAATTACCAGTTAAAATGCAGTGAAAAAAATTGGTTAGCGTTTTTGTGCTAATTTTAATAACTGTCCTAAAAATCAGGTATATATGGTAACTCGAACGTTCATCTCTAGTCTCAATTGTGCACTCTAGTTTGAAACACACACAAATGTTCCGGCATTCACAACTATTTAAAACCACGCAGTCAGTATTAATTAAATGCGGTAAAATAATGGCTTAATTAGAAGCCATTGCTTGTCACACATTGTTATTTGTAGCTTTACACATTGTTAACAAGAATAATGAAAAAACGTGGTCACAATAGACTATAAAAATGTCAATTCAAATTTATTTCCTCTGATGTTTTCAAGCTGCAAATGCACATAACAGAGTAGAAACGAGATTTAAAGCTCCACCAATACATGCCAAAATGAAGCTATATCCGAACGCAATTGCTCTAGTAAGGTATAACTTTTTAATTTTTCCAGAATCTTCAACCAACATCGTTGCAAAGATAATGATTCCAGCGACAACAAAGAGTACTAAATATAAAAAAAATAGTTTCATTCACTCTTGTTTACAAGATTTCGCTGAGCAGATAGTAAAATGAAATATATTAGGGTTAGGTAAAATACGCGAGATCAGAATTCCTTCAAAAGCACACTTTTCTGTGATTTTTACTCATTTTTAAAAAATCGATAACCATCCAGGTTTTCAATCTTTTCCACACTGAATTACGTCCAAAACTGTATGCAGCGATAATTATATATGACTAAAATACTTCATAATTGCATTAAATCATGTCATTACGAATTTAATTACCAGTTAAAATGCAGTGAAAAAAATTGGTTAGCGTTTTTGTGCTAATTTTAATAACTGTCCTAAAAATCAGGTATATATGGTAACTCGAACGTTCATCTCTAGTCTCAATTGTGCACTCTAGTTTGAAACACACACAAATGTTCCGGCATTCACAACTATTTAAAACCACGCAGTCAGTATTAATTAAATGCGGTAAAATAATGGCTTAATTAGAAGCCATTGCTTGTCACACATTGTTATTTGTAGCTTTACACATTGTTAACAAGAATAATGAAAAAACGTGGTCACAATAGACTATAAAAATGTCAATTCAAATTTATTTCCTCTGATGTTTTCAAGCTGCAAATGCACATAACAGAGTAGAAACGAGATTTAAAGCTCCACCAATACATGCCAAAATGAAGCTATATCCGAACGCAATTGCTCTAGTAAGGTATAACTTTTTAATTTTTCCAGAATCTTCAACCAACATCGTTGCAAAGATAATGATTCCAGCGACAACAAAGAGTACTAAATATAAAAAAAATAGTTTCATTCACTCTTGTTTACAAGATTTCGCTGAGCAGATAGTAAAATGAAATATATTAGGGTTAGGTAAAATACGCGAGATCAGAATTCCTTCAAAAGCACACTTTTCTGTGATTTTTACTCATTTTTAAAAAATCGATAACCATCCAGGTTTTCAATCTTTTCCACACTGAATTACGTCCAAAACTGTATGCAGCGATAATTATATATGACTAAAATACTTCATAATTGCATTAAATCATGTCATTACGAATTTAATTACCAGTTAAAATGCAGTGAAAAAAATTGGTTAGCGTTTTTGTGCTAATTTTAATAACTGTCCTAAAAATCAGGTATATATGGTAACTCGAACGTTCATCTCTAGTCTCAATTGTGCACTCTAGTTTGAAACACACACAAATGTTCCGGCATTCACAACTATTTAAAACCACGCAGTCAGTATTAATTAAATGCGGTAAAATAATGGCTTAATTAGAAGCCATTGCTTGTCACACATTGTTATTTGTAGCTTTACACATTGTTAACAAGAATAATGAAAAAACGTGGTCACAATAGACTATAAAAATGTCAATTCAAATTTATTTCCTCTGATGTTTTCAAGCTGCAAATGCACATAACAGAGTAGAAACGAGATTTAAAGCTCCACCAATACATGCCAAAATGAAGCTATATCCGAACGCAATTGCTTTAGTAAGGTATAACTTTTTAATTTTTCCAGAATCTTCAACCAACATCGTTGCAAAGATAATGATTCCAGCGACAACAAAGAGTACTAAATATAAAAAAAATAGTTTCATTCACTCTTGTTTACAAGATTTCGCTGAGCAGATAGTAAAATGAAATATATTAGGGTTAGGTAAAATACGCGAGATCAGAATTCCTTCAAAAGCACACTTTTCTGTGATTTTTACTCATTTTTAAAAAATCGATAACCATCCAGGTTTTCAATCTTTTCCACACTGAATTACGTCCAAAACTGTATGCAGCGATAATTATATATGACTAAAATACTTCATAATTGCATTAAATCATGTCATTACGAATTTAATTACCAGTTAAAATGCAGTGAAAAAAATTGGTTAGCGTTTTGTGCTAATTTTAATAACTGTCCTAAAAATCAGGTATATATGGTAACTCGAACGTTCATCTCTAGTCTCAATTGTGCACTCTAGTTTGAAACACACACAAATGTTCCGGCATTCACAACTATTTAAAACCACGCAGTCAGTATTCTGAGTGACTCTCCCGACCTTCAAACAAATGCAGGGTCGGGTGCATGCAATGTTTTCCTGGGAAAAATATAGTAAAAAAAAACTAAACTAATGACAAAACTAACCCGAGAAAGCGGATGCAGTTAACGCTAATAAATTCCCACTCAAAAGGTTCTTGCGAGTGCTAACAACCAGGATGACAGTAGATAGGAAAGAAAGAAACACAGCCCCGACCAGTGTTCCAATACAGACGTTAATTGCTACGGAAACGTCTTTTGCGGATAGCACATGATAACGAATCCATTCACCTGCAATTTAGTGAAAAAAAGATTGAATTATTTTGGGGCATATGTATATATATATATATATGTTTTATTGCTTTTCCAAAATGTCCACGCAATGAAGTAGCAGACATGACTCAAATGAGTTTGGTAACTGGATGCAATAGGAGTGAATTGGGGTGGTAAAGTACCAGAAATTTTGGATAGCAAGATACAAAAATCTAACACGGATTTACGACGTAATCAGAACGTGACTGTTCATTTTAAAGCCATAAATAGATGACAGATCACATTGATTTTTACAATGTTACAATTGGACAAATCACTTTATACTTGTATAATATGTTTTAAATCTTACTCTGGGCCACACATACTGCCATTGGGGAATGAATCTTCCATCGAAAAATTTCGTCGAGAATATATTTACACAGATAATATGTCATAATGATGTTGTTTTTCCTACTTCACTTTTGTAGTCTATATTCTGTCAAAAAGTTTTCCCCTGAATTTCAGTTATTATATGTGAAATTCATTACACCTTATTTGTTTTTATGTTTATAATGACCTGGACTGCTTCATGCTTCGCCCCAACCACTATTTGCTGGGTCGTAAACATGATTCTATAGGTTTTTAGTAGAGCCTAGCAAACAAGTAGTTTCAACCAATAAAACAACATCAGACATGGTGATTCAATCTTGATTATTTTTGTTTAAACTTTCTAGCATAAATATTTCACAACGTACCTTGCGAAGGAACACAACCACCAGTAGCAGAATTCACTCCACAGATCTGAAATAAACCGATTGAGGCCCCAGTTTTCGCAGAATAAATCCAATTGGGCGTCGCAAGAGCTATGAGATAAAAAGCGATAGCCAATAACGTTACTACTGCAGCTGCGATTACTGTCTTGTTAACCATGTCCAGTAGGGTTCTTCTAGAAATGTTTTTAGGTATTTTTTATGAATATTAATATATATTCAAATAACAATACTAAGCTATTTGCATATTCCTATAGAAACCAAATAAAGAAGAAGATATTAATTAGTTCAATCAGGTTAATCAGTGTAAAGTTCATTTTAGAGTAAAATGAAATAAAATTTATCATAAATCAAAATCAAATATTATATTTACTGAATCTTCAATAATTTCTTCCTTTCCAAGAGAAATAAAGGTTTCTCTAAATAATCTGAGATTTTTGAGGCGATACGAACGTGTCTCTATTTCAAGACTGCACAAGAAACATTTTCACAATTGCGCTTTTTAACATACTGAGTTCGTTATCCCACAGTCTTCGTTTAAGTATGCCAACTTGCTATTGTTTTCAAATCTCAGGCCTTAAATCTGGCAAGATCAACTCCAATTTTATAAAATGAAGTTAAATATCGTCAGTCGAATACCCAACACTATGAAGATTGAAAATATATTATCATATTGCAATATTAAAAATAATATTAAAGTAGTTGACTACTGGCCTGACTACCCTAACCAACAAAATACCGCGGGTTTTGTTACAACACATTAAAATCAAACTGTGTCAGGTTTCATGATTTTCAAAATATTTCATTCGAAAATGTATTAGGTAGTACGGGTAAATAAAGTTTATTTCCGTGTTAAAACGTAAATTTACCAACGACTTTGCTATTCAATCGGGGAAACGCGGTCACACATTTATTTTTGTCAAGCGGAGAATGAATGACGCACCATAACAATATGTTGGTGACGTGATGCCCGATTTGAACCGTTTTCAGATGATGCACTCACCTATTTGATTATTTTCAAATCACATCATTGCAGTGGCAAAAATACAATTTCCATAAGAGTCAGCCAGCATTTAACAGGCTATACGGAGGATGTAATTCTTGGAAATTTCGAACAGCCCTGATCCAAAATATAGTATTCCTACCTATTTATCGATTGATAATAAAGTCACCTTCTCCTTTTACCAACTTGAGATCAAAGATGTTGGCCTCCCAGAATTTCACACAACTCGAATACGACAACGTATTGTTACGTGACGGTAGGGTGTCAAGATTAAATTTTGAAAGCCTAAATTAAAATATTTATCAACCCGAATAATTCAGAGGTTGAATTTGCGATTGATTTGAATTCAGATCAACTGCTCAAGTTCTAAAATTCAGTACCCTAACGTATACATACTGTGGTTTTAATGTGAGCTGGAGATGACAGCATAAAATTGATCTCAGCAAACACAAAACATTGGTATACAATTTTCTCACCATTAATATATATCTATAACCGAGAGTGAAATACCTTTATCCGAACATAGCAATGTTCAGGCAGACACTTCAACAACTTAAAATCTTTCTGCTTCAGCTTATTTAAAAAAGGGTACTTCCGTAGTATGTGTACCAGGTTGGGGTTAGGCCATGATTTTATTCCGATTTTCTTTATTTTAGTTACATTGCGAGTTTGGCACTGTCTGTGTTATCCAAGTGAATATTCTTTCTGCCCATAGGTTTCAGTTCCTTCACAAAACTTGATGTAAAATAGGCAAACAGAATTAATCACCTCCATATTGGTACACATATTTCTGGAGCGCTAAAAATGCAATTCACTATATGCCCCATGAGGGAGAAATAGACTGTTATCCATAAACGCCTTTAGAACTTTATACAATATATGACAATCTAAGAAACATTTCGAAAAATACTTTATAACCAAATTTAACCGAAATTGTTTGTATATATGAAAACATTATGCTTCACATGAAAAACTTCTACAAAATATAACGTCGAGATTTTTAGTTTTCCTGTGAGCTGCCTGCCATCTGGCAGTCGTGAAGATGATTTCCAAAATCAACCATTCCAAATCAATTTTAAAAATAAGACTTCGTACACTTTGTCCCTGGAGGAGTAAAACTTTTCATGTCATATTAGATATCTTGTTTTATTGCATTAAAAGAAGGAATAACCAAAAAGAATTTAAAAAATAATAATATAAAAAATGTGAAACTAACTAAAAGATAACGATGTCAGAAACAATCTATGAAGTTGCATTTGATAAGAGCATTATAGAAAAATTTTATCTAAAGATTCAAAATAGTGTCATAAGTTTATTTAACTCAACCAGATTGATGGCGTTTACAACTACTATTGAATATCAATTGTGCATGCGGATGGTTTGTTCGTATTCTTGAGGTTAGTGTCCCCAATAATTCAACCAAAATATTTCTTCTTCTTTTTTTTTCAATTCGTAGAAACACTGTTTTAAATTTGACAAACACTCGGACCAACGTTTACCTCCACTATCTACATAGGTGAAGTTGAACCCCCCCCCCCCCCTGCCCCTGTACTGTATCGTTTCACTAGGAAACCGACGATTTCAATTCCGAATGGAATAATCGTTTATAAAAATAATTATGACGTCATAGTGAATCATCAGACTCGCAAATTTCAATTAATGCGTCGTCGTCATCGCTAGCCGGAACGAAACCAGATTTCCTAGGGTCATTTCGACATCGAAAACCCAAAGAAAATCCTCCAGATGTGCCGGATACTAGTGCGTCTGGTATTTGTCGAGATGGCGATTCTTTTCTCGAAATTGGGTGCTTTAAAAATTTAGTCGCTAGCCTTTCCTTGAGACAAACATAATCTTCAGAAAAACGAGTTTGAGTGTATGGCCTGTGTCGTGACTCTTTCAGACTCGGGGCGTATTCTTGGTGAACAATCGTTTCTTGAAAATCATTTTCGTCTGCGTATCCTGTATCACCGGTGTTGGGTATCATATCCAGAGGTTTGTAGCGAACAATTGGCTGCTTTGGTTGCGGCTTATTGGACATCACTTGCTTTGTAAAATTTTTGATCGATCTTAGCGGCAATTGCTTCAAAATTGGAGCGGTGTCTATTTGACTGCATTGCGAAGAATTGTCTAACATTGGTGGAGTACTAGAAAGTTTCCTTTTCTTTGCTAAATTCCGACGAGAAACCGTCGAATCTTGATCGAAATTTGTCGAATCTGAATTTTTATTGAAAATTTTTCGAGTGGTATAAGAACAGGGCTGTTTAGTTTCATTATCCTCAACGTCGGTAATGTAACGCTTGTTGCTATCTTCGCCAACATGCTCAATAGCTTCAATTTTCTCTGTTTCGTTTCGAAAATCGTTATTACTCTCCACAACTTCAGGATGCAAAATTTCAGAGTCTGTTGCATGGTGTTGCTGTTCAGTAAATGGAACTTGAAATTTTATTTTCCTACCATGCGAGTCAGAATTTTCCGAATTCGTTTTCGACGTAACGGTACTGTCTACATTTTTGAAGACAATTTTTGTAGAATTATTGGTTTCAATACTTTCGGAATTCGATATTTTTTCTTTATCCTTACTTTCCAGTGTTTCGTTTATCCCAGTATGAAACTGTACAAATGGTTTTGTATCTCCTGAAATCTCCTCCGAACACGAAGTTACTACTTGTTTCGATTTATTCAAATCAATCAACAAATGTTCCTTCGAAACTTCTGTTGCAGAATCGTTTCCCATCTCAACCTGTTTTTGCATCATTTCTGAATTATCATTCAATACTGTATCCCCTATTTTATTTTTTAAAATCAGATTCTGTTTAGTAATTCCGGTATCCGTCGCGGAATTCGGTTGTTCTCGGGTGTGTGTAGAAGTCTGGCTGTTTACATTTGAGCATAGGTCAGGTAGAATTGTAACTGTGCTCTCCTTTAATAAGCCAGCTTCCATTTTAGAAGATTCAGTCACACTCTGAAAGCAATATACGAAAGCTTCTGTATATAAGATTTTTTGTTTTAGAATTGAAATATCAACAAACGTTTTTCAATCTACCATACTAAATACAAGTTTAAATTTAATGTGTTAGTTCCAGCAGGTCAAGTAAATCTCTACAATTAAAGCTTTGTTCCAATTTAACTTCGTTTGGTGGGAAAAATCTACATATCAGTGGAGTTTGTTATTGGTGTATTAATTAACCTTGCTTTTACGTGAACGGTCGCGATGTTTCTGCCAGCGAACATACATAAAACATGCATAATCCTTATATTTTATAAATTAAATCTAAGTAGAGAATTTTATGAAATTTTAATTATTATTTTAAATGAGTTTATTTTGGAACAGAATAATGAAATAAGTCTGTTTTAATTTTCGATATTTGTAAGATTTGTTGGAATCTAATATCAACCACCATCGGCATACCATGCGGTCTAATTTATAAATAAATTCATTAAATTGGTAAAATTGTTTTTATTCTAAAGACTCGATAGTTGTTTTTGCTCAAATATTCTGGAAAACCTGAATGAAATTCAGATTTTGAGTAATACAATGGTGTCAAAGTGATTTTTTTCAAGTACCTCTGTCTGACTTTCTTGATCATAGCAGGCTTTATCTATTTTGTTTTCATTCTTAGAAATTTCTTTGCTCAAATTTTCAAGTTTTTCCATCAAAGATTTGTTTTCTTCTCCTAATTTCATTGATTCCTCACAATAAATACGTTTGTCGTTTTCCAGCGAATCAAATCTCACTCTAAGCTCTGCAAAATATTTTTGAGCGCATGTGTGAATCAAATCTCACTTTGAGCTCTGCTAAATATAATTCTGCTCACTATTACGCAGACAATTGAAATACAAGAACAAAATGACTAATTAAAAAATATGTTACAAATAAATTATACAATATTTCAATAATTCAGAGTACGAGCAGGGCACAAAAAGTCTAAAAAAAATTTACTTATGGAAAATCCACTCACAAAATTCTAAAACATATTTAAATTATTTGGCATTATACAAAAACAACAATCAATTTTAAAATTTGTTCTTAATGTAATAAGGGCCAGAGTAGATATTTGTCTTGATTGAATAATAATGATATTATTGTAGTAGCATAAAATAACATAACGTCCGAAATACGATTTTGTTTTTAACTAACTACCAAAACTTTAATTGAAACAATATGGCCTAAAACTGCTGGTCTTAAACGTTTGATATTTCAAGTTCGACAACAATCCACTTCCCACAACAATGACCATAGAATGATAAATTGAATATGAAGTAATTTTGCTTTGAAACTTATACCGCAATCGTTTTACCTTTCATATCCCGTTCCGTGTCAATATGTTTTGACAGTTCGCTTTTTGTGTTTACAATATTTTTTTCTGCTTCAATTAGTTCTGATTTTAAGGTTTCAATCTGCTTCTTCATTTCGTTTTCCGATTGCTTTGCCTCCATTTTTACTTGCGATATCTTGAAAACGTAGGTTATCAGTATAGAACGTAATTAGAATTTTCCTAATACTTTCAAATCAATTTCAATACAATTAAAAAATGAAGTTTTGAGCAGAAAAATGATTTTAACATTGAGAAATAAAAGTCGTCTTTTATTAAACATATGTTGGGCATCAACAAAGATATAATTGCATTCATTGTGACTTAACCTACCTCTTCTCCGTGTTCAGCTTTCATTTTCTCTACCTTGTCCATCAAATCACTGTTCGTATTTTCCAGTTCTAGACTGGTATTTTCAAATAATTCCAATCGTCGTTGCAATTCTGAAACCAATATATTTGCAGAACTAAAATGGTGCTGCTTTGATGTACTGAGAAGTATAAGTTGACATTCGCATGTAATGTCATTCGCATAAAACACCAGTCTACTAATAAACCCTTGTAAATTAATTATTCTTCATAGAAAAATAGCACAATTTACCTACTACGTCTTTATCGTCTCCTTTTTTTAGTTCGACGATCTTCAATGCATCGGTCCTACAATTTTCTGCATCTAGAAGACGACAACGCAAATCGTGTATGGTTTGTTTTTGCTTCATATTTTGATCTTCAAGACATTGAATTTCGTTTTCCATATCTGATATCTATAGTGTGAAATACAAGGAAATATTCTACCCAGTTTTTCATGACACAAACCTAATAATGTATTAAAACACACAATATTATTTTCCGCAATTTATTGAAACTTCCCAAGAAAATGTTAAAAACGAGCTTTTAATGAGCTTATGGGTTGTTACCATACTTTTGCATAGTTTGATTCAACAGTTTTGATAAAACAATATTCAAAAATCTAAATAATCGAAAAATATCTACAAGTTAATTCAATTTCAACTCACATAATAAATTGAATACGCTAGATAGCGTACATAGAAAATAATCGGCCTTCAAAATATAACACCTTTCTAATTTTCAGTATCTATTTGCTTAGCTGGCGTCTTATACAAAGCAAAATATCTCACGTAAAAAAATTCTGACCTGGCTAGTCAAAATCTTTTCTTTGTCGCTCAATTCTCCATCATGTGCTTGTAAACGATATCGCGATTCTTGCTCTAGAAGCTATAAATTAATACTACTTCGTAAAAAAAATAGATTTTCTCAAAAGACGATAAATTAAAAGTGTCACAAGGCACCGATAACGCACTAAGAGCTCCACTTGTGAAGGCATTGGTAATAAAAATAGACGTAGCTGAGATTTAAAAAACTTTATATACAACAGTATAAGAAAAACAGCTCTGAGAAAAAGCCAACAAAGGGAAATTTTTCGGTGTAGAAATAAAGTTCGACGATAATTGAGATCCTCAATTGTGAATAAATATACGAGAATTAGTCGTTAATGCATTAAATGTATTTGAAGCATGACTTGGAAATACAATATTTTTATCTTAAGCTTTGCTACGGTTACCCGCTTTTGAAGATCGTCATTCTCCCGCTTGTATTCATTGATTAAACATGTTCCATGTGCGCATACACGAACTAATTCTCTATTCATAGTTTTCGAAGATTCTACGTTCTTTCGAAGCAATGTTTGAGCGGCTGTGGACTAAATAGGAAAGTATTCAGTAAAAAGTTCAAAGATGGCGAACCACTTACTCGCGTATTTTTTTTTGTCGGTGACCCGCCATGTCACGGATTGTAGAAAAAACATACCATTTCCAAAATTGGAAATTCGTAATAAAACGACGTTAATTTAAACTAGCAATAAGTGATCTACTATTATAGTATAGGGATGGGACAGATATAAATTGTTATTATTTAACGACTACAAACACCTGAAAAAATGATGGACCAGGATAATAACGGATTAATGCGGTATAATGAACCTTTTTCGGTTTTCGTGTGTATGCGAATCCGCGTTTTCACACACGTATTTCATAAAATCGAGTATCGAAAATTGCCTCAGTATTGATATAAGTGTTGCATGTGTAAATACACGACCCATGGACAGAGCAAGTTCCTTTTGAGACATTGGTTGAATATTCTTGATCCACGTTCTTCTTTACCATCATAAAACTGTAAATTGTGCACTAAATTTAATTAATAGGTTGTTTGTCGTACTAGGATTTTTGTAATACAAAGCTTCATGGAACCTCTATATCAATAAATGCTTGTGTATTCGTATACGAATGAGCCAAACGAGTCATGGAACGAAATATTAGGTCTGTGAGATATTAAGTACAATCATTAGTTAACAACGTAGAATTTATATTTGATTAAGTGTAAAAAGTAATCAAACCTCTTGCAATAACTTCGACAATTTTTCTGTCGTCAATTCAATCGATTTCAGACGTTCAATAACGGCGCTTGTGGAAGTTACTTTAGAAGATGCTTTTTGTTCTGCTTGTTTTAAATTGATCTCCAAATGATGTCTAAAATATATTAACACCCGAATAAGAAAAGTGGTGTAACGGAAAATGGTGTTATACAACACCTACATAATTACAATACAAGCGTACGTACGGTGAATTTGGGATCCCTCCTTTAGGTCAAACGGCCTGACCAAAAATTGCGTCAAATTCACTTATTATAATAAATAAATTTGATTTGGTCATTTCGGGTGATTGAATAGCCTATAATGGCGAGAGGTACTGGGGTAAATCTTTTCTAATAATTTTTTTTCTTCATAAGAATCATTTTTTATGGCTGAATTTATCATTGATATAATATCATACAGCATACGTACACTATGAGGAAAATTATACAACTCTCAATTCACGCGAGAGTTGTTTTACAAAATGGCAATAACAAAAAAGGAGTTTCGATATATTAAGTCAAATAAGTAACGGAAGTCGAACGAGTCGTAACGAATTAACGAATTTAATTTTTTTCAGTAAACTTCAATCAATCCAGGATGTGATATGGTTATTGACATAAAATGTATAATCAAATCAAGAAAAGATAGTCTAACTACACCTAACCTTTCCAGACTCATCAAACTAAGTTCCTTTTTTAGACCAGAAACAGTTTTATCTGCCGTTTCCAATGATTCCTTTAGTTTTTCGTTTTCTTCCTTATATTTAGTTTCGGTTACAGACGCCGACGTTTGTTTCAATTCAATTAAAAGCTGTTCGTTTTTCTGTTCCGTGTTCTAAGAATGATGAATTGCTTATTAACACATCATTTCATCCCCTACAGTAAAATAGTTTTGGTGCGACCGACTACCATAAAATTTTGTGTGTCTAGTCTACTTTTGTAACATCTCAATCTGGAAACAAGAACGTAAAAACTAGCATTATTATCACATTCCTATTTGAATGAGCATATTGCAATCACCAGCGTTTCAATTATTACTATGGTGAACTTCGGAATGGATGCATTCTATCATATAGTATCAGCATCTCTGCACAAATAGTTTAGTACCACATGCACTTCTATTTGGCCTGGCTAAACAATTTTTGCATATGTCATTCCAAATCCCCACCTGACTACGTCACCGAAAAAATTACGTCATTGCGATCGTCCAAAACGGGCAGACGATCACCCGAAAAATAGCAAGCTATTTCTCTCGTTGCAACCAACGCAATATGAGAGATATCGCCGTCATTTTGAAAGGTTCGTCGACAGAAAAAAGTTTATATATATATGGAAAAAAAGTAATTTCAAACATCAAAGCAAATAGTACCGGTATATAAAAACTGAAAAATAAAAATCATACCTGGAGCTTTGTTTTGATTTCTTCTAAATCCTGCTCAGCATGCAGTTTATCTGCCAAAGATTTTTCTACTTGATTTCGTAAATCATTACATTCTTTTCGCTTGTACCGCAACTCCTCCAACCTCTGTGGAATACAATCATTTCAAGTTTGAACATATATTATTGAGTGGAAAGCCTACTTCAATTTTTCTTCGTTCTAGTTTTTTTTTTTATAATATACAGCGAACCCAGTCCGTTTGAAACATATTGAATGGGTTCCGTTTTTAAAGGGATTACCTTCAGAACGTGGTTCAACCACCAGTGAAGCTTAGAAATCGATGTCATGCTGAGAAATATTTATTTTGATATTAATTAAAACTTTCCCAGAGTCTACGACGGCCCTCTCACTCTATCTGATGCTCGAGTAACGTTATATCTGGTAACGTTAAAGCATTATGACATAACGTTATCCAAGGCGTCTTGATGACTTTGATAACACAGTATTATAAAAGCAGAATCTTAAAAAAACTCAATAGTTTAAAATTATTTATCACCTGTAGTAAATTCGTACGGTACTCTATCAAATCACTCTGGTTGATTTGAGTCGTCATATTGCAATGGAGGTTTTCTTCTCGGAAACAAGTTGTTCACGGTAGGCTACTTTGTACATGTAAAGTTTATTTCAAAAAAGTTTTTTCGTATATCAAAATCCGCAATACATAAGGTGACAGAGAAGCGCTATACTGCTAATGACAATGACTACAAAACGATCCACGACAGAATCAGTACACCCCAATTCCCACACAGATATAGGCCATTCATTCCAGACATTATTACGTCATATTTCATCGGAACAAAGGCAATTTAGGGTTATATTCACGTTGAGCAAGACATCCAAACCATAGTCGGGGGAAGAATGTGATGCGGCTTCCTTTTTTACTTATCGATTTTAATCGGTAAGTATGTTGATAGGTATCTGTCTGTCTGTCTGTCTGTCTGTCTGTCTGTCTGTCTGTCTGTATGTCTGTTAGATGCACGCGATATCTCACGAAAGCGAGATTGAATCTGCTCCAGATTTTGCATGTGCATTCATCATATCTCGGACCGAAAGCCTATTGATCTTGGGCGAATTATGTCATATAATTAGCGAGTTATCAATTAATTAGTGATGGGACACAAGGTGTCACTATGGAGTAAGAGCGCTGTTTTGAGGAATTCCCTAACTTTAAGTTAACACTTTAAGTTAGCCAGTTAACAATGTCGGATGCATTGACTAGGAAGCTTGCTACGTGACCAGAGACTGGCGTCACCAAGAAATTTCGTAAAAAAAATCTATCCGTGCTACGGTTACAGAGAAATAGTTAACAACGGTTCCATTACATTTGAACCCACGTACATTTGAACCCATGACAATTGCACCTGCATACTATTGCACCTATGGAAATTTTTTTGTTGTACGGATAGTTGAACCCATACTAACCCTAACCCATGGGTTTCAGCACCCGCATATTGATTGAACCCGCGGATATAGACATGGGTTCAAATGTACGTGGGTTCAAATGTACGGTCACCGTTAACAACATATATAACATGTTTCTATCACGTCGAAGTCAAAAAAGCTGATTACATAGCGTAATTTATTTTGAAAGCTCATAAATTTTGAAAAGCGAGCTTTGAACTTTCTTTTTTGAAGTTCAAACCGCTCAGTTTGTGCTAGATTGAAGACTTCAGAATGATGAGCCAGCAGTAAGAGTACTTCAGTGTCAAGAAGAGTTTTACCGGTTTTACTAAGAAGCAATATTGCACTACTGGCGAAGACTGGTAGACTATTTACTTTAGAAAAAAAAGAGTTGTAAACCTAACCTTGGTATTAAATTGTTTTGATTTTGTGCAGCTGATCAGCAGCCTGATTTTCACGAGAAAAAGCTGTGTGGTATACTGTCGTCCCTACATCCATGTTCTTGGTTAATTCGGATTTCTAGCCGGTATACACGGAGGTGTACGAACTCACCGCAGCGTATTTTTTGGTTTGTTTCATTTTATTCATCTGCGGTGACCTGCATGTCGTTGTGCTGCGTTGGCGAACGCTCGAGTAGTGTTTTCTGATCGTTTCGACTTGGTGGTTTATCCGAAGAAAACTGGTACGGTACACCTTCCATGATTTATGATAACACATAATTGCGTCAGCCTTGACCTTCCATCATTCCAGTTAACTCGATGCTCAGCTAGAGCGGTACGAATGTGCGTCTATAAATTTGAGCATTGGTTGTGTTTGCTTTTCACTATGCATTCGTCTTATTGCATCCTAAGTTTTAAGACGATTATGCTTGTTCGATCTGGTTTTCATTTGTTAAACAATTTTATAGTTATACTTATGGCTATGCATATTTTTTAAAACCAAATAGAAATTAGAATTAATAATATTTATTTACAATTGTGAACTGCAATGGTAAAAATGAAATGATTGAAATAAATCAATATCGGCGAAGTTCATCGTACAGTTTTTAGTTGAAGTTTCAATAAATTTAATTAGACATTAAATTCACTGGCAAATAGCTCCAAATAGTACATTCTCTTCCTCCATGTAAACAAGATTGTGCATGGGTTGTTCTTTTTCTCTTATGTGAATTGCCACTTTTACTGTTTCAGTCAGTGGCACAGGATTTTTCGACCAGGTGGGCTTAGTACCATCAGATAACGTCTGGTTGTTCATCTGGAATTAAAATAATTAAAGGTTTGAGATAATTAATTATCCAACGAGTGATTTTATTTTCACTAGCTGAAGAGATTTCGTGGATGGCTTTCAAATTAGAAAAAATAGTGAATTAGGCGTATATGATTATTTAGCGTGTTCCCAACTGATGCACGTTGTTCTTTTTAATGTGGTAATTGATCCATATGCGAAGAATATTTGTTGAGGAATGCGATATATTTGAACCACTCAATAAAGAGTCAAATTTGTTGAAGACCATTTCCCACGAGCAATAATAAATCATTGGATCGTTTTGTTTGTTGCTGACCATCTACAGTTCTACACTACAGTAGATAATATATACAAAATAGACCGTTAATAAATAGAATGCTCAAATACATAAGTAAAGTCAAGCAAAAATGAAGTGTGTGTGTGTGTTGAAACGTCGAATGACAGAATGTAAGTGTAGGCCCATAATATCATTTATATATCATTTAACGGTACTTTAATACTTGACATACGTCAATGGCATTTCAAGATCTATCAGGCTGTGATTTAGAAAACTATTTTTTGCGAGCGAACCTGATTTTAAGACACGTTAGTATTGGAATGTGATTAAAATTACCATTCCAGTCCAAACACTAAATATTCCATCTTTATCTTCGGTCAGCCATGGATTGATGTACGAAACGATTAAATCATATTGCTCTCTACTTTGGACCTCAGCTAGTTTTCGTCCGATATTGGCGCAAATGGAAACTGCAGAAACAAAATTTGTTGTTGCTTCACCAATTTTGACAGGCCAAATACACTTGCCGTCGTGATGGATGGGACAATATTCTGTAAAATGCAATGATATATGTTTGAAACATCTCAAACTGATATTACAGCATAAGGAAAATTTCCACATAAGGTGATCACGAAATATTTAGAAAATATACTGGAATGGAAGTGGAAATTTTTTTTATCACTTTTCATGGAATTTTTTCATCACTTTTCATTCTGGAATTTGTTGAATGGGAAGCGGGCCATATGATGTTATATACGCAAGTAATAACTTTCATTTAAATAGAAGATAAAAAGCGTTAGAGTATAATAAAATTACGTGTTGCCAGAAATCTTGACGACTAGTGACATGCCCGCTTCATACACAGAAAGTGGAATGCAATTTTTATGCCCAGCATGTCGATTCCGAATGTTTTATCAAGTGACTTATTTTGCACCAAAAATCCATTTGATAATTAATTTTGATCTGAAAGGAGTTTTTAGGGAGAATTAATATTCAATACAAAACATCCATTAATTGGTTTTTATAGGCATCCACGTAATACACGTCGCCACTAAACCGCAGTACAAAATAGTTCACAACCTACCCTTTTCTTTTTTCGCTGCCACATTTCTACGTAGTTGGCCAATTATTTCTTGAAAAAAGAACAATTGGATTACAATGATGACAATGTGATTTTAAACTTTTTATCTATACCAGAGATGGCGAACCACTGACCCGCGGATCACAAAGTGACCCACCGCGTTTTATTCGTGACCCGTGACCCACCAAGGCACGGATAATATAAAAAAAAAATGCTAAAATATCAGTGATAAAAATTGAAAAAAAAACGGCTTTAAATTATGGAATGCGATCGCTCATATGCAAATTGTAAATTTTCGGTCCGGGATGGTAATTTTCGAAACCTTATTTTGGAGGCATGTCTGCACCGCTGTGTATCGTTATTCAGCTATTGGCCCTGACATCATTTATGACATAACAAGGCAATTAAATGTTCATTCCTCGAAACTTCTTGTCTCTTTTGGAAGTGCATCTGCAGACTGTTTTATGGGTTATACGAGAAATAGATGCTACTTTGAATTTTATTAGTTTCTCGCCTACGCCTACGTTGATAAAACAAAATCTTTCAGACTTGAAATAAAAATTTAGAAATCTGAAATAACAATCAGATAGTGTAAAAGAGATTTAATGTGATTGAAAGCTGATCGAAAAATATAACACTATCAGAATGGAATTCCCTCCAAACTTCTTGGAACCGTAAAATAATTTGCTATATCATCCTAAACGTTTTTAGTAATTCATATGCGTGTTTTCCTACTCTAATTTTAATAAAATCGAGTACCCTAAAAAGTCCACGATAGAAGTCCTGCATAAGTAGAGCTCAAAACTACACCACGAACAACAGAAGCTTATAAGATTTGTTTCAGAAGTTTCTTATAGATACAAACATCGATTAAATATCTGTGACCCACTCTCTTCTGTTCCGCGATAAAAATTAAATTTTCGACCCATTCATTAAAAAAGGTTCGCCATCCCTGATCTATACCTTAATTTCATCTCTTTTACATTATTGGACACGAAATTAACGTATGTTGTTGTTATTATTCTCCTTCTTGTTACCTTATGAAAAAATCACTTTTCTCATTCCCCAAAGGACCAATTGCTTTGAAATTATTAGTGGTCGAAGATTGTGTATTTACGTTAGAAGGCTTTTATTTGTTTCTAAATTTTCTGTGAGATCTAAAATGTGCTGTATAATTTTTCATTATCGGAACACGTTTCATGATACCGTGATGGCTGTCTTCCACGTTTTTATGATATCGTGACGGGTGTGACAGATTGCATTCCCATACTACGGCGTTTCGAATTTCGTGTCCATATATTTGAGCATCGCTCTGTTTTTTATTCTCGCAAATAATTTTTTTGATAAATAAAACATTAGACATATAAAACTAAATGCACAATATGTACATATTAATACAATTTATTCAATATGTTTAGGACTTTAGGCATTAGTTATATATGGCTTCAATTATATTAAAAAACCAACTACCTTCTTCGTCGATTTTTTCGCAATTTCCTTGACTGATAAATTTTCCGTTTTTTATCTTAGTTACGCAAGGGCCATAACCACCTAAGAATCAAACTCAATCAGTTAATTAACTTCTTAAAATTAATTAAATTTCATCTAATTAGAAAATATGGAATACTTGAATAACAAAATCTTAACAATTTTTACCCCGAAACAGAAGAAAATAGATGAAATATTTAGTTTTGAAATGTTTACGTGAATTTGGAAATATAATGCTTATAGGACAAGCATTTCAACCAATCCCGACCACTATTCATCCCGACCAATCTGGCCATTAAAAACCAACTAAAATGCGAACACTTTTTTATTTGTTAATGGAAATATAACAACAATTACCAATGTATCATATGAATACATGGCGAGTATAAACTATCTTTGAATATTCGTTCGGGTGGAATCACTCTGTCTCGGGCATAACCTATCTTCTCTTCGTACAGTGCCAGAATTGACAGTTTCCAGTGACATATTGTTAATGCGAATAATACCATTAAATTGAATCACTATGCTATACTTGTATTACTTACCTTGTACAGACATTATAAAGTTGAACGAAACAAAAGACATGATGATAATTACAAAGAATCTCATTTTGCTGAATTGTAATTAAATTGCTGTTGACTCGCTGTCCTTCTTTAATTAACACAATGCGGTAAGATAATAACGCCTGATAATACCTGTGATGTTTGAATAATGCGGTCATAGAAAAAAAAAATGGGGTCATGGGAAGCCAGACTTTTCACGCATTTCCTCATACTAAAATGAATCACTCAAAAAAGCGTCAGAAAACCTTACTTGTGTGAATCAGAGCATTCGAAGATATATCGTCGTAGTGTTCCAATATTTCCTACTAGTGTGCTTTTCATTTATTTTGTAACAGTTTTGAGCCAAATATGCACTATTTACTACAAAAGTCAATTCAAGAGCTTTGCTACAAGGACTGCTGCATGAAATTCCAAAAGCCATAGTAATGCGCGCACGATCCTTGACTTATATTATAGAGTACAGTAAAAACGAACTGAAGTGACATATTTTTTATTTGAAAAAAATAGAAATTATGTCAATTTATTTGTAAATAATTCAAACTGTTAGCTCAAATGGGTTTAGACCGCAAATCGTTTTGGTGGTGCAAGCATTTAAGTTGAGAAAAACCGTTGTGCGTATGGGAGAAAGTTCTTATTTCAGACATCCGTATTATCATCCTTCTGATATATTTTGCTTTGTTCATTTACTAAAAGTTTATCGTATCAACTTCATGATATGCGCAAAATAGCTCGTTAGCAATGCACTTTGAATTTTTGAATGCAAAATTTTATTTCTTCATATTGTGAGCTGAACGCGAACTTTGAGCGAGTTCCAACGGGTTGGTAATTATGATTTAACGGTGTACAAAGGTAGTGAGAGCGAGGACGCAGGTTGAAACGAATGCACGAACGAATGTTGTAAATAAAATGCGGAAGTAACGGTCGATTAAATTTAATATTTGACTTCCTACATAACGCAAATCCCAACTCCTACTTTAATATCACTTACAACACATTATTATAATGCCACACAACACAAAGTATTGTGAACGACTAAAATACCTTATGCCAAATCTTACGTATTTACACCCACGGACAATTGCACTCATAGACATTTGCACCCACGAATATTGACACCCACTACCAATTGCACCCATGGACATTTGCACCCACGTACATTTGCACCCACAAGCATTTGCACCAACGGACATTTTCACGTATATCCGTTTGCACCCATAGACACCCGTCTTTGAAATAAAATTGGTTTTATTGTCATTTGCTGCCGAGAGATGGACGTAATGAATGCGAGCCCATTGCAAACCCACACACGTAAATTCATATTTCTAGCCATCAACTTAGTCAAGCCATACCTCGAACCAAGTGAAAAGCAGCATGTAATACAGAGACTGCTGTGCTTATAAATAATAGAAGTCCCTAGAACAGGGTGGTCCAAGATTGGCAACTCCGCGGGCCACAAAATTACTTTTGCATTGTTCGCGGGCCACAATAGTGCCAAGAACTTCGCTCGTTTAACTTCGCTAGTTGCCTCAGCAAGCCATAACACTAGTCAATTCAGTGGCATTAGGGATGCAACAATATGTCAAAAGATTTTTTGGTTAATTTTACATGTGGCCCGCGGGCCTGGGTTTGGACCACCCTGCCCTAGAAGGTTTTTAATGTGACTTTTTTTTTCAATTTCCTTTGTGGCGCGATATTTCATTCAAATTTTGCTGCATTATTTTGATTCGCGGAATCACTTCCTATTATTTAGGAGAACACCTAATTGCGTCACGCTTGACCTTCCCACCATTTCAGTTAACTTGATGCTCAGCTAAGGCCGATATCTATGGGCGACGTATCCGAGCATTATTTCATTCTAAGTTTAAAGAAGATATTCTTTTTTCGATCTGTTTTTTATTCTTAAATAATTATATAGTTATACACTCCATATTTTCTAAACCCGAATAGAAATTAGAATTAATAATAATTATTCAAAATTGTGAACTGAACTAAACCCAAATAGAAATTAGTTCTCCGTGTGAATGAGTTTGTGCTTTGGTTCTTTTTCTGATATGTGAATTGCCACTTTTCCTGTTTCATCTTTCCATCGGGTGGGCTTGGTACCATCAGATAACGTCTGGTTGTTCATCTGGAATGAAAGAATGAAAATAAATAAACGCTTAAGATAATTTTTTATCCGACGATTGATATTATTTTTTTTAACTAAATAGAATTCTTGGATGGCTTTCATATCAGGAAAGATAATGAATTAGGCGTAAATGATTGTTTAGCGTGTTCCCAAATGATGCTTGTTGTTCTTTTTTATGTTTTAATTGATTCATATGCGAATAAAATTTGTAAAAAAAGATGCCATATATTTGAACCACGAAATAAAGAGTCAAATTTGTCAGGAACCATTTCCCATGAGCAATCAATCAGTGGATCGTTTTGTTTGTTGTTGACCATCTACAGAAGAGAATATATCGTCACGCTAATAACCGAATTGCGTAAGTCATTTTTAGCGGTTTTGAGTTTTTTTTATAAAATAGGTATTTATGTAATGCTGCGCACCTGTCTGTTAACTCAGATTTTATTTTAAGAATTCCGAAACCCATAAAAATTGAGATTTAGTATGACATGTAAATTTGTTCAATTGTTTCGTGATAATGAATTATCATTGTTAAAGCAGAACTATTGTGACGTCACAAAGGTAAAATAACCTCGCCTTAGGATTTTCGAGTTTTTGCATCTCAGATTCTAGTTTAGCGCTTATAAATTTGAATTCATACTACAGTATAGGAAGGCGTGCACTTGTGATATTCACTGTCTGCGTCTAATTCACCTTGGTTGGCTACTATATAAGGGTACATTGCTGTTTTATTCTTTATGTTTAATATTAGTCTTATTTCGATGGGTCTGCAGAGCGTGTTATAGTGATGAAATATATATTTTTAAACATAAAAAATAATGTAATTGAAACATATTAGCTATTTTGGGGATTAGACATCGTAGATACTAAGAATTACATTTGTTTTTGAATTGTTTGGTTTTCAGAACTGGTGCATATAGTCAAGTTGCAAAAATGCATATGTTCCCGAGTCATAGACAAATTTCTGCCTAAGTCACAGTGCTCCATTATGACGTCATATGACTGCGTCATACAAATTAACTTAAATCCGGCTACGATCAAAATATTGAACTATGGCAAATTATTGACTCTCAATGGCATAGCAATTTCATTAGGAAGTTTTTCACGTTTTTCTCAAAACTGTTAAAATTGACTTACGCAATTCAGTTATTAGCGTGACGATATACAAGATAGATAGACCGTTAGTGAATAGGATGTTCAAATACATAAGTGAAGTCAAGCAAAGATGAACTGTGTGTGAGTTGAAATGTGAGTGTAGGCCCATTATATAACTTTCAACGGGACTTGTATACTTTAGATCGTTGCATACGTCAATGCCATTTCAAGATCTATCAGGCTGTGATTTAGGAAACTATTTGTTGCTAGCGAACCTGATTTTAAGACCCGTAGGTATTGAAATGTGAATAAATTTGCTGTTCACTTACCATTCCAGTCCAAACACCAAATTCTCCATCTTTATCTTCGGACAGCCATGGATTGATGTACGAAACGATTAAATCATATTGTTTTCTGGTTTGGACATTAGCAAGTTTTCGTCCAATATTGGCGCAAATGGAAACTGCAGAAACAAAATTTGTTGTTGCTTCCCCAATTTTGACAGGCCAAATACATTTGCCGTCGTGATAGATGGGACAATATTCTGTAAAATGCAATGATATACGTTTAAAACATCTCAAACTGATATTACAGCATATGAAAAATTTCCACATAAGGAGATCACGAAATATTTAGAACATTTACTAGAATGAAAGTGGACATTTTTTATCCCTGTCCAGACAGATAGAGTACCCTGGAATTTGTTTAATGGGAAGCGGGCCATATGATGTCATACACAAGTAATAACTTTCATTTAAATAGAAGATAAAAAGCGTTAGGATATAATAAAATTACGTGATGCCAGAAATCCTCACGAGTAGTGACATAACCGCTTCATACACAGAAAGTGGAATGCAATTTTTATGCCCAACATGTCGATTCCGAATGTTTTATCAAGTGACTTATTTTGCACCAGAAATCCATTTGATATTAATTTTGATCTGAAAGGAGTTTTTAGAGAGCAATAGTATTCAATACAAAATATCCAGTAATTAGTTTTTATAGGCATCCACGTAATACACGTCGCCACTAAACTGCAGTACAAAATAGTTCACAACCTACCCTTTTCTTTTTTCGCTGCCACATTTCTACGTAGTTGGCCAATTATTTCTTGAAAAAAGAACAATTTGATTACAATGATGACAATGTGATTTTAAAACTTTCTCTCTATACCTTGATTTTACCTCTTTCACATTATTTTGATAAATGAAATATTAGACATATAAAACTAAGTGCACAATATGATTATAATGATACAATTTATTCAATATGTTTAGGGCTTTAGGCATCAGTTATACATAGCTCCAATTATATTTAAAAACTAATTACCTTCTTCGTCGATTTTTTTGCAATTTCCTTGACTGATAAATTGTCCGTTTTTTATCTTGGTTACGCAAGGACCATAATCTCCTAAAATCAAACTCAATCAGTTAATTACCTTTTTAAAATTAATTAAATTTCATCTAATTAGAAAATATGGAATACTCGAATAACAAAATCTTAACAATTTTTACCACGAAACAGAAGAAAATATATACAATAGATGAAATATTTAGTTTTAAAAATGTTACGTGAATTTGGAATTATAAAGCTTATCTGACAAGCACTTCAACCAATCTCGACCAATCTGGTCATTAAAAACCAACTTAAATGCGAACACCTTTTTATCTGTTAATGGAAATATAACAACAATTACTAATGTACCATATGAATACAAGTATAAGCGAGTATAAACTGTCTTGAAATATTCTTTCGGGTGGGATCACTCTGTCTCGGGCATAACCTACCTTCTCTTCGTACAGTGCCAGGATTAGCAGTTTCCAGTGACATATTGTTATTGCGAATAATACCATAATTGAATCACTATGCTATACTTGTATTATTTACCTTGTACAGACATCATAAAGTTGGACGAAAGAAAAGACATGATGATAATTATAAAGAATCTCATTTTGCTGAATTGTAGTTAAATTGCTGTTGGCGCATCGTCCTTCTTTACCGCAATGCGGTATGATAATAACGCCTGATGATACCAGTGATGTTTAAATAATGCGGCCAAGGAAAAAAAAAATGCGGTCATGGGAAGCCAGACTTTTCACGCATTTCCTCATACTAGAATGAACCACTCAAAAAGCGTCAGAAAACCTTGCTTGTGTGAATCAAAGCATTCAAAGATATATCGTCGGAGTGTTCCAACATTAAATAATCAAAACAGTAAGTGGCCGAGAAATATGGACAAAATCAAGTAATATTTCCTACTGGTGTGCTTTTTATTTATTTTGTAACAATTTTGAGCCAAATATGCACTATTTAAAAACGAAAGTCAATTCAAGAGCTTTGCTACGAGGACTGCTGCATGAGATTCCAAAAGCCATAGTAATGTGCACGCAATCCTTGACCTATATTATAGACTATAGAGTACAGTAAAAACGAACTGAAGTGACATATTTTTTATTTAAAAAAAATAGAAATTATGTCAATTTATTTGTAAATAATTCAAACTGTTAGCTCAAATGGGTTTAGACCGCAAATCGTTTTGGTGGTGCAAGCATTAAGTTGAGAAAATCAATTGTGCGTATGGGAGAAAGTCCTTTTTTCAGACATCCATATTATCATCCTTCTGATATATTTTGCTTTGTTCATTTACTGAAAGTTTATCGTATCAACTTCATAACAAGTATAATTATGTTAATGAGCAATCTAGGTTTTATTAGCTATTATTTATTCAATGATAAATTTCGGCGGAAAATTTAATTTCATGAAGTAAACGGGAAGTAGAAGCGAACTTTCGTTTAGTTTAAAATTTTTAAATTTGGGTTCAAATTGTTATTTTGCAGCATTGTGCATTCACGATGCGTGCATTTACGCATTAAATATTATGACTGATATGCGCAAAATAGCTCGTTAGCAATGCACTTTGAATTGTTGAATGCAAAATTTTATTTCCTCATATTGTGAGCTGAACGCGAACTTTGAGCGAGTTCCAACGGGTTGGTAATTATGATTTAACGGTACAATGGTAGTGAGAGCGAGGGCGCAGGGTGAAACAAATGCAAGAGAGAATGTTGTAATTAAAAATGCGGAAGTAAATGTCAATTAAATTTTACATTTTAATTTAATTTACAAAATAAATTTTGGTGACTTTTGTAATTTCCTTTGTGGCGCGCGATATTTTATTCAAATTTTGCTGCTTTATTTCGATTCGCGGAATCACCTTCCATGGTTTATGAGAAAGCCTAATTCCGTCACGCCTGACAGGAGATCAATTCAGCTAACTCGATGCTCAGCTGAGGCCGGTATCTATAAGTGACGTATTCTAGCATTTATTGTGTTTTCATTAGACATTCGCCTCACTCCATCCTAATTATTAAGAAAATATGCTTGTTCGATTTGCTTTTATTTCCTAAATAATTTTAAAAATTATACACTATCTTTTTTTTTCAAACCCAAATAGAAATTATAATAATATTTATTTACAATTGTGAACTGCAATGGCAAATATTAAATGCTTGAACAAAACCACTGATGAATCGATATCAGCAAAATTTATCATACAGTTTTTAGTTGAAGTTGCAGTAACTTCAATCAGACATTAAATTTACTGGCAAATAGCTCCCAACATTTTACTCCGTTTCTTCATGTAAATAAGTTTGTGTATAGGTTCTGTTTTTGATACGCGAATTGCCACTTTTACTGTTTCTGACAGTGGCACAGGATCTTTCCACCAGGTGGGCTTGGTACCATCAGACAACGTCTGGTTGTTCATCTGGAATAAAAATTATTAAACGGTTGAAACAATTAATTATCCGACGATTGATTTTGTTTAACTAGCTGAACAGATTGCGTGGATGGCTTTCAATTCAGGAAAATCAGTGAATTAGGCGTATATGATTGTAGCGTATAGCGTGTTCCCAACTAACGCTCATTGCTTTCTTTTATGTTTTAGTTGATCCATATGCGATGACTGAGAGGTAAGTCCGAACAAACTGCCACTAGTTCAGAATAGCAGTTTACAGCATTGATTGTGATTTCTGTTGCAAGCTGCTTGTCATAGAAAGTCTAACTTTGTTCAGACGAAAAAAATTTGCGAAGAGGGATGCAAGATATTTCAACCACCCATTAACAAGTCAAATTTGTCAGAGACCACTTCCCATGTACAATCAATCACTGGATCATTTCGTTTGTTTCTTTATACTTGAAATACGTCAATGGCATTTCAAGATCTATTAGGCTGTAATTTGGAAAACTATTTATTGCTAGCGCACCTGATTTTAAGACACGTTAGTATTGGAATGTGATTAAATTTACCATTCCAGTCCAAACACTAAATTCTCCATCTTTAGTTTCAGACAGCCATGGATTGATGTACGAAACGATTAAATCATATTGCTCTCTGCTTTGGACATCAGCTAGTTTTCGTCTGATTTTGGTGCAAATGGAAACGGCAGAAACAAAATTTGTTTTTTCTTCACCAATTTTGACAGGCCAAATGCATTTGCCGTCGTGATAGATGGAACAAGATTCTGTAAAATGCAATCATTTATGTTTGAAAATATTTCAAACTGATATTACAACATATGGAAAACTAGCAACCTAATCCCCAACATCGAAAAAATGTGTTCATTATGTTAAATATCTTTTGAAATTTTCCGTTCATTTTATCAGGGGTGGCCAAGACGTCGATCGGCAGCTCGATCGCCTTGAGTCTGGGCAAGCCCGATAGAGCATATTATTACGTAACAAATTACCTTTTCGCCGCTGCCAAGGTTTAGAAATGAACTTGCCAGATACCGTGTGTCTTGCCTGAAAAACGATCGTACAATAACTTCTGCAGTAAGCGAAAGTTGTTGTCTCACTCCAGGAGTAGTGTGGAAAAGTACATTTGAACGGCAACAGTGGCATCAGAATGCTCAAACGAGCGACGAATTGGACTTGGAGTAAATTGTAGATTAGATACTAAAGTTTGAGCAGTCATGTAACATTTGTGGTTTTAAGAATATTTAATTTTCGCTGTTTAGATAATACATGGATAATTTCAACACTGTGGACTAGAAATTAGTCAGACCTTAGATCTGAATTGTATGATTTGAATAAATCTTGAATAAATGATGAAAACGTACTCCAGTTACAATTACATATTCAAATTAACAAATTGAATAAAACATAAAAATACAAATAGTTGCGGGCGATTTCATTAAAAGTACGCTCACAGTGCCGAGTTTTTGGGGAGCGTTGGGATTTTTGTATGCGTGTTCAGTTATATCTGGATATTCAATACTCATTGGTTTTTGTGTATGATCTTATTGCCGATCAGTCGATCGCGATTTTAGTCGAAAACAGGTTGGCCACCCCTGCATTATATTAATACACGGCGCTCTTTTATCTCGTAACCAGGATGGCGATTGCGACACAGTTATTTCTTCTTTTTATGGAAGTTGTCTACAACGTTGTATATGTCGGCGCTAGTTGCCGTTGTTGTCAATGGTGTGCAAAATTAAAATACGTTTTCAAAGTCCTCGTCACCCTCGCAAATTACCAAAGGAAACATACTTTTTTGGTTATTTTGCTTCAGTAGGATGACGTTCCGCGCAGACAATAAAACGACAATCGATGTGCATGGTTACTGACACCTTAATAAAACAAGACACGTGATTGGCATCCATATACATTAGGATACAACAATGCGCTCAAGACATTGACAGACAGTTCTTCCGTGAATGAGATTTTATATGTCGTAGTTTTTCAATACCAAAGTTAGGGTAAACTGAGACATTGGGCCAACTGAAAGATTCGACCCCCTTCTCTTAGAACGCCTTCGGCCCACGTTTGGGTCGCGACCTATACACAGTGGGATCACTAAATATTTAGAAAATTTATTGTTCTACTAGAATCGAAGTGGCAATTTTATCACTGCGTCTGTACAGACAATGGCGTACTCTGGAATTTGTTGAAAGGAAAACGTCCATATGATTTCATATGGCGCAAATAATAACTTCCATTTATAAAGAAGATAAAAAGCGTTAGGATATATTGAAATTACGTGATGCCAGAAATCTTGACGAGTAGTGACATGACTGCTTCATACACGGAAAGTGGAATGCAATTTTTATACTCAACTTGTCGATTCCGAATGTTTTATCACGTGACTTATTTTGCACCAAAAATTCATTCGATAGTTAGTTTTGATTCAAAAGTAGTTTTTAGACAGCAATAATATTAAATAAAACATATCTATTAATGGGTTTTTATAGGCATCCACATAATATTTTTGTCACTAATCCGCAGTACAAAAAGTTTCCAAACTCACCCTTTTCTTTTTTCGCTGCCACATTTCTACGTAGTTGTCCAATTATTTCTGGAAGAAATGAGATTTTAAAACTTTTTTTCTTCACTTCAATTTTGCCTCTCACATTATTGGACACGAAATGGACCTATGGATCCTTTGTTATTATTCTGTCGTGTCCATATATTTGAGCATCGCTCTCTTGTTTCTTCTCGCAAAGAATTTTGTGATAAATGAAATATTGGACATATAGAACTAATCGCGCGATATTGTCATACTGATTCAATTTATTCAATGTTTTCAGGCATTAGTTTTATTTGGCTTCAATTATATTTATAAACTATCTACCTTCTTCGTCAATTTTCTCGCAATTTCCTTGGCTGATAAATCGTCCGTTTTTTATCTTGGTTACGCAAGGGCCAGATCCACCTAAAATCAAACTCAATCAGGTAATTGACTCCTATTAAATTTCATATAATTAGAAAATATGGAATACTCAGGCTTGTCCATGGGAATCCCGAAACGTCCCATGGGATGCAACAGCACTCCCTTGTATTTTCCATGAGACACGAATTTTTCTTTTTATCGTTACGAGAAAAATCGCTTTCCCCTTAAACTATCACTTTTTTTCAATTTTCAGTAGACGCCCAACCTGAATTTAGCATTTTTTATTGAAAATTATTTCCCATGGGAATCCCATGAGATGGGATGGGACAGAAAAATATGTCCCAGGGACAAATACTCGACTAACAAAATTTTAAATTTTTACCCAGAAGAAAAAAAATAAACGAAATATTTAGTTTTAAAAATGTTTGAGTAAATTTGGAATTATAATGCTTATCTGACAAGCATTTCAACTAATCTCGACCAATCTGGTCATTAAACACCAACTAAAATGCGAACACCACAAATGGGAATATACCACCAATTACCAATGTATCACATGAATACATGGCGAGTATAAACTATCTTTAAATATTCTTTAGGGCGGGATCGCTCTGTCTCGAGCATAACCTACCTTCTCTTGTTAAGGTTGAATCACTATGCTATACTTGTATTACTTACCTTGTACAGACATCATAAAGTTAAACGAAAGAAAAGACACGATGATTTTTACATAGAATCTCATCTGCTGACTTGCAGTTAAATTGCTGCTCGCTTGATGTCCGTCCTTGCCGCAATTCGATAGTAACATTTCATGATATCTCGGATTTTCAAATAACGCGGTCATGGGACTTTTCCATGCACTTCCTCCTACCAAAATTTACCACTCAAAAAAGCGCCAGCAAAAACTACCTGTATAAATCAAGGATGAAAATCCAAAAGATTTCGACGGAATTTTTCAATATTGGATAGTTAAAACAATACGTGACCGAAGAACACGAAAAAAAATTAAGAAATATTTTTTACTGGTTTGTTATTTCATTTATTTTATCTACACTTATATGAGCGAGTGTGAAAACAATTTCAGTCGGCATAGATTTTTATTTAACAAAATAGAAATTCTCAAACATTTTACGCGAGTTGTTAGATCAATGCATGGGTGTTTAGGCCGTAGTCTTTCTGGTGGTACAAGCATTAGGCTTGTACAAATAGATGTGGGTATGGTAGAGAGTTCTGAGTTTCGACAATCCGTATTAAATCACATTCTAAGATATTTTGTTTCGTTCATTTTATAAAATTTTATTTTTTCAACTTCCTATCAGGAATTATATGTTCATGAGCAATTTGGGTGATTTTAGTTTCATTCGATTCAATGATAAATTTCCCTGAAAACTATTCTAAGTAATCGGGAATTTTCATCCACTTATCGTTATATGATGGAGTATAACGATGACTTGAAAATAGCTAAGGCTACTAGGTACGTGATGCAAAAATTCAAACAGCTCGCTTATCAGTAGAGCGATTTGCCACAGGAAACGATGTCATAACGGTTATGAGTGGAAATTCCATGACTAAATCAGCAATCACCTTATTTCCAGGATTTTATTGATATGTATGATGTTCAGGGTGGTCCAAACCCAGGCCCGCGGGACACATGTGGCCCGCAGCTTCATCATCTCTGGCCCGCGTCGCATTTGCTGGATGGTAATCAAAAATCGCATTTTGTGTTGTTTCATCATAAAAATAAATCAAAACAACCTTTCGACATATGTTTAGGCTACATCACTAATTTCACTGAATTGACTAGTGTTATGGCTAGCTGAAGCAACTAGCACAGTTGAATAATATGCTTGGCTTGGCTAAAATGTTAGCTGGCTTTCCATCTTTTTTGTCGGGAGGATAATCTAACAATATAGTCATCGTAGAAAACTAAAAATCAAATGCGGAATGTATTAGCCTAGCCAAAGTTAGCTATATTCTTGGTACTATTGTGGCCCGCGACCAATGCAAATATATGTTTGTGGCCCCCAAAACTGACAACCTTGGACCATTCTGATATAGTATATTATTGAGCGTTATCAGCAGAACATCCTGTTCCCAATAAATCGAGATTCTTCTTATAATACATTTGTTACACTGAAAAATTCACAAATTCCTTGGTTGGCAGTCTAACAAAGTTTGAGATAGTTAGCTAAATATTGTATTTGATTTTGCCTGACTGACTGAATATTATAGTTGATATGCGGGACGAAAAAGTTCACAAATGATACACAATGTATCGATTATAAGCAAAATTTCTTTATTAGGTATTGTGAGCTGAACGAATTATAATTTTCTCTTTCAGTATTTCCAATATTTGGTTACCGGTCCTACGAGGTAAAAATGTTGGGAACCATTGTTTTATACAGCCATACCACTCACTGATAATAGATTGTTAACTTAAAATGTTTAAATTTGGGGTTGAATTCTTATTTTGAAACATTGTGCATTTGATTTGAGACAGTTTACGCTAATGTAGTCACGCTACTTGCATTTACACATTAAATATTATGACTGATAATTCGAAAAAAGATTATTAGCGACGCACAATAGGTCGATTAAATGCGAAATTGTAGGCTGAACGGGAATTTCAAGCGAGTTTCAACGAATTGGTAATTATGATTTAACGGTACAATGGTAGTCAGAGCGAGGGCGCAAGGTGACATGAAACACGAGATAATGTGGTAACTAGAATTGCGGAAGTAACGGTCGATTAAATTTAATATTTTACTTGCTGCATAACGCAAATCCCAACATGTACTTTAATGTCACTTGCAACACTCAGTAGTCACACTAAACTTTTATTTCAGTGCAGATTAACAGAAATACTCGACATTTTTATGCATTACTATGTTTGCAATCAAAATTCTTTGAAACTAATCAAATGAATTTCAAATCAGTCTTCGTGATGTTCTACTAAAGAAGATTTTTCGAAACCATCAACGAGATTCCTATGATCAGGAACGGCATGCTCAGTACATGGTTTGCACCATTTGAAACTGCAAAGTAATGTAAATGTAAATTAAAAAATGTAAGAGCTTGATAACAATATATATTACTTTAATGAAACTAGGGGTGTGCAACAGGTGGCCCACGGGACACAACCCGGCCCGCCAAGTCATTTAGTGTGGCCCTTGTCAACACCCAGCTTTTTCCCCATCAAACATAAATTTTCGATTCGATAGTTTATTGGACACGAAATGGACATATAGATCGTTTTGTTATTATGTTGCTCTTTTTGTTATTAGTATTTTTCTTCTTCTTTGTATCGTTTTGAAAAAATCGGTTTCCTCTTCAACTACTGGATGGTTTGTTTGAAATTTTCATCGGATAAAGAATGTATTTTTTGCTAGAAGGCTATTACTTTTATTCATTTCCGTACTTCTCCGTGTCCATATATTTGAGCATCGCTCCGTTGTGTTTTTAATTAAAAATGCGCTCTCGTGGGTAAACACATATTGCAAAACTTCCAATCAAAATAAAAATGAATGTCATTTTATTTACAAACAGGCTTATACGATATATACCAATCATAACGCGCATGAATATTCGATGCTTCCTATTATTTGAAAATTGACAAATTATTAAAAAATGTTGGATGGAGCTGAATAAGTTGTATGATGTTTTTTCTATTTTAGCTACAATAAGAATTGTGGATGTTTATTCATTATTTCACTGTAACCACATGGACGAGATTTCAGATTAATATTAATGGTTCGATCATAGATTATACTTACTGCTGTAACAAAACTTTGCTATTTCCAATAGGTCTGACAAGATAGACCTTGCTCTCCTGTTGACAGTTGTACATTCAGTCGTATTGTGAGTTGAACAAGATCGGTCAATCCTCCCGTCTTTAAATATCAAACGGAAAAAATCATTATTCAATATTTAATGGGAATAAATGGTTTGCCTCCGAGTTTCTTTACATGCTAAAAGGGTTTTCTCTGATATACCACCCAACCGAAAGTTCTGTAAGTAAGCTCTATCCGCAGCATGGCTGCCACTTTCGTCTAATTAAAAACATCTTAACTGACCTCAAAAAATATCTAAAAACATCTAGATTGAAAAAAATATATCCAAAAAAATATCTAAATATGAGTTTATTAAATTTGATGAAAACAAAGAAACAAGAGCATACAAAGAGTTCATTATATTATATCATATTAGATGTTAAAGTAGCTTATATAGTCGAAGTTGTTGCTACAGTTGCTTCAGCGCGATTTTTATATGTTTAAGTTATACCAATTGTTTTGACAGTCGAATCACAGAATCGGGTACCGGTAACTTATAAAACGAGTAACATTGTTTTTTTTAGAATTGGAATTAAGCCAATGACCCCCAGCAATTCTGAACACTGACTCACTGAAGCAACGACCGACTGACCGACGCCATCCTATTTGTTTGATCATTATCCATTACGTAACATGTTCTCAACATCTTTAATTCGTTATTTGTATAATTCGATTGTATATGGTAGACTCCTACAATACCGTAATGCTGATATACAGATAGGTATATTTTTTATCTTTTTGTAACCGAGTCCGAGTTGAAAAAAATAATAATAAAATTGGTCTAAATATTGATCATACTTGTGTAAACAGTCTTTTCGCACAACGTTGAAGCGCTCGGACAAATCATCAAATTTATGGGCTCAGTGCAGTTGTTGCAAACGTAACATTTAATGCTTTCTCCTGCAGAGAGACAAATTAGGAGTTTATATAATTGTAGCAAATCTAACAAGTATTTGATTATATTTAAACAATAGACTATCGGATTTTAATGGAAACTTGCGGAACCCCTGTATTGCACTGGCGGAACCCAATGGGGTGCTGCGAAACCCCGTTGAAAGCCACTTTCTTCAGCCATTTTGATCTCTAAGAGATTTGAAATTTATTGAATTGAGAATCCGTGCTTGACCAAAAATATCTTCAAAAAAATTGCTCAGTACCAAAAAGCAGTTTTCCGTAAAGATTTCAAAAATAAGAAACATTCCGTGATAAGCAGGGACCCGCTATAGTCGTATTTCTCACCTTCTGCAATTGCAGGAGCAGCAACAAGCAGAAGAACTGGTAATATCATTGACACAACGCTCGCCATTCTTCCCGTCTTCGTTATATTGCAGTTTCTGAAGTCAGTTAGTTAATAACGATATCTATAATATACATAAAACGGGGCTCCCGACGTATGCGCACAAAGATGTCGCACAACCTGACTCCTAACCTGGTATACAACCTAAGTTCAGGATGTGCGCCATCTTGGTGCGCATACTTCAGGAAGTCCCTTAAAACTTAATTTAATGCAGAGAAGTAAAAATGAATTACAGTGAAAATCCCCGGTATGTATTATATCGTAAGAACTGTATATTTCGACAATCAACATAAAACTTTCGGGCACATTCATTCCTAAACAGTCAATAAAATTGACCATATAATACTCTCTGGTTGAGAATGGCTTTAATTGAATAAGAAATAGTATTGCTTCAAAATCTATACCACTTGTACGATAACAATTTCAACATCCATACGGCAGACTAAAAATCTCAAACACTCAGTGAATCGTTGCTGATAAAAATGTTCAGGATGGGCAAAAAACGCCCAAACTTATTTTTTTACAAAGTGTAATTATTCATTTTGTTGCTGATGAAGCGTAAGGTATTTAAAATACTGATCTCCTTTTTTGGTATGAACGCACTCTTAGCAAGTTCTGCAATGCTGAAGAACTTTTCAGGAAGTAGCATTACTGATTCCCAATCAACCGTACATAAGCGAAACCCAGTGATCCGTATTTTTACCGCTTTACCGGGTATATACAAGTAAGTTTGCTATAATATGTGCTCAATTAATTCTCGTAAACAACTTTGAAACATTTTGGAATTTGCATTTGAGAGACAAAGAACTATGTAAATGCCAATGCAAACTTATATTGGTAATCAAACAAAATACTATGCTTTATCTCGTTCGAAATTTTCACTATTTTCCTCTAATTGGGAATCATTTGAAAATATCCTCAAATTATTGATGAGGAGGATTGAGTCATTTATTAGTCTATTTATCAAACACTCAAATTGACTAAATTCATCTAAAGCAGGGATGTGCAATCTTTTTTGCAGGCGGACCATATATCAATAACTGGTAACATCGCGGGCTGCAACTTTATTTAACATAGGCTTTCTATTAGTTGCGAGAACAAAAATAGTGTATATTTGGTATTTATCTTATGACATTATTAGGGGTTCTGCAGAAATTATGAGTTAAAAGTTGAAACGCATAAATTTCTGAAAACTGTTATTCAAATTTATTGTCAGACTGAATTTAAACGAATTCAGTGCAAAAATGCTGCTGGATTCTTTTCTCGGCTACTTCTATCTAAGTTTGCTTTAATGGAAGTGCTAGCAATTCAATATCCGCCCATTTTAGAAAAAAATATGTTGAGCCGAGTCCTGACTTTAAATGTGGAAAGTTATCTTGGTGGAGATGTTTTCGGTAAATATTTATTTTCAAATACTTTGTTGTCTAATTTTATTCTAGATTAGATTCAGAGAAAATCAACTGACAGGATAGAACATAAACTCATTTAGCGTTTGTATTTCTTAATATTAAATTTTTAAATAGCTTTCTTTAAATTGCCTAATCTTCAATTGCCCGTTCTTACTAATTCATTATCGTCTGCTCCCACTTTTCTCAAATTGTTCGCTGCTCGGCAAATGCCAGCTTTGTGAATCGCGTTGTTCGCCTCGCTGTTAGGACATTGTAAAGTCATAGTCATAGATAATAAATTGAACTCCGATTTTAGCTTTGAAACGCAAAGGGGTTAGAATTGCACACAGAAACCAGATTAAACTAAATTAAAAACTCGTTTCACTTGCCGTCAATCATTTAAAATTGTGACTTCTCCGCGGGCCGCACAGTTTTCCATTGCGTGCTGCATCTGGCCCCGCACTCTGCAAACCCCTGATCTAAAGTGATGTTGACCTTTGACATCAATTACGCGCCAAACTTAATTGACAATCCACATTCGATTCGAGACTAGGATCACCCTTGACCCCTAAATCGTAACTCGAGGTTTATGGAATTCTGCATCGAAAAGTAACTATAGTCTAACACTCTAGCCGCACAATAGAGAACAGTTTATAGGGGGCATTACATCATGATCTTAGTCTTATGTTCAAGTAGGAAAATTATATGCACATTTTATGACGTGCTTCTTAGCTAATAACAAGGCCCGGAAAAAAATATCAACTGATTAGAAGTTTGAATCCTTTTTTTGTGATTGTAAGAAAAGATTGATTGATGCAATTTGACATCGCAACATATAAAAGTATTGTCAATAGTCTTTCAACTTATGTACTAAGATATTTTTGGCAACAAATGTTTATGAAAATAGGGATTAAAGTACCAATATACTTGTCACATAATCTTGTTGCGCAAAATCTATGGCGATTTTAATACTTCATACATGCTATATAATGTGTTTATTCGACACTGATTTTTGTAAAAATATTCGAATAAATTGGTATGAAGACATATCTGTCAATGTACCACAAATCAACTAAATTTTGTTGTTTTGTCATATTTGTTTCTGTTGACTACTTTCATTCAGTATATAATTTGATTATATTTTATTCATAATTCATTTGCTAAATTATGGCCTAACCCTAACCTGGTACACATAATACGTTGCGGTGTCCGCCATCTTGGTTCACATACTTCGGGAGTATCCAAAAAGGTAGGAACACGCCCCAATAATACCGGTCTTTTTGTTTGTCACTTATGTCCTTTAAACAAGATCGATTCCAGATTCAAGTGGCATTTTCTAATTCTATTGAACCGTGAATATGCCAAACCGTATTTATACGCCTACTTAGCATCATGTATTATGAGCGGTACTCCCGTATTATGTGTACCAAGTTAGAGTAAGGCCATAATTTTTATTCCGATTTTCCCTATTTTAGTTCTATTACGAGTTCGGGACTGTTTTTGTTAGCCAAGTGAATATACCCCCTGCCCATAGGCTTCGCCCTTTTTTCACAACTTGATGTGAAGTAGGCGAACAAAATTAGTTACCTACATATTGGTACATACACTTCTGAAGCGCCTCATGAGCAGATGTGAGTTGGTAGAAAAACTTACTCAATTTGTTCTCGTCAGCAACAAAGAGCCAAGTATAAATTTGTATCTGGGAGACAAATCTTATGCATGGAATCAAATATACCGCCCTACTTGTAATCTGTCTATGAACCGTACATTTACACATCGTTTAGCTGTTTGTCTTATACGATTATAAGGAGAACTACTTTAAACGTAATAAAAACAGGATCAGCACAATAATATCTTCACCTTGGTAACGTTGAAAAACTCAATCATGCAGCAAAACATGTGATATTATATCAAATCTTCAATCGCATGTTTGTGATGAACATGATTTACCCACAGACACATTCATGTAAAATAGTTATTGTTTGATGGCCAGCAAAATCTCAGTAAAAATTCCGCAACAACGAATGTGTCGAGTGCAACGTGTATTATGACGTTAGGTCTTCTGTGCTACCGGAAAAGAGAGGGCGAATGCCAATGCCATTTTGCTACTGAAATATGAATTTCCTATTCAAAGCTTCGAGGATTCCTCTATTTGGAGGTCAAAATAAAACGATAATGTCAATTTGAGACGGACTTCTCTTTTTGTCGTTGAAACTCATGAATGACGTTTCACACAAATCAATCGAAACATTATTTTATATATTCATAAGATGTTGTTCTATGTATTATAAAATTCCAACTTTGGAGTAAAGTTCAGAATATCATACAAAATATATTTGTGTTTAAAACCGTTTTTTGATCTCGAATTTGTAGCTTCGCTAGAGTAGTGATACCGTTATTAATTAATTCGAATTCTACTGAGCTGGTTAAAGCCTATTGAAATTAACACAAATTATTTTTGCAAAAAATAGTATCTATAGTTTATTGTATTTTTGCTCACTGTTAGATTACTGAAAAACAAACGCAAAATATAGAAAATTAACTCAAGAAAAGGTGCAAACGATTAGTAACGTGCTGGAACGTGCTCAGAAGACTAGTTGAAGTCGCTACCAGGTAATGATTTACCTGATTGTGCGTCTTTTGGAACGAATCGCCCAAAGTTTTGTCGTTGCCTTGCGGTAGCTGTATGATTGTCATATACCTTTGAAAGTTCAAGCGGTTCTCGATCCATGATCATCTGTAATTGAGCCATGGTTTGCTGAAGTATTATAGTGACTGCTACCATTTAAATTAAAGTTATCGTTTTGCACAGAAGTACAAGCAGCTGACGAGTTCATATCTTCATTTTGTCTTTCCGTGAATGTAAAATTTGTTTGGTTATAACCAGCACTATTTCCATTTGACATTTCACCAGGTTCAACTAAACGAGAGTCTTTTCCGTCTGTTGCAACTGAAAATTCAGTAGAATTTAAATTTCTTGTTCCAGTTATGGCGGCAGGGCCAGTAATGGCGTCCCGGGATAATCTGTTCGATTGACTATCTGTCGATGTAGCGCCGTACTGCGACCTAACTCGTAGCTGGTTCGGCCTTTTGCGTCGATAGTAGTTTCGATAACCGACACCGCGACGTGGTCCATTATTTACGCTGTCAGCTTGGACACGATGCAGATTATGTTCGCTTCTAACTACATCAAATTCGGCATTATTGAAGCGGTTACTTATATCATAAAATCCCAATATTCGATGGAGCTCCATTGCTTCTGAATATGTAGGTGGAGCTTCTGAAAGAGGACGTCCTGAAAACATATTTAAAAATATTATCGGTCAATAAATATAAAGTATATTTATTTTTACTGAAATTTTCCTAAATCGTGGTTATGAAAGTGAAATTTGGTAAATTATTTTTTTTAACGAAATCGAGTCAAATAGGCTAAAATCATTGTCCTTCTAGAACATTTAGGTGTTACCTGTAGGGTGTATCCTGCGCTGAGGACTATCTGAGAGCAACGTAGTGTCATCATCGTCTGACTCTGTGATGGGTCTTCCAAAAAGTTGGGATACGGAACGCCTCACTGACGTCACAAGGCTGCGCCTCCTAGCCTCTCTAATCCAACTTCGTGTCCGATTCATAGATGTCGCTGCTGCGTCACGAGAGCTGAAAAGGTACAATACGAGATGTCTAAGTTTAAACATTGAAAAATGTTATTTGACAAACCGAATTTTTATTCCTAGTTGCGACTTGTAATTTAATTGTGACAAGATTGTTATTCAAAAGTCGCAGGAAGTTAATTTATATCTGTGAATACAAAGTGACTCAAAAGTACGTTATTAAAATAATTAATAATATCTGATAACAATGTACTACTACTTTTGGACTACCTCGTAATACGACTTCAGTTTTAGTTTAGTCATATAAATAAATTAAATCCGCAGCCGAAGCAGTCCCACAGTCTCCATGGTTACCATATAATCCAGGGTGCATAGGTCAAGAAGATGAAGTCGAAATAGAAAGTTTGCTATCATTCCAGAATCCGGACATAGTCGTATACATGTAGGTGACTAATTTTTTTTTTCATGAGCTGTGTTGCGAAATAACACAAAATACGTCATTGAAGATATTTTCTAAAATACAGTACCTTCTATTTGACGGATATTTATAGCGAATCTGTGAAAACATATTCTCTCTGTAATCATCTTCATTACCCGAAGGCGGTGGGATATCTAGAAAAATATTAAGTATTGGTTATAAGTAACTCCCAAAACTATCCATATTTAGGGTGGCCAAAAAATGACAGAACCCATAAATTTTGAATTACTTCTTCAAAAAATATATATATATATTTAGCACTAGCACTTTTTAACTTCTGTTTGTATCTGATCGTATCCAAAAGTTTCAGCAATCTTAGACACTTAGCACGAAAGTTATATTATCTCTAGAATATATATGTTCCAAATGAACTGGGTTCTGAGTTTTTGATTACCTCGAATCAAATTGCCAGAAGAAACCGCCATATCGATCTTACACAATACATTTTCACACTCTTTATACTTGTTATATACCAAGTACCTGAATATTGCTCTCCCACGTCTCTAGTGGCTTCTCCATACGACGGAACTCTGAGTTGGTTAGTTTGTATTTGCCATTCCATTTCTGTGCTATCCATTGTAGCTACTCTCGCGATGGGGGCGCATGTAGTTTCGCCGTTAGATGGCGGTGGAGCATCCCCAAACAGCTTTTCTACCTTACAAATTGAGGAAAATGGATTCACTATTGATTATTATAATGACTGCACCACGTAGAGATTCCAGTGTATGTATGTAGGCTTCATATCTTTCAATTGTGACATCAAATTTCACTACTAAGACGCCCTTTGTTTATTATGACGTCATTGCGTTAATTAAACTCAATTCATTTTGGGAACTTGTATTCTCCGTAGCATTATTAGTACATAGTCTCTTTATTTGACACTATATCTAAGTAAAACTTTGTTAAGAGAATTATCCGGAGACGGTGTTATAGAATGTGTCGACTGTGTCATTATGCATAATCAGGCAAATTTACAAAATTGCAATTCGGGAGAACTGAAAAAGCAAAATCTATCTATATAGTCATAGTCACATTTAAAATAAAGAAGTTTGCATTTCATCACCCCAAAACAAACTGGATTCACTGGGTGCTGGAGTGATTACGTTAAAAATCTTGGGTTCCCTTACCCACCACCTCCCCCAGGGTAGTCAATGTCAAATCTTTTTTGTTCACAACTGCCCCATAACTGTTAGTTTTGATACCTGATAATTTACGATGGCTGCTTTGTGGTCCAGAAAAACTCTGAGAAACCATGAACACACAAATATAGAGAATAACCAATAGACATGTGATGATGCAAACAATGGCGGATGGTCGGGATCTTCACATATGATAAACTGATCTGAAAACAATAAAAATCATGCTTTTAAAGATAATTTTCTATAAAGCAACGACACGCGTACTTAATCAGAAGTGAAGGGGCAATCATCTCTGAGAAAGTTGCGGGCGACCACAAAAAGTGCTAATGAAATTATATAAAACTATCATGATGTGAGAGATCTGAGAGGGTATTTTAGTGGTAAAAGTAAAAAATTGGTTACCACGCATTTCAAGTTACTATGACAACTTATTAATAATATTTCTCGCATTCAATTTCCTAGATCCAAGTGAATTTAGTATCGTCGATGTGGCGCATCGTGCTGTGCGTTAGGAATACGCTCGCCACCGCACCTCTGATTACATTGCGTGGATTCACAGGTTCAAATCCCACGCAGTGTTAATTATGTGCAGGAGGATTGCTGGACTCCTCGCCGCCATAGGGTGGTTGGTTCACGTAACCGCTCGCCGGTGGGTTATGTCTTCCTCCATCATCAAGTCCATACATCAGAAAACAAAATAATAACTGGCTAAGCAATCCCCTACACGACATGGATTGGTAACCGGACGACATGACGCGGTCCGCCATAGGTTTAAGCCGTCTTATAAGCCTTCGTCTCACCCGGGATAAATATGTGGATCTTATCCTATCGTAATTTGGCGGATTAGCAATTGGTTCGTGTAATTATTCTTTATTTCAAGTTGTCCAAATCGTTCAATACAAATCGGAACTTCATGTTACTCTTGAGCGAGTTTGGATTATGAAATTTGGTCATATAATCATACATATAAATCATATGTAATTTGAATAAAATATTGACATCATTGTTAATATTGCAAGAGTACGTATACTTGCATATATACAAAAAAATATAGCCCATATCGTCACCTGGCAATCCTTCTCCCTAGACTCTAAAGCGCTAATTTGCTGCAGTTAAAGTTTTAAGACATCTGACATTTATGTACAGCTGGCGTAAACCTAAACGCTCATGGTTTATGGTGAGGATCAAATACAGCCAAATATATACCTTTTCGAAGCGTTTAAAAAGGAAAATAATCTGATCCCTAATTGAGACTTGGAATTAAAATAATAATGAATTAAAACAATTTTACTCACCTTTCCATTCTACGTTTCTCAATTTCATTCCTTCTTTGGCTTCCAGATAGCTGTCCCAAGTTTGATTCGCTCGGAAAAAATCACATCTCTGTCCAAGATATTGATTCTCACAAGCTAAATTGGCAAAGCTAAAAAATAGAAATTTATGTATGGCACACTGAAATTTACCCATGCTTTTAATTAACAGAATTATCGTATTATAGTCTTGATTGAAGTTATTCTGTGATTAGTGATTTTGATTAAGTGTGGTTCTTGACAGTATTGCATTTAGGGTTTTTTCCAAGTGCTTGATATTAAATTCAGCAAATGAACAGCTTAAAATCATTGTTGTTGGAAACATCAAAATATGTTCATATATATATAAACAAATATATTTTGATTGGGTTGTTTCAATTATTTGAGAACGTTTAATTAGGGATTGGTTATAGATTTCCAGTTACAACAAATTGCTTAAAAAGTATCCGTATTGCCCCAAATCTTAACTAAGTGAATGAAAAGTTTCTTGTAATTCACAAGAAAACATATGAGGCAATTAAGTTGTATCTCCAAACTTCCGATTACGCAACAATAAATCCATTCTCGCAGAATTACATCTGTACATAAGTTTACTCACGCAAATGTACATCACGTAAATTTTTCTATCCTCGTCAGTCGTCAAACATTTTTTATGCGTTCTCCCAAATGATTCCTTTTTAAATTCACATAATATATGGAATACTTGGATAGCAAAAGATTTGAATTTTAAAGCAAACATTTATACCAAAATGGCATAATATATTATTGGGAGAATCATTGTGTTAGTTTCGTGAGGTATTTGAAATTCACAGCAAAACTTTCTGGAATTAAAAATTGAAAAATAAAAAAATTAGAATAAAGGCGTTTAGTCTCACAAAGACATAAAGTAATTTAGCAGTAGGAGAAAAAAAAAATATTCAAAAACCGATTCTGGATTTGAATTCCGTAGGAAACACTATTAATTATATTAATGTTGTATTTTATGTTCATGAACGATTAAAATCAATGTTTATTACTGTTATTAACAGATAATCCAGTGTCGTATTTTATAACCCGCAATCATCGCTGTATAAATTTTCTTCAGTTTGTTAAAATGTAAGTCCAAATTAAAAATAAATGATGTCACCAAAAAATGATGTTTGCAATTCATTATTTATTCAGTAGTTTATTCATTTCGAATTCAATTTTTCTATTGTTTTGCTTTTGTTGTTACTTTTTCATAGTGTATTCATATTATCGCCTTTTTCATGATTAAATTACATCTCTTCTTTTAATAAACTCATCTCTGTGCCGCAGATTTATTCGTAAGTCGCAATCAAGTGAATTACTCGAATGTGTAATGATCTTTGAATAAATTATAATTTTTCCATGACGATATAAAGTTTTTTTCTCTTTGTTTGTGACTATAAATAATTTATTTTGAAGACCTAATTCAAAACCCTAAATAAAAAATTTCTGTGTTTTTGGGGTTGTATGAGGGATGAGTGATTTTAAGTCTCGCGAAATATAGCCAGACTATGACCTTGAATTATTGGATTAATTGGGATTCAAACCCATGATTCCGTACCCACAATGATTAATCCACAATTAAACCAATGTGCCATTACCATACGTTATTACCATTACGTGTGATAGAAAATATCCATAAGTTTCTCAAAACGTATTCTGATTGATTTCTTTAAATAAAAACTTTTTGAAAATTGTCTCACAATTGAAATAGTCTCACAACAACAAGATTGGTCTACGACAGGTAATTACTGGAACATCGGAAAAAGGATTTTAATCGATTTTGTCGTCGTTTGTGAAACGTCAATCTTACTTGAAAAAGTAATTCAATACTGTCGATCAACATCACCTTGTTTACTGGTAATGGCTTCTCTCACGTCGATTTATTCTCAAATCTCATGACGTGACAGTCGGATTAAAAAATTTCGAGAAATAGATATTTTCACTAAGTTTTATCTCACATACCGGTATATGTATTTTGTGTGATATTTATATTAGGAAACTTTGTACATGAAAATGATCATAAATCGCTACCCCCGTAGTGTATCTACCAGGTTAGGGTTGGGCCAAGTGAATATACCCCCTGCCCATAGGTTTCAGTCCATTTATACAACTTGATGTTAAGTAGGCGAACAAAATTAGTTACCTCCATATTGGTACATACACTTCTGGAACGCCCATAAATCTTGCATTCATTCATTCAGCTGTGAGCGTTCTCCGTTTAAGAGATTTCCATATGTAATATAATTTAATTGGAGCTCTAAAACAGGCTTCAATACTAAAAAATATCATATTTTACCAAATAGACTTCATTATAATTGATAGCACTAACTGCATCTAATTAAAAAACTCATGTTATTGTAATATTTGGATTTTTTATCGCAAACCCAAACTGAGTCCAACCCGATTAGTCCGGTCCAGCTCAAAACTGCAACTGACAAACGAGATAACATAATTCATTTCCATACGAAATATCTGATTAATTTGCAAGCTTATGCGTTAGACCAGACATGGGCAAACTACGGTGCCCGAGCTAAATCCGGCCCGTTGGGTAATTCAATCTGGCCCGCCTGATGCTACCACAACCAAACTGAAATCAAATTTCGATGTTTAAGCTAAAAATAGCTCAAGGAATTTGTTAAGATTGCAGTTAAATTTAGGTTTGGCACGAGGCGTATTGTTTCCTACCTTTGCTTTGTAATACTGTAAATAATGTTCATAAAATGTAACTTATTACGTCATATTTTCATGGCCCGCCAGTCTAAGTGCAATATTTTTGGCACCTGGTTTAAAAACCGTGCCCACCCCTGCGTTAGACCGTAATCAATTGTTTTCAGACAAAATATACTATCAGGTATTTAAATATCGAATGGTCGACTTTGATAGAAGGGAAAGGCAAGGCCGAACATAAGATATTGTCACTTCGGGAAGTGTGAGTTTGCTATGTCTCTGATAATGCTAACTTAAATCCTTGTGCTAATCTTGAGTGTAAATGTACTCCACAAAAAATTGAGTAATATGGTCTCCTTCTCCGTAAAGTGAGAATATGATATTGCGATTTTTATCATTTTACACAATTTTTGAAAGTGTGTGCTCACGACATGAAATAAAAAATACAGCATAGGATATATATAACCAATTTTTTTAATAAGTCATATATGATTTCCTATTTGATGACGTCATGGAGTTTCATGTCATTGCTGAGTTAGTGGGAGATTGGATTATTCATCCTATATGATAATAGAGGTGGATAAAGTGAAACTGAGTGTGAACAAAGTCGCAGGTGTTCTATTTTAAATTCCCAAAATCGATAGCGAAACAAATTTATTTTTTAATTTTAATAATTTAAAATCTACCGAGAACGTTTAGGTCAATAGTATCGACTGTTCAGATACAAATGGGTAGATAAAACTCGATCTTGCTTTATGCATTTAAATCGAAAGAAAAAAGACATCAATTACCGTAAAACTGAAATATTACTGTTAAAACTGACATATTTACGTCAGTTATTTCAACTCTCGAACGAACGATGCTTTAAATGAGTTTGATATAGGATACCTGTTTTACGAAACTTTGTTTATGAATGTATAAAATATCATTTGTGATAAATTACGAAATTTATTATGGTGATAATTCAAAAGAGAATCAAACTACAATCTATACGGAATTTTTTTATTTTTATAAGGATATTTAGAATCTTTCGTACAACCTCGCCCCGGAAAAAAAACCCAGCCACCGCTCAAAATAAAAATTAGTTTATCCAGTTAGAGTTAGTGCTGGGAATGCCGATTGCACTGGAAATTTAAATTTTCAAATCATTCCTAACCCGGACTGAATAATTACTAATTTGTTATTTTAAATTGTGACGGGGATGTTTTTTTCAAATGTCACATTTTTGCATTAGTGACTGGGGCTTTGTACAGAAGATCCGAAATTTGCACAGATCGCACTCACTCGGAAATTGAGAAGACTGATCTCTGAGCGAAGTTGCGGGCGATCACTAAAGTGACAAGTGCGTCTGATACTATAACGAATTATGAGATTACCATTGTTTTAGTTTTCAAATTCAGTAGGTAATTTCTAAAATATCGTTTTTTTAAAACCACAGAATTAATATATACTAAAATTTAGGCAGTTCTCATCGGACACGAGCGCTACGTTAAACTAACCTAACAGTCAAAAAGGGGTAATCTGCACAACGAACTACTCCGCCACACATTTAAAATATTAAACATCTTGATTAGAAATTCTCAGTTCCACGAAAATCAACCACAATGTGATTGTTTATAGAAATTCTCTCGTGATGGTGATTGAAAATTGCAATCATTTAAAATGGAAAAATTTGAAGAATTGACAGTTTGTTTACACAATCCACTGCGAAATAAAGTAAAACGAAAGACTCGAAAACTGGATTTTTTGAATAAAGTTTTATGAAAATAAGATCACGAGTTCTAAACTTTCTTGAGGAGACTAAGATATCATTAGAACAAAAAGTTTTAGGTTTTTGAGAAACTATTAAATCCGTCAAATGTAGGAGACAGCTCAAACAAACTCATATATACACACAAAGGTTTTTACCTGAAACATTTTGAAAAATTTATGACGACCAGTGAATGTTTTCCCACGTTTATAATTTCATCTGAAACATCCCGAACCCCACAGTTCGAATATTCGAATTCTTGTTCGTCAACGTGACTGTTTGTTCGTTCATAATAAACCTGTTTAAAATGAATTATTGTTGGTTATTTTTATTAATAAAAATAATTGAAATGCAGAACAACGATATAGATCTTGAAGAGATTATTCGAGTAAACAGACAGAATTATTACACCTCAGTTAGATTGATTTTATTCTGCCAGTCCGTTTTCTAGTCTACTAATCACTAGTCCTAAATTTTTTCATATGTCTTCATATTCGAAGCCTGTTTAGTTTACCTGAGTCGTAGTGGTTGATATTCCGTTCCTATATCGTACAATTTGTCTAGATCTTCTGGCAAAATGATAGGAAATTACTCTCCACCAAATAACAGGAGCTGCATGACGTATCAAGTGAATATGCTGATGCACATCTGTTAATTAAAAGTTAGTACAGGGCTCGTTTTTTGGAACTTAGGGTAACATATTTTATTTCTTCTTCAACAATTTTAGATTAAACCCAAACTGTGTGAAATTAGGCAATTCCACTACAGCATGTCGATCCGTGATTATCGTTTATTCCGATAGCTTCAACAGAAAACGGAGGCGGTCTCATACAAGAGGTCTCATACAAGAGCGGTCTCATACAAGAGCGGGAACAAACTGACTTATTTTGTGACGACATAAAGGTATGCAAAAGTTACCATACTGAGCATGATATCATACAAAGGGAAAAATTATTAAAAAGACATGGGCTTCATATTATGAATGTTTCCTCGAGCATCGACTTTTTTGTTTACTGTGGTAACATTGGCTAATCAGCAAGATGCAAAAAGTGACGTAACAATAGACGTTTTAGCGGCCGCTGGGACACTTTTGTCACTCAGACAAATTTCCAGGTATAGTTGTAAACATTACATCGTTGTTATAGAATGTTTTGGATCAGAATGATGGTTTGAAACTAGGGCTGGGCATTTCGAATCGAATATTCGAATCGAATAGTAAATTATTCGAATCGGTTTAAAGCAAAATTTCGAATCGCCGCCATCTTGTTTTTTTTTTTCTTTCCGCCAATGGTCGAGGTAAATTTCTTATTTTTTTAAATTTTTTTAACGCAATTCCGACATTTCACGACTCTTTTTTGTAGTGAGTTATTAATGAAAACGTGTTTTTATTGTATGTGAACGCTCAGCAATCTGTCTGAATGATATATTCTACGTTTGCTGTAATTTAAGTGTCTGGAGGACCTAATACAATAAGAAAGTTACATACAATTTCATACCTTCCAAGTATTCGAGATTCGATTCGATTGGAAAAAAATATTCGATTCGATTCTGAAATCATCAGGTATTCAAAAATGCCCAGCCCTATTTGAAACATATAAACCAGTTTATAGGCGCCAACTCGCGAAACCATTCTTAAAATAACTATCAAAAAATTTGCAATGGCAAAGTATAGGAAAAATTTTCGGGGGTCAGAGGTCGTGGAAACATTCATTGCATGCAATCAGCAAATATTGTGAAGAAGCTCAAGTCGAGAGTATTTTTGTCTTGTTGATTAGGATACTTACATTCTCTCGAGACGAAAGGCATGATGTGGGGTGAATTTCTCCAACATTCAATCAAATAAATAACATAAAACATCATCAGTAGAGACAATGGAATGAAGGAATGCGTCCGGGTACACCCTTAAAATAAAATCAATAGAATAGTTTTATTATTATTATTATGGTATGTTTTTTAAATGGTCAAGTGAGGTGTAACCAGTGAAGGGTTTTCGGGGGGCTGGCGCAAACCCGTATATGGAATGCCGTGATAATAAAGAAACCCATTTTTGAGCTGATGACTAGAATATAATTTGGCGTTTTAAGATTATATATTAGATTTAAGTGGCGTGTCATGTTAATATAGCTTACGCAGGGCGAAATACAAAATAGCAGTATGTTGATATTATGCGTTTGATATATTTAATATTAGTAATGATGAAACAGTCAACAGGTTTTAGGCGGCAAGCCTTATCACACTTTAGGGATTTGCACGCCCGATACACAATTATCGGAAACTACTCCATGAAGTTGGACAGCTAATTACAGAAAATCGATCACCAATAAAACTTTTTGTCAAAAACGAGAACGACAAACGTTACTGAAATGCAATTATATGTTAGAAAGGTAATGTTCAATAAAAATACACCTACATTCGTAACGAAACATAAATTATGGCAAACGTTTTCTATTATATCTCTTGATTAGATGGGAATCAAACTACAAATATTATTGAAATGTTTAAAACGGTACATTTAATTGCAACAAAACCAGTATAACAGGGTTAATATTAAACTGATTCCAAAACAATAATTTCTCAAAACAAAACGATCAATTTTTATTCTCTTATTTGCCCATTTGCAAATTTCAGGAGTAAAATTTATTCCCAAATTTTCACATCTTCATTTCTACAAATACCTATAATAACTTATGAACAAAAATGTTTTGGAAGATGGAATTTCAATGAATATTTTGGATGTAGATGCCTAAAATTGAATATTGAGAGTTAACATAACTGCAGTCGAAGAGGCAGCAATGCAAACAAAATTATTCATAACTAATAAGCAGACAGTCGCTTCGTAGTTGGGACATAATAACATATTCATTATGCAAGAGCAAATTGCAATCTCAGCCATGTTGCAATCTTCTCTGTGTGATTTACTTTCGGAAGGTAAAATTACCTGGGGTATAAACCTCTACTTTAACAAAAGCAAATCGATCCAGTAAAAACTACCTACATTTCCAAGAATACCGAGAATACCGATTGCTGAAAGTATTACCAACGTTATTTGCGATGAATGACGGTATATCGTACCACCCTGTTGTTGCAGCAATAGTGCATTATACATTAAAAGAAAGTTTCATTTCTGAAGTGTATTTAGCCGAAATCTGCTGAGAAGTACTGAGGCTCGAATGACACCAGTAGATATATTAGCAATATAAAACCTAAACCACACAACAGAGTTTCCTAATTATTAAATTTGTATTATGATCTTTCTTAACGAGTTCAATACTATTCCACTTACCTGAATTTGGGTTGTTTGAATTGTAAAACCAGCAGCTGAGAGATGCAGTTAGACATATGTAAATGAATGCAGATAGCAATAAACATTTCCAATATTTTTTACGAAATGCACATAGAAGCAAAGGGCGGTGTACTGGACTAATCGTCCCTACGCTTGGCCCAACAGTGCACATATCGAAGAATTGTGTGTGACCTTATCGTAATTACTAAAACTGAATAACAGAAGTAAGAATACCATTATGGATATAATATTATAAAAAAATATGGTACAATCAAAGATAAACTATCGAAGAAGGATAATCAGTCATTATTACACGGTTCAAGCATGCCATATAGAGATGAACCCGGTACCTATAGCTGAAAAAAAATTAACCTGTCCTGATATTGAACAATTATTTATTTGAGACGTCGAAGTAGAACCCAATTCATTCATAAAGCTTATTATCATTGGCCGCGCAAGTTACCAGATATATTTGGTTCCGATTTGTATAATATTGACTTCTCACTAATGATTATGAACTCTTATCAAAATGGTATTATAACACTCGTAAACTAACTTGGATTCGCATAATTTTCACGTGCTATTAGTAGATGTATATCGGGTTCATTTATTCAAAATAAGGAAATACAGAATTCTCTACGGTTTTCAGGACCTATTTATAGCATAAATTGACTTTCTATTTGATATAGAATCTAGACGAGCAGACCTTTTAAAGATCAACAGCATGAACCTAAATTAGAGGGATAAATAACAAACGCTACGCTATAGGATTTCTTAACCTTCTATGCTTTTGCGCTGATAAATCTGTATGTATATATTATGAGGAAGCTATAGCAAGAGTGAAGTTCCGCACTAACTAGTCAGACGAAACGTTACAGAAATATATTTGTGTTTGTGCGCACTCTTGAATCTCTTGGAACAAATAGCAGAATATGACTGATTCACTCTCGTTACATATTTCGTATTATACCCATGCATTGATAATAACGCCATAAAATCTATTTACCCTATTCCTCGCCTGCCCTCTAAGCTTCTCGATTGATCCGGCCCGAATCTGATTATATTCATACCTTTTATTACTTCATAACAAACAATCTACTTACACAATACAATTCAGACAGCTTATCCGAGAACAAACCAAAAGAGTAAAGGATTAATACCGCGACCAAATAACACCGTGAAAATCATGAAGGAATACCGAAAAAAATCTCTTGCCCCAAGGGAGGGACAATTCATTTTGTTCGATGTAGCAGTTACAACCCGCACTTGCTTTGAGCAATGACAACTTAGTTAAAATCAATACAAAACTTAATCGAACATAGGATACATATACCGCGGTAATAGATATCAGTACACCATGTGTGATCAATCGTGAATTGTAATAAAGAGAAGATAGGTTATATTGAGCCTCTGTCAAAAACAGTTCCTTTTAATTGAATTCACCCGTAGGCCAGAGAAATTGTCAATAAACTGCAAAAATATAATAGCAAGTCATATGGATTTCAATGTATGCATTGAATCGCAATATCAAAATATAGGGTATTCGATTTATTTTAGATATTATATGCGTCTGGTTATCTGTTCATAGATCGATATTATGAACTATTACTAGAGAATGTAAAATATCGAACATTGTGATATGTTTCATTTAGATCATAATGAGGATAAAATGATGCTATATTATGACACCATAATGTGGCCACAAAAAACCTGAGCGAAAAATAACCTCAATTCGAACGTACCAGATTAACTGCCACTGACCGAAAATATAACCTGAAGCGTCAAACATTGGCTTAATCACATTATGTTCTCATATACCAGCTGCCGAAGAATAGAACACCTTGAAAGGGTCATCTATTTTTTTATTCAATTTTGGCATAATTTTATGACTTTAGCTATGTTTTTGTAAATGGGCTCCATACTTCAGTCGAGGCGGATTTCAATTGGGTAATTAATTCCAAAATTGTTGAGTCCAGTCTACCTATTTGCGTCCATTTTGATAGTTGTCACTTAAAAAGTAGCGGATATTCATATGACTGAAAATTATTTTCAGGACATGTGATAAAGTTTAGAGGTAACGCGAGTCGACTATTCAGAAATCCGGAAAGATTAGTTGATCAGTTGTGTGCGCCATAAGTGGATACGCAATAAACTGTTATCTATTGTCTGCACTTGTATGACGGATTCAACACTGTCCATTTTGTCATCCACACTCATTAAGAAAAAGGGTAAATGGGTCATTCGGTATGAAATAATTCAATGCGCCTGAAACGGATAAGATTGAGTTTGGGGGCCTCAAAATACTCAACGTCATTTCTAGCACACCCCGAAAGTCCTATATGCTACTTATTTTGGTAATTTCAACTGCCCCTCGATCTCACTGCTACTTCTTCTCGAAATGGATAAACTTCTGAAAGCAATCAACGACAGAGTCCATCTATTATTCAAGCCCATCACAATCGCCGAGTGAAACACAACTTCATGCTCATTTGTGTAATGGCCAAAGATGAACTCAGTATAATTAGGACCTATTTACGCTTCGGTTTGAACATGATTTTTGCATTCATCTAAAAAACTAAACAAAGGTCAATTAAGTGCAATTGCTCACTGAAGAAAATGCTTCTCTCGACTAATGTAATTTTTGGCCAAGAAAAAACGTTTGTACGTCGATCGCGGTTTGCGTGGACTACCCTTTTATTCGCAAACTTTGCTTAAACTTAGTGCAAGAACCTAGACAACAAGAATTCCACATTCGACACAATCTGGTATTATGCTGTTTTCGATACACCCACATTTGCAACGCCCAAACTCTGTAGGCTAGTAAAAACATAAATAAAAAATAAGATAACAAAGACACTTATTTATCAAATTTCAATCAATTTATCAATACAATATTAAAACGAAATAATGATTTATTTTGATGTTCTGAAAGGACCATAATCGTCTCGATACCGCACATCCCACGATTTAATCTATTAAACCACGTACGACGACAGCCACTCGATCTTTATAAATTTTGGTCGCAACACGGTTAGGACCGCAGCACTAATCTTTAACAATCGTAGTTCCATGATTTTGCCGCCATTGAGAAGGCATTTTTGCTAACGAAGTGCTGGCGAAAAAGACTTGATGTATATATATACAGTATATTGTATATGATATATTTTATATATACTATTGTATATTATAAAAAAATGCACTACACGAATAGTCAATATGTTGCAATTTAATTGAAATATACCTACCTCTATTTCTATATTAGCCTTTCATTACATTTAAATTACCTATTCAAATTCATTGTGATCTTCAGATCTTAAGATTATATTTGATACAGTTACGGAGGATAAAATGTCCAGATACTGTTATGAAGCCTCGGGCTCTTTCATAGATCTATTTGAAATTCAGTACAATAACTCAGGTGAGCTAAGTCGCACTTTAAGCCTATGAATAATTCAATTTTCTAGGTCTTTACATTATATTATATGTGGTAAATGTATGACCATGGGATAATCATCGATAAATTAGGCTTTGCATATATAGACACGGTGTGTAATATTTAGATGAAGATACTTCAGATAATACAGGTCTTGTAAAGTATATCGAAATTTTAACAAAGCAAACCACTGGAGCAAAACATAATATAACACCCCCATTGATAATGTATTATAAAAGTATGTAAACAATTTAAAATCCTGTGAAATTTCATTTCGAAGAATTGGATTTTGACGTGAATTGTCGTAGTAATTCACCAACACTCGGTGTGCGGTAATAATTTTTTAACGACATCAATGGCTATTTGACTGACTATATATATTTGAAACAGCTTCAATTCAACTTTAAATATAAGTTTTCATATCAAATTGACGATTCACGGATCGAAAAATTATATGTCCATGCTACATTACTGTTAGCTGATAAATCTACGCGAAACGAAAATTATTAAACTCAAGATGACAACTCAAATTCCGTGGCACCTGCAACTAATAGATTGGAGTACGGGATAACAGATACCCATCCTATGTCAATTTTCTTCTAGCTTGTCGTTTTGCGATCTCCTGCGCTACCACTGCATGAGCTCTATCTATTCTATCCTCATCCTCTACTTCAGCCATGTCCAACCCGAATGCATTATGAGGCTGCAAAACATATTCCAGCTTTGTCGCGGGTCACACATTAAATAAGATGTCACACACCATGATCTGTAGTACGAAAACTATTTTTTAATGTCATTAACAACAACTTAACTTTCGTAGAAACTTTCTATCTCTGAGAAACGAGTATATACTTCAAATTCGTGGTTGTCCGTAAATGAATGAATTCAATATGAATATATATATATTCCACAAGCTCTTCGACAGGAATTTTGAATGAACACATGAAAGTTTGGTTTATTAAAGATCAGCGAAACAAATTCCCTGTATAGCCTATGTATTACACTGCCGGCAGAATCGGAACACGATTTACGGAATGCAAAAATGTCCCGCAAGATAGTCAAAAAGTTTGCCGATTATGTAAATCGCATTTGACATTACTACTTTTGAGTGATTTACAAGATTCTCATTCGGCCTTGAAATTAGAGTGCCAGTCGATACGGTACCGATGACAACAATCTCCCAGTTCTCTGATACTATCCACACTACAAAGCATTTTCAAACGTGAATGCTCTCTGGTCTAGCGCACTTGTATATTCCGAAGGTAAATTTATCATTGTTTTCACTACACGTGTCGACGATTCTTCATTTTCTCGAATCCAATTAGTTTCTAGCCCAATATTATACACTTCTATCGCGCCATCTCACGAACGCGAGATGTCGCAATACATTCATATTATTATATACGAATATCCCATTAAAGCTCAATGATATCGACCCGACCGAAATCCAACCATCCGAATTCAAAATTTAAGACAACTTTGTCTAATTTTTGGACTGTAGGCAATAACATGTTACCTGGAAATCTGGGCACTGGGAATCGTTATTCCAAACCCAAAAGCTTCGACTTTCCAATTTTAGAATTTGGAAATGTCCACTCATTTCCGAATTTTCTAAGTTTCTACTTCTTGAACTTCATTCTTTAAAAGAGTTTGAACAAGAAATATAATGAAAACTATTTATTATTATTAGTCTCACTTGCTCACATAATGTATAAATAATAAACGATTGTTAGTCAATTTGTGACCAAATAATACTCTAGCAGTAATAATAGTAAAAGCAAAAACAGAGCCAGTTTGAAAATGACAATTTTAGCAAAACAAACAGTAAACGATATAACTGTTATTTGTAGCTTTTATTTTCGAGGTGGGCACGAGACTTGAAAAATTCTATAATGGGGGTGTGGCTTGAAAGTATCAGAACCACTGTTGTAGAATATGATAAAGAATGAAAAGTATTTCATTAAAAGAGTACATAGTGATTTAGTGAATTATTATTTCATCAAGGAATAGATGAGACAAAAAAAATCTTAATTAGAATACGAGCGACACATGTATCTAATAATTGAGTTTTGCTTGAAAAGGTTTGAGCTGGTGGTACGGATACAAAGAACCAGACCACTCTTCTTGTGTTCAAACTGGGGATAAGTTCCTTCGACAACTGAATTGTTTTGATATTCTATAATCTTATCCTGCAATAAGTATCTACATTTTTTAATCTTTCAATAGAATCAATGTATACCACCATTACAATAAAAAATTTTAACAGGAAAAAATTAGACTAACTGCCAATCCTTCCTCAATGCTTTGCGTTAGTGGACCGGTATGCGTTTAATGCAAAGATGCTGTAGCAGGAATAAACATGACCATAATATGATGCAATTCAAGAGTTTTGCTGAACACTAACACACCTGTTTCACACTAACACAAACGTATTTCTGTGTATATTTGTGTTAGTGTACAGCAGGACTCTTCCCTTGCATAGAAAAAAAATAGGTTTCAAATTTTTGAATTAAAAAAAAAAAAATTTCACATTTCATTCAAATGATTTCTCTAAATATACTTCATCCAAATAATGGTGAGCGAAAAAAATGAAACTTGAAAAATTTCGGGTTTTGCTAAAATTGTCATTCCACAAACGAGTTCGCAAGCATAAAAGCACATATTTCAGAGATGGAACAATATTAATGGCAGAAAAGCTGAAAAAAGAAAAAAATAATAAAATCATTACAGTTCGAAATAACAAAGGGAGAGAAAAACTGCAAATAATAAACGTTTCATCGAACTTTTTGTTTTCAAAAACATGTAATGCTGTGAATATATATGCGAGTACCGACCACTGAGATATAATTCTTAAATGAGAGAAGGCTCGAACAAATATCACACGATTCAAGTTAGAAGAATAGTAAGATTTATATTGAAAAACAACAAACATTACAACACTTAACAAGGATGAGTTATTGAGAATTTACAGCATACGTTATTGAGAATAGCTCGGTCGTTCATCAAATTGAACCTTGCAAACTGCTTATGTATATAATTATGAATAGCCTTGTCGTCCAAAAAATTGACCCTTGCGAACCTCGAGGACAAGAACAAAACTGCTCTCAGGATTGTGGTTCGATCGCAGGGATGAGATAACTTCGACCCGCCAATGTGCAATTCTAAGTAGCCGGTTGTGCAAAGCTTCACTTATACTAGTTGTGGAAAAAAGTCTGCCAAGTTGCATGATTTATTTTTTGAAGGTTTAATTCTCATTTTCGCTTAAGTTGTCGAACTAGGCTGTCTTCTTGGGATGGGTGGGGGGGCATCATTCGATGTGAAACGGGGGTGTTCATTCATAGCAGGAGCTCCACCAGAAACCCAACCTCCCCTGGGTGGAGTTCCCCCGAGCGATTGTGAGAAATCTGTGAAATCAAATGCAGTCGGAGTGACCACTGTAGTGACCCTGGTATCGGGATCCACTTGTTGGGGTAAATTTTCGAAACTGTGAAAATTACTGACTCCGTGTGCATATGGGATTTGAACAGTGGGTGAAGGGTCCCAAGTGGGGTCGACGACATATCGACCCCCATTTGTGTTAATGTGAGGCGTACTAGGTTGAATGTCATAGTTGCGAGAATACGGCATTGACCTCACAGGTGCACGAGGGGGGATGTTTGGGGGGTCACGAGGTGGTATGGGGGGAGGTGTCGAAGGGGGTGACGATCTATCAATGGAATTTTTATTATAAAGTGGGTGCCTTTCTGAATATCCCCCATTTAACCTCCATGGTTCTCTTGGAGGCAGGGGTGGCGGAATCAATTCTGGTTCCCCTAAATCTAACTGCGCAGAAGGGGGTGAAATTTGACCAGATTCGAGTGGGGTGTGAGTTCCATTTGTAAATGATCGAGCAGGAGCGGTTGCAGGTGTAGGAGGAATCGCAGAAAGTGGTGGGGCACCAGATAGGGGGTTGTTGAAATTCGGACCCAATCTTGAAGTGGATAAATCAAAGTTAAACCGTGAGCGATCTGACATCGTAGGCGGAGCTGAGACAAGGTCAATTCCATGCAGAGATTGAGATCGGGGCTCTCTAGGTGGTCGGGGTGGCGCAGGAGGTTCTTCTTTTGGTGATGGTGTTTTCCCAGTATCCGTAAAGACAAAATTTCGTACCGACATCGTATCGAAAGTTTCTCGCTTTTGAGTCGGTGATAAAATTAACGAATGTCTCTTATCTGAGTTTGAAAGTCTTAGACTATGATCCCTTCTGATTGGTATTCTGTCCATGTTTTTGAAATCTTCTTTAGTGAGAGTCCGAGACACGTGTCGCTTACCAGGCACAGTGCCTGGTGATTTGATTTCCTTGTCAGTGAAAGAACGGGGCTAAAAACAAAGTTACTGGAAGTTACGTTTGCAGAAAAACTAACAGTATAAGCATTAGTAAACATTATTCGAAATAAAGTCACACACACAAATTAATAGGACATATCTTCAATTTAGAAAAAAAAGTAAGAAATTCAGAATGAAACATAGAAATACTTTTATTCGTGAGATCAAAAATCCAAGTTGTAATACCAAAATTCCAACTATATCATTTAAAACTATCTCTAATTTTTAATCTCGAAATTTGATAAAGAACTCCAGGCGACAAAAAACATCAAAATCTGGTACTGCAGAGGAGAGGATCGCTCTACTTCTCGCCACCACAGGATGGTTCTGGTTATCGCTAGTAACCGGATGATAGGCTGGGTCCACCATAAGATTAATCCATCTTATCCACTTTCCTCCCCCCATGATAAATATGCAAATTATATTCCTAACACTAATTGACTTGCACAACATTACTTTATCGAATTCCGAGGAAAAGCAATAAGTTGACTTCATCATATGATCAACCATGGCCTATGGTCCGATTACCAGTTCACCTCTGGTATGATTATGTTTAACCAATTATTTATATTATAACTATCAGTAGCGCTAAATAAAAGAAGCGAGAAAAATTTACTTTCCAGTGAAATCAAAATACTTACAAATTTAGGTGGTCTGTCTTCCCTGGGTTCGATCTTCAGTGAAGTGTGAAATAAATGATCATTAAATTGTTTATCTGTTCGTCCATCTAACGGGTCAAGATTGATGAAGAAATCTTTGATTGTTTGAACAGACGTTAGATTGTATGGCATAGCTTGATATTGTTGAACTTCAAGCATGATCGCAGCAACTTTCCTCCTAAAATCAGAAATTCAAAATAAAAATTAATTAATTAAAATTTTATTAGGTTCCACTGTAAATAAGGTTTCAGAAAAGTATAAGTACTCAGACAATACAAAAGATTTGGTACTCCCGTAGGCCGTAGTGAATGTGCCAGGTTAGGGTGAGGCCGTCATTTTATTCCGATTTTCCTTATTTTAGTTCTATTACGAGTTTGGAGACTGTCTGTGTTAGCCAAGTGAATATACCCCCTGCCCATAGGTTTCAGTCCCTTTACACAACTTGATGTAAAGTAGGCAAACAAAATTAGTTACCTCAATATTGGTACACACACTTCTGGAGCGCATTCTCAGATTGATACTAACAACCAAGTCGATTGAGTGTTGGCTTTTTTATATTTTTACTAGAATCATCGTCACGCATATATAAAAAGAGAAATTTTGCCAAGGTACTCGTAATTAACTGTTAAATATCTACTTAGCCACTTACTTAGCTATGCAGAATAAAAATGAAAGATAGAAGAAAATTAACTTGTCTGACTTTTGTCATTAGACATAATGAACGCAGAAATATATAAAAAATGGAACAACTCTTACCTTTTGCTGAAATTTATTAATTCCAAATTTTCAGGATAGTTGGGAAGTAAATGTGGATTACCTTCTTCTGTTTTCAAAATATTTGTAAGAAAAGTACCTGAAACAAAAATTAAATCATTAAAATGAGTAATATATATAACATAAGGAGATATATAACAGTGTTACCATTGCTGTTTAGGGCTTGTAATTTAGCAATCCTACCAAAATTTAGCAATCCTACCTAAAAGAGCAATGCATGAATATAGACACGAAGGACTATAAGAAATAGGAATATAGACACAATTGACTACAGAGACGTCAAAGCCAAACGCTAAATGAACTCCACTTAATACCATATAAAGGTGTGTACTAAAAATTTGGGATAAAATATTGGGCCCTCGAAAAAACTGAATATGATGGCCTTTTAGCAGCTTACATATAAAACAATAAAACTAGTCAGTTCTCATCCCAGTCCCAGCAGGTTTAAATCATGTGGCGATGCCTATGCTGGGAAATGCCATGAAATGGTTTTACCCATAACCAGGATCAATAAAAAAAATCAGGTCTAATATAATGGCCTTTTAAAAAAACTTACCAACAAAAGGAACACAAGGTGGATCAATTGATCGCAATCTTTCTAATGTTTTTGTCAATCTCGAATCACACATATCCATGCATTCTTTTCTTATTTTTGAGTATCGATCAGACAAACTCTAAAATAAAAAATAAGATAACAAAAACTAATTAAACTACTCTGCTTCTTTTGGGAATTTGGAAGGTTTTTACATTGAAATATTTAGTATTCTAAGCAAATAATTTCAGTTTAACAAATTTTAAATGACTCTATTATTCAGGAAAATGTTAAATTAAGTCAAATTTTCATATAAAAAAAGAAGATTGAAATGGTTAAGCTATAAATTATTGAAAAAGATGGGCTTCGGGATGTTCTCAAACAATAGCTCTCTCTAATCAAGAGCTTACTCATGGGTTGAGGTAGTCAAGAGTATTATTGGTTCAACATCGCTTATATAATTTTAACCACCTAGACTGGCGGGCCATGTGAGTTGGACGTAAAAGTGACATTTTATGAATAATATTTACAGTGTTACAAAAGCAAACGAGGAAAACAATAAGCCTCGTACCGACACTAAATTTCTCTGCAATTTCAACAAATTCCTTGAGTTAGTTTTAACTAAAACATCAAAATTTGGTTATAGTTTGGTTGTGGCAGCATCATGCGGGCCAGATTGAATTGCCCAATGGGCCGGATTTGGCCCGCCGGCTGTAGTTTGCCCATCCCTGCACTAGATCTCAATGCTTTGATGCTAAACTTCGGTTAAATCCTACAACTCAAATATATTGATAACGACCAATACAACGGTTAATGATTTCTGATAGAAAATCCAAGACTCATTCACAGGAAAATTATGTAAATGACAAATAAAAAAAATTTGTGCCTGTCAACACAGAAATGGAACAAGTTAGGTTTTCAACTACACAAGACTAGTGAAACAGGTTGCATGACACTCTACCTACCTCTTTGGTATGATTAAGTCTGTGGACAGCAGAAGAATTGAAAGCAGCAACAAATTCTAACAATCCGTTGAAATTATTCAATTGTTTCATAACTTGCATGACTTCTATAGCTCTATTCATTGCAGCCAATCTTTCATCATGATTTGAAATCTGAAAATAATGTAAATATGGAAATATTGAATAATAGGTTGAACATACGAAAAAAGCTTGACATAATAGAGCAATATACTGTTCTCAATACGTTCTGAAATATTATTTTCTAATATGGAATATTGAATGTATTCTGAATTACGTCATGTTCAACAAAGAAATTCTTGTTGGAACAAAATCACTATCTTTTTAAATACTAGACCAGGAGTGCACAACAATTTTTGTCGGTGGACCATATAACCAACTTCAGACATCTAGCCGAGCCACACAATAAATTTAGTTTATCCATGCGAGAAAGGCAAGGGGAGAGAATCCGGCTATTACTCTGCCTTGCAGTAATGAAGAAACCAAGCAAAACAGTGCAGATATAACGCAGCGGCAAGAGCAAAGAACATTATATATTTTCACCCATGTGATCACCTTAAAAAAATAATTCGGACTAGGATTTTTTTGATGGGGAAAAATTGAGTGTTTACAAGGGCCACACTAAATGACTTTGACGGACGGGTTATGACCCGCGGGTTGCCTGTTGCACACCCCGGCAATAGACCAAGTGCTTTCAAAGTCTCGAAAGTGTCTGCTGAAAGGGTATTTACACTAAAATATTTTGTCTGGTAACACTGAAACACAGTAAATTATACGAACGATATCGTTATTTCGGACCCAAGTTTGAGCCATAATAGAAGTGTCCATGGCTCATGCTTGTCACAGTGAAAGTTATAGCCAATAACATTCAGAAAATGAACACTTACTTCAATTATAGTTTTAGAAATCCATCTTGTTATTTTCGTAGAAAAATGAATCATTTTTAATAAATTTGGAGAATTTGTTTCCTTGCCAACTTTAGTCCACACAGACCCTATCAATTCTGAAGGCTGAACTCTCCTGTGAATAAAAAAAAAAATTGTTTTAAAATGATACAGGTGTGGGATCAATGGGCAATCCCCAGTCAATAGCATGTTGAAACTAACTTGATATCGCAGGTGAAAGATCACAGAATGAAAAGCCGTTCCAGTGAAATAAATTTAATAGGCTATTAACTTGACTATAATTAAACTTGAACTATAATTGATTTATTATACAAGAAAAATCATGCATGGATCCAAAATCAATATTGTTTATACCATTTTAAATGTATAATAGAGAGAACAACATTTATTTTATACAACAGCAATTACACAAATTTAAAACCAAACATACCTGTATAAACTGAACTCAATTAAAGTAAGTTGTCTGGCAATTTCGATTGGATGCAAAGTAAATAAATTAAATTTTGAAGGGTCATGGGTCAGATTCCATTCAACAGGTGGTGCTTCCTCAGTGAAAGAAAATCTAGAAATAATATTCAGTAAATGGGATGAATTAATATTAAATAAGTTTAAAATATGTTACACATGATGTTCTATGGCCAGTGATGTATATTTTTAGCGCTCCAGAAGTGTGTGTAACAATATGGAGGTAACTAGTTTTGTTCTCCTACTTTAATCAAGTTGTGTAAAGGGACTGAAACCTATGGACAGATGGTATATTCTCTTGGCTAACACAGACAGTCCGCGAACTCATAATAGAACTGAAAATAAGAAAAATCGGAATGAAATTATGGCCTAACCCTAACCTGGTACACACACTACGGGAGTACCTGTTTTTCTTCGTTTAATGACCAAACTTTCGAGAAAATACTATTTCGCAATAAAGATGTGAATTTAGAGATATGCTGTCTTGGCGATTTTGAGCCGTCAGACAAGTAGATCAAAATGTACGATATCTCAATTGGTAACAAACAACATACAGAAAACAATGACTTTTATATTCATGTCATCTTAGATATGATAAATGTATGTATGATCAAGATATAGTTGTTTATGTTATTTTCCTTTTAAACTCCTTAATTTAGAATGGATTCAATATTTCATATTCAAAAATATTTTCACAGAATGTATTCGGAATAGTAAAATATTCGGTTTTGGCCATCCCTGCTATTAAAATAACAATGATTAGGAAATAGACTAACTCGGGGTAATTATTCTCGCTACTCTTTTTCTTTCTTTCAATAATCTTCAACATAGTTCTCGCCCATTTTTTCATGTTTTTTCCACGAACAGATCCGATAAACTTTTCAACTTCCGCTAATAATTCTTCATCGCGATCAAAATCATACCAATGGTGTTCAAGCCACTGTCGAATAACATTCATCACACTGAAAGATAAGAATTTATTTTTTAATATGAAGCTTGTTCACACTTTTTCTCTGAACAAGGCTCTTTACAAGTGGTTCCCCAAAGTTGATCGACCGGGTGACAAAATTAGAAGCAGATGAATATTGGAGGGCCATGAGAGTGAAGCACCCACAAGGGGCCGATACCGGTGAGTATAATTAAGAACCGTGGGCCAAAATTAGATGCGAAGGATATTCACAGGCATGAGAGAATGGGCCGATACCGGATACAAGTATAAATAAAATACCGGTATAGTTGAATTGTTGTGAAGATACAAGCTTAAACTGTGACAATGATGTAACAAATTTAATTTTTGATTTACAATTGTCTGAATGCAAAGTATGGATATAATAATGGGTCACCATCATCGCTATGAGAAATTGGGATTTTGATGTTCATGACATTAACTTTCAATTTAATGATTAATCTAATTAGCCCCCCTCTTGTATGTATTCCAAAGATAATGATAGGTTGTTTGAAAAGTAGTTACCGAAGTGATATTGGAGTTAAATATTCTTTACGAAATCTTTTCAAATCTTCTCTGTTTGGTAATTCACCTCTATCAATGGCAAGCTGTTGCTCTGGTGTTGGTGGAGGTTCTGGTATGCTGTATCTAAAAGTTTCGAAACACAATTTGAATATTTAAATCCGACAGTTAAATATAGTAAAGTTACATTAAAATTGAGTAATTTCAGTATCTTTAATCTAGAGTTTCAATTAAACCAAGTCACGTTCATTCATTTCTTTTACAACATATAACTGAAATGATATCGTGAAACTACTCAACATAATACCAATGTTCCATTCACATCATAAAATAAAACAATTTTGATTTGAAATATGAGCGTAGGGTACTCCTGAAGTATGCTCACGAAGATGTCGCATAACCTGAACCCTAACCTGGTTCTGGTACACAACCTGAGTTCAGGTTGTACGCCATCTTGGTGCGCATACTTCAGGAGGTCGGAGCGTAGTGTATAGATAGATTTAATAAAGACAAAATAAGCACAAAAATGATCAGCAAGTAATTACTCAAGTTCAAGTAATTACTGTCTCGATATATTCTTAAAAAATGTAAACATTTAGTTTGATAACATTAGCTTAATCTTGAATACATACCTTTCGATCAAAAGATCGAGCAGTTCTTTTGGTTTACAAAATGATCTGAATGTTGTCAGAAACGTTTTTGAAAAACCTTGATCTGAAAGACCAATCACAATAATTAAGATAAAATAATTTAACATTTGACTGATAAATCCTGTAAACAGCCAAATGGAATGGCTGGCATCAGTACCCACCCTAACAAGACCTTAACTTAGTCTGATATAATATAATGATATAGGAATATTTTTAGTAAAAGTTGCATTAAAATAATGTGATAGCTAAGAGCCTAAGATCCATGTTGCTTCATTTTGATATTTTGATAATACAAGGAGTCCTCGAATTACGACGTTGTTCCGTTCTCGAGACACGATGTAACCCGAATTTTAGTGTAAGTCGGAACATTATACTGTACAGTACATAAATTACTCTATATACATCGTACTGTATCAGAAACATCTGTTTTACGCTTTGAGTCCATAACAAAGGGCAAAAAGAAAAAAAAAACGATCAAACAAGTTTCGAAAAATCCGGCCTAAACAAACAAAATGGCGTACTACAGTGTCACTGAAACTGTGAACCATGTGACTGAAGCTTAGTGATTATTCGTTCATAATCGTAATTGTTCGCAATTGTCCACGTCATTTACGATGTAAATGATGAAAACCAGCGAGCCCTGAGCCATAATTTTTCTTGATCACAATGATCCAGCTTAAGGGCTTAGATATTACAGTACAGTATTATCTTTTATATTTTTATGGAGTGCGTTCGTAACCTCGAATCAGCGTTATGGAGTGCGCGTTCGTAACCTCGAAACGACGTAAGTCGCGACCGTCGTAACCTGAGGACTCCCTGTAGTAAACTAAAACAGAATTACGAAAGAAACAAATAAAATATCAGAAAGTGATTAAAAAATGCCACATATTTACCCGAATATTGATGATAAGTCAATCTCTCAACAAGTTTAAGAACTGTTCCACCTTTTATGACATCATATTGGGTATTATTGTTATTATTGATTGCATTATTCTGACCATCAATTGAAGTGGTGTCATTTTCTTCCAAAATTAAGTTTTGATTGCTGTCTGGTTCAGCAAAACGATACCTGAAATGGATTATTGTTTGTATAGTCATTCATCCAAAATGTTGTCTTTCTTAGGGAGAAAGTATATCTGTTGTAATATCACTAATATTTTTCATTTATTTAGCATTAATGTTTATGCACACATTTATAAACTACTCAAACTGCCCAAAAGCGGAGATTAGACTTGTGCGTAACACTAGGTAAGGATCCATCAAAGATTAAAAACCAAGTGAGGAAAGCATAATAAGTTCCAAAACGGTCAAAATAGTGGATTTTTAGCTAGAATTATGCGCCAGTCGAATACTAAGCAAAATTCCTCACTGAGAGGAATTCATCCCGGTTGGGAAACGTTAATGTAGAAAAGAAAAATTGTATTTATATATCTATTCTGAAAGAAAGGAAAGGTCAAAACAGCACAAAGTTTGACGACAGAAGTCTGTTGAGAGTTGAGTATAGCTGACACAGTAAATTGTTTCATGGTGGTGGAAGCTGTAGCCAACCAATTAAAAAGTGTATTCCTAACGCCATAAATTAGAAAATGTATGTCATGGATGGCCGTAACAGTGTTCTATTTTTGCTACAGAAATCAATTTAAAATAAAATTATAATCAACCAACAGGCATAATGCCATTCAAAAAACTGTTCCGCTGGGACTTCCACAAGGGTCCTTTCTTAGACCAGTACTGTTTAGGATATTCGAAAACGATATGCCAGGCAACTTTTTTCTGCAATTTGAACTCACTTATCGGGTGTTGGCAGTCGTAAAACTTGATTTGCTGCTTCTTCTCTGATGATCTGATCGAGCATTCTGTCAAAAGTTGATCGATATTTTAATCGAATTAAGTGAGACATCCAAGCTCTCTTGTCCACTTTCGTCTTCGTTTGAAAGATATGAGATTCTTTTTTCTCTCCGTCTAATATTTCAAACTGGTTCTTTTCCACCCCTCCTTCATCAATAATATCTCTTACAGTGGCCTGGGAAGATGAAAAATTGCAAGTAAAATATTGGCACAACAGTCATATTATCATATTACTTTTTATGCAACATTTCACATCTTTACTTTGATCATGTAAACTGGGTATATAAAAATATACTATTATTTGAAAGGATTGGACGATTTCTAGTTCGGCGTTACCCACCCAATTTAGCACACCATATGTGACGTGTGAGGTTTGCGCCCGAAATATATAGCCAGCGATGCCAACAACGTAGTTAGGTCGAGCGCTCTAGCCATCATCTTAAATTATGGTCCTGACAACATACTCCATATTTAATAATAACAAAATGTAATTGGCAATAAAACTTGCCTGTTGACTATCTGGTCAAGTCCAAGAACAGTAGAAAAAATATTTTTAACAATCTAAAATGATACTGTGGTCGAATCATCGAAGTTTGATGTTATGTTAAATTTGAGTTATTTGAAATTAATTGCGAAGCAAAAGCTGAATTTTAGAATAAGTAATTAAAAAATTCAAAATTGATGGTCAAATATATAATATATATATTTCGAAAATAATAAACTAACTTTTCTGACAGAAATCCTCTCCTTGAGTCTATATTCATACGCAGCAGCAACAGTGGGCAGTCTAGCTTGATTGCTCTTACATGAAACCATTAAAAAATCAAAAAGAAAAACATGGCGATCTGATGATCTCTTGTTACCAACTCGTAACAAAGGTCCCTGAAACATCAAAAATATATTTGTTAATTGTGATTTTAGGTCTACAAGGTCCAGAAAGAAGATAACATTGTTGTCTTTTCTCTTAGTAAATATCTTTGCCTATCTATTCAACGTGTGCTAACCAATTTAAAAATAGATACCACTACAACTCTAAACTGAGATATTATTTTCAAGGTCTCAATGACTGAGATAACCTTGTTGTCCAAAAGTACTGATATCGTGAGTATATCACAAAGCTGTGAAGTCGAAAAAAAAAACTGGTTTCAAACTTGAGTAAAAATTAATCGTCAATTTTGAGTCGAAGACGGAGCTATTTTTAAATGGTTCATAGGTTGGACTTGGAGTTACTCAATCTAATTACCTAACTCCTCTACTGCAAACTCACCTCATGAAGAAATTCGTTACAACTTTGACTAATTGTTCTTCCCAACCAACCATCAATACTTTTTTCGATATCAGACATTCGAGATTCACGAGGTCCTCCCCTCCAAGAGATACGTAAACTAGCTTCACTGTAATGCAATGAAAATATTTAGACAACTCAATTCAGCTTATGCAGCCGTTATCATATTCCGAATCCAAATTTGTTTGTTTCTCGTTTCATTTGTTCAAACTTAATCCAGATTAGATCAAATATCTAACAAGAGTTTGAAAGAAATCAGTGATATCCAAAATAAAAATAAAAACTTGAAAATAATCCAGATCTATATGAGAGAAGCACAAGCTCAGTAACTGATGGCACAAAATAAAACTCTGAAAGGGAAGAAACCGCAATAGTTCGGGTTCAACATCGCCTACTTAATTTATCACATCTTGGGTTAGGCAGCGATTATGGGGTATGCGCCATCTTCATTACCTGGCGACGAAAAAATATTTAAATTTAAATACTCAAACCACTATGTCATTGCGGTCGCTGTTATGTTCAATAAAAATACTTGTACGAGACCGCTCACCCCCCTTCTCTCCCCTGGGCTGAAAACGGGTAAAAAATCAGGTTTTGGGAGTTTTGTGCTATTACTTTTGCTTGAACATTTCATAAGATTGTATCTATATTATTACATATTACAAAATCAAATCAAAATTGCAAAAAAATCAACAAAAAACAAATCCAACTACTGAAAATGCCTAAAAAATTTGCATAAATTTATTGTACCTTGGTCTCAATTTAGGTAAACTTTGAGTCCTGAATTCTAATATAGGTTTAATAGGAGTAATTGCACTCAATGCTTGTACTAAGCATTGTCGGTCTTCTGGGTCCGGTGACTTTTTCTCTAGAAGCTAAAAAACAAAAGAAAATAATTGTCAGTGTATGAGTTAGTAGTGTTAAAGCATACAGGTATCTCTATCAACGAATAATTTTTGAAGTACATCCTGGTTGAGAAATGAGCATGATGAAAAGAATTGACTAACCAGGAATCAAACCAGAGACATATTACTCACAGACTAGTAGAAATACAAATATTAACTTCATATTAGACAGTCTAGTCCAGTGTTTTTTGAACTTTTTAGGCCCCGCCCCCTTTTCAGAATATCTCGCGCCCACCTCAAAATAACCAGCTAACAATAAGCTACAAATAACAGGCGAAAGTATGTTTTATTTGAAAACCATGTTGAAAATATGTGGATGGAACGTAAATATTGAAATAAATGTAAATATCCAAATTAAGGTGAGCAAGATCAAGTCTAACAAATAAATATTTTTTTAATTAGCCTCACACCCCCTCAAAAAATGTCTACGCCTTCTTGTGGGATGTGCCCCATCGTTTGGGACCCACTGGTCTAATCACTTCAAAACAGCAAATTACAGAACTTTGGCTCAATCCTTTACGCTCAAATTTAGTAATAACAATATCCTTCATCTCAGAGTCGGACAATAGATTTCATTTCATATCGAAACAGAAGTAAAATACCAGATATTATGTATCAGACTAAAAAGAACCTATTTCCTCTAATACCATATACTGTAGATTTAAATATAAGCCATTAGGTCCGATAGTGCAACATTATTTGCAAGACTCCCCACTGGAGAGGGGTTGGATTATTAGTGGCGGAATCTTGCTTCCACCACAATCCAAAGTCACACATTGGAACAATTAAAAAATTTACACTATTTCCATATCCTACCTGAACTGGCAACCCTACTCCAATATGAACAGAAAAATCCCACCCTATCCTATTTCCGTACCTGGTTCCAATTCATACAATTGCAAGTCAATATTTGAATTTTAGATGATATTAATTTACGAAATTTAAATTGAAAATACAATTAGGCATTATGACTCATGAAACTTGAACTAACCACCTTGCAATATTCATTACAGTAAAATTTTAGTAGAGTAGTGTTCGTAGTGTTTATCATAACGGTCAATAACAACAATACAATATAATTCCAATCACATTGCAACTTACAAACAGTAGGACCTACATTTAAATCTAGGTTACATAGAACACAGCTCACCTCAATTTGCTCGAAATAATAGAAGCAGTGATAGATAGGTGCAAGTAAAAGATTTGGTAAAACATAAGCAACAACATCACGAAAACCGTGGCAAACATTTTGTAGATGTTTTGTTACTTCGGGTCTCGATAATATTGAATCGAAACTTTCCCTCCAAGTATTGTTCATCATAGCAATTGTGTAGTCAGAATATAACTCAAAATTACATTCCTAAAAACAAAAAAGTGACAAATTTTGTTATATTTTAGGTAGAATTCAGGGATGTTCAAAACAAATTGAATTGATTCAATATTAATTCTATTTAATATACAAAATTCTTGATTTGGGCATACTGTAATTTCAAAAATTTTCAAAAGTTATCATTTTAAGCAGTAGTCACAGAAAAACAGACTTCACTGTAGACGCAGGGACGGGATATATATTGATTAAATAGAAAATTTCCAGTACACATTTGTATATATTACTAATACCAAATACTCAGGAAGTTCCCAAGCAACGGGGTAAATTTTTACATCGGGGATTACAAACAAAATATGCAAATTACTAACAATATAAAAGAATATAAGCAATATCATTTGATGCTGGACAAAGAAATCTACAATAAACTTGTTAAATGATACTGTTGCACAATTTTTATAAATAGAATAAAGAATATTTGTAGCCGTGGGTATGTGAAGAATTAAAATTCTCTGCTCATTTCACGCACAACATTGATCAATGATTTCGAACGCAAAGTAGTTACAACGCCTAACAAAATACGCAATCATTTTCGAAGAGACTATATATTGTGTGCTAAATAACAAAATCAATTATCCACATTCTCAGTTTTGGAAATCAAGGGATGGTTTGTAATGCCGAATCGAAATGTGATGTGTTCATGAGGCCATGATTCATATTGTGCTCATATCCTGTGGCACACGTACACACAGAGTCAATGCTTCCTTGTAGCACGTTACTCAATAAATGACAAAAATTACCTAGTAATATATTAGCTATGTCTAAATAATTCAACCGAAATGTAATTCCAAATTATCGACTTAAAAAATAATAGTTACATGAAAAATTGAATAATCAGAATTTAGAAAAAAATATATTTTAGCAAAATAACGGCAACCATTATACAAATAGCAAGACTCGTGCATTTAATCGTATAGCCATATACAGAAGCTTGTTATCTCCTTTATATTACATTTCCTGCATATAATACCAGTATATAGAAAAGACGAGGAAAATTACATTGAGATACATTTACAAGTGATCCATTTAGATATTTCTGACATAACTATCCCAACTGATATACCGTAAGATTTTGATAATATTTGGAGAAAAATTTCATAAAAGTCAGCCCATGGATAGAATATTCATTCCGGCTTAGAAAGTCTGTAACATCCAAATGAATAACATTTTATATTTATACCTTTCACTACTATTTCATCTTTATGTATTTGTATTGCTTACCAAAGCGAGATCTTCAAAACATGAACCAACAAGAGGAACAGGACAACTCTCATCTGTCATTTCAACAGCTTCTTCTAATAATCCGATTAACTTGACAGCAAGTTCAGCTAAATCTCCAACATTTGAGAATATTATTTCGATATCCTGTTTGAAATACGATAGAGAAAATCAATTTCTAGAAATATATACGAGTAAAGTAAAGACGCAAATTTTTCATTGATTGAGGAGTTGCAAGAAGCAATGGCTGTAATTTTGTAACTGGACAAAATCAAACTCATCGGAGAAAATGCTAATGAGCAATTCACTGGAGACTGACTATCTGGTACAGCAATGGCGAAACTTTTTCGATAGACCGAGTATAAAATCCCATTTTTTTATTATGGAAAAAATGACTGTTGGACATAGATATTTATCCAATGTATGCATTCGTAAGAAACTTGCTGTTGCATTTTTTTACCAAGTTTCATAATTCTTGGTTAGTATTGTGTAGTTTTGAGCTTTACACATGTAGCAATCATATCAGTACTACTAAGCGATTTCCAGTACTCGATTTCTTGAAATTCAGGTGCAAAAACTAAGAGTTGCATGCATATAAATCACAAAAATCGTTATTTTTAGACCAACTTCGGTCCTACAATCGAACACTACAATTCTGGATCGGGTACTTAATTAATATAATAAAATAATTGCTTGACTTTTCAAAATAATAGAAAAAAAGTGGATAAATCAAATATCAAAAAATAGTAGAGAGCGTTATGTTACCTTTTCTGAAAATAAGTTGGGAGCTTCATCGAATTCCTTCTTAATCAACTTTATGATTAAATTGAGATCCCGAAGATAGCTTGCTTCTTCTGTCATGAAATCTCGAACAAGTGATTCATAGGAGACATGCTTTTCAACTGCAAACGTGAATAAGAACATCAGCTTAACATTGGCCTTGATCACCATTATTACATGAGAAGTTTAATGGTGTAATTGCTTTTGTAGGCTAACATATTTTGATTTTAGGCAATATGAATGATATAATGATACATCTAATAATTAAAGGGAAACATTTTCTTCAAAGAGATTTAACATAAAATGGGAAATTTTCGCTAACTGATTGTCTAAAACAATTTTGCAAATATTTTCATTTTTAAATTTGTCTCAACTTAACCTTATAAACTTTAACAGCCAACCTGTCTTGAGAGTAAGCTTCTTCAAATAATGGATTCTAATCTTTTGAGCCCTACAAACTATTATACGAATGTTAGAATCAAAATAAGAGAATATTCAACAATATTGAAATAGATATACAATAATAGACAAACATCTGGAATAATTTCACAAGTGAAAGTGATTTTTTGTGCAAAAATCATAAATCCCATGAACTGATTTAAAAAATATATGGATGACATGGTTTTATCGATAACCTGATCAACCTTTTTTTGTTTGTTTTGATTTTTGAATTTACAATCTTAAAGGGGATAACTGTATCTGTACCCTGGTCACATAATAAAGAATGAAGATGTATAAATGTTTATGCTACCTTTATTTCTTGAAATAACATCAGGAACAACAACCATATCTTCTTCCATTTCATCACAGTGAAAAACGTCCATCAATACCTAAACATATAGTAAAATCAACATTTGAATTGAGCAGAGATTTCTTACAGTGTTTCAAAAATAAAGAAACTTCTGATTGACAATGTTTCATGGAGACAAAGAGCATAATAAGAGATGACAGAATACATTTTAGTATTGATTGTGAACCTTGAAATATGTATCGCTCATATCTTTAGCGAATATGAAATAAGCTTGTATGAGGGTGACTAACATTGGTCTAAAAAATATTTCATAAATACATTTATGCTAAGGAACAGGATTCCTCAAGGGTATGATACGATTTACATATTTTTCCCGGAAGATGTAAGCCGATAAGATGGCTTAATCTTAGTCATATGGTGAACTGTGGCCTCCCATCCAGTTACCAGTCCATGTTGGGTATGTGTATTAGTCAGCCAGTCATCATAGAGGAAGCCATAATTGACCAGTCGATATGTGACCACCTCCCGCGGCAATTTTCTCGCACATGATTATTGCCAACAGCAGCACTAAACTGATAGCAAGATAATGCACCTTGAAACACTTGAGTACACCAATAGTAAATTTTCAAATTCATTGGGAGGGTTTACTGCTATATTTTGTGAAAACCTATATAAAATCCTACTTCAAAAATAACATAACATACTCGTCGTTGGGTGGTTCACGTAACCGCTGGCCGGTTACGGCTTCCTCCACCACCAAGTCCATGCTTCCGAATACAAACAATATAACTAATCCCATACCCGACTTGGAATGGTAACCGGACGAGAGGCATTGGTTCGCCATATGGATAAGCCGTCTTATCGGCTTTCTTCTCCCCCGGGATAAATATGTAAATCCTATCCTATCCTACTCGAGAACTACTATACACAAAACATGATTTCACTTACATTATCAGCAAACATAGCAATTTTGATATCTTGATCTGTTATTTCATTGCTTAAAATATTCTTTGCATAATTAGTCGTCAACTTTAATATATCAGAAGCCATATATTCCAGCACTCCAGAAAATATCAAAGTCACTTGCTTCTCCATTCCTGGATTATGTTCCTAAAATAATTTTTAGAAATATTGCATAAATCAGAATCAGTCAGAAAATTAAATTTTCTAAATAAATCAATTTCTCAAGAACAATTTTTGAAAGATTCCAGAATAATAGTTTTGAAATTTTAGGTGGCTGTTAGGTAACAGATAGCCAAATTCTCTAAAGATATTTTTGCAAATCATTTTTATTTTAAATATTACAGATGGATTTCTGTTCAGATTTCCGAAATATCTGTTGTGACAAAATATTTGCTGAAAAATACAATATGAGTAAATTATATTTACCGGTAATATGAGATATGCATTCCTATTTCAAATATGCATGAACACCCATTGTGACAAAATATTTGCAGGAAAATGTTATAAGAGAGTTAAATATATTTAAGATAAGCGATGATTAATAACATACTTTCAAAGCATGATGCAATTTATCGACAGAAAAGGCAACTTTTTTCTTTCCCTTTTCCTGGGCAGATTCTGCTTCTTCCAAGGCCCATCTAGATAATGGTTCAGGAAACTTTCTTGAGACTTGCTCCTTTGCATCCTACAGTTTAATATACTTATATTAAATAACATTCAGTAAATATCAAACAATGTTCCAATGTTCTTGTTGTTATATTGATGAAATAGAAAAAAGAATTCATATCCTTGAAGTTGAATCTGCGCCGACGATAAAGAACTCACTAACGCCAGCAATCTCTCTCATAATTATCGGGATCAATGCGACGAGAAAATGAGAAAAATAGCTTGCTCGATTTCGGGTGATCGTCTACGTGCGGCTTTATGGTGGATACATCCAGGGGCGCAGCCAGGATTTTTTCAAGGGGGGGATTACGGTGAAATAAAAACGCGTTTATATGTCTTTAAAAAGATGTTCCGATGATGGCAAAACAACATGTGCGGCGCTGTGTCTCATTAGCCTTTCTTTGCATGTCGTACTTTCAGCAATCGCCGACCATTCTCTTCGGTCAAGAATAATCAACTTTTCATTTCAATGCGCCGTTACTTATATTATTGAAAGTGAATTCGTTGCGAATTTAAATGCCTGTGATATTTGCACATATCGCTTCTCTACTTTTAGTGGCGATTTATCAACATATTATCACCAGTTTGTTAATAATGCAAGCTATTATTTTTGGCAACAGGATTAAATTGGTTTATCGTTGTTTCAAGCAAGAAAATAAGCATTTTTTTTGCTTATTCAGCAATCGTAATTCAAATATTTCCCTATGCGAAAGTCTTCACTCTGCGGGGTGTCCTTGCGTTTTGGAGTTTCAAAGTGATGCCGAAAATGCCGATGATAGAGAAACACCGACACATGTGGCTCTTTGTCGCCAGACCCTGCCCCCCTTGACAGGCGTCAATTCTTCATTTTGTTTTGGCATGTCCCATTTCGACCTTTTAGTAATCGCCGATTATTACCCCATTGTCAACAGTTAAATAAAATGCCACACATGATTTTAATTGAAATAACGCGAAAAATGTAAAATAAGAATAGAATGAAATATTAGCAATCATGAAACATGAAGAAATGGCATAAATCAATGACATTTGACAAATGCCAATGGTTCATAAACTATTTTTGAGTGCGTCACGAAATATCAATCCATTTCCAAAATAAATATATTTGATGTTCCCGTATTTATAACTTCATAAAACGATTACAATTATTTAAAAACAAGCTCATGTATCGTACTGATTGAGAACGTCGTTCAATGTAAAACTCTTGCTTGTTGCAGTTAACTGTTAATAAATTATAATTTTCATTGCAATGCGTCGAGTCTAGACCTATATTACTGAAAGTGAAATCGTCGCGAATTTGAAATCCCACGCCTGTGATAGCTGCATTCTGCGCATAGCGCTTCTTCACTTTCAGCGATAATTATCATATTGTTACCAGTTTATTAAAAAGAACTGAAAGACAACGCATGTAACTGCTTTTCGCAGACAGACGATTCCAAACGAGTCTTGGACGAGTCTGCTACCCAAAAATCTCGAAGATTGAACATTATTACATCCCATGTACCCCCCCTGGCTGCGCCCCTGGATACATCCATCTACTCAAAAGATTTAGAGCCACAAAAGAGTATAAATTTTTCCCCCATGTTTGTAGCAGTATACTCTTATACAAGTACAAGCAGTATACATACAAACTCTTTGAAATTCCTCTCAAAGAACTTTGTGAGATAACATTCGATTATTTTGCTTCTATGAACTTGCAACTTCATCTTATTCAACCGTTGCATTTCTGACACCAATAGTTAATATACAACAGACACAGCACTAGAGGACATTTGGTGCCTAGGATAGATAATTTACTGGGTTACCCCAAATCGCATTTATTATAAGAAAAAATGATCAAAAGAGCAAAAATTGTTAGCTTTGCCTGAACGTTTTTTGGTTGACTGCTAAGCAATGAAGCAAGTAGTTTCAACAGCAAATGTGCAAGATAATTTCCACCTCTTGATGTTAACGGGAGTGAGTTATGATGCTGTTGCTGAATCTGAAACAAAAACATAATTTTTCATCAAAAGAAGGGCTTGTCATCTGTCGAAAATTAATAGCATGTACAAAAATGAAAATTTAGAGCTATTCAAATCTAAATTGGTCGGCCAGTGTTATCCTAACTGAGAAGCCTATTTTACTCAATGATTCAATTCTGCTTCTGCCATACATAACTGGACCATATTGAGTTTATGAATCAAAAACACCAAATATATGGTTCTTCACAGGAATATAAAGTTTGATAAAAGCACAGGAATAATGCAGTTTGTGAATATTGTCTGCCGAATAAGCTTTAATTCAAAATATATATGTCATATCTTCCATGCCAGCTCAAAAATATAAAAAGATATTCAAAATAGTAAAAAATTTAGTATTTTTAATCAATTATTTCATAGCATCACCTTAGACAATCCAGGAAGTAGCAAGCCTTTGCATTTTTCCAAGTCTATGCAGGCATCCGCCAAAGCCATAGCTTTTTACAAATCAAAATAAAGACTGAAATAATCTTCCATACAATTCTTCTGAATCGGGTTCATGCCGTTTTTTCAAAATACAAATATACCAAAAATCTAGAGAATAGGCTACCTAAGAAGCTAAACATTTATATTTCAATATAAATATTAGTTTTGTTAAAAAGGCTTTTTCAGACTTGTTCAGTGTCATTAACTGAGGTACAAGTTGGATTCATATAGGACTTACTTACAGCCATACTGATACCCGGACTGGTGATACCAATGGTTCAATATTAAACCTGCATTTATCAATGTATTGTATTGTCTACCACTAGCTTTGAAAAGGTGACGAAGCCGGCTGCAGCTGCTCTGGGATTAGCTATGGTCAAAAACGGAAAGCAAAAGCTAGGTTTTGTCTACATGAGGACAATGACTGAATGAGGGTTAGAACTAAGCATTGACAGAAGGGCACAGTTTTATTATTCCGAGATGTCCCAACACTTGGTTCAATAAAACAAATACTCTATTTGTCTGTGAAACTAGGGCGTCTGGCATAAATTGGACTATTTTACTCAAGGAATCCAATGGCTGAATGGTGTAGTTTTTAGATTGCGCTTCCATTTAGTGGGTCTCGTGTAGTTTCGTACCTAACGTACTTCTAGTGGGTGTAGCATAACAATTTTTTGATATATCAATCCTTACCCCCACCTGACTACGCCATCCAAAAATTACGTCACCACGAAATCACAATCACGTCATAGAGCTTGCCAAATATACGTACAATCGCCCGAAATGGCATTGGTGCCGACGATAAAGAACTGACTGACATTATCGATCTCTCTTCTATTGGAATCGTTGCAACGAGAAAACGAGAGAAATAACTGTTCGATTTCGGGTGCTCGTTTGCGCGTCTTGGATAGCAGTTCGTATAGTTTGAAGGTCTCTAATACGTCACTGTGACGTCGTGTTGACGTAATTTTTGGATGGTGTAGTCAGGTGGGGATTAGGATTGATACGTGAAAAAATTGTCATGCTACGCCCACTAGAAGTATGTTAAGTACGAAACTACATGAGACCCCATTTAGTTTGTTGCGCAGTTGATTTGTGGCGATATGGAGGCCCAGATAATCTCGTAAAGGCTGAAAGGAGGAGTTTGTACTCACTGTTATGAATCATGTCTTCCAATGTGAGGGCTATTCTTGGAATCGGAGAACTGTGCCCTATTGCTGTATTGGTGACAAGCAAAAAGCAAAAGCTGGGTTTTGTCTACAAAAGTACATGAATTACCAGTAAGCATTGACGAAGTATGGGCAATGGAAGAATATGATTTAAATAATATGGACTACTTATGCATTGTTGAACCGGTTGACAGGTTGGCAACCTATCATTCAACATTTATGCGACATATTAGCAAAATTATTATCAGCTTTGAAGTTGATACTTCTGTACTTGATCGACGGACTACTGGGCTATCAGGCTATGGCTGTATGGTGAATTCTAAATAAATTATAGCATACTATTAGGAATGTTACAAAGCGCGCTTTTTCGCGCCAAAAAATGTACACACCACGTCTGCTAAGTACCGTTACGCCGTGTCAGAATACCGCTCATAAAAATGACTACGGATTGCCTGCTGTTGTTTGGAATTCCATGAAATTTTGACATAACTTAGATAAAATATACAACTATGATTCGGTATTTGAATTTTTTCACTAGCGCATAAATTTCCCAACATTCGGGGCTTTTGAAAATTACGCTAAAGTTATACGTACTGCAAATCAATGATATTGTCTATGGACACTAATAAAATATATATGGACGCATGTATGTCATTCCTAACTTGACACTTACCAATTTTTATGAAGTTTGTTCAATCAGAACCTCTGTATTTATTACCCGCAACGAGGCACTGTCAAACTAATATGCACCAACTCCAGGGTTGATTTGCGACGATCTTCCGACGGCCTCAATGATCGTTGCCAGAATAAAATCCTAATATAATCCCAATTTTTCTTAGATGTGACGCACATCGAAAGATTAAGGATTGATATGTGTTCTTTTTTCATATTCATTAAAGTTCTTATTGAAAAAAGTCAATTCGCATACGTTTACGAAACGGTACAAATTAATTCAAGGCACGGGAAGTATGATCTTAGCACAGTAGCACGCGTCTGTCAACGCGCATCAGTTATCGATTGAATGCCGACATTTTCCCTCGCAGCGATTTCTCTCGTTTAGCGTTTCACTAAGCGCGGTAAACTTACGCGGTATCTTACGAGTTAAGGAATATTAAACGATAATTAATATAAAACGATTCATTGAGGTCGGATATGAAAAACGCTAAATCAGTTAATTGCCGCGTAGGCGGGGACTTGCGTAGTGGAAAAGTCGTTGCCGACCAGAGGTTATGTAAAGTTCAGAGACTTTCTCGTACATAATTAATTCTGTAATTGGAAAGCAGCTAATATCGATAAAAATAATTTGTAAACTTTTTTGCATTAGGTTCTTCTATTCACAATAACTTTTCGTTCCTATTTTTTTCGAGTACCTTCAAAAATAGCCGAGATACATTCTGTTGTTTATCGATCTGACATTCTCGCAGTCACAGTTTTTGAGTCGGCGCAATACAATCCTTATGGAAAAAAATTGGCCTATCGGACTGTACTTAAATGCCGATATCTCCGTTAATTCTTGACCGTTTTTCGCAAACTTGGTATTGTTTTCTTATTTTCACTTTGATCTATCCACTGGTGCAGTTTTTATTTAAATCGGATGAACTTTAATTTTTTTGTAACATACCTAATACTACCGGTATCAGTCCTATACCTGTATACCGTACCGTAACTAGCATAACGTTTAAGTCAAATGAAGCTAAGCTGAATACTGGAATAGATTCGAAGCTACTCTTAATTTTCTGCATTGAAATCCCGAAACCAACTGCTGAACTGCCTTGACAGGACCATCACCCATCCCGCCACATTCTGACATTCGTTTTTGCATTTATAAGAGAACGCCCTTTCAGCCTTTATTTAATAATGGTTCAAATTCTTACCGTATGCGATTTACAGTATTGCAGCACGTTACTACATTAGGCTACTGACCTACAATAAGGTACCGGTACCGAACCAGGTAAATATTCAACCAAAGACCGTTGTGCAGACGGGAAACGGCATCAAGACGGCAACGATTGAAACCATTTCTTGTTTATTTATTATAATTAGCCTTCTTTATGCCTACTCAGTAGACCATGGCAGGCGACAAAAACAAAACTAGCAGGTATGACGTCACCTTAGGTCAAAAGTCGCCCAAAATAAATATTACCTCGTGAGTGTGATTCACCAATCACCACCAGTAGTTGAGCATGATTGATTATTTGGGTTGCAAAACTGGAGAATCTTGAACTTTTTCAACAAACTAATAGTGATCCGTATATTTTTTTGCTAACGCTTGATGGGAAATCGACACATCGAGCTAGGCCCTGGGCTTAAGAAATACACTTTACCAGGGTTGAGATTTCGGAGCAGTATTTAAAATTTCATAATTCGAAAAATGCTGAAAATGAAAAACTACGCATTTCATGAAAGCATCAAGGCGGTTATATATAAGTGAGGCGGCTCTAATTTCATTTGCAAATATCCACAAAAGCAGGTTTATTCATAATTTCAAGTGCTTTCATAAGATTTTGCCTTTACACATTTTTAATACCTACTTACTGTTTCTTTTCCTGCCTGAACAGTTTTCATGTCTTTTCTCTTGTCACTCTGACCCTGTTGGTGTCCCTGTCCGAGTTCTGGCATCTTCCCTGCCCGCCTTGCTGCTCCTCTCCCGATCTTTTTCTAATCCGCCTTTAACACTGGTTCATTTCCTTGCCCGATTCTCCTTCCCCGTCTCGGCCTGTGTTTTTATTTTGCCCCTCCTCGTCCCTGCTGGTGCTGTCCCGCGTTCGCTTCTTTCCCTCCCCTGTGACCCCCTTGCCCGCCCGCCGCCCCGATTGACCGTCTCTGATCCGTTTCACCGCTTGCTTGTTCTCTCTCATTTGACTTCCTTACTCCGAAACACGCTCTTTCACTACAATACCCTACGGGATTTGTACCCACTAGCCTGATGTTTGACTGGCCTCGCCGCTTTCTTTGCGCCACGCTACCCATGAGGAAATGTCGGATCAAAATCCTACTTAATTAACAGATTTTAATCAACCTTTGACAAAGCTAATCAATTCAAACAATATTGCATTCACATGCCGCGCAGAGTTCGAAGCACATGCATTCACATCTGAATGGGAAACGTACCGTACTTCTGGGACTATCGTGAGCCTTGCCTAATCATTGAATATGTGCTTATCTTAGTAGCATTCTGTGCGAACATTACGATATCCTGTTTTAAGCTAGGCTCAATTTACTTATTACAACTTTTCCAGTATATTCTCTTTATAATCGCAAAAAAATATGAATATATATATAATATTTTTTTTTATTTACTTCAATATTACTTGCCACCAAGACTAAAGGTTCAGGATTCTTTAATGTCTTTCTTTTAAGAAACTAATAATGATGCACACCAAAGTACATCAATAAAACTAAAAAGTTGATACAGGTCGAGGCCGTGGTTCGCCATAGGCTGAAGCAGTCTTATTTTTTCTTTCCCTCCCCGGAATGGGGAGATGCCATGCGGTCGTCGGAGTCCATTGTGACCTTAATGGAATATACACTAAAACACATAACCAACGCTTTTTGTGCAGATCTGTGAAGAAGCACGTAATATCATCACGAATGAAAATCAGAAGCTACATTTTCGATACCGAGTCAAAATTTTCATTAGGATATCTAGAGCCGAATCAATGTCAATTCGGTGTCGAGCTTAAATTATTGATGAGGCAAACGAGTATTTCAATAACCCAGTAATTCCAATAATTTTCACTAATTGTCTGATCAAATGGTATCTTAAGCTTTGTTACCTCTGTCCTGAACGGTGACAGCACATTTGAACCTACGTACATTTGAACCCGTACATCTGAACCCGTAATTTGAACCCAGGACAATTGCACCTGTATACTATTGCACCTATGGACATTTGCACCTACGGACATTTGAACCCATACATTTCCACCCATGGATTTTAGCAACCGCATATAGATTGAACCCGCGGACATTTGAACCCGTGTACGTTTGCACCCGCGTACATTTGAACCCATGTACATTTGCACCCGCGGACATTTGAACCCGTGGACGTTTGCACCCGCGTAGATTTGAACCCATGTACATTTGCACCCGCGGACATTTGAACCTATGTACATTTGAACCCACGAACATTTGCACCCGCGGACATTTGAACCCATGTACAATTGCACCCACGGACATTTGAACCCACGTACATTTGAACCCGCGTACATTTGAACCTACATACATTTACACCCGCGTACAATTGTACCCACAGACATTTGCACCCATGAACATCTACACCCATGGGCATTTGCATTTACGGATATATGCGTCTTTACATATACACCCTTATCCTTCCATGCTATATACTATAGTATATAGGATTGGAAGGTACACTTAGGATTTTTTGTCCAAATGCATACGTTGCGAAAACACCATGGAATTCTCGATTATATACTCGAAGGCTTTATTACAACTATTTTCTATATATTTAAATTATGTTATATATTTATATTATACTCCGTCTGTCATTGTCATCGCAATTGTCGATATCATAAGACTCAATGGACAAAATGTTCAAAATTGGTGAGTATGATTTGTGCTTTGAACGGTCGACGACTCTTGAAGAGCGCGAGCAAGGATTTTAATTGATGTGTTAGTTCGATCCCGCGCAAAGTTTTCCTCGCATCAATGCCATTTTCCCCTCGCAGACAATTCCAAACTGTTTCTTTAGGACGTTGCAGCTGCGAAGATGACAAGTCCCTTTGCGAAAATAAGTTGGAAACATGGCGCCTACATTTTCCAAGACCACAAGAGGAAACGACTTACTGATTTACAAAGGCCACGAATATTGTAAGCGAAATGATCGGGTTTCAGATGCTACTCATTGGCGCTGCCGTCAGTTTAGGAAATTTCGATGTAAATTGACTGTTGTTACAATCGGTGAAAATGTAATAAAAGAACTAGGATATCACAGTCATTCTGGCGACAGCATTAAGACTGAAGTTGGGATCATCCGTGCAACATTAAAAGAAGCAGCATCAACACCATACATCGACAAGAGATATTTTAGGTGAAGTATTGAATAATAGATCAACAGATGTAGTAATGTGCTTGCCAGGCAAGTCGACTCTGGAGGCCAATATACGCAGAGTAAGGCGACAGAAAAATTGTTCACGTACGAATCCTACAAGTGCAAGCTTTGATATTCCGAGCGAATATTTAGATATCATTTTGCATGACACTGGCTCGGAGGATCGTCATCGGATAATGGCCATTGGAGATCGATCACTACTTGCACATCTAGATAGTGACCCATATCTTGGCGACGGTACATTTGATGTGGTGCCCGATATTTTCTTCCAGTTGTATACAATTCACTGTAAAGTGGGCGCATCCTATCCACCATGCGTATATTTCCTATTACGAGACAAGCGACAAGAAACATACGTTCAGATGTTGGAAGCGTTGAAAATCATTTTCCCAAATGCTAACCCCACCAAAATCATTGTTGATTTTGAAATAGCGGCTATCAAAGCATTCCATGCACATTTTCCTCTGGCCGATTTTAAAGAATGTTATTTTCACCTGTCACAAGCTATTTCGAAAAGTTGGTTAATATCGGATTAAAAGAGAAGTTTGAATGTTTACCTTCTTTCAATCTGAAAATTAGAAGTTTGGCAGCTCTGGCTTTTGTTCCCATTAACGAGGTTGCCGAAGTCTTCCCCTTGCTTTGCGACACCTTTGAAGATTTGCCCGAATGCAATCAACTTTTGCAATATTTTGAATCTACCTACATTCGTGGACCTCAAGTGGGTTCACGTCCAAGAGAAACAAGATTTCCCCCTCGATTGTGGAACTATGCCAAAGAGATTGAAATGGTGCCTTCGGCCCCAAGAACAACAAACGCTGTAGAAGGATTTCACAACGCCTTACAAGGAATGTTCCGATGCAAACATCCGAGTATATATATGGGGTTTGCTGAATGGCCTACGAAAAGACATTGCGGTCCACAAACTGACTGCGGCAAATGCTCATGTAGGAGTTACGGCCCACCAAAGATCAAAGTATGTACAACTTGCCGTTAGGTTGACAGTTAAGTTTTTTCATATGGAACTGAAACCGACAAGCTGAGGTATCTCCACTCAATAGCTCAAATGCAGTCTTTTTGATTTTGATCGTGATATCGTAAAATTTCGTTTATCGTCATTTGATTTGTTGTTACTTTGTAACTATTGTATCATAATTGATAAATTCCTATTTTGTAAAACGTCCATAGCTACTCTATCTCAAAATTGATCGCCCATTCGACACAAATTTGTGAGTGATAACTTTATTGAGATATTAAAATAAATGTAATCCGTAACCTATGACGTCGTTTGTAAATTGCAATATCATATTTAACAGACCCTATATGCTGAATATGTTCGATTCACTCTAAATAGTGTAAACAGCAAAAAACATTTTTGGCCACGATAATGATTTTAAAACTTCTTCACTTTCGAATATTCAACATATTTACATGACTTACGATTTCTATGTATAGTTTTGTTCTGACATTCTAATGAAACAATACTTCAATAAAACTGGCATTTGGCTATGAACATGTTGTTACATAAATGGCATAGTTTCATTATCTTAATTTCATATTTTCTTAGAAACGAAGAATCTGTGAGTTTATTTATTTATATACAGACAATAGTATTCAATTTATAGATTGATTTTAGGAAAAATGTCAAAACCTGATTTGAGACAACACTCATTTTCAACAGTAAAGCGTGGTCGTGTATGCATACATATAACAATTTTGTAAACATGCTAGCAAGAAAACATGAAGTGGCCACAAAGCTCCCAAATCTCATGCTGGGCGGGATATCATAGTAGGCGTTTTCGGTGCAATAATTTCAGAACAAATTTATAGGAGTTGACCACTAAAAATATTACTGTAAAGCTAGTTTTAGTAAGACCCTCATTTAAGACTTCATTGGTCTGTGAGATATTTGTTCCCTATTAGCCCTGGTTTCAGGTATTTCAACGAAATACCGCTTTCTAGGTCATCGTCTGTTTTGGAGATCGCGGCTAACGAATGAAATAAGGTTTTACAAATGTCAATGTAAAAAAACAGCAAAAGAAAAAAGACTTTGGCAGAACAATGTTGTTTATATCGTTAAGAGACGTTTATCCCTCGGACTACAATGACACTCAAAAATGCTTGCTTCGTAGAAGCGGATAAATGCATATACACCAAAACTAACTACAAGTGAAACAGTGTTGAAATTTAGAATATTGAGCTTGCGCCTGTAACATGAAAATTATTTGCGACTGGAAATTGCCGTTGGGGCAAACATTTTTTGTGAAAATGTACGTGGGTTCAAATGTACGCGGGTTCAAATTAAGCGAGTTCAAATATAATATACGTTGGTTCAAATATACGCGGGTTCAAATGTCCGTGGGTTCAAATGTACGCGGGTTCAAATATACGTGGGTTCAAATGTCTGTGGGTGGAAATATACATGGGTTCAAATGTCCGCGGGTGCAAATGTTCGTGGGTTCAAATGTCCGCGGGTGCAAATGTACATGGGTTCAAATGTACGCGGGTGCAAACGTACACGGGTTCAAATGTCCGCGGGTGCAAATGTACATGGGTTCAAATGTACGCGGGTGCAAACGTACACGGGTTCAAATGTCCGCGAGTTCAATCTATATGCGGGTGCTAAAATCCATGGGTGGAAATGTATGGGTTCAAATGTACGTATGTGCAATAGTATACAGGTGCAATTGTCCTGGGTTCAAATTACGGGTTCAGATGTACGGGTTCAAATGTACGCGGGTACAAAGATAATGGAACCGTCCTGAACACCTGACACTGACCTGCCATCTGCTATTTTTTGATTCGATACAGTTGTATATCAGATAATGTGAACAGTTACGAACTGAATTTCTGCAGGCGTACTAAGAAATTTTATTAAACTTATTACATCCGCTCGCTTGAACTAAAACTTCCGAGCAACAAACCCGTATTGTAGAACGTCGTCGTGGTATTAGACATGATCCAACCGCTTCTTGAAAATAGTGAGACTGACTTTTTATAGATATTTATAACATGGGGGAGAGTATTAAATTTGGTTGACTCAAATTTAGCATATGTTTTGTGAAACGTGATCTCTTTTTACAGTTTCGATAACATTCAAGTGTTTACACTCAAATCCAACTGGACATGTCCCACTGAATAGGCAATGATGTCCGGAATATGTATCTCGAAAATACCACCCGTCAACAAATTTATGAGATAAAATTAAATTATTTTCCGAGAATTGTTTCCAAATTACAAAATTAGCAAGATTTTCTCTCGTCGCAAAATTTGACAAGCACATACATACCATGTTTCCCCGGAAATAAGATAAGGTCTTATTTCAATTTTCTTTCAAAAAACACACATAGGGTTTATTTTGGGGAATGTATTTCGTTTTTATTCATTAAAAACAAAATTACAAAGTAGAGAATCAGAAGATTTTCAAATATACAAATTATGAACACCGAGTTCCATGTGACCACCTATAAATAACACGTTCTTATTTAAAAACTGATGAAACTTGATTATTCAAAAAGACCAATCATTTAAAACGTGTGGAAGAGATTTCATGCTATTGACTACATCAAAAAAAAAAATCGCGCCATCGACTAGGCTTACATTGAAATAATTTTTAAAATTCAGGCTAGGTCTTATTTTCAGGTTAGGTAATATTTTCGGGGAAACGCGGTAGTTCATTTTAAGTGATTTTTCTCTTGAATTTTAAGTGATTTTGCTTAGGCTTGAGTAGGCCTATTTCATGCCGGACTTTATTCCAGTTGCCTCTATCATTGAGATCAGCCCCAAAACTAAATATAGCATGTTTGTCATGTCCATTTTACACTAAAATTTTAGGCGTATGGATTTGGCGAATTAAGACGTGACCATTAACAAAACATCAATTTAATGTTCAAGTAAACTACCACTGATGCCCCACGATTGACAATGATCTCATCAGCCTGTCACTAAAGTTTATAAGCTATAGGCTAGTTATACCCTGCGTACGAATCGATGTTTCATTACTGTTTTTGCATTTAATAAATGCAATTTTTCTATTTGCTAAAAATCAACTTTATAATCGATTTGTAAAATACAATTTTCTAGGTATTGTTTTCTTTTTTTGCTTCTTGACTTGCTTAGCTGCCCATTGCAATCCTTCGAAAACTCCGTCTCCCGTTGTAGCACAGGAAGGCTGAACGTGCCAAGGTCTTTCGCGAAGTTCATGCAAAGATAGCCTGCAAATTTGTTCAACGATTTATTTTCTTAAAACCGACTATATTACCCAAACGTGGCGTTCTGGGATATAGTAAATAAATAAGCATCACTGTATGAAGATTAATCATGACCGAGTTCTCGATCACACCTTTTATGGAGACTCAATGCTAGGACTAAACCTGACGATCCAAGACAGTGTTCTGTCAAAAATATGTAGGCCTAGTATGTGAGACAAAACTCTGCTCATTTTTATTGTATGAGACCGTAACATCAAAAATCTTCATAATTCACAACACTTTATGGCTTCTTATCCTCATGTAGGCCTTAGTATAGTAAAAGCGTACTTATCAGCAATTTCTTTTGCTCGAAATGCGTACGGCATATCTTGTTTGTTTGCATAAACCAGCAGCACACAACTGTCCATTAGTGGATCCATCAACACACCGAATAATGCTTCTTTCGAGACCTCTATAGTATCTCTAAATACAGAAATGTGAACATGAAAAACACATCAGCTAGAAAAGCTAGACGATTTCAAACATGTTATTTGATCGACCTTGTGTAATATGGCAGACTGTTTTTATAAGGCAAAGCTTACTGAATGTATGGCTTGTTAAATCAGGGTGGAGATTGAAAAAAAATGCAGACGAGGGCTTCGAAAGGGTATTTTAACTCAATTGAGTCAGTTTGGGAATGTAAAAGGAAAGTTTGACAAGAGAACATTTTTCGCGAGAAAGTAGTGAGCAACTGACATATATGAATCATTGTAAATGCGGTGGGCCCATTATATTGTTGTTTGTTACATTCTAACAAACCCACCTTGAAGATGAATCAATAACAAAGGCAAGGATGTGAGTGCCGAAGTAATAATGTTTCCATAATTCTCTCAATTTATCTTGACCTCCTACATCCCAGAACGTGTACTTGATTCCCTTTATCTGAAAGAAAATTATGTTTTCTATTTTCACGATCACTAGGTATTAAATTGAAATTATTTGACTTGCTGCTGTTTATGTAGTTTTGAGCTATCATTCAAATTTCCATTTGACTTGTTTGAGCTATTAGGAAATCCGACGTATAACGCTGACGATACCGGCTGCTGTTATAGCCTCCTACTGCACACACATGTCTTCTATACCAGTGGTTCCCAACCGCCGGTTCGCGAGAAATTTCGCATTGTTCATTTTCTGCCGTCTCAATCGCATTGTCGAAGCGGAAAAGACGAAGTTACATTGGTTTATTGCGCAATTTCTCTTCCCCGTCATATTACTCGCCCGTATTAATCGGCCGGCGACGTCTTCGCGTCGAGTAATAGTTATTACACTTTTCGCTTTATCGGTTCCGATTCTTCGCGAAAGCGCGTCGTCAAATCTCGCCAGATTCAAAAACCTGAAAGTCAGCATGCGTGCTTCTTCCGTTCTGCATGCTTTTCTTTATTATTAAATATTAACATCCAAATAAAAGGTTGTTGTCCGAATATTCAACCAGTTACTTGTACGAAAAAACTTCTTCATCACTAGCTTTAATTAAAACGAAGCAAAGAAATCGACCGTGAGCCGCTACAGAGCTATGTGTTGCACAACCTTTCTTTGATGCCTCGTTTGCAATCCTGTATTGGAAACGCAGCAAATTCTCACTTGAGTTGTGAGTGTTTGTACATGATCATAATATTACATGTACAGTACATGTTTTTATGTGAGGTGTTTTTTGGGTGCTTTTTTACGCATAATGGGTGCCCAGCACTGCATTTTATTACGTAAATATATATGTGTTATTATTTCATGTTCCACTCATTTCAATTTTTGAGAGCCTATCATTTAATATAATTCATTTCCATGTTTTATAAAAAAAATTATGTAACGTATGTTTTTACTAAAATATAAAACCTTAACGCTTTCGACGTTGAATCCGATTGTTGGAATAGTATCAGTCGTTCGTCCGTGTTTTATTCTTGTTAGCAAAGTAGTCTTTCCTGCAGCATCTAATCCTAATATTAAAACTCTGACATATCGAGGTTTGAATGTTCTGGTCAGTAAGCTTCCCATCTAGAATAAGATAATGTCATTTAGTTGTGTGCGTAAATACATAGGGGACGATCCTAGTTTTTAATTTCAGACTGAATATTTTAGGATGAGTTTCAGTTCTTTACTTTTATGTGGTCAAAGTTACGTATTCCATGAATTATTCAGTTTCGAAAATTACACTCCATTTCAAATAAAAAAAAAAGTATAGATAGTCATGATATTATTTCAATAAATTATCTTTATACTTAGAATGTTAAAACATAGAATCTATAAATTCAAATATTGTTATACCTTACAACTTTCTACCCAGGCCACCAGGTTTCTTTTTTCTCTTTGCATTCATGTCAGCATTTCAAACCAAAACAAACTCGTAAGTCGTGTTACCAAATGTCCGAACAATAAAGAAGATTTGAAATAGAAAGATATTCCTAATAAGTTTACATTGTGACGCAACAGAGTTATTATTTCACATATCATTCTCTATAAAATGTTTTGTTTTTAGATTGTTTTTCTAACATATATTATTTTTGTAACAGAAAATTCAAGTTGTTTTCCTGCCCTTTCTTGAAACCAATGGTTTTTAATAGAGTAGGAGAATCAAACAACTATGAACTATGGTCTTATTTTGGGCACCACATTTTCTTTCACTAAATGAACAAGCATGTTGATCAAACACCTGTCCTTTCTTGACTAACCTCGTTGTTATCGCTGAATTTTATAAATTCGATAACCAAATCAGTTGTCAAACATTCATCTACCTTAAAATCAAACTGTGAGTTTAACAAACTTCTCCGGGGTTATCAAATCTCAAAATATTTTGATCATGTCATAGCGAAGTTAGAGCTCTGTTTTGACAACAATTTTTTCAAAAAAAAACATTTCGACAAAGCATAAATTTTTGAAAATCTCATCCAAGCCCTGGTTTTCCGCCATAACAAACATGATCTACTCTAGTTTACGATCAGGTGACAAGGTGAAGGCAATCATATTCATCTTGATTTCTTTGTATAGTATTTCAATAGTAGCAAGAATGTGGACGGTGGATTCTCCAACAGCTAAGCTTCAAGAATATCGAGACTTCCAATGACGCCAGAAGTGTTGTTATGTACGTTTATTAATCCCCCAACACATAAATAAAAAATAAACCACGAAACAATGTAATAAACAAAAAGAAATAATAAAAGAAGGAAAGAAGAAAAATATATTTCAATAACACTCTCTAATACAGGAATGGCGCCATTTACGCTACAAATGCCTTTAAACTTAACTCAAATAAATCATGCAACCATCATAAACACAACGACGCTTTAATGTAACACTTACACCTTTTTGGTTTAATATTCACTATATTTATACCCAAATATTCCGATGTTAACTTTTTGGCTGCAAATCTGCTATTATATGTTTAAAGTCATGACGTCATCATGAGTCATAATAGTACACCTCCCTCATGTTGGAAAAAATTTAAAAAAAATGGCAAGGTTGGCGATTATAGTTTATCACTTTTCGTCGTGCAGATACGGTTGATAATATGCCCGATCAAAAAGGATGATTTTATTTTGAATCAAAGCAAATAGAAAAATTTATACACCATTTACCCAAATATATTAAATTTTAGTCCGAAATAACTTGGCTTCGGTGGATTTTAGATATAATAATGGAAAGTGTGATTTTACAAAATTGTTTTATTTTATTTTTCCTGCGGGTTGTTGAAAATTTTCACACTGTCAAAAATATTTTGAAAATACGGCTTTGGAACACGTGGGAACGGAATATATTTTCAGGATAAAATGGAACTTTGTGAACTATTACTAAGTTATCTCCGGGTTTATGAAATGTTACATGAGTGCGAATTATGTAATCGGTGGCGGTCAATCAATTTATTGGTATATTAATAAAATCATGCTTTGTCGTGTCGCCAGCCACGTACGCAGAAACACTTGTTTAAACCAAAATTAATAAAAAAAATTGACACATTATGACGTAGAATGATCACGTGGCATACAAGTTTTACGTCACAACACAGACAAAACGCACATAAAACATATAAGCACCAACAAAAAAGCTTTGGACGAAAATATAATTCATATAAGGTACTGTACATAGTATAAGGGTGACGTCATTTTCACATAATTTTGTCATCGGGTTATACACGATCAGATGTATATTTAGCTTTGGCCAACTGCATACCAATTTAATTCATTTTTCTTATTCGTGAATAACCCGATCAAAATATATGTTGTGACAAGAGGTCAGATGGCTCCATAAAGTTGACGATAGAAAGTGTAAATTCAATAGTAAAATAATAATAAAAGCAATATATTCTGGACGGAACTGGCAGTGATTTTTCGCGCCTCCGTAGTGTTGTATCTTCTGGGGAAAAGTATGACTTGGTTGGCCAAACAAAAGATCGATAAATGAATCTTGTTTTTCTGTTCTACGACAGAACACATAGCAAAAATAAATTATTTTGACTTTTATCATTCAACTTGGTTTTGACAAAATTGACACCGAATGAGGCGAATGAAAACACTATTTTGTATTTAATAGCATGTTCTTCTTCCGAGTGAAAAAACTCCCAAAATAATGATACAATTAGTTAGTTAGTTCAAAATGTAAACAAAAACGAAATGAAATATTGGTTACAGTTATTTCACGATCATAAATTGTCTCTGTATCGTTTTTGGCGTGAAATTTGGCGATGCAGCAAAATTTGATTTTAAAATGTTAGCTCTACAGTTTCACACTTTTCCCAGAAATCTCACACGTTAAACTGTCTCAATTGATCATATACAACTTGTATATAAACAAAAATGACCTTAGAAGTATTACAACAACACGGACTTCAAGTTTAGTACGTATTTTTAATTTCTCTTCAGCTCGAACGCGAATCTCATATTGATGACATCACTCCTATGATGTCATCATCACTCACAACTCCACCAGAATGGATGTTTGTGTATTAATCTCATACAAGTTAAACCCCAAGAGAAAATTTATGTTCGGAACATATTTGACCAACGATTAATCGGATGCGTCCCAACCAGAGCTACCCAGTCTATGATATAAAGCGTTGTCAATACCCATTTCTATACCAACCCCGCTATCTGGTTCAGAATATGTCCTTGGTACGCTTTTACCCAACATACCATCGGGATCTTGGGGCATTTCCCCATTTGATATGTTTCGTCGCTTTGTTTCGGGAGTGATAAAAATATCGTCGAAGTCTTCTCCGCCTCCAACAAGCGCTTTTACATTAGCCGTACCCCGCCTTCTCGACTCAGGTGTAACAAATATATTATCGTCCAGCCCATCACAATTCAAGTTTATATCCATAGGATTTCGTTTTGATGTGACAGAATCGTCGAGGAAATCAGGGAATGGGTTGTTATTCGTCGACCAAGGATCTTGGGAATTGGTTCTACTCACCATCGGTTTAAATTCTGACATGGGTTCAAATCCACCGTTTGTCATGTTCTCCAGAAGCTCATAATTCGGATTATCCACAGAGTGATGTGGGTTGGCTTTGGGTTTATTAAAATTGAATCCTCTTTCGGGGGTGGCGTTGTTTGAGAAGTAGTCTGCTGCAGTGCCCGACGACTCGGGGTGAAATGGGGCCGCCACTTGACCCCGGTTTTTACCCTCGTTTGTGACGTTAGCGCCAACGTCGCCGGCTGCCTTTCCGTTTTTTGCACCTGGTTTTAATGGTACTTCTTCATCGCCTTCTGACTGCATTCCGGAATCTCGTTTTTCAGACGAAGTACTTTCTCCGCTGTGAGAATCCCTTCGTCTTGGTAGCAAGGATGTTTTATTCACTGCCAAATATCCGTGTTCATCTTCTTCTAATTCTCTTGAAACATCCGGCATCCCTGTTGATATATCGATATTCTCGTATTCAGTGGACAACCTTCTTGAATCCACTGTAATTGGATAGTGGTTATTTGGTTTTTGACCACCCGCCATTGGAACTTCGTAACCATCATCGTCCGTTACTGGTATGGAAGATCTTGCTCCTAATAAATTATGCATTCCACTGTAGAAGCCGTTACCAACTCGAGCTGAAAAAGAGGGAAAGTATTTGTCAAATATTGGAATTTTTGTTCCATAATATTAAATTTTTATTTGTGCACATTTTCGATGATTGCCACCATTTGACGATCAAGTTCATTACTAAATATTTCATCGGAAAAATGTCTGACTGAGAAATAAAATCGACGACACACTAAATTTGGCTTATCTTGGCAGCCAAAATTTTGTGCCTTGTTAAACCCAAGCCAACCAAGCTGAGATGCCGCGCTGAGAGCTTCTCTAGTTCTTTCATATGTTAAGTAGTAGCGCATGTGTAAGCGAAAATAATTAAAATGTACGGGTATGTAACAAATAAGCATAAGTAGTGAAGCATGTTTACGCGAAAATAATAAAAATGAGCGAGTTATGTAACAAAAGGTATTGAAAATATAGAACTGTTTTTAGAAGTACATCACATATCGATATGACCTACAGCGGAAAGCCAATTTTTTGTTGATATTCATGACGAGATAAGAACTATTATTCATTTAAAAGCAATATTATAGATATAGGTAAACCCTACCTGTGGAAGGAGTAAAAGTCGGTTCATATTCTGGATTTTCCATACCAAGTGATAATTTAGCAGTAAGAGGATTCTTTCCTGATCTTGCGATACTGCCGTTGTTAACTCTGTGGAAGACAGGACTTTGAGATGTTGCACCAGAAGACGTGGATGGAAACGAAATAGGCTCGAGGTAATCTGAATTACGTAAAATGAAATTTGAAAGCACTTAAAAGGATGATACATAAACAGATGGATGACATTTTGTTTAGCATGATCATACAAACTACTCTGCTAATGATACTAGGTACTAGTTGTAGTCGGACATAAACTAAGCAGTTCACTACTACATTAAAAACACACCGAAAGTAGAAACAATTATCCATCAGAAATTTAAAAAAAATTAACAACGTTAGTTGATAAATTAAGCATAGTTCAAGCTGACATTCTTATACCATTGTGTATTATATGAATTTCGCCTTTGTCGTTATTTGTTACAGCTACAGCGAAGTATATTTTATATCCATTTTGCTGAGGATGATTGATATGTAGCTTCAAGCTTGCACAAGTAAGTGTGAGAAAACATTGCGTTAACTGGCAAAAATCAGCGGCAACAAACTCCTTTTGCTTTCATGCATCACAAACCTGAATTTCGTTTAATAGGATCTGTAGTTGGCTCAAGATAACCATCTTCGTCTTCTTGCATACTTTCATGTCGTCTATTTTGAGCTCCTGTGTTGTCATGTTAGTAATGAAGAGGAAAATATGATGAGTTATAACTAAGAATTCTATGTAAGTAAAAACGACATCTAATGAACATAAAATTTATGTAAAAAGGGGTTAACAATACACAATTCTACCTGACAGATAGGTTTTATGGTCAATTCATTACTTCACCACTAATACTGAGTAAACTTCTATACAGCTAAACACACAATTATCTGCTATCGTAAATATTATTTAAAAAGAAAGAATATTTAAATTAAAGGGTAATGAACGGAGAAACTTACCGTTGGGCCGACTTTCTTGTCGCGCTAGAATAGGTTCCATACAATATCGAGTCGTGGCACTATCTTCTCTCGCACGTGGATTGACATGGTGATCGTGACCATTTGCAATCTCCTGAAAAATTGAATTAATCAAGTAATGACAATGAATAAATAGTGAATAAGATATTCTAACAATATAATCTAAAAAAAAATATGGTCACATTGATTGGTTATATAGGTCCTTGGATGACAAAGTAAAAGTAGAAATATGCGAACGACACATTGTGTCGCATATGAGGCTGCGGAAGATTTAAGATTTAAATATTATAGTTTATATAAGATAGCTTTTTCAATCTCATAAGCATATTTTTCTTTGGGCGCAGAGATTAGTTAGAGAGAGGTACATTTCTTACCCATGGATTATCTTTTGGCTGCGCGGAAGGAGTATTAAGGAAGACATCGGATGAATCACTTTGCGTTCTAGGACCGATCGTTAGTGGATGAAGACTGTTCATTCCACTTGTGCCTGGTACCTGTGACAGAAGAAATTCAGAATTCGTGTTTGGTAATGAATTTGCTGATATAATAGCATTATACAGTGATAAAAGTGATATTAGATATTCAAGAAGCTTATTTGCCAAAGCTTGTCGCAGAATCGGTGCCATACCTGATCACGTGACATTCTATTGCTTGATCGACCGAAAGCAGGGAATCCGTTTCCTTCTCTCGTCGACCTCGGTGTCATATTTATACCGGGAGTGTGCATGCCGAACGGAGTACTGCATCCGTTAGGATAAGCACTTTCACTTGGAAGACTTGTCAACACTGTTACTGCGGAGTCAAGTCGGCTATCGGCAGCACTGGATGATTGAGATGCCTGGAATATTTTGTGCATATTGCGTAAGCATAATATAATTAGTATTTGACACAAAAGGCATTAAGTTCCACGTGAAGATATAGATTTGAGACATTCCAACTGCCGATGCCACACATTTACAAGTAGTGGATTTGAAATAGCTGTGGAATTATGAATCGGAAAATTATTATGAAACGATTTTTGGTACTCCCGAGGTATGTGAACCAAGATGGCCGACACCGGAACGTGGTATGTGTACCAGGTTAGTTTTAGGCCATAACTTTAGTCCAATTTTCCTTATTTTTGTTATATTACGAGTTAGGGTACTAGCCTAGTAACTCCCGTAGTATTTGTACCTGAAATTAGGGCCTAACCGTTACCTGGTACACACACTACGTTCCGGTGTCCGTCATCTTGGTTCACATACTTCGGGTATACCCGATTATTTTTAGAGTATGGTATCATTCACATTCGGTAACATTGGAGTACGGTACTTATAAAGTTTATGCACTCCTGAGTCAATTGTTTCAGATGTTCTTGTTCCTCATTTTATATTTAGTGGTAAAGTTGGGAACGTTTCCGCATTCAGTCTACTCTATAATCTATCAGAAACATCAGATGAAATATTGTGTTCACTCAATGCTAATGACTATGCAATAGATGCAAAAAACACATCTTACCGCAAATCTACCAGACAGTCCAAAATGCCTTGGATCAGCGTGCTGTTTTCTCCACTGCGCAGTAACTGGTGCCGGTTGAAGGGGGAAGTGTCCTCCATTCGCTGTTGCTGAGTCTGTACAGAATTTTTTTATAGTTTTATTTTAATTTACCAGTTAAATTTTTATTGTAATCTATCACTACTCACCGAAATTATCAGGATGTAAATATTCTTCTGCGTCTTGTAACGGAAAGTCATCTCCTTCTTCATGCTTTAATGATCGGAAAAATTCTGATGTGGTGGGACTTGGTAATGCTGGGAGACTGCCATCGTTCTATAGAAAACATACAATAAATGTACAAAGTAAAATTAAATATTGACCTATATAAAGTTTAGTTAGATAGACAATGGACGCTCAAATTAGAAGAGTTGTGTAACGAATAATGTTCGAATTTTCTCTATAAAGACTGTGCAGTTGGTGTCAAATAAGTAGCATGTAATGCAAAGGTAGCAAATGAGCTCTAACAAGGTTTACAAAATGGTATTGATCAGTAATTCAGTTTCAAACTTACTGCAATAACAAGATATCTTGATGGATCTCTCGCCATCTTTCCAAAATCTTCAACAAGCTCTCTAAACGTGGGCCTTGAGTCTGGATCCACTGTCCAACATTTGATCATCAGCATATAAACGTCTATTGTACACGTTGCTGGTTGTACCAATCTCTCTCCTCGTTCTAGTAATGTATGAACTTCCCTTGCTGGTACATTTTCATAAGGCTTTTTGCCGAATGTCATGAGTTCCCATACGGTTACACCTGAACATCAACGTTGCAAAAATATAAACGTATGTCAAATCCAGTTTCCAACCATTAAAAAATATCACTCGTGCACAAATTACAAGAAAATGATAATTACATAGTTTTACTGGGGAAGGGAAGGAACCAAGTCTGGTTATCGAGCAGCGACACCCAATGAATGCATTTTGTATGTATATGGATGAATTCGTGAAAATATGGAGGATATATTATATTGTGAATATATCACATTATTTTAAATGGTGATGTCGAACGAATTGATATTACCTAACAAACAAGCAACACAGCGTATAGGAATACGTTGCGAGAGACCGCGGCAGCCGTTCATCATCTTTGATAATTCATCATCGTGAAATTATTGAACAAGATTGATGAATTAGAAAGTAATTTTTCACGAAAACGTAATGATAAAAACAGCGGTTCTAATAGTTTGTATTTGAAAAAGTAAAAAAACTCAAAAATATAGAACTAACAAAATCGTGTCGCTTGGCGTTTTGAGGCGTATTCATTGACCTTCAGTTCAAACATGACCCGTTACCAACACCCACTGATACGTGAAGAGATATTAATTTTTTAGACTCAGATTAAAGTGAATCACATAACTGAAACTGCAGTTGGATAAAAATTGGCAAATATGATCTCGAAAAAAAAATGATGATTTTGCAAAAATAGCTATGCTGAAAAATTTGGTCTATCACGACAATTCGGTACAAGCACCAGCGGCTCATATTCAATACCATTGTTTTCAGTTAATTATGTGAATCAATTTCGCATATCTAAGTAACTTAAGTAATTAAAAAAAAACGTCAGCTTACCAAAACTCCACACGTCGCTTTTTTGCGTGAAAAGCCGATGCTGTATAGATTCAAGTGCCAACCATTTTATTGGCATTTTACCACCTTCAGCTCTGCAATATAAAAATAAATTAGTTTAGTTTTACTACTTCGTTATACAAAAAATATTATAAAATAAGGGAAAGCTGAAAGGACAATTTGAAGATGCTGACATAAAGAGTATTTTATACCTGTTTGTAGTGTTTATTGAAAAGGTTGGTGAACAATACATAGTGTAGAAACCCATGGTAAGTGTCATCAATAGGCTGTTTGGCTGGGCTCCTAGACAGTCTAACTCTAAATGATTTATTGGACACGTAGTGGACATAACGATCGTTTCAATATTATGTTGTTGTTGTTCTTGTTCTTGTTCTTTGACACGTTTTTAAAAAGTCGCTTTTCTCTTCGAATACTGGACCAATTGCTTTGAAATTTTCAGTGGTTAAAGATTAATTTTTTCGCTAGAAGGCTATTACTTTTGTTTATTCTTAAATTTTATATGAATCCTATGAGATATGATATTTCATACAAAATTTCGCGGTATTTATTTTTACTCATGGGAACACTGTTTTACACTTATTTCAAGCGGTTTCGCGATCGATTGTCTTGCTCAGTACTACAGCTACTGTAGGTCGGTACTGGTAAGTTGCCATACAGGTACCGTAACGCAGTGAAATTGACTTATTCCTTCCGCGGTATTACTAATGCTGCAATGCAAGTTTTATAGCCTATCGTATGCGGAACGGAATATCAGACCTACAGGTTCGGTACCGGTACTGGTAGCTCAGTACGTAAGTACGATACTGGTACTGGTGCCGGTACCGGTGTGTTACCACAATGAAATTACCGTAACTTATTCTTTCACAGTCCTACCAGTGCAGTAATGCAAGCGTTGTAGCACTTGTAGCCTACTATATTCGTTTATTTTGATGAGAGTCTACTGGAAACAACATAAAATTTGAAAGGGAAGAATTGTTCTGTGATCAATTATCTGTCCTAAAGTGTAAACAACATAAAATTTGCAAGGGAACAACTGTTCTGTGATCAATTACCGTATATGGCCTACAGTGTACAGGTAATATGCTGCCTGACTGCTAACTCAGTACCGCTTGACACGTTTTTAAAAAGTCGCTTTTCTCTTCGAATACTGGACCAATTGCTTTGAAATTTTTAGTGGTTAAAGATAAAAATTTTCTCCAGAAGGCTATTACCTTTTTTTTCGCTATGACGTCATCAAAATTATGTGACTCTACGTGTCCATATATTTGAGCATAGCTCTCTTGTTTATTATATTAAAAGCCAATTAACAAATCAAGCCCATTAAACTATATCATCTTTGACACTGATTTTTTTTCAAATCCATTTTTTCCACTATTTTAAAGTCAATTTTTTTTATTGGACTCCATCAGTTCGATTCTGTTCACAGTCCGATGTTTTAAACATTACCATGGGAAAAAATGATTCAAAAAATGCAATTTTCAATATGGTTTATTTTGTATGTATAAATGTTTTTCTATAAGTAATTTGTAACAGCACTTTGAATAACCTCCAGGCTGATGCTAATATCTACTTTCAACGACCCTAATTTAAATGTGTGCTATTTTTTTTAAAATGATTTCATTGATAAATATTTTGTACATTAATATATTTATAATATCTTGATTATAATTCATGTTATAACGACATCATGTCAGTAGCTAATAATTAAATGCATGGCATCAAAATTAAAAGGTAAACGCCTTTAAAGCCTTAGTGAACGTTTAAGAAATTCCAAACAAACTGTCGCGTAGCATCCGTTATGATTAGATTTTATCTAAACCTAAACTTTCGTCCCTGTATGATTTCTTTATTTTTTTATAAAAATCTTACAATCTCATTTTGGTTTCCGCTTACGTTGCTCGTGATGCTCTTATGAAAATACGATAAACTGATGTTCTAGTTGATTAGCACGGACCAAGCGTGTACATGCGAAACAACCGTCTGTCATTTTTAACCATTGACTGTTAACTACTAGATCTTTTGCAATATTTTTTCCAGAATAATTTTCATTGCCATTTCAGGACCCATGTCTGATATGTTCAGATTTATGGGATTGGGCTTTATGGTTCATGATAAGGCTTAATATACCAGATTACACAACTCAAATTTGTTGTTTTAATAATCTTAAGACTCTTCTTGAAGATATTTTTAGATATTTTTTACTGAATTTCTAGAAAATCGACTTAAATAAATCGGATTAAATATTTTTGGTCTTGTATTACCAAAACTATAAAACTTTACGAAAATGATGTGCCACAAAATGATTTCAAGATGACGTAATGACATGATTTGAAACGTGACGAATAACATAGTTGAAAAGGCCAGGGCTTAAACACTTATATATATATGTATTTTTCTAGTTTTATGCGCTTCAATTTGATCTTTCCACAATTCTTAATCTGATTTTCTGCTGATTTTGAAACTTAATTCTGGTTTTCAAATGTTTGTTGTATAACATATAGCTATGTAATAAAAGTCATAGTCCATCTAACTTACGTTTTAAAGTTACATTGTCTATTTTTTCCCGCACATGCACGAAAACAATTTTTTGAACGGGTACAGTGTAAGAAATGAATAAATCTATTCGAAGATTGTCAATATTAGCAAACTGATTGTTACGGAACATTTTGAAGATAAACGGTTAACAAGGTGGTGGCTTATGTAACAGGTTTGTTTCGAATAACTAATACAGGGAAATTCGAAATTTCCCAATTTCTCCTAAACATTACAAGGTAGCTAATTACTTCGTGTTGACGTATTTATTTTAGCAACATTCGAAACTTTTATCATTCATTATTATACAATATCTCCGGAAGATTATTTATGATGCTGACCTGTAAACATCTTCATTGACGTCCAATAATTTAGCCAGTCCAAAATCAGTGATTCGGACATGGTTCGGTGATTTTACTAAAACATTTCTTGCTGCCAAATCTCGATGCACAAGATGTTTTTCTTCAGCTAGATAGCACATACCCTGAAACACATATTAAAATGATGAATTAGGTTCCAATTTTTGCACTTATGGGGTCTACTTCCAAAATAAATGGCTGTCGATAGATTTCAAAATGAGGTAAACTTTGCCACTTTGCCACCACAAAAGGTTGGTTTATGTAGAACACGCATTACAATCTTCAACACTGCGTAAACGATAACACATAAATGATTACGGTGATTTACTTTTTATACAAACTTGATCAATGTATATTAAATAACGTTATTACCTTTGCAATTTGTAAACACCAATTCAATAATGTCTGAGAACCAATATTATCTTTATTGTCTCGTACGTATTCAAGTAAATTTCCCAGTGGCATCAATTGAGATATAAGCATGATTTGTTGAGATAAACTTATACCGAGAAGACGAACGAGATTTGGATGCTCGCAAGATGCCATCACAAATGCTTCCTGCAAACAAATGAAATCTTGGATGAGTAACTTTTTATGTTCGGCGCTCAGTTGGTTCGTATACTAGTAATTGTCTCCACGAGACCTCAGTTCTATCCTAAATTGATTCTAAAAGTAAAACGCAAACAGAAGATAAAATGTAAAGTAATATATTTTCAATTGGTGTGTGAACCAAAACGGTGGATATGCATCTGTCAAATTGACCTCAAGCTCAACGTTGGCGCCAAGTTTTCGTCTCAAAAGGCTTCTTATTGTCAGTGATTTAATTGCAATGTAAGCACTAGCGCTACTGACAAGGTCGTAAGAAGGACACTGTTGTTCTTTACATCTATGTCACGATGGTAAACATAATTAGTACTGAGGTGCGACTATATTTAGGTATAAACGAAGCAATGACCTCTAACCGAAAGGTGTAGTTTTTGCTAATTACAAATTGCTCAATGTTTTTTTATTTATGGATAAATATTTTTAAAATTGAAAAATGACAGACTGTTGTTTCTTATATATTCAGATTTTTGATTATATATGGTTGAAATATGGAAAAAATATACATAAGTCTATTTTTATTAAAAAATCTACTCACATCTAATATTTCGTTGCTAGCTACTTGAGAAGATTCATCTCTCAAAACTTTAATGGCTACAGGTACTCGAACTTTTTCTCGTGGTGCCAAGTCAGGTATCCAATACCCTGGAATTTAAAATAATATCGAATTTTATTGCGAATAGAAATATTAAAACCATTATTTATCGAGTTTCTATCAATGATATTCTTGGGGTAAAAAAACTCCATTCTGACAAGTTACCTTCTTTCACATTAATTTAAATCATATGTTTTTTTTTATAAATATTGATCATATTTTTATAATTTCGTAATTTTATTGTCAATTACTCAAAATTGATGAGGTTTATTTATGTTTTAACGAGACGATTGCTGTTTCCAAACAAATTTTTATTAGTTGCACATCGATTGAAAGCATTTTTTCGTGGAATTTCTATGTGCTGCATTGAAAAAATATGAAGCTGATAAAATGGATGAAGATTTAATGAAAATGAATTATACAATCAACTCACCATTATGAACAGTCCCAAACGCACCAGAGCCTAATATTTTTCCGATTCTCAGTTCAGTTTCCTGACAGAAAAATATTTGAAAATTAGATACTAAATTCTATAAACAAAATATCACATTTCTATCATTTATTTTAATATTTGGTAATAAATGTGCATGAAAAGTGAATACTGAAAACACGATATTTTCAGTTACTTTTCTTCTTAACTACTCCCAACTGTATTAAAATATTTTTGTCAAACTTATTTTTTCATGAAAAGATAAAATCTTACTTTAACAATACGTAGTTGTGCTTGATTTGGAGCTACTCCACTTGGTGTCATTGGTTCAGGTGCTCCCTAAAAAAGAGGTGTTGTGTAAATTTCTCATGAACAACTCAAAACAACTCTGAAAACATTTTTACAAGTTTGTTACGGATTGCATGGACTATGAACGACCAATGAAAAGGTAATAATTCACTTCTGGATTGTTCAGATAGTTTTAGTTTTTCTGGTATTTATATTAAATATTTTAAAGAAGAATTTGTTGTGAAATTTGGGCATTTTGTTTTTGCTAAATAAATTGCATTTTTAAATTTAATTATATGTAAATATATATTGTTAAGTAGGCATAAACTGAGGTTAAAATTTCAAACCTTCCAACTGAAAAAATATTGATTTAAGAGTTCCAATCTAACACTGATTGAATAACAGCCTCATATTGATTCTTTGTTTCAACAAATATGTTGGGAAAAAATATCTGAAACTAAACTTGGAACACTCCAACTCACTAATATCAGAAAAATAGCTAATTTTGATCTGTCATGAATTACGTTGACTTCAATTAACTATAAATCTCAAAAATCTTAAACAACAAAAACTTACACATTTGTCTAATTTTTAATATTTTTCAATAAACTTTTCTGATCTCATCAATATATTATATCTTTGGTAAATTATTAATTGAATATTTATCCTGTAAATTTATTTGTATAATTTTCTTTCATTGATCTGAATTGTGATTTGGATATTATTGTATTGTATAGGTTTGTTAATTTTTATTTTCGTTTTACAGATAGTGTATTTGAATGGTTCATATAAAAAAATTAATAAATTGAATATACTTTCATACAAATATTGATTTCAAATGATAATTTGATAGGCCGTTCTAAAAATCATTTCACGTGCCACATTTGTGTATTCTTTTAATTTATTCAAAAAAAAATATTTTCCCATTTTTAGGTTTTTATTCATTGATATAGCATTGATCAAATTGATATAGTAAGAAAGCTTGTTTTTTGTATCTGAGGTGTATTGCTTCATTATTTCTTAATATCAAATTGAAAAGTATTACTATATTACAAATTAAATTTCCTATCTATAACTCTATTTCCTATCCTATAATTATAACTTTCGTTCTCGCTACTCTTTGTCATTTCTTTTTTTGGAAAGATGTAACACATACATGTAGAAGTAATATTTTCATTTTTTTTCATTGAAATGTTAACCCTCCATTTAAACCTATTCTTATTTTTTAAGTGTTCTTTATTGTGATTTTTGTGTAATGATATGTGTGAAAATAATACTCATTTTTTGCTTCTGTTATCTGAAGTTTGTTTGACATCATTTTTGGCACATTTTATATTTTGGTATTTAAATAATGAGTGTTATACTTCAGAAACTTTTGAAAACCAACTCTCAAAAATCTTCAACACATTGATTCTATAGATACAAATTAAATTTAACGACATTGAAACATTTTCTTTTTGCCTATATATATTTTGGTATGTTTGCGTTATTTTATTATCCCCCTTCCCAAACACACAAAAAAACACACTATTTGTCGGCAATTTATTTAAAATCGAAACTGGGATTTTTGTTTTTTTATCCAATCAATTGAGCATTAAGCAACTACAGCAGAAACACAGCATAATTCATTTTGCAATATACGAAACGGAAGCTCATATATATACAACACATTACAAATGCACTACAACATGTCACAATTTCACGATATTTATTCTGGTTGAACTCTAGCCACAAAAAATTAACAATTTTGAAACACACAACACAAAAATGAAACTGCACTTTTATGAAACATTTTCAAACAATAATTCCAGTAAAATACAGATTACATCATATATGGCAAGCATAATAGCACGATGATCATAGCAAATAATAATATTGGCAATTGCCAAAAACACAATAAAAAAAAACATCAACAAACGCGAAATTTTATTAAACGTAACCATGCAATGGATTTTAGATTTTATGATTCTTCCCAATTGAAATGACTTTCTCTTTGTTGATGATGACGTTTTCTGTTGGAAAAAAAACATAAATAAAAATAAAAGAAACTCAAATTAAAAACAGAAACTTAGAAAACTCAAAGTGAATACTTCTCATTCCAGATGTTTACTTACTAAGGCATAAAACGATCTTCATTGATATAAACTGCTCCATTGTAGTTTGCAATACACCAAAAAGTTGTGTCCGAGTTTTGGATGAAACAGTCGATTAAATAAACCAAAGTAGCCAACAAATGAAAGTAGATATAAATGAAAATTACATGCCTTTTTTTATATATAAAATAAGTAGAAATAAAAGAAATAAAATAAAACAAACCTTTTCATGCAGATTTTTCGTTGGTGTCTTCAAAAGTCGGATTCGAGTAACTAATCTGCCTAACCGCCGCTGCTTTCGCGCGTGTTTGGTTTTTGTCATGCTTCTATGTAAATGATGATTAAAAATAAAATAAAAAATGATTTTGATGATGATATTTGATTATTGTTTACTGTAATGATAATGCTGATTTTCATATTTTTATAATTTTAATATTTTTCTCGAACTGTGAACGAAAGATGCTTCTTTGTGTACATCACTGTAATCAGTGAAAATTCTCAAGTATTAATTTAGTAATTTGAGTTTAGTTTGTTTTGATTTGATCCCTCAGAGCAGTAGTTCTCAAACGGTGGGGCGCGCTTAACAAATGGAGCGTATACAATTTTCCAAGGGGGCGCGAAACTAATCGAAAATTAAACTATTTGTTCGATTTGTTCTTGCCCGCCCTATTTTTGATATTTGCATTTTTTTAATTTAGATCCTAACCTTCCATTCTTCTATTTCAACGTGTTTATTGAATTAAACATACTTTCGCTTTACTATCTGGTATTTGTAACTTATTGTTAGATAATTATTTTTGAGGTGGCGCACGAGACTTGACAAATTCTAAAAAGGGGGCGCGTCATAAGAAGTTTGAGATCCACTGCCCTAGAGAATCTAATTTAAAATTATTTTTTATTGCATCAGTGGCACATAGTCTGCACAATCCGCTTCAAGATGTTTTTCAATATTTTTGATAACTGGACGTACTCCCTCTAATCCTAGAGCTCTCATTGACATCTGTCTCTTTCTTCTTATCTTCTGACGTCTGTGATGGAACAAGAATCCAATCAAGCATACGAGACCAAGAGCGACGATAGTTACAACTACAGCCATGACAATTGCAGTGTCACTCTTCACCGGTAGTCTGCAATAAAGAATAATTGTTGTTGTAAGTTTCTCTCTGTATTTTGCTGTCACCTCAGATAGAAGCTTATATATCTATTGCCTGCAATTATGTTTATTGTAATAGACATATTGGAGTTTCTGTAAAACCATCAAAAACGTATAAAATTTAGTTTCAAAATGAGAGAGTAAAGAACTGAGAAGAGGGAAGAGTAAACTGTTCGAATAGTAGGCTATATGTTGAAGAAGTAGACTTTCTAATTGAATGAATTTTGAGAGCAAAAACGTAAAACAGTGACTGAATATTTTAAAACATATCTTATCCATACATTGAAAGCAAACTTTTTGAAATATTTTTTTTTTAAATGAAACTTGAAAAAATATAAATAAAAAACTCACGGATGCAGACAATCAGTTTCGGATGCACCGGTGCAATTTGTGCAATGCTTAACACATGGAACACAAGCCTGAAACAAAGAAGTAAATTTGATAAAAAAACATAAAACGAAGTAAGGACTGAAAAAGTATGTTAAAAAAATGATTCCAATTGGTTTATCATATATATTTTTACATTACGTTATTTCAAGTAACATCACACACACACACCTGTTCTGTTCCCTTCAATCCGTTTTTGAAAACAAAATGAGCTTCTGGACACTCTGTTTCATAACTTGGTAAACACTCGTGTATGGTGAGATCTCTGTCTGCCATAACCATTGAACAATATTGACAACCTCCTGGACCAAGGGTGCTGTTTGGGCCCGAGCACATTGGTGTTCTTAGAAAAGCAAATAAAACATTAATTATTATTTCCAAGCCGTAAGGTATGACAAAAAAAGACAATTTCATGTTTGCTTTATCATATTCATGAGAGGTTGTAGATGAACATGAAAATACGACCGGAAAATTACGTTTTTAATTACCGTATCAGTACATTACACATTTTCAGGTAATTTGGGACATTTACAGGAGTTTCTTAGAACATTTTCAAACGGTTAATTTCAACAGGTTCACTGTATCGTATATTCAAGTGTATTTTGCTTGAAAATAAAATTTGGCCTAAAAATAAAATTCAAGTTCATACAGTTTAGCAAGTAACGTATTACTGTACGATTGTTGCGTTTCATGTTCAAGCGCAATATACTAATGACGTCCAAATATACATTGATAATTTCAAATATGTCACGTCGTATTCATTACATGTAATAGACACACGTAAAAATTCAGTGTTGCCATGTCAATGATAAATAATAATAATAAATATATAAACAAACCCATCCGGATCTTTCTGTCCGAAACAAGTAGAATTACAAGTCATGCATTTTTTTGTTATCGGGTCTCCATACATAGTTGGAGGACACATGGGTACACAAATGCTTCCGTAAGACAGATGCTTGCATGCTGTGCAGTTACTAGGTCCGGCACCTACGCAAGTGTCTTTACATTGAGCATCACATGCTTTGCAAGTATCACCTGTAGTATAAAATGGATACAATGTACTTTCCTTGAAAAAATACTATCGCTTGTGAATATATTATACTTGTTTTATTCTATTACAAGATTTATTTTGCCATACAAAAATGTGTGAATTTGCTGACCTACAGCGCCCAATTTTTTCAAGATAGCATTTCATGATACAGCAAGGCAAATTGGTAAATGAATTGGTTTTGAATGCCAGTTTGTAAAAGACAGTTAAAATACCAAAAAAATGTGATAATATCACTGATGTATAGTTTACACGTATTGCTATCTTGGAAGCATTGAAGAGTCAGTATACCATTACCAATAATTTTGCAAAAAAAAATTAACTCACCATCTCTGTATATTCCGAGACTTTTGTCACATTCTGTTCTGCATTCATCATTATAAGTAAGGTTTCTGCATCCCAAGCATTCATCTGCTCCAGGTCCCCAGCATCCATTGACGGAGCAAGCAGCATTACAAGTTTCGTTTTCTGAAAACAATGTTTTATTTTAAAAAAATGACTTGAAACTTCAATTCTTTGGAATGAAATAAAAAAATCAAACATACCACAATTTGCACCGTTAGCTCTGAGCAGCAAACCGTTTTCAAAACTTCTGTGTATCACGGGACTTTTTATAATTGTTGTCCAGTTTACTTTATCCTGATAACACAGTTGTTTCATGTATCCGATATATACGTTCCCATAATTGATGCTGGTAAGTGACTTGAATCCAAGACGCTTTACCTGAAGAAACCATTGGTTTTGTTAATAAAAAATCGTCAACTCATATGTCGATTTTTAATTTGCAGGTAAGTTTCAACAGCAAACAATTCAATTTTTCATACTGAAAGCTGGATATTTCTTAATATATTTTTCATTTGTGTTCATGTCTTCATTTTGGATGAAGTTATGATATATCAAAACTCAACATCTTTGACGCATTTTTAAGTCATTTTGACAGTTTTTACAAAATATTTCCGCAAAAAGCTTGTTTTTCAAAACTGCCTACGGCGATCGTTTTGTTCATAACGAAAATATGGCTGAATATCATGGAAATCATATATTGTAATCGTCTATATTTGTCTTTATAAAATTCTTTAAGCTGCTTAAAAATGCCAATCATTTTATCGTGATACAACACAATATGATGATTTGTAAAATATCGATACAAAAACAATATTACATGAAAAACACGGAATAACAAATAGGCTTAATTAATGTACATCTCCGGTAAATAAGTAAATAATGTCGTGAGGGACAACATCGACTACAAATTTGCGATGCCAGATTATGCGCCACACGTAACATAAAAAAAAATTTTAAAAAAAATTTTTGTTAAATTTTATTAGGTGTCAAATATACCAGCGTTTCTACAGGTAAATATTTATTATATTTTTTAATTTCAGGGTGAAAACGCAATTTTAATCTCAGAATTACAAAATTTCAATCAACCAAATTGTAGAAGTAAACTCCTTCTGACGTTTTGTCAGGATATCGGAAGGCGTTTATATAAGCCAATTTCTTTTTATTAAGATTGATATATATGTTTCCAACTAAATTTTGAAATTGATTTTAACTTAAAATAACGAATATTTGGAAATGGTTCAAATATTAAGTAAATTGGAAAACTGAATCGGATTTGAGCTTTCAGTATAATTAAACGCATCATACTGGTCTTATGTGCATTTCTCCTAGGATTATGCAGAAAAGTCGGATTTTACGAAATTTATATCGATAAAAACAAGTCTTTATTGAGTTTATTTTATTTTTTGTTGTTTCAACATGAGCATTTTTAACTATTGTTACTATTGAGAATTGTCAATGAAAAAATGCCAAAAATAACAGTTATTTGTCACAAATATTCAAAAATAAAAAAGTATGAAAAAGTTTAAATTTCATACTAACTTGTGATAAATGGAAAGGTCCATGATCCGTGATACTGTCTTGAATTAAAAGACTTGCAACTTCACGAAATAAATCGATTCCCATAATTGTAGTCAGCTCCGAAAATACACCAAAATCTTCCAGTTCTTCAGGCCAACTAAGAATTTTTAAATAACCTGCAAAACGTAAAAACACATTCACTTTATCTTCACATTAGAGCCAGCCATCATAGGGGTGGGTCGGTATTGTACGGTGCGGTCTATTTTCTTCATCAAAGTTCCATGGTGGCCACTATTCAAACATATATACAAAGCTAATAGTTTTTTAATGATTTTGACCAGTCGACTCAGCTTTGCCTAACCCCGAGTTTCTCAAACTGGTTCCTCTCACCCAACCAGGGTCACGGTCTCTGAAGGTCAAGAGCAAACCCCTTCACTAGGTACCATTTGCAATGAAAACGTTAATTTAGGGAAAATTTAAGGTGTGGATGTTTGAGAATCACAGAACTTTTTGTGAGGTAGTGGACATATGGAGACGAAAAATTGAAAATTGGGAAACTTTACATCACATATTATTGAGGATATTTATTGATAAGAAAAGTTTATTCAAATATTACAATTATGATTTTAATAATTCAGGTTGATCGAAATATGGTTACTTTAATTTGTGGGCGTGATTGAAAATATAGATACTGTCACTACAAAAAATATATGTGATATTCTTTGGGGTAATCGTTACAATTTCCCTGCAGATTTAATCAAATCGTTTTAGATTTATCACATACAATATAACACAAAGAAGAGAAGAGGTTCTAGGTCGAATTATCATTGATATTTGTGACCATTTTATTAAGTTATCAGTGCGTACGTGTATAACGTACTGCACCACACACAGATTGTTATTTTAATGATTTTATCTAATTTATGAAATTAATATAAAATCATGCTTGATTCGTGATTTTGAAATTGATTTAGCAACGTCCCATGTATGGCGTTTGGAAGTTTTTGTTATTTCTTTATAAACAAGATAAAACGTTTGGAAATTTTTGTTCTAGAACAAGTATTTGTAGGAGAAAATAAAATGGTGAACGACACCACAAAAAGCTTATTATTAAAACGTGAAAAATAATTATCGTTTATCAAAATAAACAGTCACTTATCACGGAACAATATAAAATCATCTCCCTCAGCAAAAATAGTAAAACACGTCACTGATCCATGATTAAAAAGACACGACAAGGTATATAATATATATGTTAGTGGTTACTATTGTTTTATAAAAAAAAATCAAAAATGTAATTGAATAATTTTGAATTTATATTAAAATATTGTTCCGAAATCCTAAATTTATTTACAATTCTAGAACCGATTTTGAAATTTATCCAGAAGTATTTAAACAAAACATAAGACGTATGTATTTTGTAGGTTATGTCTTTGTGAAATAGTTTGCAGTTTTAAATTAGGAAATTGGATCTTATGTTCTTTTTATAATATATAACAAAGGTCTTTCTGTTGCATAAAAAAGAAAATAATAAACAAAAATAAACGATTTAAGTAAAATTTTCTCAATCACAATACTTCAATTTTGATAATTTCTCCTAAACCTGTGGCATATTGATTTGCATTTGAACGAAATAAACAATTGTTCCCCGCACAGTATAATTGTAACCTTAAAAGGTTAATATGTGACGTCAAATTGTCACGAATTTTAAATCTTGTTGTTGTTTAATATTGCGTGTAAATGTGTTGAATACAAACAAACTTCATCTGCACCTGTTATCTGCTACCTGCTAAGTACCAATAGCGTAATGCTGGAAGTTTTGAAGCTTTGTGGTAAATTGGGAAAACGTTATCTCATAGCTGAAGGGGAAGTAGAATACCACTCTATCAAGCTTCTGTCTAATTTGTTTCCAGGGTAGCGGCATCATTCTTATATCGTGCTGTATGGAATTTAGGCAACAAAGAGAACATTAGCAACTGATGACGAATACGTCACTTTCGTAGCTTAAACTCACTCATGCGAGACATTTCGATGCTTTCAAAACACGTGGTTTTAACAAAACAATTATTACGTACAATGCAATTATGAATGAACTAGCTCGGCTATTCTCAACTATCAATGTGTTATCAACACGTTTTTTTTTCGAAACTCCTTCCGATTTCTGTTTCATTTTATTTTTTTCACGTGTTCCCAAATATGTACAGTTTTAGGTTTTGTTTCAATTATCAGACAGGTATTCAAGGACACGCATAGTTTTATCGTTGAATAAAGAATTGTTGGATACTTTAGTCTTCAGTGGAAAATTTAGGGAATAAATTAAAAAAACTGTGTTAGAATAGAAAATAGAAACTTAGGTACTAACTCGTCTTTGTTTTACCACTTTATCCTAGATTAGATAACCTAACTTATCTAAGATGAACGAATTAATCTAAGATAAATAGTATCGAAAAAAACATCTTCGAAAATTACTGGCGGAGCAATAACAAAATAGTAACGTAATTTGTACTTGAAACTGTTCAAAAATAATTTCATTTACAAACACACGAGAAAACGTGTTATATAATCATTCTCAAATGGTTGAACAGCCTTGAAACTCACAATACATGAATCATACTAACCATTGATGACTTTTACCGCCGAAAACGCTTTCAAAATCTGCTTTGCTGTCATCGGTGGTGTGTCCGTATGTGTATCCCTGTAAATAACAAACGAGGACTATTTATTTCACAGATAGTCTAATTAAACTAATGTTTATTTTTTTTGGCAGTAAGTTAGTTTTATTTTATAACAGAGCATATGTATGGAGATGATTGGAAGATGACTGCAAATTTTGAGATTTTCAATTTATATATTGAAATTGATTAACAAACAATTTCCAATATTGCTTATCATTTTGGTATATCTAAATAAATTTATTGTGCATCCTCGCCTAATTGAGTTGGAATTTCTTTTAGAAATTTTTCTCCAACCTTGAGCTTAATGTCAAACTTTAGCATTTAAATCCGTAAAGGTAAATCTAATCTGAGATCTTCCAGACAATTCTTGTAATAATATTATTTCTGGCAATCGCATGCTATTTACTAAAATTAGGTTTTTGATGGTTTTGAGTGATACACAAATACAATAATTTCTAGATGCATAGTGCACCTCTTTGTCTATTTCATTTCATCAAAAATTACTTTGGTAAGTGGGTAAATTTTTTAATATTTTTAGCAGTATGTATAGGTAAACCATTTATGGTCATACCTGAAGATTATCCGAATGATCTATATACAGCCATTTTGACGATAATAACGAAGCTTTTTTGTGGTTTAAGTTTTCGACATAGTTTATTTTTTCAGTTCAGATAAGGGTAAATATTTCCACAAAATAACCTTTATAAAATCATGTCGCCAAAAATAGAGCATAGTGGAAAATTTTACATAAATGTAAGATTTGAGTTCATATGTCACCACTATTTGCATATTACGGTACGCCAATGACGATTTGTGTCCGATATTCAAATCCGATAGTTATCCTGGTACGTCCCAACAAAATTTAGTTCATTGATGAAAAATACCAACTTACCCAGTAAAAGCATAAGCTTGAAAAATCACATTTCCTCGAACAATATTGCATCCTTCAAAAAAATGAACATTCTTCGAATCCACCGTTTCACTCTTATTTAATGGACCGTCTGGATTCCCGACACCAAAACATTCTAGATAGAAAATGGAAGGATGGATTTTATAAAAATAGATAAATCTAAAACAAATTCATTTTATAAATCTTTTAATTAATATTAGAAAATCTTTAGTTAATGCAAAAAGTCGAAGAGGTCGAATATAACGTGATTTTTGCTAGAAAACGATGCGATTTGTATAAATAAAGTTCAAAATTGTGTGATTGTTTCGATAGATGCAAAGTTCTAATCTTGAAGATGAATTTTAAAATATATTTTACATTGATAGTCTTACCTTTATTGCATTCGTTACTTGTGCAAGTCACACAGACTCCGAGGCCATTGTTGTGTCGACCTTTCCTACAATGTTTTACGCAACCATTTTCCTCCACTAACATGTTATCTATAAATATATAACAATATAATTGTACAAAAAATATACGAGCAAGCAGGCCAAAAAAAATAAAAAATATTATCCAAGAGAGTTTTATTAATTGTGTTAGAGTTTTAAAATAGGACGAAACCCAAATCTATCTTTTTGTTGTATTAAGAATACGTTATTTCTGCCTTTTTTCATTTTGAAATAATTGAATGATAAAATTTAAAATCATGTTGAAAACATAAAAAAATAATCAGTTAAAACAATTTCAAACCTGGACATTTATTCACACAATATTCGTTAAAATGATATTTGAAGTTTGGATTCGGAACATGTCTTGATGTTTGCTGGTCGTAGATAAATTGTGGCGGACAACTCTGCTGACAAACTCCACTGTTATTCATATGAAGACATGCCTGCAAAATATGAATTTAATAAATGCAAATATGTTATTTAAACAATGTTAGTTTTTTGAAAAAAATATACTAAATTCAAAAACTTACAATGCAATCGCTATCAGTAGATCCGGTACAACCACAAGCACATTCTCTGTCACAACAATCGTCTCTACCGGGACCTCTGCATCTCGCATCTCCACAATTTTCATGACAAATTGTACTTGTTACTGTATAAAGCAAGAAAATAATACAATATATTGAGAGGTGTTGTTAAATAAAGCATATTGTGAGCCTGGTTTTCGGTGTTTCAGTACAAACAAAATAAAGGGTAAATCAACATTTTTGCAATTACTGAAGCTATTTGGTAGTAGTAATAGATATTATCATCGTAGATAGAAATTACCCAAACTTGCAAAACTCTAATTTTAACCTTTAATCCCAAATTGCTACGTAACGACGTACTTGCGTGAGGAATTACGCCAAATATTTAAAAACAAATATTTGTGACCAATTACGTAGATGTTATCGATTCAGTAAGGCCGTTTTCGAAAAATTATAAGATCGAAAACTTTCATTTAGTTTTTTGTTCCTTTTGCCAGCATTCGTGCAAAAATGTTCATAACTGCCTAAATCAAACGCGAGTGAACACTAATTTTTTCCGCGTGGAGGTAATAAGACATATTTGACAAACAATTGTAGAAATAATATCGACGATTTAGTGGTTACATCGAATTAGATATGAAAATCATATTATATTTTCAGTCAGCGCTTATAAGGGACTCTCGTTCCGAGGATTAAACGCTGACGTCGAATTTCAATTTCTGTCAGAGGAATATAATTTACCGATTATAGTATAACGCAAATATGTCAAAAAATGTCTTTTCTTTTGCGTAATTAAACAAACATATATTTAATAATAATAATATGAATATATCATAAAAATAATTTTTAGAAAGTTATGAGTAATTTAGGATACTCACATGTTTGGCACATGTCTGCACCTTCACCCCAGCATCTGCCATTGCAAGATTCGTGACATTTCGGACCTGAAAGAGAAGACAAAATTGAATATAATGATAACAAGAGGGCGATGTTCAAAGATATGGACACGAATGCCAAACCAAAGTAGTACGAGTATGCAATCTGTCACGGTAGACAGCCAAAGTCTCCACGATTTCAAAGCAATTGTTTCATAACAACAAGTACAAGACAATAAATACTAACAACATCATCAACAACAACATAATACCAAAACGATTTTAGACCCTTTTCTTGCCCAATAACTTAAAATAATAAATAAACACGTTAATATGCTTTTAATATCGTTATAATTCTAAGAAAATTGTCTTGACCAATTTCTTCAGAAGACAAAAAAACATTGAATTGGAAAGGGCAAAAAAATAACATAATTTCAATATTTTCTTATGTACGTAATTCGCAACCAATCTTTACTGTCAATCACCTAATAAATTTATATTAAAAATACAAATAATTGTATAGTTTGACATTTGTCAACAAACATTTGATTCGATTTGTTTAATACAACACTTTTTTATCATCAAAAAACGTCATACACTTTATTAAATGAATTTGCATAAAAAAAATTTTTTTTGCCCAAAGTGAAAACACAAACTCTCAACCTTTATCGATAAAGTTCCTGTGGTCAGATTCGAACCCAAGACTTCCGAAATGGGTAGATATATCATTCATTATCATATATTCAAATGGTTTCACATTGACGCAATGCAGCCGCTTCGATGCACAGTTTATTATAGGCATAATAAAGATAACACAGTAATTCTTTGTACGCAAATACATACTGACTTATCGTGAATACCGGTTCATAAGTGGAGATTCAATTTAAAAAATTACGAGTGAAATCAAATGACTTGCAATGCAAAACAACACTTCTGTGTGGAAACCACTTGGTGCGTTTTTACTGAAATTTTCACCTCATGGCTAAATTCAAGGTGACTGTACTAAAATTTTAATAGCTGCAAAATACCTTTAAAATTATATGGTTATTTATCAGAGTGCTTATTCTCAAAAACGTGTTTGATTGACATTGTGACAAGTAAAAACAAAGCCATTGCAGCTGTATTTAATTATAAAATATTTTATAAGTTTTGTAAACTCGATTTTTGTTGATGACGGATCATTTTTGACACATCTATCTCATCGAATATCAAATCTTAAAAATTTAAACGCCCACAAAATCTCTTATAAACTTTATCACAATATCATATTATGCTTTGCCTATGGCTAGGTCAAGTTCAAGACTGGTATTTTTCAGTTTTTTTTTAATTCTAGGAGTCGAAGTTTAGGGTTAAATACTTCTTGATAAAAATAATTAAATTAAATTACTAAATTGTTTAAAAAGAAATAATTTATTTGTGATTCAGTCATTAACAAAGGGCTAAGCTAATTTGATAATATACATTAACAGAACTGAAAGACACGGACAACTTGTTGCTTATCACAGAGGTTCTCAACTAGTAGAACATTTTCTCCTTTTTTTCCCATTTTCCATTAAACATGACATAGACAATAATTATACATGGCAGTAAATTTTATTTTTAAATGTATCAAAGGGTAAATTACAAAAGAAGTGGGGAGAATCCATAAACGATATGTTAAGAGCAAATTGGTATCAAATTGTATTTATCAGTGTCAGTCACATATTCAACTATGAAAGTTATCACCAAATTATTTTCTTTGAAATGTTTTAATACATAATCACATAATGTTAAGATAATTCCTGATTTGCGCGAATTACCAGCGGATATTTTTGTCACTTTTGATATGTCTTCCATACATAACTTTCTTATGATTATAATTAATGAAGATTTGTTTAAAATTAAACAAAATGAAGTTGTCATGGGTTCACATTTGTTTTAAATATATACACAACAAGATAGTGGATTCAGTAAGTTGCCTGAAGCAATCTACAACAGATATCAATATGTCAAGATGATGTTATCAATGATCAGATGACGCTGATAAAAGAATGTCAATCCAGCAAAAAAAAAAGACCTATTTAATAAACAGGGTCGTCTTATCGCAAAAAATATGTAAAAAATAATTTACAACTAACAAATTTATTTACTGAAAACAATATCAGGATTGTTACTCTCGAGGTGACAGGTAATTGCGCAAGACAATAACGTGACATTAAAATATTACTTGCGCAATTGATTTGGTTTCTACTGGACTTACTACTTATCCTTCTTCTATGGCTCTATGCTATTGTGCCGGTAGATCCATGTGCATATAATTCAAGGATCCTATAGCAAGATTGAAGATAGCTATTCTAATGATGCACACTAACACAAATATATTTCTGTAATTTTTTGTCTGATTAAGGCCAGACGTATTCCTTATTTCTTATTTTGGGGCTCCCGAAGTATGCGAACCAAGATGGCGGACATCGGAATGTAATGTGTGTACTAGGTTAAGGTTAGGCCATAATTTTAGGTATAAATACTACGGGAGGCTCTTGGCTGGTCTTCGAACTGATAATAGGACTAAAATAAGGAAAATTGGAAAGAAATTATCGCCTAACCCTAACCTGTTACCCATGTCACGTTCCGATGTCCACCATCTTGGTTCGCATACTTCGGGAGCACCCTTATTTTTGTTTGAATCTTTTAATGAAAATGATATTACAAGAAACGCCATTTTGAAACGCATGGAAATCATAGATTGACCAGGGTTTGTACCATAGATATTTTACTTGACATCATAATTGGGAGAACGCACCATTTATAAATCTATACGCCCACAAACATAATAATCGAAATAGAATTGGAAAATAGTAAGGTGAAAAAGTAATTTTTATGTCTGACGCAAATGCTAATTCCGAAGAATGTTTCGTGCAATATTTAAGTAAATATTTAGTAAGCTGTCAAGTCCTAAAGGCTTATTTTTTATCACGACATTCGAAAAGGAAACCGTATTATGTACAATATGAATTTACAGCGTGTACGGAATTGATTTTAACCTTTTATTTCTGACAAAAATCAGTAAGTTTACTAGTTTATCCATTTTTTTGTAATATCTTGATCATAGCAGAACTGGTCTTTTATCAAACAGTCATGCTTGTTTCGAAACGAAAAAGGAATAATAAACAAAATAAATTTCCGTGAAAAAATCATTTTAATAAAGTTGAAAAGTCTTTTCTTTCTAATACACGGTTTTTGAGTTCTGAAATTTTCACGTTCGGCATAGCTTACCAAATTTTGATACTATAGAAAAGGGGATGCATGGGGCATAGTAGTAGAATTACCAGTTTGGAAATCACAGAACCCACAATCTAACCCACCCATAGAGCCCCAGAAAAAGTCATCGCGCGTAATAAATTGTCTTTAATTTGAATGTTATAAAAGCTTGTTGTGACACATCGTTAAAATTAATTACAAAGCTGTATGAACTTTAAATATCTTTTAAAATGATGATTTATATTGATAAATTCAAACAATAGCAATCTTCATATAAATCTAAATCTTTTTATCTATAAGAAAATCTGATTAATCAAGTGCATATCTAGAAAACAATGAAACGATAGATAGATCGCCCTGATGAGATATCTCGAAGTAAACATTGTTTTTGCAACATTGGGCGTCAACCTTTATACTTCAATCTAAATTGGGGCGTCTTCAAGGTTATGTTGTGCGATAGTTGTGCATAAATACGTATAGCAAATATATCCTTTCTTTTTAGGAAAAGAAGGCCTAAGTATATAAAAAATCATAGCTTTTTGTTTTGATATAAGACGAAGTGGAACTGAAGATAAAAAAAAAACGTTTAACACTACAGAAGCAGGGCGGCTTTTTTGGTTGATCTAGCGCTTTTTGGGGGGAAAAAAATTAAAGATATTTTTATGACAGCATGTCATCTGTAACGATATATCATTACAATGAGTGTTTCTTAAGATATTAATGACGTTTGTTTATATTTAATATATAGCGGACGTTTTGACAAATTTATTTTTTAATCTGGGAATAAAACATTCATTGTTTAATAACAAGTGGTCATTCATTATTTACCACGCTAAAGTCATCTAGTTAATTCACAAACAGTGACACTTCATTATCTTGACAAGTACGGACTAACGATTTGCGAATGTTCTCAAATTTAATATGTTGAGCACAAAAAGAACAGTAATTCCCGAAACAATATATACCAAACAGAAAATGCTTTTTAAACCAATGTCAATGCCATATTCTTAATTCAATCAAATAATTGTTTCATATTCTGAAAAATTGCGTCTTATAACTGAAATTTGAAATGAGTGACAAGCGAAGACAGTTAATCTGTCGAGATAGGCGGTTTGCATAACCACGCCCCGCACATCGACTGATCCAAAATTATGATAAAAATAAAAGATAAACTAAATTCCGTAAATATAAAAACAAATCGCGAAGTTTTCTCCTAAGCAGGACTTGGAAACATAAATTTACCCTTATGATACTTTTGCAATTTTTTGATTTGAATAATATGGGGTATTATTGTAAAAGGGTTAATATCAAATGCTGCGTCGGATTATCTGCATTCTATTGAATCCAAGTTTCATACTTCGAGATTAAGAAGCGACTGTTTATTTGTGGTTTTTCATGCCAAAAATGATAGACATGGAACAATCATAAACTGTACGTTATAAACCATATTTATAGTTGCTTTTTACTTGATTTAGTAATAATTAATATTTGATTTATTAATTTGAAAATTTAAAAATAAGTGAAAATATAGAAAGTTTGTCATCGTGCAAAACAAAAGAATTAAGTCTGTGTTTTGTGATTAGTAATTGTTAAAAAAATACTTCTCAATGAGTCGACACAAAATTTGTTGTTTCACCCATTTTCTTTTAATTTCTTTTCATATCAAACGTGATAGCATTGGGGATAAATTAAATCAAGGCAAAAAGTAGAAGATGAACCTTAATCCATATTCATTACTTTTTCTTCATAACACCGAACTGGAACCATGAATAATTTCATATTTAAAATAATTTTAATTACGTTTGAGATTTGTATATGAATGTATGTAA